TCATTGTTATTGACACTTCAAAATTCTCAGTTGCAATTACTAAGTCGTTACATGCAACTTCAGCAACTTCCAAAATAATTATTTCATATCCCGAACCTTAATTCCTTTCCAACAACAAAATAAACCTTCTCGTATCATATAATTCACCTGTTTCTCAAGAAATGATAAATTCCATGTCATTTTTTGTTCTCAATTGAGCAACACCTCAACTGACTCTAAATCTTAAGCAGCTGCAACAACAATTGTTGCTCTCTCTAACTTCTCCAATTCTTCCCATTGATAAAGCACACACCTGATAAAGTATCAACTACTGCAACAATTCAAACTCTCTACCAATTTAATCAAACACTGATAATGGTGCTTTGAACTCCTAACTTGCAATTGCTATCCCATTATATGCAACTCAGCAACTTGTATAGCATCTCTCTTTCTTTAAACCAAAACTTCCATGCTCTAAACCTTTCCTAGGTCCATCTTCGTTTGATCTTTCACTTGAACTTAAACCTTTCTGAAATCTAGCTCTTACCTAGAACCAAATCTGCGAGTACCATTGGTTAATTCTTGACCTGAATCTAAACCTCTTGTACCAATTCTAATCATTGAAACTTTCATAGTTTCCTCTGATTGTTCTATGTTCTATATTTAATCACTTCCTGAAACTAGATCTGCGAGTATCCTTGTTTGATTCTTGACCTAATCAAACCTACCTATCATTTTAATGCCGCTCTCAGATTTCCTGTCTTAAATATGGCTTGATCAGCTTTCCGGACCACCTGAATCATTTTAAATGACTTTCATTCATCTATAATATCCAATGAACCAACCTAATCCATCTTCTGACATGCTCCTGGCTTTGCCACCAATAACCTTTGATGTACCTAATGCTGCTGATTTTACCTTGAACCAACATCTGCTACAGCAAATCCTGCGTTTATTTTAACGTCCTCGGAGAGGACTATTTCACTCAAAGCATTCTTGACAAAGCTCATTCCAATAGAACCTTCATTGTTTATTATTTTTGTACCTCTGTACTAATAATCAAAGCTTTCATGTTCTTCTTTTCAACATGAAAAACAACCTTCATTTGCTATCAACTGATTCTTCAGGATTTCTCGTCATTTGACCGTTAATTAGTTCGTGAGCATCTAATGTCAAATGGATAATTTTATTCTCGATCTCTACCGAGACCATTCATCAGAAACCGACATTCATCATCAATAATTCAAAACAGCTCTTCTTTGCTTCACAAACACTTTACCTTTCCCTTCAAATAATATTATCCATATTTAACCAATGAATCATTATTACAATAACCATACCTTTCACTATCTCACTCTCAGGGTCCCGAAAACTAATGTAAATGCCTTACCATCGTTATTATTTGTTGGCAAATATTTATCTGCACTAATTTCCTCTTTTGAATCTTATGTTAAAACTGAAGCAAAAGCTTCTTAAGTAGCTTCATCTAAATCAGTAATAGCGCTTGACCCTGTACCAATAGTTTCTATTCCTAGACTTCCATTCAAATTTATACCACCTGGAATACAACTTTTCATGGCTCCAATATCTAGTTTCAAAATATTTATTCCACTTGTTAAAAAAAAAAGGTTCTATATCAAAGTAGTTTTCTACTACTTTTCCATCTGATGGCAACAGTTACTCATTTACTATTTCAAAATTTCTTGATAATTTGTTTCGGATTTATTTTCTAAGCTTTTAGTAGACATAATTGACTTTCTTCTAGTGTGTTTTGAATCTTCAAGTTTTATATATATGCTTAAATTTTTTCTATTGCACATTTTCTTATCTTTGAATCATCTTTCCGATGAGAATTGGTGATTACTTATTTGACTCTGACATGATAATCACTTGAGATCTCTTCACTTTGTAAAGGCTTTTCCTGAAATTTTCATTTTTGATTCTAAATTGTCGTGAGCATTTGATGTCTCACGCTTACTTTTGTGTTTCGTTTTTCTGAATAATTTTGAAATTTCTCTTTTTCTGTTTCTAATTCTGTTTCTCGAAATTTATTTGTATTTTATCAATTTCGAACTCTGGATTGACCTGCCTAGTAAGGATCTTCTTGTAGGTTATAATTATCTGACCAGATTTATTCCCACTTCCTCCTAATTGTCACCAGCAATGAGTTCGTTTTCTTATCTCGTCCACCACTTTCTGTTATAGGATCTTCGCACTCGCTAAATCCCATCTAAACAGCCTCGTCTCATGTTAATGTATTTAAACTATGAAACCGGATGATAATTAGTACTCTAACTTCTCAGTTAAGCTAATAATGAGGGAACGTGAGAATGCTCTCATATTCTACGTTTGAATTGAGTTTGTTGTGTCTTATTTAATCTTAATTAATCATACTAAAAAATTCTATAAACTATATACAATGGGATTTTTTAATTTTTTTATATAATTTACATTTTGTTTAAAACTTAGCATTTTCAGCATCATTTATGCCTATTTGAGATCTGTATAATCACCTTTATTGACTCCGATTTCCAAGTATCAATGTTTTTACCCAATTTATTCTTCGTGTCATTATTAAACGTTGAAATCCAGGTATTTAGAATTTATCACTTTAATATTACGACATATAAACTACTCAATTTTTTTTCTATAAAATCCTTCTTTAATTGTCTATTAAGAATGAGGAATAAGATCTTAATAATATTTATCAACATGAACTTTATACTACCATTAAAAAAAGATGAAATTTCAAGACTGAATAATCAGAGTAAAATTTATCATCAGGGGTAAAGCATCAAGGTGGTATAGTTGGTGATATAGAAAGTGCACTATTTTTTGAAGCATTAAGACAATCCCAACTCAGAGTTGAAAGTGATAATTTTGCTTTTATTCATGAAAGTTTAGTGCCAGTTATACATGGAGAACAAAAAACAAAACCAACTCAAGCTGCTATAAAAGATTTAAGAAGTTTAGGTCTAACACCAGATATGGTTGTAGATGTCAAGAAAAATGGGAACTTCAAACTATTGGAAAAATTGGAATGTTTTGTCATGTTGGTCCAGATCAAGTTTTTGCAGTACATGTGATGCTAAATCATTTTTTTGTGTTCTACTTTTGTTGAAACAACAAAAAGTTATGCATTTTTAAATTTAGTATTGGAGAAGTTGACTAAAAGTCTTTAATTAAAGGTGAAGAATTATTAAGTGCTCATGATAAATCATTTGAAACTGTTACAATTACTTTAGTTGGTAAGTATACACATTTACATGATTAATATTTATCAATAATTAAATCATTAGAACATGCATCAATGAGATGTAATCGTCGCTTGAAAATGGAATGGGTTGAATCAACAAATTTAGAAGAATTAATGAAAAATGAAAATATATCAGAATAGCATAAAGCATAGCATTATGTTGGTCAAGCTGATTGTATTTTAGTTCCAGATAGAGTTGGATCAAGATGTATCTAAGGTATGTTATTAGCTATTAAATATGCAAGAGAAAATAATATACCATTTTTAGGAGTTTGTTTGGGTTCACAAGTTGCAGTGATTAAATTTGTTCGTAATGTTTTAGGTATAAAAGATTCAACTTCACAAAGAATTTGATAAATATAAAAAAGACGATAATATGAGACCATCATTCATATATATGCCAGATGTTGATCAAATTAAACTAGGTGGTACAATGAAACTTGGGATACATAAAACTAATTATTGAATGTTCAGATTGGAGTAAGTTATGTAAATTATATGGAGGATCTAATTCAGTATTTGAAAGACATAGACATAGATATGAAGTTAATCCAGAACTAATAAATCAAATAGAATCTAAAGGTTTACATTTTATTCGAAAAGATGAATCAGGTAAAAGAATGGAAATGATTGAATTATATGATGATTGTCATAAATTCTTTGTTGGTACACAATATCATCCTGAATATTTATCAAAAGTTTCAGATCCTTCAAGACCATTTTTAGGTTTAGTTGCTGCTTCTGCTGGTATACTAGATGAACTTTTAAAAAGAGATGATTTAAATTATAAAGGAGAATTTCAAAGTTGTAAAATTCGGATTTGCTTTTAATTAATTTCAATAGATCTTAGAAGTATAAGGTATTTTGTAACATAACTACTAAAACTGATTATTAATGAGAGGTATTTGACTCTTATGTTTTTGCATGTGTCGTCCTTAATAAACCAGGTTCTTTTGCTTTTGTATCAACTTCGTTTTGGAGGTTTTACAATTCAAATTTAGATTACTTGATTTCCTTTGACTATCTTATCCTAAATGAAGCAAACTCTTACAATATAAGTACGCTCTACTTGAGGGTATCGAAACTACATCAGTAGAAATTCAATTGAGATGATAAACTCTATAAACCAATTATGACAAGTTGTGCTCTTTAGAATGAATTACACTGTTTATTATAAAGCTATTAACTTACAATTGGTAATTAAAAAGGTTAAGAATTCAGGAAGTTAAAATCAATGAATGTTTATAGATTTGATGATACAAGAAAAACTTTGGAGAGTATGCGACCAAAAAGTAATAAAAATCAGAATCATACGTCGAACTTGTCGCTAATTTTGGGAGGAAAAGTTACTCAATCTACCACAAATCGACAATTCAATAGAAACCCATTTACAAATCACAACTTACACATAAAAATGTTAGTGATCGAGATGATATAAAGTAGTAAACACTGGGATACCTTACTCTCACACTTTAAAACCAGTGTTATCAGAGAAAAATTATTGAGTATTTTGAATTTTTCTTAGATCACTCTAGTCTCAAAATTCAGGATTTGAGAAGCATGTTTTGTTTGATACTTATACTTATAAGAAATATCTACATTAGATAGGTTGTGAGTTTCAATTCAGATTGATAAAAAAATTGTGTTATACATTTAAAATTTTAAAATCTTATTAATAAGTTTTTACATTTTTATTTTACTATATTCTCAAATAATTTATACTTTTAGTTTATATAATTAATGAGATCAAATTATATAAATATAAATTGAAAATAATACATAGAACTTTTATGCTGGGTATATTTAATATAATGTAAATTTGTCTTATCTTATCTAATCTAATCTTATCTCATCTAATCTTTTTTTTTTTAAACATCCCTACCTCATAACAAAAAAATCATCACAAAAAAATAAATGAAAGTAAAAACATAATCTAAATTTATAGAAATATAGGATTATCAATAAACTCTACCAACAAAATCACTAACAATAATGACAACAACAACCACAATATCAACAACATCGGCTCTATGGTATTCACTTACCAATATATATTAAGGTGTGTATTAAATTCTCTCAGTGATGCCAATTTTGTAGATGTTAAATCATTGAATTGGTTTTACGAATTAAAGAATAGTTATAATCAAATTTTAACGTGGTCATATAGGACAGTTCTGAGTTATTAGTGTTCGTACTTTAGGTACTTGTTCAGCACGATAACTGCAATGTGTGTGGAGATGACCTAGTAAGGACTAGGGACCCCCTAGTTGCAAAGTTGAGAGCTGTTTTTGCTTGAGTTTGGATTATGTAGTGTCACCCCCTTACTTCGGGCCGTAAGGTTTTCGGTGACGTCCTTAAAAAGGGTTCAAGTGAAGACGGTTCGCAATTAGGATCGGATGCTAGTTTCTGAAGAGTCATTTCCAATACCATTGTTGGTGAAGTTGTTCAAAACCTATAGTGCTGCCTAAAATGAAGGCTGTTTCAAAAAAAAAAAATAAAAAACATGGCTTTTATAGAGTTAAATTTTGTTTCAATAATTATTTTGAGATTCTGATCCAATATTTTTGAATTTGCATTACAATATGGTATCGCTTTTTTTAACATAAATACTGTCACCATTTGGTATAAATTAGAATCATAAAAAAACGATCTGTGTGAGGTGTCTATAGCATCCTCAATTTAGAAGTAGAGGGTTGTGGCAAATGAGGACAAATCAACGGATCAATTGAAACCTCATTACTCCAAAAGTTACTACTCAATATACTACAACTTGGACCGTCACTAATTCAGATGCATCAGTTGAAATTGAATCAGTTATTGTTATTCAAGCAGGATCATCATTAACAACTATTACTACTATCCACAACCAATCACTACTCAATTTACAAGTTCTTGGACTGTCACCAACTCAGATGGATCAGATGAATTTGAATCAGTTATTGTTAACCAATCCGGATCTTCATTAACAACTGTTACTACTTTCCCACAACCAATCACTACTCAATTTACAAGTACTTAGACCGTCACTAATACAGATGGATCAGATGTATTTGAATCAGTTATTGTTATTCAATCAGGATCATCATTAACAACTGTTACTACTTTCCCACAACCAATCACCACTCAATTTACAAGTACTTAGACTGTCACTAATACAGATGGATCAGATGAATTTGAATCAGTTATTGTTATTCAATCAGGATCATCATTAACAACTGTTACTACTTTCCCACAACCAATAACTACTCAATTTACAAGTACTTAGACCGTCACTAATACAGATGGATCAGATGAATTTGAATCAGTTATTGTTAGTCAATCAGGATCATCGTTATTAGTCAATCAGGATCTTCATTAACAACTGTTACTACTTTCCCACAACCAATCACCACTCAATTTACAAGTTCTTGGACTGTCACTAATACAGATGGATCAGATGAATTTGAATCAGTTATTGTTAATCAATCCGGATCTTCATTAACAACTGTTACTACTTTCCCAAAACCAATCACTACTCAATTTACAAGTACTTGTACTGTCACTAATTCAGATGGATCAGATGAATTTGAATCAGTTATTGTTAATCAATCCGGATCTTCATTAACAACTGTTACTACTTTCCCAAAACCAATCACTACTCAATTTACAAGTACTTGTACTGTCACTAATTCAGATGGATCAGATGAATTTGAATCAGTTATTGTTATTCAATCAGGATCATCATTAACAACTGTTACTACTTTCCCACAACCAATCACCACTCAATTTACAAGTACTTGGACTGTCACTAATACAGATGGATCAGTTGAATTTGAATCAGTCATTGTTATTCAATCAGGATCATCATTAACAACTGTTACTACTTTCCCACAACCAATCACTACTCAATTTACAAGTACTTGTACTGTCACTAATTCAGATGGATCAGATGAATTTGAATCAGTTATTGTTAGTCAATCAGGATCATCATTAACAACTGTTACTACTTTCCCACAACCAATCACCACTCAATTTACAAGTACTTGGACTGTCACTAATACAGATGGATCAGATGAATTTGAATCAGTTATTGTTATTCAATCAGGATCATCATTAACAACTGTTACTACTTTCCCACAACCAATCACCACTCAATTTACAAGTACTTAGACCGTCACTAATACAGATGGATCAGATGAATTTGAATCAGTTATTGTTAGTCAATCAGGATCATCATTATTAGTCAATCAGGATCATCATTAACAACTGTTACTACTTTCCCACAACCAATCACCACTCAATTTACAAGTACTTAGACCGTCACTAATACAGATGGATCAGATGTATTTGAATCAGTTATTGTTATTCAATCAGGATCTTCATTAACAACTGTTACTACTTTCCCACAACCAATCACTACTCAATTTACAAGTACTTGGACCGTCACCAATTCAGATGGATCAGATGAATTTGAATCAGTTATAGTTAGTCAATCAGGGTCTTCATTAACTACTGTTACTACCTTCCCAGCATCCATTACTCCAGGAGTTACTACTCAATATACAACAACTTGGACTGTAACAAACTCAGATGGATCAGTTTAAACTGAATCAGGTATAGTTAGTCAATCCGGATCTTCATTAACAACTGTTACTACTTCTCCACAACCAATACCTACTCAGTTTACAAGTGCTTGGAAGGAGACTAATTCAGGCGGTTAGTTTTGGTCTCCGAGTAAGGTGGTATAAGTATTGGAATGAAGAGAATAGGTTCAGTGATAGATTATGGATTTGAGTATACAGATATATTGGAAGCATTAAGGGGTATACAACATCATTAACGACAACCACGATTTTATGATATGATTAAAGCCACCACCAACTTGGGTCTACCCTATTCAGAAATCAAGTACTTTTGATCAAACTGAATTTGAAACACTCTGTTTGAAGAGTTAATAAAGAGTGAGGTTAAGTGTTGAATCAAGAAAGCACAATGAACAGTGAGTTTAATGTTTTCATAGTCCCCAACAAAGATTAATGTTCCGGCTGTACGAATCTAAGAACTATGAAAGACAATTGAAGATAAAGCTCAGTTACTGCATAAATTTAAATTCAAGTTTAAGACTGAAGTAAGTGAGGGCTATTTTCCTTGAAGTAAGTGAACCTATTTTCCTGAAGATGTGGAATATGTATGTGAAGATCAATTTCCAACATTCCCCAAAATGATATGAGTTGTGGCTAAGAAACCCAAAATTCTGATGATATTAGTAATGAGTCATTATTAAAAGAAACAAGTGATTATGGTTACAACATTGGTTACAATCTTAGAAAACAGAAGTTGAATGTAAAGATGACCAATTTATTTCAAGTTTTACAATTCATTTGTAGGTGGTGATACATTTCATCGGGTAGTGAAAATTTGTTTCAGCATGAACATACAATCAACAACAACAACGGCAATCATAATTTTTCCCCAATTTATGCTAATAATAATTTAATCAGTACTTTATGAAAATGAAAAAAATGAAACCTTTTACATCCATTGCATTCAAATAAGATAACAAATGGTTCAAGAAGAAGATAATAAATGGTTCAAAAGGACGATAATAGATAGATCTAAAATCTATCGCAAAGTGAATAGTAACTTAACATTATTAGTGTACAGAAAAAAGATCGACTTCATAGCATCAAATCTTTGAAAATGTTTTTGCTAGTAGTAGTACTACTTATAATTACAACACATCTGGTTGAAGTTATTTTAATGGTGCACGTCGAAAGAAAATGTGTAGAAAACACTACTGTTAATATTGGTTGTTTTGATAATGGTGGTGAAAATGATAAAATTCATGCAAAAAGCTCAATAATCGTTTAAGAGTTAATTCATACAAAACAACAACAACTTTTAAAAATTAACAACAACATTAACCACAATTGTCAACTTATGAAACAGCACCAAGCACTTTTTTTTAAACAAAAATGACGTCTTCATCCAAATCACCATTGTCTTTGAATGATAAACAAAGAACAACTTTAGCTAATGATTTGAGAAAGTATAGAAGGAGGAAAAATTAAAATACATAAACTCCCTGAAAGTACTATCATTGAAACTACGAGAAAACTTTCAAAAAAAGTTCAGTGATTGAAATCTCAATTTAATCAAACAAATGATTTTGAATATCTTAGAAAGTTGAAGAATACTATGAACGTAATAATTTTTAATAAAAGTCACTAATAGTGATTTTATTGAATGTTAGTTTGGAGAAATAATAGTTGAGAGTAAGAATGATAGATTCAACTCGAGTTATTTAACATATGTGTGAATCGTGTAATTATTTCCATCAACGATTCAAATGTCAAAGAATTCATTATGATAAACATACGATCCACATTAATACTTTTGCTTGCGACTGATTCTTACTTAATTCAAAAAATTATGCTATAACAATCAAATTCTATGAAATCCTGACAACTACTACATTTCACTATTATTACATTATCGCAGCCATTATATTTTTACAATATTTTTCTTAGCCATTACAATTTCACAAACATTGATTCTCAATAGCATAATGGTTTTTCAATAAGAATCATGGTAATTGCAGTATGATACAAGGGCGTGTGATCCACAGGGAAGATCGAATTTAAACTCAATGATTTTGGTGGTTCTTTTACAAGCTTTTTGCACCTTTGGTGGTATATTGAATGGAGATGGTTGTATCGTCATAACTTGAGAATATTTCTACTACAATAGCATTATTTATAATTGCATTAATACATTAGATGAAGTTAATCAAATGGTGAAAAGTCGAATTGAAATGTGGAAAAAAAAATAATTGATATAAATCTGGATTTTTCAATACTGGCGGTTGTTTGAAGTGGTGAATGAAGAGACAAGTTCAATAATAGACAAATAATTTACAACCATCAAATGGTGTAAAGTAGAACCAGCAGTAGTGCCGACCAATAAGTTCAAATAACAACATCACACCACCTTGGATATCAAAATCAAGTGCTGGATCATTAAAATCTACGGTAGAAAGTTAATGAAGAATGGCATTAAGTAGGAGTCGAGAAGGTACCAAGTAAACAGTTCGGTATATACTAAAGTTTCAAATCTTCACTGACTAATACAAATTTACTGGATTTGATCTAGAGTTAAAGATGACAATGTGTCTTTGCATGTCTTGTGATACTAAATTTGGGACCAGATTAAAAATCAAATTAAGTGGAATAATATATATGAATGAAAGAAAGAACAAATTTAGTTCAACCACAGAATTTTAAGTGGGTGAAAATTTTGGAATCAGTCAATTGGGCTTCATTAATAATTGTGTATGATTCACACATCATATTTGAGTATTACCATTTCCCTAAATTGTGCCACAATTGAATTTTCATTTGTAAAACTGTGTTCTATTATAAATTAAAAGGATATGCTACTGATCGTTGTTAAAAAGTCGCTAGATTCACAAAGGTTTATAGATAACCACATTCCGCATTAATGCTGTAGACTTTTCCTCAGTTTTCTGGCTTTCTAGTGACATTTGATCTATTGAAACTTTGGTAATTCGAGCTATTGCCAATTACCATTGATTTTAATTGGGTAGGGGTTGCAAATTTAATTGATGGGTTGGTTGAAATGTTTTACCACTGAAGAACAAAATGCAGTATGGTTAGAGAGGCATGCTCCTTAAAGCCATCGAGGGTATTTGATATAGTTTCTGACAATATTAATACTTACACTAGTGAATATTGATATTTTAGTGCATTGATTATTTATTTTGGATTTGGTTAGATAACACTATATAATGTATATATTGAAAATCTTTAATGATATGCATATTCAGTTTTCCCTAATTTAAATATCAATAACAACACTCTGATAAATTCCTCTTCAAGTCCAATTACTCTTTATAGTATAACACTTGATATAACAGTTGAAGTTAGACCATAATAGTAATTATCACAAGAATCTTTTTGGTTAATTCACCAAGCTCAACGTTTAGGGCCTTGAAAGTGTAAACTATGAAGTGACATAACAATAAGAGCACATTGATAGAAGAAGATGGATAGTTTCAATTACACTAATCTCAGAAACATTATGCCAACAGTAAATTTTTAAATTCCACATACAACTATTAAAAATTCAGACCTGTTAAAAAAGATAGGAAATCATCCCATGCTCTTCTGAACAAATATCAATACTGTAAATCTTAACTACCAACAATTAACGCCATATCTCAGTTACTCAACGACTACAAACATCAGAGATATCCCTTTGCTCGAGAAAACAAATATTTGACGCTTACGACGCATAGGTTGTCATAGCAAACCAGAAAAAGTCAAAGTAGATCGATGACGCATTGAGAAGCAAAACTCTTATGTTCCTCGAAGATTGCAATACTTTCAAGTAATGAGATACAAGTTCGAGCAAAATTTGAAAACTAAATGCAACAGCCAAAAAAGTTGTGTAACATTCGTTCACGACTTAAAACAACAAATTAAAAACTCCTTAAAATTTGATCAGCACCCTTTTTAGTTCTGTCAATTAAACCACCAGTACCAGAAGTGCGAACCCTTGAGTAGATAGCTATATTTTGTATTGTTTCCCTCAATAACCAAGGATTCAGGCACCAAAGGAAAGCTTATAACTCAAAAACACTATTGATGAGAGCTTCTCAGTACAGAACATAAAGAATTTAAAACTAAGGAAACAATGTAGCGTCTAATAAGTTTGGACCCAAAAGTTGATTCAAAATGACGGAATGCCTGAAAAAGGAAAACAAATTTAGGATCAATCTTCAAGTTAAGTTCCTTAATATCAATGCCGGTAACTGTTACTATTCAAAATTTACGATAATTAATATCGATACATTATAATTTTAATTACCCATTATAAACTTAATTCTTCAGTAAAAGTTTTATACAAGCTAGATGAAAATCTTTAAAGATTCATTTGATTTTCTCTATTACAAACAACGATGACCACAGTTTAAATTATTTTTTTCTAAGTATATCAATAGCAGCCAACCGTCTTTTACATTAATAGTTAGTATTTTGAGGTCGGCCTTTCAATTATAGTAATTTCTGCAGGGATCATCTGGTTTCTTCGACAAATCCCATTTGTGAAATAGCGTTGATCGATTAAAATTCATATCATCAAAAATTTGCAAAATGAATTAAGCCTTAAACTAGTATTGTGGTAACATTTAATGTGTAGAAAACAAAAATGTGCATAAATTTCGGTTGAAAAAATTAGCGAAAGAATGCGACACTTTGATCTAACTTAAAAACTGTATATCCAAAACTAGCGGACCGAAAGTCGATGGTTACGTAACATTGACGCTCTGGGTTTATTTTGGACCCGTTTCACACAGTGCCAGTAATGACTCACGATTTGAAATGAGCCTTCATTGTGTATAGTATTTGTAAATATGTTACCAGATTGTTCTTAACATTTACCTTAAAATGAAAACCTCATTTATAGCGCATCTAAGTCCTACAAAAAATTTTCAAGTTATCGAAGTAGTAAGGGAAGTTACATGCTGAAAAGTCAGGTATTATTGTTGAACTAGCAGATTCATTAACCCAGGATTGTACTAGTTTACCGAGCTTGCTACGTTTTACTAAGCCTGAATATTTGTTTGTGGCAATCAATAAACAAGATTGGACTACCATATTCGACGCGGTTTTCCAGCACAAACGATAGTTCCTCTCTTTGTATGTCCCCTTAAAAATACGCCAATTTTTTGCAAGCTGCTAATATTTGGTTTTCCCCAGGGCTAGAAAAATTTAAACGAAGGATTAATAGCTTTTGCTATGTTTCAGAAATATCTACTTACGCGAAACATTATTCATTTTAAGGATGATTAGTTTGACGCATAAAAAGAAAGAGACTTATTTCATATGCCGAAATAGTTTGTTTTTCTACCTAAACAATGCTTCGCTAAATGGTTCATGTGATATATGCTAGAGTGTATTAGATGTTGATTTAACCAAAATCATTTTTGTGATAATTACTATAATTGTGTAACTTCATAATATTATCTATTATATTATAAAGAGTAATTTGAGGTTGTAGTTTATTATACTAGAAAGGGAAATATTAAAGTATTGGTTTCGATATTTATATTAGGTGAAGATGAATATAGATACCATCTAATGTATAAATTTATATAGGTTTATAATCCACCAAAATCAAAAGTAGATAATCAATAAATACTAAAAATAAATATTAACCAGCGTGAGTAGTAATAATGTCAATTACTGTATTTATCACACTCAATCAAATCAAAGAACCTACCTCAGCCTTGCAACATTAGATGTCTACTTTGTTCTATATGCTAGAGTGCTTCAAATGATTTGATGAAAAAGTTAGTTTGATATGCTAAAAATGCTTTTCTGAAATGCTGAAATAAATTATATAATATGCTAAAGTAATAAATTTGTTAAGCTGGAGTGGTTTCTTTGTTTTGCTAAAATAATAAAATTGGCATGCTGAGATAGTTTATTTGATATGCTAAAGTGTTTGATTTGATATGCTAAAGTAATAAATTTGTTTTGCCGAAGTAGAGTTCGTTTTATGCTAAAAGGGCTTTGTTTTATGTCCTTAAGTGATATAAAGGTTATGTAGAAAGCGATTCATGTGTTTTGCTAAAGAGGTTAATTTGTAATGGAAAAGGGTATTATTTGTTATGCCGAAGTGGTTTATCTGAAATGCACAACTTAGGTGATTGATACGATAGGTTGTTTAATCTTGTTAAAGAAATTACATTGTCAAGAAAAAAATAACATAATATCTAAATAGTGTTAAAAAGAACTTTCTTGCATTTTCTTATCTTACATCTACTTATACGTATGCTATCCTATTTATTCATCATCACTGTGATCATCCATGTATCCAAGTTTTCTAATCTCTCCTAATCTTTTTCTAGCAGCTAATAACTTATTTTCAAGCTTTAAAATTTCAACTTGTTGTTCCATTTCAAGAGTTTTACCTTCATATGGAGTTAATTTACTTAAATCAATATCATTGTTATATTGATCTCCATTAGTTAATAAACTTTGAACTTTGTTAACTAAAGATTTGCAAGCACGAGTAACTTCAGATGATGCAACTTCCAAACTATCTTGTGCTTTTGACATAAAATTAGCTTTGACTCTTGATGCTGCTACTAATTGAGCAGTAGATGCAGCAACTTCATTTGATGCAACTATTAATTCTTCATGTGAATTTTTACCTTTCAATACACCGTCAGAAGTTTGAATTAAAATATTGGTTGATCCAGCAACGGCTTTGGAAGCACTGATAAGACCCTCGGTCCAACGACTGTTTTTCTTATAAAATTCAGTTTTTGATTGCGATCCTTTACCCTTGTCCACAATCTCCCGTTGGGATTCTACGGATGCAAGTATCAAACGTCCTACTGCATCGGTAATTAATTTAGCACAAGATAATAAAGTTTCATGAATTTCGATGTTACCACCATAAATATTTGGATTTTTTAATAAATCATTCAAGAATTTTGATGCGGATGTAACAGCATCAACAGTTTGTTGCATCTCTTTGTCAACTAATTGACCCAAATCACCTGTAAATTTAATACCATTAGATCCTTTCAAAGAATCAATTTCCGTAGATAATTCTTTCAAAGAAGTTTGTAATTCAAGATTATAATCAATAATCAGATCGATTTTATCCTCTGTATCTCCCAACTTATCTAAAGCTTCCGATTTCAAACCTTTATAATAGCTTTCAACACTATTAAGTACTTTAATAACAAAAGTAGAAATTGATTCTTCATGCTTTTTTGGTGAACTTTCAGCAACACCTTTGGCACTTATAGCTAAATAGTTGATATATGATGTTAATGAAGAACAATTGAGAATAATTTCTGAAAATGTTGCTTCCTCTTGATTGTTATCCTCTGCTATATAACCATTAAATGTAGATGCAAAATCAGTTGCTGTGTCTGAACAAAGTTCTATAAGTGATAACAAATATTCAGGTGAAGAATTTGAGACCTGAGTTTGAGCAACTAAAGTAAATTCATGCTTAAAATCATTAATACGAATTATATTGCTTTCCAATAACGAATCTATTAAATTCTTGAATCTGGCAAGTTGTGACAAAATAATTTGATCTATTTCCGCATTTACGATATCATCTTGATCTTGTTTAAACCTACTTAATTCATCGTAAGCAGCATCAAGCGACTGGTTTGCAATTTCTAATTCAGTTTCCTTTTCTTTGAGTTTCAATTGTAATGATTCGTTATTACCCAAAGATTTAACTTGACTATTTCTTTCTTCCAATTGACTTTTCAAGTCGTTTAATTCTTTTTCATGCTTAGACATAATGGATGACAAATTTAAATTTTGAAGTTTTCCTGATTCTTTTGCTGTTACATTTAACTCTCTTATTTCCATTTCTAGTTTTTCAATTTCTTGATCTTTACCAGCTTTAACTCTGTCTATATCGAGTCTTGCTCTATCTCTTTCTCTGATTAAATCAGCTAATTCAACATTTTTTGCTTTCAAGTCTTTTTCAAGTTTTTCTTTCTTCATTATGGATTCTTGAGCACTGCTGATTTTTTGTTGAATTTTTTTGAATTTAGCTAATAAATTTAAATGCTCTTGACGTAATTGAGAATATAACTTTGCAAGGGACTCATATTTTTTGGTCCAATTTGTGATTTGATCTTCTAGATTCTTAATTTGATCATTTTTGGAAGTAATTTGTTGGGTTGCAGTATTGTTGAATGCTGCCATTTCATTTTCTAAAGATTTTACCCTTGAATCATATTGTTGTAAAAGATTTTGATCATTGTCATATTGGTTTTTGAACAAAAGCAAGTCGTGTTCGAGCTCTGCAACTCTGCTTTGTTGATGTTGAGTTTGTTGCATTTGAAGTGCTTGTTGTTCCTCAAGAAACCTTCGTTCTTGATCTTTCTGCTGTTGTTCAAATAAACGTTGCTGCTCTTGTTGTTGCTGTAACTGTTGTTGACGTTGAAGTTCAAGTTGCTGTTGAATTCTTTCTTGCTCTTGTTGTTGTTCAAAAAGATAACCAGTTTGTTGTGTATTAATTTGTTCAATAGATGGAGCCATTGATGATGAATCTAAGTTTGAAGTTGGTTGAGAAGACAATTGAGGAGTACTTTCATCAAATTCCCTTGGTTTTGGAGTAACACTTTGTCCTTCTTCATTTACTTGTAAATCTGGTGCACTATTTGGAAGTCTAGGTATAGTTATTAAACTTGTTAAAAATTTTATGGATTGACAATCCGTATAAAAATCCCTTAACATGAAATGTTGTGATTCAAACCTATCAAATAAACCTTGTAACGCATCATCAGCACCCAATTGTTGATACATAGCTCTAAGCATAGATATACAGAACTTGTATATACCATATGATTCTGAAATTAATGGAACTAATGCACTAACTTTACATAAATTACTATGACTTCGATGAATAGTTGCAAAAATAAGTTTTTGTAAATCATTGATCAGATCTTGAAGATCCATTAGTTGTAATAAAGATTCGTAACCTTCATTTGGATCATTTACAGCTCTTAAAGATAAATATTCTTCATATTCAAAAGTACCATTAAAACCAGGATTGTTACGATGAAAATCCAATTTTTGTAATAAATATCTATCATACTGATTAATTAACCTACCATAAGCCAGGCCATGGGATGGAAAAACTGTTGCTAAAGATGAAATAAAATCTCTATTTCTGTAAGCATCTTTAAGCGTATTAGGATGACCTTCTTGTAAAACTTTATGAATCATAATTAAAGCTTTGAATAGTTGAATCTCATTACTTTGAAGTGGTTGAACTTTGACAGCATTCCAAAATGCTCTTGAATTTTTATGATCCCAAGTATAAACTATACAAGCCCTAACATGTTTTCTTTTCGGTGGAACTTCATCAGCATTGCAAGCTTTTTTAACACTGCTTTGTAAATCAACTTCAGCACGACTCATAATTGATCAACTTGTGTCGATTGATGACAATACGAATGAAATGGATAATTGGTAATAGTAATTGTATGACTTGAAATTGAGTTTAAATTTTTGTTGAATTATCAAAACCTCTTAATAATTTTTTATTTCATTTTTTTGTGTTAGTGCGAGATTGCCGACTTTTTTATTTTTTTTTTAATTTTTTTTTTTTTTGGTTAAGCGGTATTACAAAAGTCATTAAATTTAAGGGGGTAAGTTAATATAGAAATTTTTATTAATTGTATTATGTATTTCAAGTAATCAATTATTTAACTCCTTGCAATTGTTGATAGAAATACTCCACCATCTTAAATCTGTTTTTTACTTTATCAACGTTTAGAAAAATTGGAAAATAAAAATATTAAATTTATATATTATAAAAAACTACTTATGATATTTCATCGTTTCTTACTTAATGAACCAGTTAATGTTAATTTCACTTTCTATATTTTGTTTTACCTAAATCAAAAGGTAAATATTTATATTTAATCATATGTTGAATTTGTTTTCTCATAGTCAAAGTAAATAATATAATAAAATACATTAATAAAATTGGCCAAAATACTGGAATATCAAATATTGTAAAGAATGTTAAAATTATACTTAATAAAGTTGCTCTTATTGCATTATACCAAAATTTAAATTCTGGTAATCTTCTAATAAATGGTCTAAATTCTTCATCGTTTTCTGATAAATTTTCATTATTATTTAAATCTTCAGGTATATTACCTTCCTCAATTGATTCATTCTTCATTTCTTGTTCTAATGATGGATCAAATTTTGGAGTTAAAAATGCTAAAAATAAATTTAATAAATATATTCCTAAAGCATAACATATTATATACCAACCTTGTGATAAAAAAATTCGAAGTAAAAATAATGAAATTAAACCTCCAAATGCATACCATCTATAAGCAGTATACGGTACTGATTCATCTATAAATTTTTGATAAGTATTTAATACTTTTTTATAATTAAGATAGATTGGATTAGACTGTAAATTCTCAAATGGTAAATTCAGTGACATAGTATATTTAATGAATTAAGATTTATATAAAAATGGACGAAAATGAATGTTATGCAAAATCTGGAGAATTAATTGATTAATCAAGTCGATAAAAACAAATAAATTATTTCTTGAATGACTCTCAAAATGAAATTGATATAATAATCGACACTCAACAAATGACAAATAACAATTATTGATATTAATAAATTATATGTTGTTTAATTTGAAATGGTTCTTGTTTCTGTAGAAAACGTTATTAAAAAAATTTTCGTGTTATTATTATTATTAGATTATTATTACTTCAAAAAATTCTGTTATGTCAATTTTTTAATTCATCAATTATCGTTAAATTTGTTTTTACGTCATGTAATTGATTACAATATAATATACTATTTGTTAATCTGTTATCAAGAGTATGTGATACTTTCTCTTTAAAGCACTTTTAAATAGAGTTAGTTAAATCCTCGTATGCAATAAATTTCATTACCTAGTTATACATATATACAGTGTTTTTGTCTAGTTAAATTAATTATAAATTTTCAGTTAAAAACTTCAGTTGGACGTCCAACAGTTAAAACTTTACGATTAACTTCATCATAGATTTTTTGAATTTTTATATTTTTAGGTATATTATTTAAGTCAAGTTTTTTAATAATTGATCCAGGAGTATTTAATGGTAATACTCTAGGTAAATATTGACGTTTCAATTCTTCTTGTTCTTTTAAATTGAAAACCCCAGGAGTTTTTATTATTTCATATGCTTTTGCTTTATACTCTTTAGTTAATGCTTGAGATTCAAATAAATTTTTCAATTGACTTATTGTTTCGGTTTTTGTTGGTAATGATTCGATATTAAATAATATACCTTCGGTGGAAACTCCTACTTTGTTATCAACTGATTTAGCAAATTTCATATATTCAATTTTTGATGAATCAAATTCTTCTTGTGAAAGTTTATTTTGTCTAAATTTGAGTCTTAATTCGTAAAGTTTATTATAAGTGACTTGTTCTCTAGCTTGTTCTAATTCGTGATATGGAACTAATTGTGAAATTTCAAATAATCTTTCTGATGCCAAGGTTGGATCAACATCTAAATTGAATTCTTTTAATTGTTCTCTAAAACTCCTAGTTGTTCTTATATGATGATGTAATTTTCTATTTTCTTGTTTTTTTAAATATGGTTGTAATTGTATTTCTTTTCTTGACATTGATTCTTCTTCTTCTATAGCTTTCTTCTTGTTACTAATAGGTACAAATCCGAATCTCCTTAATCTTGGCTCAAAATGATCTTTTGGAAGTTTTATATCTTTTTTCAATGATACACCTACATATTTTCTAGTTGGATGGAAAGGATCATAATAAAATCTTATATATCCTGGTTCAACAGCATAAATGGTATGATCAACTCCAATTTTAACATTATCACCAGGATGAATTTTAGTACCTCTTTGTCTCATTATAATTTGACCCGGTTTAACAAAATGACCTTCATTAACTTTTGGACCTAATCTTCTACCTGCTGAATCTTTATTACTTGTTTTGGAACCTGAGACTCTTTTGGTGGCAGTACGTATCTGTGTTAAAGAGTTGAGCGGATTCGTTATATTCGGTATTCTCAATGATAATGATTTGAATATTAGGGACATGGTGATTTGACTTAGTTTATCATTAAGATTAAAAGATTTTAAAAATTTTTAATTTTGTTTTTTGTACTATTTTTTTTGATTGATTTTTAAAAATCTATAAATTTTAAGATCAAAGATACAATTAATTGAAGATACAAAAAACTGAGAGACTTGCAAGTTGAGATGGAATTACAATTAAATATGGCTTATAATTTGATAATATCGATTCTTTTACATAAGCATCACTATATTTGAAACTTATTAATGAATCCCTCCGTAATTTCAATGGCTAATAAATGATCTTGCTCTTGTGCCAAACCTGAAATTGTAAAAGTTCCAATAACTCCTGTAAAATTTTTAATTTTAATAGGTATACTTCCTCCATGACTTGCAAATTCATTTGAAGATACAAACATAGCTTCTTCAATAGATTTTTCTTTAATTCTCAATTTTTGTCCAATATAAAAGCTACTTTTACCAAATCTAAATACTGTATTTGACTTTCTTTTAATCCAATTATCATTATCTATATTAGTACTCTCACCTATTACCGTATGAAACAAAGTATGTCCACCTGTTAGAGTAATATCAATTACTATTGACTTATTTTCATATTTTTCAATGCATTTAGATCTTGCAAATTCACCAAATTTCCAAGCTATCTTTGAATTAAATGAATCAAACAATAGATTTCTCTCTAAATCATCCAATTGATTCAAAGTAAAACTGTAAATCTCATGAACCATCTTATATTAATTAGCTTATTAGTTGTTAATATGTTTTAAATTATGTCAAGTCCACTATATATAAAAAACTATAAAGGGAAAAAAAAACACAATACTAATAAAAATTGAAATATATACTTTAGACTCAAACAACCATACCTATTATTCAATCACTAATATAGATCATTCTAAGTAGACCATGTTTGCTACCCAACTGCAACATCAACCTCAACAACTTCAAAATCAGCCACCACAATCATATCAGGATCAATTTAAACTATCTGATAGTAAAGCGTTAAATGATGAACAAATTTATCAGTGGATTATAGAATTGGTATCAGGAACAAATAGAGAAAAAGCATTATTAGAACTAGGTAAAAAAAGAGAACAATACGATGATCTAGCTTTAGTACTATGGAATTCATTTGGTGTTATAACAGTTTTATTAGAAGAAATAATAAGTGTTTATCCATATCTAGAACCTCCAAACTTAAGCGCTTCAACTTCAAATAGAGTATGTAATGCATTAGCTTTATTACAATGTGTAGCATCAAATGTTCAAACAAGAGGTTCATTTTTGAGTGCAAATTTACCATTATATTTGTATCCATTTTTATCAACAAATGCAAGGCAAAGATCTTTCGAATATCTTAGGCTCACAAGTTTAGGTGTAATTGGTGCATTGGTGAAGAATGATACTCCAGAAGTAATAAATTTTCTTTTAACTACTGAAATTGTTCCATTATGTCTTAATATTATGGAAATTTCTTCAGAATTATCAAAAACAGTAGCAATTTTTATATTACAAAAAATTTTATTAGATGATCAAGGATTGAGTTATGTCTGTACCATATTTGAAAGATTTCATACCGTTGCATCTGTTTTATCGAAGATGATTGACCAACTAAGCGCAGGGATCAAACAATCAAATCAACAAATACAACAACAACAACAACCATCATCTTCAAATAGTTCGGGGAGACTATTGAAACATGTCGTAAGGTGTTATATGAGATTAAGCGATAATATGGAAGCAAGAAAAGCTTTATCAAATATTTTACCTGAACCTTTACGTGATGGTACATTTTCAGTAATATTACAAGATGATGTTGCTACGAAAAGATGTCTTGCTCAATTATTGACAAATATAAGTGAACAATGAAAACCTGAATAGATATAAATGTACATATAAATAAATTTGACGATGGAGTATTAAAAATCTACACATTGCGTATCATTTTAGAAGCCAATGAATCCTGATGTATTGTTTCGATTTATAAGGAAATCAATGATCATGATCCAATAAGTCCAAACCAATTTCTTTTATGAACCAATATTTCTTGAGTCCACTTTGTCAATAGTTCTATAAATATTCGTCAGTCTATGGTTGCTTTCGAATTCAAGTATATTCCTAAACTCGTCTGATTCACGATAGCGGTGAAAATTCATTGTGTGTTTTCCATAAGGAATTTTTCACAGCTTAGTACCCTATTGGGAAATCTAAAATTTTTGCTCGGACGTGAAATAAAAAGTTGAGACAATGTAATTTTCTGGAAACTGCAGAATGTAACCTTCGATTAACTCTAAATTTACAACTTACTGCCCAATTGAGAAGTCTAGATAAAAGCAGCATTGAATTTAAACATTGACTTATTAGTATTTACTCTCGGTTATTTTGTATAAATTTTTGGAAGTTTAGTGGACCAACTGCACTGCTGTACTGACAACCTTTTTGAGTCAATTACTTGACATATATGACTGCGAGTGGAAAAGTTGTTTGGCAGAGATGGATAGTTGCTTTAAATAAGGTCATATATTATCAGTCTAAGTTCAATGGAAGGGTTGAGACCAAAAAATTGCACAAAAAACTGAGGAAATTAGACACAAACCAGGTCCAATTCAACCTGAAACTAGCCACAAATAAATATAAACGGTCACCAAGTTTGAAAAACAGGCCAAAAATACTCTAGACATACATTGTTCAGATCTTGTCAGCTTAGACTTCATGACATGAAAATATGTTTCAAGTGGTGCTACCACTATAAACAGAAGTTTTGCACAATTTGTACGCAAAATAGTTGCAAAATTATACACATACTATTAAAAATTAAAGAACATCAAATTTGGTAATAAACTAATGGGCACAATTGCTCAATCAAATTTGTCTTATCAATGACAACTACTCAATATTAAAGTTGATATATAATTGTTCATGAGTATTAATAAAATTTGCTGCTACAGATGTTTTGGAACTCAATTGAATGAGTTAATTAATTATAGTTTACAATAAATATAAACTTTAATAAATGTGACAAATCACACTAGAGAAGCTGGAGTTTTATGTTTAACGGCCAACCAAATGGTTGTCAACCTACTGTTGCAAATTAAGTAACATGTACTAGCAAAGCTTCAGCAGTTACAGAATTTGATATGAATATGAGCTTCGGTAATACAGGCTGGTCCGAAAAATAGTTTCACAAATTAGGTCTTGATTTTGTTAGCTCAATAAACATGCTATACGTGAACTGCTGCAGTCTTTCAGAAAATATAGGCCATTTAAGTAAATGCCAATGTCAGGTCAAAGTGATACAAAACAGGATTTATAGGTCCGCTCACGTGCTCAAACATACAACTTGAGGGTTTGGACTATATTAGAAAATAATAAGTACGAACTGAATCAATAAATAAGTAGTCAGTACATTAGGAGACATTGACTGAAACCCGAATTTGTTTTTATTTAAATTTTTCTTTGGTCATATTGGGCCTAATTTTTGTATAGGTTATAGTTCATCCTGTATATAAAATACAAAGTATGTAACAAAAACAAAACATTTCTATGTAAGATCTTTATTATTATAATGATATTAATGTAATCATAAAATATAAATAGATACATCAATTATCAGTCAATCATATCCAACATATAGTTAATTGAATATTAGCAATGACAATTAAAGAGATTTATATTGCTAGACATGGTTATAGATCAAATTGGTTACCACCACCTCATCCTCCAAATCCAACTGGTATAGATTCAGATCCACCATTAGCACCACATGGAGTTGAACAAGCAAAACAATTAGCAGCTTACTTAACATCATTACCAACAATTGACCAACCACAATTTATTATTACATCACCATTTTATAGATGTGTTGAAACAGCACAGCCAATAGCTAAATTACTAGATTTAAAAATTGGATTAGAAAGAGGTATTGGTGAATGGTTTAAAAAAGATAGAAAAATTATACCAGAACCTGCAAATTATACTGATTTAAAAAGATTTTTCAATGATGTTTTGGTAGATGAAAAACTTTGGCCAAGAGATCAATTAGGAGTTATACCAAATCCTAAAGGTGAAACAAATATTGAAATTTTAGAAAGAGCTAATTTATTTTGGCAAAAATTTATACCATTTTTTGAAAAAAATTATCCAGAAATTGAAAATATTTTATTAATTACTCACGCAGCTACAAAGATTGCTTTGGGTAGTTCTTTATTGAACTTAGAATCAGTTACTTCACCATATGATGAAGAAAATACAATGTTAAGAGCTGGTGCATGCTCACTTTCAAAATATATCCGTGATAATTTAAATGATGATTTTTCATGGAAATTAGTAATGAATGGTAATTGTGAGTTTTTAACTAAAGGTGAAGAAATGAATTGGGATTTCACAATTAATGTTGAAGCAGGATCAGCTGAAGATATTTTAAGAAGAAAAAAAGAAGCACAACTCAAGTCTAATGAAGAAAATGAAGGAAATGACAATTTGGAAAATTCAGAATCAAAATCACAAACTGAAATTCCGGTTACGAACATAGCTACGGGAACTGATATAGCCGGGACGAAGGATGATGAATACGAGGTACGTAAGAACTAGAATTATAGAAAAGACATTATTGATCAATAATGAGTTTTAGAGATTTTTATTTTTTTTTAATTAATATAGACTTTTTATTTGTGATTGTTTTGTTTCTTAATAACCTTTATTAGCTTCATACTAACATAATTCTGATATAGACTTTTTACGTTACTTTAGATTTACCAAATAATATAAAGAAAATTGAAGAAGATGAAGGAGTCAACAAAAATTCAAGATATAAAAAACTACAAAGACATTTTAATATCCTAAAACCATCGGCAAAATTACAAATATCTGATATAACAGCGGAACATCCACTAATAAAAATATCTAATAACAAAAGCATAAATGAACCTGATTTAATTTCAAAAACCAATAAAATTGGTAACTCATCCAACAATAATCATCATAATCTTATTGACTACTCAGCATTGTTAAATGAAAAAATTATGGAAACTAAATGGAACAAATTAATTGGTTCGGAATTATTATTTGATGAATATGGAGAATTAATTGGACAAGTTAAAGAACATTTAACTTGCGTAAATAAAGTAATTTTCGAAAAGAGAAAAGAAGTTGTAAAAAATAATGATAATATGGATATAGATCTTTCAAATGACGAAGATGAAGATGGTTCGAAAAGTAAATTTAAAGGTAGTACATTTTGGAAACAAAGTATAAGAAATGCTCAAGACTAGTATGGAATTAATCTGTTATACAAAATGACACAGGTTCTAGTTCTATATATTATGTATTACAAAGAAATAATGCTATTAAAGTAAAGAATAAAATGAATGTAATAATGTTTGTAGAAGCTTTTGTCGCAGATCTACCTTGATGTTTAGTGTGCTAATATGATACTTTGTAACCTATTCCCTTCACAATAAAATCATGAGCCTCGCAGTCTAAGAACCAACTAGTACTCGAAAAAAAAAATTTCGTCTACTTTTATCAGTAAAATCTATTTTTTGGAGGTGACGATTCTTTGAATATGATCAATAAACATCTGAAAACTTGATTCATCACTAAATATGTCTGTATTAGATCTATCACTACTATAACCATAAAAATGATTAACATTAGTTGCATAACTTGTACTTGGATTTAATTTTGCCATTAAAAATCTTGCTTGTGACCCACCTTCATCACAATCAATAAATCTTGGTAATGGAAATCTATTAGTGAGTACTAATAAAGCTTCTCTTTTAGGAGCTTCTAAGAAGTTCTTAAAATATGCGTAATCTTCTTGTTCATGATATCCTGCTTTTCTCCAATCAGCAATTTGTGAACCGTGATAAATCAAAATTTGGAAAAAAGTATCCAATAATAAAATCTTAGAATGTCCTAAACTCATTGAATCCAACAACACTGGTATTGGTTCGTTTTCATTATCTTCGGAGTCTTCATCAACTTCTGAATTCCATGTATTAATGTCATAGGATAATAATGTAGGTTGGATCATTAATAATGAATTTGCTAAATCCTCATGCATGAAAATATGTCTTACATAACTTGTTTCATCTGGTGAGCTATTAAAAACATTTATAAATGGGGATCTTCTCAAATGATATAAAAATTGTGGGAATAGTGAATATGAATTTGATAATCTAAATGATTCCATAACACCAATATTATAAACAGCAAACCTCGAGCAAAAATCAATCAATGACTGATCTAACTGTTTGGTTAGTGCCTCACTTGATGTTACTTTAAGATGTAAATCTGTTTGTAATTTACGAACTGCTTCCCTAGCTATCAATACTAATGCTGCTTCTTGATCAAAACCTAATTCTAATTGAACACTATCTGAATCTGGAATTATATTGATTGGAATTGTTGTCACCCTAAGTCTCATTCTCCCACTAGGATGTTGATAATGAAATAAATACTGTAAATATGCTCCTGTTGTAGCTATTGAACTGTCTAATTTTTCAAAATATATGGCATAAGTAGATTGAGGATCCACACTACATAATTTCCAGCAATTTGTTTTCGACTCTCCAATTTCCTTGGTAACACTAATCATTTTTTCGTTTGACGGTATCAATTTATTGTATGGTAATGCAGTTGCGTTTCCAATTAATCCTTCAATCTTCAAATCTGAAGATGTTTTTACTTCAATTGTTGCATTAAATCCCATATCGAGATAATCTTCTGTATCGGAGTCAGTCTCTTGCTTTTTGAAGAATTTTGTAAAACTTTGTTTAAAAATTGCAGTACTAAATGAATCACTCATAACAACTACACCTCCGGTTTTACAACATAGTTCTTCCATTTCAAATAATCCAACTTGATCATAACTACCAATGAATATATCACAACTGAGACCCAAAGTAACTAAAATTTTGGTAATATCGGCGTAAAACTTCTTAGCACCTTTAAATAATGCAGTATCTGATTTTGTACTAGATGAAGATGATGTTGTTGGTGCTTTAATATATGTTGCAGATTGTGATTTAACAATATCATGGTGTGATCTTAATGGAGTTTTTAATAATTTGTCCACTATTTTTCCTGGTCCAATTGTACAAACACCAGCTAGAAACACCATCAAATGACCTCCAGTAAGATGACCATCTCCAAGAATAGATTTTAATAATAATGTTGATACATTTATTGCACTTCCAGTAGCTCTATCAGCTCTTTCTTTAAACTCACTATGTGAAAATGCATTTGGAACCATATTTTCAATGATATTTGTTAATTCATATTCAACCATATTTACAGGTTGTAAAAAACGTCTAGCAGATGGACTGAATAAATTATCTTGATTTTGAGCTTGTTGTAAACCAGCAGCACTTACACCACCACCTAGTAAACCTAATGCCAGTTGAACTTGTTCTAATGCATAAGTTTTACTCCCATTGAAAGTATAACTCAAATTATCATGAGAAGTCAAATCATGAACTTTAACATGTTTACCAAATGAGACAAATCCAACTAATGCATTTTCTGGCAAAAGACTTAATGATATGATCAAATTTTCTTTTAATTGCGAAAAGGCAACTTCAACATCTTCACCTTCAAAACATACATCAACAACATAAAAAAATATTGGTGGTAATAGACTTTCTCTTCCTGTTTCATATTCTATAGTGGATAATTCAGGATTTATTGCAATAGGTAAAATAGTCTCTCCTTCTTCATTTGCGGTAATTGGTAGTTGATTTGAAAAATTACAAAATTGACAAGTCCATATTTGATTATTGACATGTACAAATGGATTTAAAATAGACCTACAAGTTCGACAACTAACAAGATGAGAAGAATCAAAACATTCAATTGCACTCTTATCATTCAATGGTGTATATAATGAACCAAATGGTATAACATTTCTTTGATGCTGTAATTTCGATCTCGGCAAAGAAGACCATGATAATCTAACACCATCTTTATCTTCTCTATTTTCAAAATCCATAGTTTAATTATTCAAATCTCATTGATGATTTTTTTAGTGGTGATTCATAAAAATTTATAAAGATATATATGTTGGACGTTATTTTATAAAATTTTTATGAGTCTATGTAGTGTGTTTATATACAAGTAGTTAAGTTAATATAGGATCAATCAAGAATGTTTGTTTTTGATCTCTTTATTAATTCTTGATTATTTGTGTATCAGAATTTAAGTCGTGATAAGTTTTTCACGACACTTAAAAAGTGACAATGTTTCTAATTTTTGATCTTTTAGCTTTGCAACAACAAAATCAAGTTGTCAGATATACTAATTAAAAATGATACGACGGAATCAGTTCTTGCAGATATATAAGAATTGCATAGTATTTAAAAGACTTAAACATCAACAATCAGCAATTTTCAAACAGCCAAAATCAGATCATTCTTACGAAAGTAGAAAGCTAGACATTCAAAAATCAGAACCAAATAGGCTAAAAAACTATTATCCAGCTATAGATGACATACGACAAAAACTACAAAACTCTACAAAATTAAGAATACCCGAGTTTAGATCAAAATTTGAAAACATACAATTTGAAGAACTTGAAAATAAAAGAAGTGAATTTTCATATGTACTTGAAGGAAGAATTATCAATATTAGAAAAGCAGGTAAAGGATTATATTTTATTGATTTAATACAAGATGACAGACAAGTGCAATTAATGGCCACTAATAAATTAATGAATATGGAAACGAATGAATTTGATAATATTCATAGTTGGTTTAAAATTGGGGATTATATTTCAGGAAATGGATTTGCTTCAAGAACCAAAACTAATGAATTAACTTTGAAATTAAACAAACCAATTGAGATTTTAACTCCTTGCTTAGTTAACATTCCAAACAAATTAATAGATAAAGGCTTAATAAATAATAATAGAGTACTAAATTATTTAGTAAATCCAATTTCAAAAAAACCAATAATTATTAAATCAAAAATTATTCAAATTATTAGACAATTCTTTTTGAATAAAGATTTCTTGGAAGTTTCAACTCCAATATTAAGTAACGAAGGAACAGGAGCAAATGCAAATCCATTTATTACAAATTTTAAAGATCAAAAAATTCAATTAAGAGTTGCACCAGAATTATGGTTAAAAAAATTAGTAATTGGAGGGTTTGATAAAATATTTGAAATTGGTCAAAATTTTAGAAATGAAGGTATTGATAATACTCATAATCCAGAATTTACTTCATGTGAATTTTATAAAACTTACACAAGTTTACAAGAATTAATGGAAATTACAGAGGAGTTATTTATTGAATTATTCAAGAAATTTGAATATGGGGATTTCAATAATATCAAACATTTTCCAAAATATGAATTTATACCCACGTTGGAAGAAATAACAGGAGTGAAATTACCATTAGATTTGAATTTAGATAGTATTACAAAATACTACAATACATTAAATTTACCAGTCCCCGAAAATTCGAATCCAACTAGTTTACTCAACAATTTAAGTGAAATATATTTAGAGTCCTTGAGTATAACCAAACATCCAAATGTACCAGTATTTATATATAATCAACCAGAAATTTTATCACCACTAGCTAAATCAAAAACTATAAATGGATTAAAAATATCATCAAGATTTGAATTATTCATTAATGGTAAAGAATTCGTTAACGCCTACGAAGAAGAAAATGATCCACAACAACAATTTCAAAAATTTAAATTACAACAAGAAAGTAAACTTAATTATGGAGATAAAGAACTGATTATACCAGATTGGCAATACATACAAGCTATGAATTTAGGTTTACAACCAACTGGTGGATGGGGGATAGGAATTGATCGATTGGCTATGTTAATAAGTGGAGTAGATAGAATTGACAATGTTTTACCATTTGGAAATTTAAGAGATGTTTTAAAGCAATAGACAAGTGTTTTTTTAACCATTGTTATTTTATTAATACAAACAATATATAGAAGTTCAAAAAAAAGATTATACAATCTTGTACATAAAGCAATTTTACAAAACTTTTAAACTTTTTACCAATCCTCTTTCATCTCAATATCTTTTTTACTAGTTTCCACAGTTTCAGGTCTTGTTTCATCTCCTATATCTTCTTTCTCCACCGAGTTTGCGTCAGTGTCAACTTTTCGTTCTTCCATTTCTACATCTTCATCTTTTGGCTCTTCCACTACATCTTTGGCCACTTCTTCAACTTTATCATCATCTTCCTTGGTCTCTGTTCCTACTTCTTCATCTAGATTCACATCTTCTTCTTGTGCTTGACCATCTTCTTCCACCTCTTCATCTTTATCTTCCTCTATATCGTCCTCTTCTTCTACTTCTTCTTCTTTTTCTTCATCATCATCATCTTCATCAACTTTTTCATCCACTTTTGTTTCTCCCACTTCTACTTCTTCTTGTTGTTCATCATCTTCATCATCTTCCCCTTCATTTTCAGTATTTAAAGTTTTAGGTTTCCAAATTTCCAATAATTTATCATCACCAACACTTGCAAATAAATTTTTCAATTTTGGATGAATTGCAAAATCATTAATACTACTTACATGACCACCATGAATATATTTTAAACAAGGATCAACTTTATTTACTTGTTGTTGTTGGTTTCTTCTTCTTGTTGATTCAGTTAAATTACTAGTTTGAGAATTAATCGAAGTATTATTTGCTGAAGTATCAGGGTATGTAAAATCTTCATCTAAATTATCTAAATTCCAAAAAATAATTCTTGAATCAAATCCAGAAGAAACTAAGATTGAAGGATTACTCCAATCCCATTCTATTTGTTTTATTGAATCATTATGACCAAATAATTTACGAAATGGAGTTTTATAATTTCTTAAATCATATAAATTTATAACATTATCTTTACCACCAGTAGCATAAAAATTTTTAACATTTGGATGAAATTTAATACAATTTTGAATAAATTTATTTTCAATTTTAATTATAGGATTAATATCATTCGAAGATCTTAAATCAAAAAATTGAGTAGTTGAATCATCACTTACTGAACCAAAAATATTTAAATCACTTGATGATAAATCATTAATTGCTCCATAATGAGTTTTAAATAATTGTATTGGAGTTGAAGGTTTATTTCTTTGCCATAAAGCAATTTGAGAATCATTTGAACCTGATAAAAATCTATCATTATCTATCCAATTTAATGCATGTCCATTTTGTTTATGATATTTATAATCTAAAACATTATCATTATCAAAATTATAACTATGTATTATTCCATCTCTATTAAAAGACAATATTGAATTCCCATCTGGAGATAATTTTAAAGTATTAACTTCCGTAGTTTGTTTCCATTTATTAATTATATTGAAATTTGAAGTATTTATTCCATCTGATGGTATTGTTAAATCAATAGATTGAATTATTGAAGAAGGTAATGTAATTGAAGCTACATTTAAACTATTTTCAATTTTATTTATTGAATTATTACTGTGAACAAACTTAACTTCTACATTATCATCATCTATCTTATTATAAGTTGGTAACCATTGGAAAACAGTTGATGGATAATTTAAAGCAAATGTATGAATAAAATCATATAATAAAGGAACGGTTTTTTTCCAAATTTTAAATTCTTCATTGATGACTTTTTCTTGAAGTTGTTGTTCTTGAGCCAATTCTCTTTCTGCTATAGCCCATTCATTGGCTGATGAAGAGATGGTCGTTGATGGCATAATTTAATTGAAAAAATTGGATTAATAAAAATGGTTAAATACTATAAATTTTTGTGTTTACTTTATTTTCTATTTCTTTTAATTTTTCTTTTATCTTTTGTTTCATATATTTTTATATATAGTAATCACAAATATAGAATAAAGTATACAAACATCATGAGTACATTTTTTTATATAATTAGAGAGCAACTCTGGCAATTTTAATTTTCATTCATTCATTAAATCCTTAAAACTTTACTATTTAATCAATAACTGCTTCATCATTAGAAAATTTACTTAAACATTTTTTAATTTGATCTAAATTAACTGGTTTTTCAATAATATAATCAAAACATCCAGCTTTTTTAGCTTCATCACCTAATCCAGTTATAGCAATTATTGGAGTTGTTGAATTTTTTCCAGTAGTATATTTTATTAATTTAACAGCATCCATTGCATCAACTTTTGATAATCTTAATCCAGTCATTATAAAATCAAATTTTACTTGACTTGTTGCTCTTTTAATTAATTCTTCACCATCTGATATTGAAACTACTATACAATTTGATTTTTCCAAAAGCTTAACAACTTGATGACGTACAACTGATACTGGTTCACAATATAAAACATCTAATTCATTTTTAATTAAAACTGGGTCTGACATTCTTGAACCTTCTCTTCTTCTTTGAACTCTTAATAATGCATTTGATCTGGTTGTATCATCAGAATCTGATGAATTTGCCGAACAATATTCTTTTAAATTATATTGTTGAAAAATTGATGGATTTAAACCTGTTGGAGTTGAAGTTGGAGTAGCATTAGCATTTGATCCTTTTGAAGATTTTGTTGATATTGGCATATGTGAAGAACTTGTTGATCTTTGATGATAAAAATTAGTCGATGCATTTGGAGATTCTTGATTAAATTCATCACCCAGAGAATAGGTACTAACTGTTGAAGGTATTCTTTCATGTTTTGAAACTGGCATAATTGGACTATCAAATGATCTATGAGGAGATGAAGATCTCATATTTGAATTAATTGGTGATCCAAAGTTTATATTTGGTGGAGAAATTGGTCTTTTAAATGGACTTGAACCAGTATTTGGAATTGATACATTCAAACCTGAACTACCACTACCACCACTACCACTTGTATTAGGATTACCAAATGAGAAGCCTCTAGATCTAATTTTTGGAGTACTTTCCAGTGATGAAGATGAAAAACTATTTCTATGTTCTAAATGCTCTGATTTTAATCTATTTATAACATCTTTATTTTGTTTCTCCAACACTGATAAATTTCTAAAATGAAATGATCCAAATTCTCCAGGTTCACTTAATTTACTTGAACGACGTTCTTTTTTACCTAATGCTTGACTTGCAGAAGTTGATGGAGGTAATTGCAATGAATTTAGTGATTCACGTCGTTCAACAGTTTTGTTTTGTTGTTCTTTCTCTTTCTCTTTCTCTTCGTCTGATGATGAGTCTTCTCTTGGAAATTGTGCCATAGCTGCTCCTCTTAATTCAAAATAGTCTGTCAGTTCTGGATCATCTTGATTAGGTACAAATGGTGCAGGTTCATCAAAAATTGTATCCCAATTTATACATTGAAAGAATGGATGTTGCATAATTTCTATTGTTCCATTTGAACCTAATCTATCTTCAGGATTTAAAGTCAATAACTTCATTATTAAATCTTTACCTTCAGGTGAACAAAATTGTAAATCTTCTTCAGGTGGTAAATCTGGCCATTGAATAACGCCCAGTAATATATTATCAAAAACTTTTTCAGGACTATCTGCATGAAATGGAGGATACCCATACAAAAATTCAAACAAAATACATCCTATTGACCACCAATCAGAAGCTTCACTTTGACCAATACCCTCAATTGTTTCAGGTGCTAAATAATCTGGAGTTCCAACAAATTTTTTAATTTCTGCTCCATCAGCAATATAACTAGAATCTACACCACCTTCAGAACCGGTTTTTAATTCATTAGTAATTTTGGGATGATATAATGCATAATTAGTTACTGGAGTTTGTGGACTTTCATCATCTATGATTGCAAATGACGATTCAGAAGCTGTTCTTGGAATAATTGGTTTCAACAATGGGGATTCAAGATTATTCGAATTGGACCTAGCACCATTTTTAAATCTACCTGATGGTACATTACCAAAACTTTCTAAAAATGCTAAAGTTGGAGAATTTGTTGGTTGTAAACCGGTTGTGGTAGATTGAGATTGACTTAATTTAGAATTTTCTAAAGTTGGAGAAAGTAAAACTGAAGAAGATAGTGAATTTTTTCTTCTTCTTTGATAAGGATCATCATTTGCAAACCCAGTTCCTGCTGAGATCGAACCACTATTACTTCCTCGATCACCTCCTCCAATACTACCAGCACTTCCACTACCACCACTTCCAAATATACTTCTAAATAACTCAACACTTTGTTCATTGGTACTACTCTTCCTATGATTGGTTTGTCTTCCAACAACACCCAACCTTGATAACCCAAAATCAGTTAGTTTCAAATGACCATCTTTATCAATTAAAATATTATCAGGTTTTAAATCTCTATGAATTATACCTCTCAGATGTAAATCATTTACCCCTACTATTATTTCAGCTATATATTTGGCAGACCACTCTGATCCCAAAGTACCTAAAGCTTTTATTAAATTTCCACAATCTCCACCGTTTAGATACTCCATAACTAAATATAAATAATCTTTTGATTGAAAACTTGAATATAATTGTGCAACATAAGGAGAATCAGATTGTCTCATCATTACTGCTCTTTCTGATTTAACATTCAATACTTGATTTTTAGCTATCATATCTCTTTTACGTAAACATTTGATTGCCACATAATCTCCTGTCAATTTTCTTTTAGCCAAAAATACTGAACCAAATGCTCCTTTACTTATTGGTTTTACAACTTCGTAATCTTTAATTGTAGTTGGTTTAGATGATGGTTGTTGAGTTGAGACAAGTAATGGAGATAATGGTGGTCTGGTGATTGAGCTTTTTTGACTTCCAGGTGTATATTGAGATTGTGATGGTGAATCTGCAGTGAAAGATTGTTGTTGACTTGTAGTGTCTAATGATAATTTTGTAATACGTTTATCTGAATGTTGCAGACCGACACTTTGAGTAGCATCTACTAATGGTGATGAGATTGGTGATGATTTTATGGTGTTACTTCTTTGTAATGAAGTTAAATTATTTTTTTCATTGTATGGTGCTGGTGATAAATATCTTCTTGGAGATGAGTAATTTGAATTATTACCAGAAGATTTTCTTGAATTATCAAAATTTTCTAATAATTCTTTGGATGATGACCGACTTGGATCTGGTCCTAATTGTTGTTGTTGTTGTTGTGAATTAACCATCATACTGAAATTTTGTCTTGGACTTGGCATTAGTGATGAATTAGATGAGTTTCCTGAATAATCCTTTGAATCTTTTATCAAAAAATCTTTTGGCGTTAGAACATTATCTTGAGACCTATCTGCTAGTAAATCCATAGGACTCTTACTTCTTGAAGGCTTTGGAGCGACCATTTTTGGAACATCTAAATCTAACGACAGCTTACTTTTATTTCTACTTTGATGTTGTTGATCCTGTTGATTTATTTGTTGATTTCCTAAATCCAATGATGGAGGTAATTCATCTGGAGTTCCTAAAAATTCACTTGGTGTGCAGCTTCTTGATAATTTTGCAGCAGTTTGATTTCGGATTTTTTCAACAGTTTCTCTAACAGTTTCCAATACTAATAAATCAACTTCTTTTTTAATTTTAGCCAGGTATTGTAATATCGAAGTCAATCTTGATAAACTTTCCAATTTATCATTAACCAAAACTTTTGTATCTTCTAATATTTGCCGTATTGCTAAATCTGAAGTTTCAATTGTAGTAGGATTGATAACAAAATTTAAAGATTTTTCAGAACTAGGGGAAAAAGAAATATAATTCAAATTATTATCATTGTTATTATTTGTTGTAGATGGTGGATTTATCAATATAGCTTCATCACATATTTCTTTAATTTTTTGCATTGGACCAAATGGAAATTTTTTAGAATACATCAAACTTTTATTTCTTGCATGGAAATTTTTAGACAATACTTTGTTTGCCAACCTTGGAGATGATGATTCTGATGAAGTTACTTGAGGTAAGGGGATACCTTTATATTCATGTACTAATTGTGATGATGGATTTGCCTCATCATCTGAAGAACTCAGTGACATAGACAGATGCGATGAAGTTGTGGGCAGTATCAGTTTTGGAGACAGTGACAGTGACAAAGATGATTGTAGTTGATTTGATGAAGATTGTTGATTCAGTTGAAATAAAGGTAATTGAGCTTGAAATTCTAAACTTTCAATAATTTTGTTAATTAAATCTCTTTGTTCAACAATTGAATCTTGACATTGTTGTAAATGTTCATCTGCTCTGTGCTCTATTATACAAAGATCTGAATGTTTTTCAATGAACCAAGCTGGAATATTATTTTCACAAATTCTACATAATATGGTTTTAGGTTGAGGTACATTTTCTTCTTCTGAAATTCCTAAATTTTTTAGGTTCATTAAATATCCTTCAAAAATTTCTGAACCAAAACCTAATAAATCAATTAATGCCAACGGTATAGATAAGTCTAAGTCTATATGAACAAAAGGTCTAATGGTCCACATTGAATGATTTGGTACTTTAGTTTGAGTATCATGTATTAATATACCTTGAGCTTCTAATTCAATAAAATCTCCATCATTTGATAATTTTGATGATAACGAGCTAGCTCTGGATAAAGAGTCAGAATCCTTGGGTTCATTTGTAATAACTTGACTTTGTTGTATCGGAACATAATCATCAATTGGTAAATTTATATCTTGAAGGTTTTCAAATGAATTATGAGGAGTTAATTGACCTTGTAAATCTACGTCGGCATGATTACCTAAAATTTCTTCAACATCACCTCTAATTTCTTCACCATTATTTTCATGTCTTGTACGATTTGTACCTGTTATAAATTTAACTTTATAACTTGCATCATCAAAAATCATTGAATCAATTGCTTTTTTAAATACTTGATAATCATCATCATTACTTCCTATTATTAATTTTGAAATTGGATGATTTACTATTTTTTTAACAGATGTTCCCACTATATATTCCCAATTTTGAGATAAATATCGAATATTTCCATCAAGATCTAATTCCATAATTATAGTTGGATTATTCAGTGACGCTAGTCTTAAATCTATTTGTTCTTCTAAACTTCTATATGAGGAAGTTTGATCGTTATAACTTGGAGATGTAGAATCGTTTGGTTTTTGAATTGTATATGGTTTGGGTCGTTCAACATGTTCTGTATCTTGAGTTAAATCATCTTTATTTACATCATGTTTACAATCTGGAGTACTGGGGACAGTATTAATAACAGGTTGATTTAAATTTGATGGTTGTATTTCAATTGATTTGTGATCATTGTCTTGATTTATAGATTGTTGATGTTGTGGAGAAATAGATCTTTCTTTTTCATAAAAATGATGTCTTGAGGGGTCTTTAAATACTGATTCGTGAAATAATGTATGATGATTATTTATACCCTCATTATTTGACTCCATTGGATCCAAATTTATCAATGAGATGAAAGCTATTGGATTTAAGTTGAATTGATACTACTGTTATATATTGTTTAATTGTTTGTATATATTATAATATGTATAACTAATAGTAGTTTAATGAATACTGCATTATAATTATATATTAGATATTATATAATATTATAATAATAACAGTAATAATTGTAATAATAAATTAGATAATGTAAATAATATTATATTTGTTTAGTACAAAAGTTACTCCTACGATAATGAAAACAGGAGCTACCATTTTTTAATTCATATCAATAGATTTATCTCCCAATAATATTATTATTATTAACATTCAAACATATAGATTACTTTTCTCAAACAATAGTAATGGTTAAATTACTTGCTGGTACGTAGAGTTCTCAATAGTGCTTAAAAAGAGTCTGTAAGTCCACCTCTAAAAAGTTTTTGGGGTTTTCTAATTTGAGCAAGGACATTTCAAATCTTTTTGGGAATTTTTTTTTATTGCATTTTTGAATATTTTTGATCAATCTCTATTCAATTAACTAAATCTTATCAATGAATCTATATTAGTTGTTGAGATATTAAGCAAAATGTAGAATTTGCTCAATTTTAAAGCTACGGACTTGAAATTAGCTGCATAAAAAAGATCTTGATCTGAAGAACTCAAAAATAAATACACTGCGTAGATACCGTTTTCGATGATAGAGATATAGACCATTTAAGTTTTAAAAATTTAAAAATTTTAAGATTACACAAAGCGGGAGATATACTACCGAAGTCACGTTTTTAAAGTTTTGTGGCATAGTGGCTACTACTTTTGACCCAAAAAATCAAAGGTATCGGGTTCGAATCTTTTAAAATTTTTGACCCTCAGGAAAAAATTACACAAAGTCGGAACTAAAGACAATACACGTGTTTTATACTTTTCGGCTTAGTGCGAAGTAATATTGGCCCTTAAATTCGAGGGTTTAGGGGGACTGACTAATCAAAAGTTTGTTTTCTAATAGTTAACTATGTAAGCACTGAGTAAATTATTGTATTATTGTAATACCTACATTCAAACATTAAGTAATTTAAACATCAATTGACAAATATATATCAAGCTTTTTACAAATGAAGAGTAAATCATTTAATTAGATGACAATTAAACAATAGAATTAAAACAAAAAATAAATATAAATATAAAATAAACTAAACCAACACATACCGAGAGTTGGATCTCGAATTAAAAAATCATAAATAATCATAATTAAAACAACAACACAAGTAGAATTGTTTTAATCTTCCTTTTCCCCCACCACCAACACTTTTGTAAAAACTTTTTCTTAAAAACATTAAAATCTAAAATTTTATTTATAATCAAAGTAAAAAAATTTTGCATGTTGAAGACAAAAATTTAAACTTAATCATAAAAACATCTAATACTACCCCCACAAAAATCACCAATTTTTGTTCTATATGGTAAATTCAAAATTTGTAGAATTTTTATTTATAATTGATCTTTGTTTTATAGTTTCTAATAAATCATTATTTTTTTGTTCATTTTGTTGAAATATAATATTTTTTAAACATTTATTTTCCATTTCAATAGTTTTTAATTTTTTTTCTAAAATTTCAACTTTTTCTTCTAATTCTTTTGATTTTTTTTCCATTTCTAATTCTTTTTGCTTTTTCTTAATTCTAAATCTTGCTGATGCTGCTGTATTTCTTTTTTTCTTGTCATCATTTGCTGCTTGAGTCGCTGAAGATATTGAATTATTTGTTGTTGATGTTTGTGAAGTTGTAGATGTTAATACATTATTATTATTACTTTGTGATTGATATATTGGGGATGTAGAACTTGATGTCGCTATTGAAAAAGGTGTTGATGATGTAGATTTAATATTTGAATTGTTATTATAAGTAGTAGTAGTAGTTGGTAATTGTTGTTGTTGTTGAGAATTTAATGAATTATGATAACTTTGTAATATAGCTTGTGATTGAATTAATGAATTTTGATGATTATCTTCTTGTTTAATATGTATTTGTGGTTTATTAGGTATTACAACATTATCATTTAATACATCTAATGAATAAAAATCATTTATTGCTGCTTCACTAAATAAATCAAGATGTTGTTGAATTTCTTCTTGTTTAACTAAATCTGAATCATTATAATATAATCCATCATTTATTGAAGAAAATTCATTATCATTATTATTTGAAAATGAAATAGGATCGAATTCTAAATTTAATCCATTTATATAATTATTTGGATGGAAACTCATTCTCTATTGTTTACTTCTTTATGATTTAGCTAATTAATGATTATTGTCTTAATTGATAATTTATATAATGAATGAATAATTGTAATACATATGAATATATTAAATGACGAATATATATATCTCAAAATTGATTTATTGAACTTTGAATTAGATGTTTTTTCAAGTTGATTAAATGGAAAAAAAGAGTAAAAAAAATAATTAAAATTATGAGTGTGAGTCTTTTTTAGTACTTTATATTTGTATAATTAATAATATATTGGAAGTACAAAATTTTTTTTTTCCTGCAATAATAAATTTTAATGAAAAATTTTTTCTTTGTACTACTATTAAGAAATTAATTAATATTACTAATACTTAGATATTATAATAGACTCTGATTATATGACTTTATACATTTATCAATTAATACAATAATAATTTATTATAATTTACTATAATAGTAGATATTTACCATAAGGGAGTTTATATATATATATATATATAGGATAATCCTTGTAGTTGATTATTTTATAAAATATAGATAGTTTTAGTAACAACATTTATATCAACAAAAAATTTAATTGTAGAGTTGACTACTTGAGCATTTTAGGATTCAAAATTTCAGTACTAAAAATTCGTTGTAAATTCAACTTATTTTGCGGAGAGAAAATGGAATATCATCTTATTTACAATTCCGTAATATTTAGTTATAATTTTATCAACAAAAGATTCAACAAAATCTCATCTTAAGCCAAGACAATTAATTGCTATTTAAATGAATCGTATACTATTAAAATCTAAACAATAAAGAAGATTTATAGTAAATTATAATTTAAAATCTCTAACCAATAGAATACTTCAATGAATTGAAATCATGGGGGGGAAAGGGAAGTTAAAAAACTTTAAATTTTTTTTAATTCATTCTAGAAATAAATTCTTTTTGCTTTTTTTTTTTTTTTTAATTAATTCTTATTGTTCTTTATTAATTAATTTTGACCTGCAAATGCCCTGGAATGGGCCGTTGCATTGATGATTCAATTTTTTTTAAACGTCCGAGACCGACTCTATTGTTTTTTTATAAAAAAAAAGGATATGTCCGTTTTCAAAATTGGAGTTACAAAAGATGCAATTATGCAAGAAATTTTATAATTAGATTGAATCACGGCTAAGTTTTAATTCATAAATGTAGCGAATATGTTAAGTGCATTGTTAGAACAACGAGGTATCGACTACTAATCCTAAGAATATTGTGGGTAAGGACCAATAGAACAAAAAAAGTATGACTACTATTACTTAGTAACATGTATATTATCTTTCAAATTCTAATATTCATTTGTTTACTACTTTCATCATTAGTATTCATTTTATATTTATTACAATCTTGTTCATCACTATCCCTAGAATTCTTTTTGGATTTATTATGCTAAACTCGTTTATTTGTTATGCTAAACTCGTTTATTTGTTATGCTAAACTCGTTTATTTGTTATGCTGAAGTGATTTATTTGTTATGCTAGACTAGTTTATGTTGTTATGCTGAAGTGGTTTATTTGTTATGCTAAACTAGTTTATTTGTTATGATAAATTCGTTTATTTGTTATGCTATGTTTGCTATTTTGTTATGCCAGAACTAGTTTATTTGTTATGCTGAAGTGGTTTATTTGTTATGCTGAAGTAGTTTATTTGTTATGCTAAACTCGTTTATTTGTTATGCTGAGGTTGTTTATTTGTTATACTAAGCTGGTATGTTTGTTATGTTTGTTATGCTGAAGTGATTTATTTGATAGCTGAATATGTTTTGTTTTTTTAAGCTAATCAAGTTTTATTTGATACGGCTAAGTCATTTCTTTTGATATGCTAAAATGTTTGTTTGCTTTTTGGAAGTGAGTAACTCGTCAATCTGGGATAGTTTGACTTGATTTGTTGAATTAAATATATGTCACGCTAAAAGGGACCTTTTAAGGTTTACAGAGTTGGTGATATAAGAGAGCAAGAAATGTTGTCAAACTGATATATTTGACGAATTTTATCTCAAAGGATATTTACATAATTAGAGTTTGATTAGGTGATAGTTGTCAAGAGGTTGCATTTGAAAATTTTTAAATTTAACAAATAACAATAATTAAACTTATAACCCCAAATAATAATTATCAAGTAATATATATTACTTCTCTCGTATAAATATCATCATTTCTATATATGAAATTAGTAACATTGTTACCCAGTTCGTCCAAACACTTTATACATTGTAGAATTTTATTGATCCTAATCTAACACTATTGGAATTTATTGGCCATACTCATAAATTCATATAATCCAACAGCATTAATAAACCATATATCATAATTCAACAAGCAGTTTCATAACATCCTTGGTGTTATAGGTTGTTTATTAGGCACTGATCTCTCTGATGGATCATTTTGTTAAGTCAATATAATTTCAATTGAACTACTTGTTTAATCAATGATCGACCGATATTCCTGATGAAATTAATTTAAGGATATTGAGTATGGCTAACAAGGTAAAAATATTTATTCATCAAAAACCTAGATACTTATGAACACGGTCAAAAATTTTCAAATTTATATCAACAATTCAATTTCCAAATCTAAAGAATTAATTAATTTATCCATCTCTCCTAAATCTCTATAAGTAGATAATGCAATTTTAGCTTCTTGTTCATTTTTTTGATCAATTAATTCTTGTAAATTTACATTTTGTAGTGCTTTAGCATTTTCTTGATTTATTAAATCTTGATAAAACATTCTTGTTGTTGTTTTTAATCTTGAAAAGGGATCACCAGAATCAAAATTTGAATTATTTAAATTAGTTTTAAATTTAATTTCTGCTTTTCTTATATTTTCTAAATTTAATTTTCTATTACGTTCATTTACTTTTGATATTGATTGTTGTTTAATGTTTGAATCTATTGTTGATAAATCTGATTTATTATCTAAAATATTTTCAATATTTTTAATTTCTTCAATTATATTTTTAGTTTTTTCTAAATTACCTTGTTGTTTATTTATTTTTAATTCATCCATTAATTTTGCCTTTTGTTTTACTGCATCATATGTAGTATAATTTCCCTTTTGTTGTTGAATTTGTTGCTTTTTGGCAATCATATCATTTATATCTTTATCTGTAAGTCCCTTGTTAAATAATTGTTGTAATTGTGTATATTTTTCATTTATATCATCAATATAATCCATTGATTCATTTGTTTTATCTAATTGTTCTAAATATTTATCAAATTCTTCTTGTGTTATTGGAGAATCTGAAAACATATTCATTGCGAATGGTTTTTTTTGAGTTTTATTTTGACTAACCAAGAAATATAAATCATATTTTGAATTACCAATTCTAAAAGGTTTTTCTGGTCTTGATTTTAATTCAATTAATTTAACCATTCTATAAATTGGTTTTCTTGTTGTTCTATCTACTCCAACATTAACTTTTGAATATGTATCTATTACTGCATCTTCAAATCCAGAATGATAACAATATTGTGCTAATATACTTCTACCAACTTTAATACGGTTCACATCTTCTAATTTTCCTGGTATAGTCAGTTTTTTATGTCTTTGTTTTGATGCACCACCCCATATTACTTCATTTTCATTATCTAAATAATCATCTTCTGATCCAACTAATTCTTCATCATCTTCTTCATCTTCTTCAGATTCGGATTCATCTTCATAATCTTCTTGTCTTCTAGTTCTTCTTCTTGAAGCTTTTTCTCTTTGTTTTTTTAATTCACTTAATTTATTTTCTTTACTTGATTTTACTACACCTGCTTTAACACGACTTGAACTTCTTAAATTTTCATTTTGTTTTGATTTTTGTTGATGTTGAGCTTTCATACGTTGTTGTAAATATTTCCTTTCATTATATCTTTCCATTTCCTGTTCTCTTTCATATAATATTTCTTCTCTTTCAACTTCATCCATATCTTCTAATTCATCACGATCTTGTTCATCTTTATATTTGCCTTCTAAGGGATATGGATTAGTTAATTCTGGTTGTTGTTGTTGTTGTTCTTCTTCTTCATCAATTTCTTCTTCTTCTTCCACTTCATCTTCTCCATCATCTGATTCAACTTTTCGACGTTTTGCTAATACTGTATCATCTTCATTTTCATCATCTGAATAATCTTTCGTTATTTTACGTTTTGACAGTGATATTTCTTCTTCCGATTCGTAATCATCACCTCCTGCTAAAGCTAATAAATCATCTTCTAAATCAGACATTATGAATCAGATATATTATTGAGTATTATTGATATGAATTGAGGGGTTGTAAAATTGTGGGTTGAGTATTCTACTCTGTTCAATTAATTAAATTCTACACATATTTTCGGTGATTATTTATTTTTCGAGGATTCAGTGACATTTCTTTTACTGTCTGAGAATAAGTATTTCTGTCAAGACCAGAGAATTGTCGCAATTATCAAGTTGTCGCAGAAATAATTTCAAGGCTCAAAAAAGATGATTAGGGCTCAGCCCGCAAATTATAATATTGCACACGTGATTTTTCACTTTGCATAAAGATATCAAAAAGTAAACTCTGAAACTACATTGAAACACAACTCATACATGGGTCAGTCTACTTTAGCTAATAAATCTAATACGTAGATTCTGACCTTCCGTGTATAAAATTATATCCCTTTGTTCTAATAATTTATAAAATAAGTTGATATGTATTAAAATGATAATAAAATATCTAATGTATAACCCACATCATAAAAATTGTAACTGAAATATTCTACTTCCATCTCCTTCTTATTCTTGATTGATTGTAAAAAATGCATGATAAATGATTTTCATCTTTTTTGTAAATATTGATGTTTGTAAATGATGAATGATATTGATTTGTGATATTGTTCAAAATAATAAAAAATTTAATAGATAGTAAATTAACTTAACGTAATCTTCTAGCTTCTCTTTCTGATTCCATTAAACATAAGATATCATTTTCTCTAACTGGACCTTTAACATTTCTAACAATAGTTCTAGTTGAATCTTCTAAAAATTCAACTCTAACTTGAGTAACACCACCTCTTGAACCGGTTCTACCTAAAACTTTAATAACTTTAGCTAATGTGACTGGGGTTTTAGTGTCCTTTAGTTGTTTAAGTTAGTAATTCATCATTCATCTATTTAGTTACTCATAGTATTATGTATTATTTAAAACATACCATATTTGATTATATATTGATCTAATGTGATTATATATTTAAAAATGAAAAGATTCTAAATTTTTTTTTTTCTTCTTCTTTGAAAAAATGTTAAAATGAGTTTTTAGTTTTAATTAACAAACAAACATTGAAAGAAAAAAAGTTCGTGTGAATTTAATCAAATTTATTTCATTGAAAAAATATTTACAAGCCGCACAAAAATATCTTTCTTTAGGTATCATTACTGTATATATATTGTAATTGATGAGTCCAATTTCTTTTCAAAATATCAGGTCGTTGCAAGAAATTGTATTACATTTACTAAGGTATCAGAGGGCTGAGTAGAAAGAAGGATCCTAATATCTTACTATAAAATTACCCCATTTAGATCGATTGCTACATATGTATTAAAGTCTAAATAGAGTTGTAGGCCGATCTTAGAATTCTGTGTGAATGAATACTAGCCTCTAGGGATGACTTTAAGTCTACAGTGACTCAATAAATAGATCTAGTCTGTTATTAATCATCATTCTATGAAACTATTTAAGAACAAAAGTAAGAATTTCGAGACCAAATTTAAACTAAACTTTTTTTTGACATCGGCTAACGGTAATTTTGTTTTCCGGATATCTCTTATCTCCTTCTGATGAGTCCCGATTTGAAATATTTATTAATCTCCACCGATCTTTTAAAAAATGCAAATTTATAAATAAATAAATATCGATAAGCTAGCTTCTCTTATTTCGTAGACCATTTACTCATTAGAATTTATAGACTACCATTTTTTTACTAGAACTTATAGAATTAGACATTTATAGAATAAACACCAAGACGAAAAATCTCATGTCAACATCACAAGAACAATCCAATAATACAACAACACTATCAAATTCATCATCATCAGTAATTTCCTCAGCCACAACAACAGCTGCAACATCTTCTAATTCAACAACAACATCATCATCAAAACCAAAAAAAATTAATGAGTTTCAAGATGGTAGAGAAAAACCAGTATATTCATGGACACAAAGTTGGAAAGATTGGTTGAAACAAAGTTGGGGATCAGAATATGAAGATGAAAAAATAGAAAGTAAATTATTATCACAATTACCTTTTTTTCCCGTTAGTGATGGTAAAAGAAAAGCACAAATAATAAATACAGATATTGGAAATAATCAATATATTCATGAACTTTATATAGAAAATTTAGAAAAAGATCCTTATCCACAAATATGTAAAGAAATAGTATTAATTCATGGATATGCAGCATCATTAGGTTTATTTATTGATAATTTTGATCAATTAAGTTCAATACCAGGTTGTAAAATTCATGCTATTGACTTATTAGGATTTGGATTAAGTTCAAGACCTAAATTTCCTCATTTACCTGCAAATACTAAACAAGAAATTTATAAAGTTGAAGATTGGTTTATTGATTCCTTGGAAATTTGGAGACAAAAAAGAAATATAAATAAATTTATTTTAATGGGTCATAGTTTTGGTGGTTATTTAAGTTGTGCATATGCTTTAAAATATAACACCCAGACAAAAAATGGATTTACTTCAAATATAATAGATAAATTAGTATTAATAAGTCCTGTTGGAGTAGAAACTAATAAATTTTCATTATTAGATAATGATAAACACGTCCCTAAAGTATCAATAGAACAAGAAGTATTAGCAGATCAAGAAGATATAGTAGAAGGTAAATCAATAGAAGAAGTTCCAAAATCAAGAGGTAGAAAAATTTTCGATTATATGTGGGAACATAATTACTCACCTTTTTCAATAATAAGAAATTCAGGTCCTGTAAAATCAAAATTAATTTCTAGATGGACGACTCATAGATTTGCTCATGTTTATTATCAAAATGAAGAAAATTTTCAAAATATGCATGATTATATATATAGAGTATTTAATGGTAAAGGTTCAGGTGAGTATGCTATAACAAGAATATTATCAGTGGGGGCATTAGCAAAATTACCATTGATAGATAGATGTCCACAAAAATTTGTTGATATGAAATTACGTACATTATGGTTATATGGTGATAAAGATTGGATGAATGATGAAGCAGGTTTAGAAATGACAAAAGATATTAATAAATTATCAATGTCAAAATATCATAAAAATTTAGCAGATTTTAAAATTATTAAAAATGCTGGTCATCATTTATATCTTGATAATCCACCTCATTTTGCTAAAACTATTTTCAAATTTTTGGGAGTTTAATATTATTTAATTCATTTGTTACATTATTTTGTATTTCTTTTAATTTTTCTCTTTGTTTCAAATGTAATTTTTTAAATTCTTCTTCCATTTCTGATCTTAAATCATTTTGTTGTTTGAAAAAATGATACTCTACCATATTAATTTTATTCAATAAGTTCGAACTAAATAATTTTAAACATTCATGAAACCCATTAGTGGAAGTTTCAAAATTCGAGGTTCTTTCTGTTGTAGTATTAGGATACTCTGTTGGTTCAGTCGATAATGGTGTGGAAGTTCTTTCTAATGTAGCTGAGGCGGTTTTATTTCCATGAATACGTTGTCTGATGGGAGCTTTGATGATTTCCAGATCTTCACTATCAACAACCGTTTCATCATTTTCAAATCTAATTGTAGTGTTGTTGTTGGTATTATCTATATTTCTTCTATCATTTGGCTGTCTTCTCATTGATTCAGTTTTTGATTTCTTTGCACCAACACCAACACCAAACAAATTACTTCTTGAAGAGTCCAATACTGATGTATTAACTACTTTTTGTAAAAGAGTATCTCTAGATCCACTATCTCTATCAAAATCATTATCATTACTTAGAATATCAGTTCCTTCCATTCCACAATCCGGTTTATTTGCAATTAATTTTGCCTTTTTGTGACTAGTTGGAGCAGTTGATAAAGCATCAGAATCAACAATATCATCAGTTTGATGTTCCATATCTGGAGTTAAATCCCAATCACTTGCTAATCTTTTCCTTTTGATTTTTTTCTTGGTTTTATAAGTTGATTGACTCGATCTTGATTCAAATGCTTGTAGTTTTTCTTGAGTTGTTGGAGCTCTCAAAGTTTCTGGATTTTTTAAAGTTTCAGGTGCTTTTAAAGTTTCAGGTGATTCTATAGTACTTGTAACTTTCAGTTGTTTTGATTTTCTAAAAGTTTTCAAATAATTTATAAACCAATTATAATGTAAAGTTTCTCTTATAGTTATATCCATGGTTAAATTTTCAATATCATCACCATCAGAAGTTCTTGCAACAAATGATCTCATTGAAGCATCAATCAGTTGAGTCATTGATCTAGTTTTTCTTTCACTTGCACATACAAATCTTAATTTTATAGTTGATTGTGGTAAAGTTTTGAAAGATTCAAATGATCTTAAATTTATATAATGACAAGTTACTGATATTTTAGTTGGAATCCATAAATTTAATAAATAATAATCAATTGGTTGAATATAACAATTACCATTGAGTTTTAACACATTTGACTTAATATTACATTGTAGTAAATTTTTAAAATTTGAATTTTTTGATTGAATATATTTTACATATGGAGTTATTAAATTTGGAAGGAAAAATGATTCCAATTGTAGTTTTACAAATAATTCTATTAAATTAATTATAGTTGAAAAATCACGATTTAAATTTATCAATTTATCAAATAAGGATATATTTTCTTTAGTATTAATCAGCTTTCTAATAATGGTGTATAAATTGTTATCATTTGATAAATTCAATAATAATTTGGAACTTAGCCAACTTAATGAAGGTGAATTACTTAATGCATCATCAATTAATTTACGTAACAATATTGCATCTTCTGATTGAACTGATAATCTTAAATAGATTGGCCAAAGTAATTTAATTTCCTTTAATAAATGAGTTCTTATAAATGGGTTGATGTATAGATTAATTAGAAACCAACTAATTTTATTATCATAATTTGACTCTAAATAAATTAATTGGTAAAATGATTCTATACAGTCTTTAATTGCTGAGATATCTTTTTTTGATGTTGGTGTATTTTGATTTAAATCATGAAGATCTGAGTTAACTTTATAAATCTCTGGTTTACTTAATGTAATAGTTGAATTAGATAAGCCTCGATTTCTATTGGATATATGACTATTTAGTAGTTGAAAGTCCTCAATGAATAATTTGACCAGACCTGTCATCGGAAGCCTGGTTGTTGCAGTGATGAATGATATTACATGTATTTGAAACAAGTAACATTATTGAATTTGCAACACATTTTTTTTGTGATTTACAAAATAAAAAATAATACTCGTCTAATTTTCACGTGATCATGCACGTGATATATACCAGTTTATCTTGAAATTCTAACTAACATTTCTTTCATATAATCATCCATAGATGAGTATAATTCACTCAACACTTCGTGATCCAGACTCTCTTTCAAAACATCTAATGAGTTCAACAAAAACTGCAATAAATTATATTGACAAACAATATCATAATCAAACATTAATTTTTCATATCTAATTTTTTCAAAAGGTGGTTTAATATTTGAATCCAAATAAGAATATTCATCAATATCAGAATACAAATAACCTGATTTATAAGTTTCACAATTTCCAAAATTATCTTCAGCATTTTCTTCTAAAAAATAAAATGTTTTTCTAATAACATCAATTCTTAAATTTTTAGGTAATTTATCAATACATGTAAGTAATCCAATTAAATTAACTTTTTTATCACGAGCATTGTTTTGATATTCATAATTTTCAAGCCATTTTTTAAAAAAAATATCAGATGTGCTTTGATTCAACAGGTGTTTGAAAAAAGATTGATTTGCCAATCTACTAAATAAAATAAACATTTTACTAGTTAAAATTAAACTATTGTCATCATTCATAACATAGTTGAACATACTTTGTATCAATCCACTAGAAAATAAATTTTTAATCAATTGTGTGTTTGGATTCATAATTAATATTTCCATAAGTATCACAAATACATCATACGAATCATCTCTCATATCATTTAAATACTTTGCCAAAATTTCAAATGGTGGATTTTTATTAAAAATAGACGGCTGGTATAAAGCATAACTTCTAATTATCGACAATATGGTTGGTAAAATTTCAGTTGAATTTAATAATGCAAACGGTAAAAAATAAAATAATTTAATTATTTCTGGATTTTGAACCTCCGTGGGACAATGTTGTATTAATGCCAACCAAACTTCAAATCCATCTTCAGACATAGTGGAGTATAATGGAGAATCTGAAGAACATGTAAGTTTGATTAGTTTTATTGCAATATCATGAGTATGTATAGAATTTTCATTTAATGAAACAATTAAATTTTTAAAAGTTCTTAGTATAGAAGATTTCAAAATTGTTTCATCATCAGTAGTATCCCAGAATTGAGGGATTACTTCTAAAATTTTCAGTAATACCTTATTGTCAATTAATGGATTACATTTTTCTAAAATCCCTGCCAAAGTATTCATTGCAAATAATTTTGACTCTGTCATTGTAAACTCGTTATATGAAATAAGTAATGACTGTACCGATTCCTCAATAAATGGTTTAAAATCTTTTTTATCAAAATCCCAGTCATCAACCAAAGCTTTTAGACAATTGAGTGCTGAGATTTTCACTACCACATCTTCTTGTTTCAAAAAACTAAGTAACATCTTGTAAATAAGGATTCTCAGATCTCTAGAACATTTCACACCAACCCATTCTGCAACAATTAAACAAATTCTTCTTCTTAAAATATTCGAACTTTGGCATTTGGGTATTAATACATTTTGTAAAACTACGTCAAAATCAATGTTATTTGCTACTGAATATGATGATAATTGTAAGCTGCATAAAATGGCATCTTGAACTAGTATATCTTCAGAACTTAATTCATTACTAATTTTACTTAATAAATATTCAGTCAATTGATCAGGAAAATATTTCACTAAATCTTGAAAATAATTCTCAGCACATGATCTAACTTGATACTCCCAACTACTTGATAATTCTTCATTACACCATTCCTCTGGCTCAGACTCCCAACTTTCTAAATCCAGTTTCCGAAGACGCATATACCATCGTATGATTATATCACAAAGGTTTTTAACATTATCAGGTTGAAAAAATCTACCACCTAGCTTTGTTATTGCTATTTGAATATCTTCTTTTTCACTTTTTTGTTTCAAAGACAAGGCTCCCTTTTTGAATAGGAAAGTAGTTAATTTTTTCATAATGCTAAAACTTTTCAATGCTAAATTTTCTAAGAGTTCATCACCTTCATAATTTTTTTGAGCTTGTTCTAGTAGTATTGATAGATACGTTGTTATGATATCATCTGAACATGGAAGTAAAACAAAGCTAGTTGGGTTATAATTTAATAATGAAATGTAAAGCTTACTATAACAATTGGTAAATTTCTTTAAAACATTTTTTGAAAGTTGATCCTTTTCTGATACAATAAACTTGAAATGATCAATAGTGGATCCAATAAATTCTGAAACATCTTGGTCTTTCTGAAATTCATCTATACCTTCAGGTATTATTCTTCGTAAATTTTTCAAACATAAATAACAGATTTGCATCAATGTTGGATCTGATGAATTGACCCATAAAACATAAAATTGATCATAAAGTTGTTTTAGTATTTTGACAATTTCTGGAGCTTTTAAATGCATTTCTTTCCTAGATCTTCCAATCCTAACGCTGGCTATAATTTTTATAACTAAATTCATGATCACCAAAACATTTTTAATAATGATTGTATTTTCCATTTCCACTGCTTTTTGTAAATTCTGTAATAGAACATCAAATACGTTCCAACCAGCAGGATACTCAAATCTTGCAATTGTAGCTATTGCATCTGCATATTGGATCACTAGTTGTTCATTTGATTCTGACAACAGGTCTAGCGCTCTTAATATAATATGTTGTTTTTCCTCCTTAACTATAGCGTGTTGTTTGGACAGTCTCCAATACTTTTCCAAACCATTCTTGAAACAAATTATTGCTAACCAACGTGTTTGTAAAGAATTATCTTGGTTGTTATAAACATCTTGTAATAATGAATGATATCCAGTTTGTATCTCCCATTGCTTCAATTGCTGCTCGGCATCTTGTTGTTGTACCTTATTTTCAAATGAGCTTGCGTGAATTAATGTTTTCAAAAGGTTGACATAATTAAGTTCCATAACTCTGAAAGATTTATTAGTAGAATCAAGATCTAGAATCCTGAGACTTGATGTATTTTTAAACAGAGAAGATTGCAAAAAATGATCGCTACCAATAAATTTCAAGTTTGTTTTAGAATACTGATAGAGGTTGCAAAAATCTCATCGAATCAAATAATTGTTACATTAGTTTACAGTTGGAAGGACTAAAAATATAGCATCACCATCTATGAGTCTCGTCACCTTCTTCCCAAACTCTTTCAGAGTATCCCAATTCTTTCTTAACTCTTTCAACAGTTTCAACATCCCCAGTATTTTTACCAATATTATCACTAATTTTAATTGATGATTTACCATTAGCTTCCTTTATTTTGATCACAATATTTAAAGGTTGTGATTTTTCACCAGTTTTAGAATTGACAAAATCATTGGTGAAAAAAGTACCAATTCCAAAAGTACAAAGCAATCCCAAATCTTCAGCTTTTTGTCTAAATTTTATACATTTTTCAACATTTAATGATTCACTAAAACATATTATTTTGGTATTTTCTGGTATACCTAATTGGTTATAATGCTTTGCAATTTTTTCTGCATATAATTCTGGATCTCCTGAATCTTGTCTAACTCCAGAATATTCATTTACATATGGACCAACAAAATATTTTAAATAATTATCAGTTCCAAAAGTATCAGTTAAAGCTAATCCAGCATATTTTGAAGTAAAAGTATCTATCCAATAATCCATGGCTAATTTATTTGCACGAATATAATCTTGAGTAATCGAAGCAATGCCCATATACCATTCATGAGCAACAGTACCGATTGGTTTCAAATCATATTTCATTGCAAGATAAACATTGGATGTACCTGCTACATACTCACTTTGAACATCTTTAATAGCTTTTATAACTATTTCTTGTGTTTCATATGATCTTCTTCTTCTTGTACCAAATTCACTAAAATTACATTTATTATGTACTAATTTTTCAGCTTTTAATTTTGCATTTTCATATTGATTATCATAATTCCATTCTGTATCAACAAATTTAAAATATGCCTCTGATATCAATGCCAAGACTGGAATTTCATATAAAATAGTTTCATCCCAATTACCCACAATTTCCAAGCCAAAATTATCACCATTTTCGTCGTATCTAATTTGAGATTTCGGATCGAACTTGAAAGTCTTTAAATATTTTAAATATGATTTCGGCAATTGGGGCAAAGTTTTCTCTAAATATTGAATTTCTTCATCTGTGAATCTTAGATCTCCTAAATGCTCAATTTGTGATTTCAACCATTCGATTGCTTTTGTATTTAATTTCATTTGTGGAGTTCTATTTGTAAATCCATATTTAACTGGCACGTTTAAAAAATTCTTATGAACAGCTGCATGCATAAAGATTTTATATAAGTCTGTATCTAATAATGAATTGACGGCCCAAACAGATGAATCAGTCATTGTGTGGTTATATTCAATGTTTGCAAAGTGGTTAGTAATGTGCTAAAATTTAGTCTGAATGAATCATATTTTAAAATTAAATAAATATTGTAGATTGTTTTGTTTCAGTTTTCGTAAGAGAAAAAGAAAACGATGATAACAATTTATCTAATTAGATTCATCAACCAAAGCAAAAATTTTACAAAATAGCTCTTGATCGCTGACATTCCTTACACCCAACTTATACTTAAATCCCACCAAGAGAGCCATTTTGATTGTCGTCTTATATACTTTTTTATAATAACTATATATTATATTGTAATCAATAGTTAATAGAATAAGAGTAGTGCATATAAAAATAAGTTTAAGATTCTATTATCAAAACATTTTTTAAGTTTATGCCACTCTATTAAATTTACATTATTATAATATCAATTCAATTTTTAATAATTTAAAGCTGATCAAATATCAAGTAACAACACAAATTAAATTTATCAAAATTACAGTGATATAATCCACACAAAATAAAACGATGTCATATACAAAAGAGCAGGAGGCAATTGTACTAAAAGTTCTTTCATATAAAAGTCATCAATTTTATGAAATATTATCAGTTAAAAAAACATCAGAAGAAGGAGAAATTAAAAGATCATATAGAAAATTAGCAATAAAATGTCATCCAGATAAAAATCCTCATCCAAGATCATCTGAAGCATTCAAAGTATTGAATAAAGCATGGGAAGTTTTAAGTGATCCTCAAAAAAAGACAATTTTCGATCAAACTGGTTCTGATCCAACTTCAAGATTTTCAGGTGCTTCAACTTCTAGTTCAAGTCCATTTGCATCAGGTAGAAGTGGGTTTGCAAGTGCTGGTGGTGGAGCACATCCATTTGAAGATGATTTATTTAATATGTTTTTTGGAGGTGGAGGTGGAAATAGTCCTTTTAATTCAGGTCCAACTTTTACATTTGGAGGTAATGGTTTTACATTTCAATCATTTGGAGGTGGACAAGATCCATTCATGAGACATAGAAGAACAACAAGAAGAGCAGCACCAAGACCACCACAACAAAATAGAGATCAAGCACAATCACCACAATCACTTTGGGAAGGATTAAAAGGTTTATTACCAATACTATTAATATTAATTGTACCAATATTATCAGCATTATTTTCAGACGATACATCACCGGATTATTCATTTGTACCAAGTAGAGAATTTAATGTAGAGAGAAGAACTCCACGTCATAATATACCATTTTTTGTAAATGATCATTTTACAAAAAAATATGAAAATAAATCAAGACAACAATTAAGAAATTATGATGTAAAAGTTGAAAATTTATTTATACAAGATAAAAGAGCTAAATGTTCAAGAGAACAAATACGTAAAGATCAGTTAATTGAAGATGCTGTTGGATGGTTTACAACTGATACTGAAAAATTAAAACAAGCTGAAAATATGCCAATGCCTAATTGTGATGTACTCAGATCTTTAAATCTTATATGATGAAGTAACGAACCAAGAAAATCTATAAAAATTCTGACAAATTTAGAAACATACATATATAGTTCTCTCACTTGCATAAATTAATAATAATTGTATTTTTATAAACTTGAAACTATTGTAGACATTGACATTGTATGAGTTCTGATTTACTGCAAAACTTCAAACTAATTGGTAGCTTGCACTAATTTTATATGATAAACTTCAACAAGAAAAAAGAGAGCGTACTGTATTTGAAAATTGAGTATTTACAATTAGTGGCAAAATCAAATAACTAATTGCATTTCACAATCAATTGTCCCTCAACAACTATGTTTAGAAATAATTACGACAACGACTCAGTGACATACTCCCCCACTGGGAGATTATTTCAAGTAGAATATGCATTAGAGGCAATAAAACAAGGAAGTGCAGCAGTTGGTTTAATTTCCAAAAATCATGTTGTATTAGTTGCATTAAAAAGAAATGCAGAAGAACTAGGTTCATATCAGAAAAAAATCATTAAAATAGATAATCATATGGGAGTAGCATTAGCAGGTTTAGCTCCTGATGCAAGAGTATTATCTAATTTTTTAAGAAAACAAGCAATGCAATGTAAAATGATTTTTAATCGTCCTATTCAAACTTATAAAGCTGCTTTAACAATAGCAGATAAAGCTCAAGAAAATACTCAAAGTTATGGATCAAGACCTTATGGAGTTGGATTATTAATTGCTGGTTATGATGAAACTGGACCTCATTTAATTGAATTTTTACCTTCAGGATCAGTATTAGAATATTATGGAGCAGCAATAGGAGCAAGATCACAAGCAGCAAGAACATATTTGGAAAGAAATTTAGATGAAATTAAACAAAGTGAATCAATTGAACAATTAATAACTCATGGATTATATGCATTAAGAGATACTTTAAGTCAAGATGTTGAATTAAGTTTTAAAAATACAAGTGTAGCGGTAGTTGGTAAAGATCAAGATTTTATTACATATGATGGTGAAGATGTTCAACAATGGCTAGATAAATTAGATTCAGTCACAAATGAAAGAAATAGGACGAGTAGTAGTGGTAATGAAGAACAACCAGAAGAACCAACACAAGAAGAATCTCATGAAGGTGATAGAATGGAAACTGATGAATAGATTTATTAATAAAATTAATGATAAAAGAGATAAGGAAACCAATATTTACATTATTTATTGCACTCTATACAATTCACTCTATTCTTTTTGTGTTTGCTTTTGTTGTTTTATAGCTACTTTTTTGATAGCCTCCATACATCCTTTTTGCATTTCATTGATCTTATCATTAAGTACTTTAGGATCTTTTAGTTTACGATCTCTTATTTTTTCAATTAGCTGTTTAGCTTCACTTATTAGGTTTTTAATTTCTTCAACTTCTAAATTTTCCATTTGTTCTCCAAATTGAATTAATGCAATTTCAGTATCAGTGCATAATAATTCTGCTCTTGATGTATGTTCATATAATTTTCTCATTTCTTCATCTTCTTTCTTATTGCTATTACTTTCTGATATCATTCTTTCTACATCTGCATCAGTTAACCCAATTTCTGTTACTTGAATTGAGACTGAATTTGGTTTTCCATAGTTAGGTGAATCTTTTGGGTACGGAGTTTTATCAGTAGCACTAACATTTATAATACCATCAGCATCAATCTCAAATTCTACTGCAATTTGTGGGGTTCCTTTTGGACCTTTTGGTATATTTGATAATTTAAATTGACCAATTAATTTATTATCTTTAACCAACATTCTTTCCCCTTGATAGACCCTAATTTCAACTCCTGTTTGACCATCTACCGCTGTTGAAAAAATCTGCTCTTTTTTTAAAGGTACAGCTGAGTTTCTTGGAATTAAAGGACTAAATATACCACCATAAGTTTCTATCCCCAAAGATAATGGAGTTACATCTAATAAAACCACGTCTTTAACTTTTCCAGACAAAACTGCCCCTTGTATTGCGGCTCCTAGTGCAACTGCTTCATCTGGATTTACTGCGGTACTTGGCTTTTTCCCAAATAATTCTTCAACAACTTTTCTTATTTTGGGCATTCTTGTCATACCACCAACTAAAAGTACTTCATCAATATCTTTGAATTTCAAATCAGCATCTCTGACACATTTTTTCACTGGATCAATGACTTTTTCAATCAATGGTAATGTCATTTCATCAAGCTGATCTTCAGTTAATTTTAAGTCGATATGTTTATCTTCATGAATAAAAGGTATTTTGATTTCAGTTTCAGGAACTTTTGATAATTCTATTTTAGCTTCTTCAGCTGCTTCCCTTATTCTTTGCACTGCTAAATGATCATTAGATAAATCAATTCCATTTTTTTTCTTGAACTCATTAATAATATAATTCATCAATACAATATCAAAATCTTCTCCACCTAAATGAGTATTTCCATTAGTTGCTCTTACTTCAAATACACCATCTTCAATATCTAATATTGAAATATCAAATGTTCCACCACCAAAATCAAAAACTGCAACAACTCCCTCTTTTCTTGATTTGTCACATCCATATGCTAAAGCTGCTGCTGTTGGTTCATTAATTACTCGTAGTATATCTAAACCCACTAACTTTCCTGAATTTTTAGTTGCTTGTCTTTGACTATCATTAAAATATGCTGGTACTGTAACAACAGCTTGATTTATATTTTTTTCATCCAATTGTTTGTCAGCTATATCTCTCATTTTATTAAGTATCAATCCACCTATTTCTGAAGGACTTATCTTCTTCCCATTTGAAGTTTCCAATATTGCATCACCATTCTTGGCAGGTATAATTTTATAAGGTACATTCTTGATATCTCTTTGAACTTCTTCGTCTTCAAATTTTCTTCCAATTAATCTTTTTGTTGCAAAAAATGTATTCTTGGGATTTATTAGTGCTTGTCGCTTAGCTGGTAAGCCTATTAGGGTTTCATTATCTTTGAAAGCTACAATTGATGGTGTGGTTCTTTTGCCTTCTTCATTCTCAAGTATAAATGGTTGTTTATCTGATCCAATAGTAGCAACAGCTGAGTTCGTTGTTCCTAAATCAATTCCCAATACATGATGCTTAAATCTTCTGAAAATAGTGTTACTGCCCCGTATTCGACTCAATCTTAGCATGTTCTTGTTGTTGTAATCAAAAATGATTTACTTTTAAAAATACTTAAATGACATCATAAACTTGAAACCTTTCGAAAAGGATAGATTTCGCAACTACCAATTTATTTACAAAATCTCTTACTTTAACACTTCTACCATATATAAACCTTAACTATGCTTGACTTTTTGTATACTACGGACTCAATTTCCTGGTCCTCAGCAATTTTGACTTAATCAGTGAATGTGGGGCTATTCATTAATACATCAGTTCATATTCGGTACTGAAAAAGTAAGGAAAAAGTCAATTGTTATAGCTTAGTCTTGACTACGTAATCCAAACTATTGCAGTTTGGTCTTAAATCTCATGTATTTGTTTCAGTAATAATAATAGTTGAATTTAGATATAAAAATAGTAATTTATACAAACAATTCTAAATTATACAAATTTTACAAGCTATTTAACTATTTAATTAACCAACTAAATAAAACCAGATTCTATCTTGATTTCTTTTTACTGATTATCAATTATGAACACTATTAAATGCTAGCAAGTAGGCAGAATAAATAAGATCTTTTTATTTCATCAAGACCACATGAAGCTCCAAAATCAATCAAACTCATCAAACCACAAAGTCCAATGCTTAAATTGTGTTTGACCAATTTTAAATAAATTCCAAATATTAATCTAGCGACGCATGATTAATTTGATGCCTATAATTCTTACAGTTAGTAATAAATATAATAAAATCCATCTTGTACCCACTATTATGTTCAATGTTGTACATCAAATATTCTTCTACTTTTATCCATACTTTTTCTGCTCATTTGATGATCACTAGAATATTGATGTTAGTAGTATACCTGATGAATTAAATTAAGGTGCCTCTACGCGTAGAACACCAAATTAACCACTTTAATAATTAGCAAATAGCGGATACCTGCAATTTACCAAAATAAAATCTAACAAAAGTTAGGTCAGTTGGGTTTTACAGTGTGGTAAATCTCATTGGTCTGAAACTTGCAGCAGTCAAAACAAAATTTATTATATCTCTGACTCCAAATCCTACTTGGCTTGCATTAATTATGTTCATAATATATTGATATCAATAAGCACTTGGACTAAAAAATGGCAGTTAGTAATTTTTTTTATAATTTGTAAATTTGAATTAGTTAATATAATTATGTATTTTAGCATTTCATATAGTAAGTCAAATAAGATTGTTGATATATTATATTGAATTGAATATATGTTGTTTTAGTTTGCTTATAGTAGAAAAGAATGTAATTTAAAAAAAATTTTTTAAAATATCAGGAAATCGATCTATATCTAGTAAAAAAAATTAGTTGCAAATTATTTTGATATGATAATTTTTGGTTGCAAAAAAATAAAATTAATATTGATTGTCTCAAAATATATAAAAGTGATTCGACACAAAATATTAATTTCACTACAAAGTATCTTAATGCTTACATTAAGGTCATGAAGCTATGATACTAATTGCAGTAATTCATTTTCTAGTAAAGAAAATTTCTTTCAGTATAATTATATTCTTTTATTAAAAGACAGTCCTCACATGTTTCTTTTGTAGAATTGTGGTCAATAATTCATATTTAATAACCCAGACCCTACATTCTCAACACCAATTTTGAATAAATTTTGAATCGTATTAAGTTATGAACCGTATTTAATTATGAACCGTATTAAACTAGTGTCAGGCTACAATTCAATCCTTTTCAGACCACAAGTCTGGGGTAAATTGTTATTATAACCATCTAATATTAATTAATCTAAACTCACATATTTTTCGCACGATTTTAACAATGCGGTGACGACAAAAAAATTAGTACTGAGCTTGCTACTTTTCGCTGTACATCTGACCCATCTTAATCTCAATTTGATCTTATATTTTGAAACTCTACTCATAATTGAAATTACTTATGGGCTTTGTACAGCTTTTGCGACAAAACCCTCGTTTGAACTTTGCGACTACTCTATTACTTTGGCTAATACATTAAAATTTAATTCAAAAATTTGCCAAAAGTATTTGCACATTACTAAACGCAAACAAATAAACAACTCAAGCAAATAGCTAGATAGATACAAGAATGACCAAATGGTTACAGAGATGGATCAAATTTTTAAATTTATTTTGGTACATTTTTAATTGCAAGAAAAGCTACCAAAATTTTCAAATTATCACAAAATAACCACACTACCTGTTAATTTCATAATCAAATTATATATAAATACCCAAAATTGGGCAATAACGATGAATTTTGTTTTTAGTTTTGATGCTTTAAAAATTAGTAAAATTGCTGCAAATTGGCCAAATTTGCCATTTTTTGCGACTGACCCCTGTAAGAATTTGCAGTTTGTAAAATTTTTAACACAACAAATTTAATTTTAAAGCTGCAAAGATGGCTTTTTGTGAGCATCATATGCAATAGTAGAAGAGTAATGCTGTACTAATTTTTTCAAGTTTCAATCAAATCTGAAGGAATTATTCAAAAACGTTGAATTTTGAAATATTTAATCTTGAAGCTTCAAATTTACTGGTTCAATTTTTTCAATCGCATCAAAAAGAAATTACAGTTTCTACTAATATGTTAAGCAAGCTTTTAAGTAAAAAATTTAGAACTAATGTACCTTAGTTTTCCAAAAATGTGTTTCGATGCCAAAATTTCGTTTGAAATGAAGGTCAAAAAATTTAGGTATTTTTGGTAACGACACGAAAATCAACCTTAAGTATTGTGGTTGAGATTTAGCTGTTTATGGCGTAGGTTGCACGATGTCGCTTTAAGCTCGTACAAAGAAATAAATTAATCAATAATAACTATGCAGTTAAAATTTTAAATTATCAACACAATTTGTTCATTTGCTTGGGATTCAAATTACATAAGAATTAAATTATAGTTAAAAAGCCGAATTTCAAACCTACTGGAGAGTTAATGTTTTGGTCCTGTGATCAATGCACCACCAAATGCCTGTTATAAATCAACTTTTGAATAATTTATATTAATAATACTCTATAGACTACTTCATTTAATATGATATAAATTTAATAGTTTTATTTATATAATCAATTTGAATAGCCTGGAAAAAATGAATAAACAAATTACTTAATCTAAATAAAGATAAAAATAAATAAATATCATCATCTTTTTTAAAATGCCAAGGTTCAATATTTTCTTTTGATATAGTTTCAATTGATCCACAAACAGTGAAAATATGTAAAAATTCTTCTTTTTCATTTAATATTACTCCATAATTTGATCTTGTTGAAACTACTAATCCACGATCTTCAAAATTTTCTTGTGAAGTTTTAGGTTTTTCTGTTTCAAATATTTTACAAAGTGGTGATCCATTTATCTCAATATCAAGTTGATAAGTATCTATGGTATTTACTTTTGTTGGTTTTAAACAAATTTGTTTTATAAAATTAGGTTCTGAATAACAAAAATCTACTTTATCTCTATTTTTAATACCATTTTGTACTTGCCTAAATCTTAGGCTTGGAGTTTTGTGATAATCTTTGAATATATATAAAAACATTTTCATTAAACCAACATTTAATCTTGTATCTCCAATATTTTGATCTTCTATTACTTTATCGCTATAAAGTTTCAGATTTATTATAGCATATGCAAATCCTTCAGCAATTAAACAAGATTTTGTACAAGTTGAATGAGTTAATTCTGTTGAAGGAATTCCATAATGAAAAGAATCCCAAACTTCATATATAATTTTCAAAGCAACAGCATAAACAACACTCTGGTAAACTTTCCCACAACCATTGTATAATTTCATAACATCCAAATGCTCAGCAAAATTTTGACTATTATCAACAGTTTTAGATGACAAGTCATTTAATACAATCTTTAGACTTAAATGTAAATAAAGCAGAAATAGTTTTTCAATTGGTAAATTCTGCAGATGAAGTTGATAAAATAAGAAAGGTTTGACTTTAGTTACTAAAGCTTTTTTCTTCGAATCAATGAATCGTTTTCGACACCGTACACTTCTATAATTTGAACTTTCCAATAAACTCGAACAAAATAGAATTTTTTCATAGATTAGTGGTGTGAATGTTCTTCCCAAATGTCTTAAATGTTTTAAACCTATTTCATTCATTTGATTAGATATGTAATATTGCAAAATACTAGCTTTTCTTAAAGATATATTATACTCTGATTTTTTATTGACGATATAATCATTTCTTGATTTATTAATACTTTTTAAAAACTTTTTCTCTTCTTCATCCATTAATTTGAGTAATACTGGTAAATAATCATTATTAGTACAATATCCCTCAATTTTTTCTTTAGAAGTATTAAAAAGCTCCTGTAGTAGTTCCAAGCGATTATCTTTAGTTGAATCAATATTATCTATATTATTCAATCTATATTTTAATTCTAATTGATATTTGTAATAAATTTTACATTGCTCAAAATGATTGTCTGTTGATTTTTCAATTTCTAATTCATCAAAGAACGGCTGAAAATTTTTATTATAAAATACATGCCAAAAGAATGGATGTTGTAATTTTTGCCTAAATAATTTATTAACTTGAAAAAGGCTGAAAATATCTTGTATATCTAGATCACCAATGTCAACTATATGAAGTACTAGCTCTAATGGTAATGTCAGCATTATATTGCATGAGCACCGATCTTGATAAAACTTTGTGTGGTAAATATATTTTGTGTGGTAAGCATAAGTTGTTCTTATCGTCTTAACTTAATTCAATGTACAAAATCATTTCAAGTTTATTGAAGTCGCTTAGAGCTACCAATTTTTCTTCAAATCTACGTGATACTAAGCTAATAATTTTCATCACAACTTTATACCAGTGAAGACGATTCCAAGTCATCGGTATTATGTAAATTCTGACTAAATCGCTCAATGATGGGTTCAATTTTATTTTATAATTTTAATTGTGTCGATGCTAGTTAATTTTGCAACCATTTCCAATTTGATTAAAAAGCACATCACAAAAATAACTGAGTAGATATGTTTTTTTTCAAGTATTTAACATAATATTCTTCAAATTTATTGCCCACACTTAAAGAAAAATTCAATGGGTAAAAGAAAACAAAATGATGATCAAAAACAACTGATTAATAAGAAATTCAAATTTAATAATACATCAACAACAATAGATCCAAATACTTCAGGAATTTATGCAACTTGTGCAAGACATAAAGAAAAACAAGCTATTGATGAATTAATATTAATACTATCTGAAAGAATAAATGATTTTAATGAAATAGAAGAAGAAATAAAAAGTAATGAAAATCAAAGTGAATTATCAATTGAGGATAAAATCAAAGCAGAACTTTCAGAGTTAGAAGAAACTACAAAAAACAAAAATTCAAATCTACTACAACCAAGTAAATTAGATTGTGAATGTGTTATATTTATTAAAACTAAAAAACCAATAGATCCAGTAAAATTAGTAACTGATTTATCAAAAGAATGTTATGAATCAGGTATAAAAAATACAAGATATATTCAAAAATTAACTCCAATAAGTGATTCATGTTCAGCAACTAGTGAAAATCCAACAATTCAATTAAAATTATTATCTGAAAAAATTTTAAAACCTCATTTTCATAATGATCAAGATCAAAAACCAATTAAATTTGCAATTCAAGTATCAAGAAAAAATTTTAATATTTTGGAATCAGATGAAATTAAAAAAATAGTAGCTGAACTAATTGGTAAAGATTATGGTCATTCAGTTGATTTAAAAAATTATGATAAATTAATAATTGTTGAATGTTATAAAACTAATATAGGAATGAGTGTTGTTGAAGATTATCAAAAATATAGTAAATTTAATCTACAACAAATTTATGATAAGTCAATTAATAAATAAACCTTATAATTTTAATTATATAAAACTTGCGTTTTTGGTTCAAAATCCATCCATGCTAACCAATCTGCTTCTGTATGTGGTATTAATCCCATTTTATATAATTTATAAATACCAATACTCATATTTAATAATTGAAATATAATAAATACAAATTTAGCAAATATTATTTCTTGAAAATTATCATTGTTTTTTAATTTTAAAAACATTGGATTTGTTTCATTAAATATACTCTTTAATGGATTCCATAATAACATAATTGTCATTGTAACTGGTATAATTTGTAATGAATTACCTGTCATATAACTCATAAATGCATTCATTGGTATTGATTTTGCTGGAGCACTTGCTAATTCCCAAACTCTCTTTGATCTTAACGTTTTCATTTCATTGGAATCTTTTTTTGATGTTTTACTTGATGATGATTTATTTATTGAGGAATTGGAATTTGAAGAAAACCCTGGTGGTGAAGGTACTAAATCTGAATTATTTGATGGTGATGTAATTTTAGGTTTTAGTATTTCATCATATCTTGGATTTGTCATTTTATTATTGAGATTGTTTAGATCCTGGATTCAATTAGGACTATTAAGTTATTGAAAGTGGAAGGCAGTTGAAGATGTGTTGTTGTTATAAATTCTAAGTAGTTGTAGATAATAAAAAAAGTTGAAATCTTTAAATTTGAAAAGAAAAATAAATTATTTAAAAAGTAACAATTTTAATCTAATTGATTCATTATATATATTCGAACAACTATTTACAACAACTACTAGACTCAATTGAGTTTTAATAAAACAATCTATCATAACTTACCTTACTACGGACATTATTTAAAAACTATTAATTATATTAAAAGATCAACATACTAAATATTCTACAATCAAAAAAAACAATCATGAATTCAACAACATCATTTAAAAGCAATCCATTAAATAAAATAATAGGACTATCAGTAGTATTATCAATGGGTTTTTTACTAGTGATATTAGCAGGAATATATGGAAATTGGTTCCCCATAATAATAGGTTTCATTTTCGCAATAGCTCATTTACCAATAATTATAACAAAATCAATAACAAATTCATCAGATTATGATTTTAATTTTGATCCATCAACAACTAATACAAATGTTATAATAGAATTTGGACAATTTTTATCAAGTTTCTTGTTAGTTTCGGGGTTTTATTTACCTATTATTTTACATCATTCTTTAATTTTAAATAAAATGGCTTGTATTTTAACTATAATTGGTGGATTATTAATTTATATTACTATTTATACTTTTAGTCATTATTTTGATGATACTTATGATGAAGATGGATTAACTGATTTAGGTGGTGGGGTCATATAATAATATAATTTATGAATTGTAAATCTTTCATGTGGATTTTCAAATGATTAAGGACTGGTTTTTAAAACATCGTTAAATCTTTCTTAAAGTTGCATGAAAAATGATCACGAATGCTCAAAAATGGACATGGAAAAAGTTTGGAAGCTATATGGACCAAAACTTGTAAAATGCATATATATAAATATTAATGATAATTAATAATTCCAATAAGTAACTACTAAAATGATTATATTTACCTCTTAAAACCAATAAATCAATTTCTACGTGAACTTTTACAAATAGCACTCGATTTTACCTTGAAGTGATAGAAATAATACCGATCTTTAAACGAAAAGAATCTATTCTGATCCGTACAATTGTCTGAAAGGTCGTCTACTGAATTAATTTGTATCTTTACTTCAAAGTTGGTGGTCAATAATTTAAGGAGCTATTTTGCAAAAACTTAAACTCCACAAAATTCAAATTTTGCCAACAAACAAATTTATAATTTTATTAACAACCAAATATTTATTATTTTGAACAACACTTTAACAACTCATATCAATTAACTTAAGTAAAAGATGGTATCAGCAGAATTCGAAGAAAAAGTAAGTTACCTCCCACAGAGAATCAATTGACTTTTTTTCAATTGCAAAAGACAATCAAATTCAATATCTCAAAAATTCAAAAATACTAACAATTTCAAAAAGGCAAATACAGTTTCAAATTTAAAAACTAGACCAAATGATGATGAATTATTAAAATTATATGGATTATATAAACAAGCTACTATTGGTGATAATACAACTCAAAAACCTGGTACTTTTGATTTTAAAGGAAAATATAAATGGCAAAGTTGGAAAGATTTAGAAGGTACTTCACAAGAAGAAGCTGAACAAAAATATATTGAATTAGTTAATGAATTAATTGAAAAATATAATTAGAATTAATTGATAAATTAAGTATAAATATTATAAGTTAATTGAATATATAATTTGATGATTCAATTGTTTTGAATTATTCTTCTATAAATCTATTAAAAATTTCTTTACATTTTCATAAACTACAAATGTTATACAAGTAGCTGGTAATACTCTTATAATATTAGTACTTAATCCTTTATAAAATGCAGATATTCCACCTTCTTTTAAATATAATTGTTTTATAATTTTATTTATAGTAATTTTATATTGACGATTATGATCATTTTGTTTAAAATTTTGTAATCTACTTTTTATAACTTGAGTTGGATAAAAAATTAAAGTACTTATAATTTTTGAAGTGGCTGATATATATAAATATTGCCAATTACTTAAACCTAATTGATTTTTATTATTGTCAAGTTGTTGATTTTTTATAATATAATTTTTCATATTATCATAAATTGTAAATTGTAAACTTGCTTGAAAAACTTGAACCATACTTGGTAAACAACCTTTCCAAAAACTTAAAATACCTTCTTGAAAAAGCATTTGTTTAATCCCATCTATAACAGATTTATATGCATTTTTAGAATTTTTTGAACTTGATAATATTCTTGTTTTTAAAACCCATATTGGATTAGTTAAAATTGAAGTTGAAATACCTGCTAAAGTTGAACTTAAAAAATAATTCATTGATTTATTCGATAGATTTAAATCTTTTTTAAATTCAGCATATAATGTAAAATATAATCCCCATGCTGATATATTACCAATAAGATTTGGAATTAATCCTCTATAATATTGTGATAAATAATTTATTGGAAATGGTGTTTTAAATTTTTGATGTTTAAAATTTATATATGTTGATGATTGAGCATCTGTATTTAATTGTTTTATAATATTAATAACTGATTGGAAAGGTTTTGATTTCATTCCTACTCTATTATGATCCAATTGTAATCTAATCTTTAAAACATCTAATGGATGTGTTAATATAGTTGTTGTAAATCCAGCTGCTAAACCTGATAAAATTTCAACTTGTCTTGAACTAAATTTTTTGGATTTATTATGCCGTATTTCATTCATTTGAAATTATGTGATAAGTATATGTCAATTTTTAAAATAGGTTGTGGTTTATGGTAATGGCTTTAGTGATTCATAATGATCATCGTCTTATTTTGAATAAAAGAATAGTGAATTCGTTCTTAATTGTGAAAAGAGAAAAAACTATTAGATGCAAATCAAAATATCAATTGATCATAAACTTCAAAGGCTTGATTAAATACTTCAAACCCCTATTTTTCTATAGGGTCTAAAAACGTCCAATCTCATTACTATAATTCAGAGAAAGTAAAAAGAATTGAATCTTTAAAAAATTTACAAAATAAAGGGTGTAAATGACAAACAAAATTCAATTTAATTTATTAAAACACATATATATACAAGACCTCTAAAACTAATTACCCCCAAATATAGTATTCTCAACCCTTAAGCAGATGGGAATGGAGATAATAAAGATAAAATAGAAGGTTTATATGGTGAAGCAGACCAACCTAAATATAAAACTAATGGTATAAATCCATAATGAGCAATTGTTTTTGAATAATCTAAAATTTTAATAATTCTTTCTTTTGATTCATCTGATAATGTTATTTGATATTGTTTTGATGATGTTGATTCTGACATTGTTTTATTGTGATGTTAGTTGTTAGGTAGAATTATCTCGTTAAATTGATATAAATTTTGATCTTTTGACTTTAGCTTAATATTCTGGTAAATTTTTTTTAGTAAGTGAATTTGGTTTTTCATTTTGAAACATTACCACGACTAACAAATATGTATGTAGATATATTTAAAGTGTTTAAAGAAAAAAATATTGCTTAATTTCATCATTGAATATCTGGTTCAACCATCCCATCAACTAATGCAAACCTGATTCTGCTTCTTCGATAACTAAAATTTAGGGTTACTTGGATTTTGTATAAGGTCTAGTGGAATTTTAAAAATGTTAAAAATTTTGCAACCAAATAATATAAAAATATATTTTTCTTATTTACCATTACAAATCTAAATAATTTATTAAATACAAGACTATTAAGTTTCGTAATCGTATCAAGAAAAAAATCAACTTCCATTACTATAAGGTTTGCTCAATATTGATTAGGATGTATAACATATTTTGAAGTAAATTTTCATATTCTGAATTGTACATTGTATTAACCTCCTTACCACAATAACTAAAAAAAATGTTTGAATTTTAATTATAAAATGTATGTATAATTATGAATTACCAGGTGTTGGAGAGATTGTAAATAAGTTAATAAGTTATACAGTTTCTAAATATAATTTATTTTCATCTTGGAGTATTTATTTAATCAAGTAAATCCTTCAGTACCAAAACCATTTCAACTTGGGAGGTTAAAAGGTCATAATTTGGACCGATGCGGCTGTACAATTTTTTGTGTTCCTTATTCCGATCTAATATATAAAATAATAATTTCAAATCAACTTTTAGAATAAAAGACATGATATTAAGTGCCAAGAGTTTCAAAAGTTGTAAGTAGAGATCTAATAAATAAATCTTATAAATTAATACAAAATAGTCAGAATTCATACTATTAAATAGATAATCTATTGAATATTTTATTGCATTTTGATATTTGTATGTAGTATAATAAAAACATTTTAAAATATCATGGGAATTGTAATATAAACTCACTCAATACTTCTTATCTTATATGTATAATTTGGTACAATACAATCAATTATTCAATCAATAATTTTAAAATTATTAACAAATTTATTCGTCTACGAACAATTATATCCAATTGAATTTTTTCGTATTACAATAAGAATAATAATACAAATTATGACATCATACATAATTTTCGTACTAATTGAAAATGTGAAACAAAGATGAACACACTAAATAAATACAATAATATTATAATTATTATAACTTCAATTAATAGTAAATATAATATATCAAAATATTATCAAATCATTAATGTTATTGAAAATATATATATATATATATAAATCATTCGAAGTAATAGAGAATCACTTTTTAATATTAAAAGTCTGTAATCAATATTAGACATTTTCAATTTCTTATTGTTAATCATTTTGTTTATTGTTGTTTATTTAACTCTATTAATTTACTAAAAATAAATAAAAATTTGAATATTATTGTATGAGATTTTTTTTTTCTTGATTTCGTTCCCCTTTATATTAAAAATTTAATATTTAATATTTACTGATAATAATAATTTATCAACAAATTTTTATTTATTTTTGACAACCAAAATTGATATTAATTCAAAAGTAAATTACTACAACTAATTATACTATTACTTTTTATTGGTATCTATTTACTGTAATAATTTGATTTTATTAATTACTTATTCACTCACTTAACAAAATTACTAATATTATTATTATTATTACAACCAAATTTTTTGATCTTAACAATTTCATATTAATTAATTAATTAAAGTTTTTATTTCATTTCAAAAGATCAAGAAAATTTTTTAATATACATTTAACATTCCATATTTAATCTATATTAAAGTTTCAAAATTATTCCACCAAATAAAAAATTGAAGTTATCTTCAACTTCTTCATCATCAACTTCATCTTCATCTTCAGCATCAACTAATTCAACAGCTAATTCAACTTCAACTCCATCAATAACATCAAACACAAATAATAAGACTTTATTGAATCATAACTCAACACCTTCTCCAAATAATTTTAATCAACAATTAAATTCAAATATTTCATCACCAGTAGATCAAAATTTTAATAATTTTAATTTAAATATAAATTCACCAATATCACCATCATTTACAACTGCATCTACATCATCATCAATAGAAAACAATAATTTAGATACAAATACAACAACTGCAGTTATAGACGAAGATTTACCAAAAATGTTAACATCATCATATTCACAAGCTGATATTTTAAAAATTTTACAAGATCCAGTATTATATCAACAAAAACATATGGATATAAGAAATGATTTAATAAAAGTTTTTAATCAACAAGATTTAATTATAAATGATAATAAAAATGAATTAGAAGTTTGTAAAACTGCAAATAAAGCTTTTAAACAAGCATTATCTGAAATTGGTACAGTTGTTATATCAGTTGCAATGGGAGATTTATCAAAAAAAGTTGAAATTCATTCAGTTGAAAGTGATCCAGAAATTTTAAAAGTTAAAATTACTATAAATACAATGATGGATCAATTACAAACTTTTGCAAATGAAGTTACTAAAGTTGCTACTGAAGTTGCAAATGGTGAATTAGGTGGACAAGCTAAAAATGAAGGATCTGTTGGTATATGGAGATCATTAACTGATAATGTTAATATAATGGCACTTAATTTAACAAATCAAGTTAGAGAAATTGCTGATGTTACAAGAGCAGTAGCAAGAGGTGATTTATCAAGAAAAATTAATGTTCATGCACAAGGAGAAATTTTACAATTACAAATGACTATAAATACTATGGTTGATCAATTAAGAACTTTTGCATTTGAAGTATCTAAAGTTGCAAGAGATGTTGGAGTTTTAGGTATATTAGGTGGTCAAGCATTAATTGAAAATGTTGAAGGTATATGGAAAGAATTAACTGATAATGTAAATGCAATGGCTTTAAATTTAACTACTCAAGTTAGAAATATTGCTAATGTTACTACTGCTGTTGCAAAGGGGGATTTATCTAAAAAAGTAACAGCTGATTGTAAAGGTGAAATATTAAATTTGAAATTAACTATAAATCAAATGGTGGATAGATTATTAAAATTTGCTTCTGAAGTTACAACATTATCAAGAGAAGTAGGTACATTAGGTATATTGGGGGGACAAGCTAATGTTCAAGATGTTGAAGGTGCATGGAAAGCAGTTACTGAAAATGTAAATCTTATGGCAACAAATTTAACAAATCAAGTTAGATCAATAGCAACAGTTACAACAGCAGTAGCTCATGGTGATTTATCACAAAAAATAGATGTTCATGCCCAAGGAGAAATTTTACAATTGAAAAACACCATAAATAAAATGGTGGATTCTTTACAATTATTTGCTTCAGAAGTTTCAAAAGTTGCAAGAGATGTAGGTATAAATGGTAAATTAGGTATTCAAGCACAAGTTAGTGATGTAGATGGGTTATGGAAAGAAATTACATCAAATGTAAATACAATGGCATCAAATTTAACATCTCAAGTTAGAGCATTTGCACAAATTACTGCTGCAGCAACAGATGGTGATTTTACAAGATTTATAACAGTTGAAGCATCGGGGGAAATGGATGCATTAAAAACCAAAATCAATCAAATGGTTTTAAATCTTAGAGAATCAATTCAAAGAAATACAGCAGCAAGAGAAGCTGCTGAATTAGCTAATAGTGCAAAATCTGAATTTTTAGCTAATATGTCCCATGAAATTAGAACTCCATTAAATGGTATTATTGGTATGACTCAATTATCATTAGATACAGAATTAACTCAATATCAAAGAGAAATGTTATCAATTGTTCATAATTTAGCAAATTCTTTATTAACTATTATTGATGATATTTTAGATATTTCTAAAATTGAAGCAAATAGAATGACTGTTGAACAAATTGATTTTTCATTAAGAGGTACAGTATTTGGAGCATTAAAGACATTAGCTGTAAAAGCAATTGAAAAAAATTTAGATTTAACTTATCAATGTGATTCATCTTTCCCAGATAATTTAATTGGTGATTCTTTTAGATTAAGACAAGTTATATTGAATTTAGCAGGTAATGCTATAAAATTTACAAAAGAAGGTAAAGTAAGTGTTAGTGTTAAAAAATCAGATAAAATAGTTGAAGATTCAGATAAATTATTATTAGAAGTTTGTGTTAGTGATACAGGTATTGGAATTGAAAAAGATAAATTAGGTTTAATTTTTGATACATTTTGTCAAGCTGATGGATCAACTACAAGAAAATTTGGTGGTACTGGATTAGGTTTATCAATTTCAAAACAATTAATTCATTTAATGGGAGGAGAAATTTGGGTTACTTCAGAATATGGATCAGGTTCAAATTTTTATTTTACAGTTAGTGTATCACCATCAAATATTAGATATACAAGACAGACAGAACAATTATTACCTTTCAGTTCTCATTATGTATTATTTGTATCAACTGATCATAGTAATGAAGAATTACAAGAAATTAAAGATGGTATAATTGAATTAGGATTAAATCCAATTATTGTTCATAATATAGAAGATGCTAATTTAATTGAACCAATAAAATATGATATTATAATGATTGATTCCATCGAAACTGCAAAAAAATTACGTTTATTATCAGAAGTTAAATATATTCCTTTGGTGCTAGTACATCATTCAATACCAGAATTAAATATGAGAGTTTGTATTGATTTAGGTATATCATCATATGGTAATACCCCATGTTCAATAACAGATTTAGCAAGTGCATTAATCCCAGCATTAGAATCAAGATCAATATCACAAAATTCAGATGAATCAGTAAGTTATAATATCTTATTAGCAGAAGATAATTTAGTAAATCAAAAATTAGCAGTTAGAATTTTGGAAAAACAAGGTCATAAAGTAGAAGTAGTTGAAAATGGTCTTGAAGCATTTGAAGCAATTCAAAAAACAAAATATGATGTAGTATTAATGGATGTTCAAATGCCAGTAATGGGAGGATTTGAATCAGTTGAAAAAATAAGACAATGGGAAAAAAAATCAAACCCTATTGATTCATTAACTTTTAGAACTCCAATTATAGCATTAACAGCTCATGCAATGTTAGGAGATCGTGAAAAATCTTTAGCAAAAGGTATGGATGATTATGTATCAAAACCATTAAAACCAAAATTATTAATGCAAACTATAAATAAATGTATTCATAATATAAATCAACTCAAAGAATTATCAAAACAAAATAATAATAATAGAACATCAGATTTTGCAAAAAAATTGAAAAAAAATTCAACTGGTTTAAAAAATGGAAGTAATGGATCAATATCACCTCATTCAAATAATGGGAATACGAACAGTAGATCACAAAATAGTTCACCCTCTCGTCCATCATCTTCATCAAGCAGTATAAACAATGGCTTTTCATCATTCCAACAACAATATAATACTCATCAACAACAACATCAACAACCATATCATCCTAATTTCACACAATCTAAATCATCATCATCAATAAATTTATCATCTACTGATAAAAAAACAACCACCACCAGCCAAGAAAATAATCCATTATTAAATATATTAAGACCAACATTAAGTAATCGATCCGTTACTGAATCTACTGTATTAACATATAAATCAAATAAAATTACAGAATTAAATGATGATGATGATTGTATGGATATTGATGATTCAAAAAATTAAAAAACACAAATAATTAGAGATAATAAAATACAATTAATATTTATCTAGTTTTCTCTATTTTATTTTATCTTCCAGTAACTATAAATTTCCCACCACTTATTTTCTTCTTCTTACCAAATTTTAATATAGTTGAATCAATTTTTTTCCCAACTTTAATAAAATCATCAAAAAATTCACAAAGTTCTTCATATTTCCAAATAGATTGAATTGACAATAATTGTTTAAATCTTAAATTAACATCTTTGGATAAATTTGCGGGGTTAATATATTTTATATATTGATTATTTTGATGAATGTAAGTTACGTAATTTCCTTTTATTTGTAATAAATCTAGTGGGAAATTATAAAATGACGGAAGGGAATTTTTCCAATTCAAATAAAAATCATTCAATTTCAATTGTTTCAGTTTTGTTAATTCAATAATTCCAAACCATGATATAATTTTTTCATTATTTAATTTATATTTCCCATTTTTCTCAGTAGTAAATTTCAAAATAATTGATTCTACTAGTATTGATAAATGATCGATTACTATTTCATCTTTTACGAACTCATAATCTGTAGATTTAGTACTTATTAGGTAAGTAATTAAATCAAATAATATTTCAGTTATTAAACTAAAAGATATTTTAAATACTTTGGAATTAAATTCAATAAAATTTAATTCAATCCATTTCAATTCAAATTCCTCGAGTGAACAAGGACTTTTTTCAAATAATTCATTTTTAGTAACTCTTCTTCCACTTATCTTCTCAATATCTTTTTCATTTTCTAGTATTGGTATATTTAATTCATCATTAATTAATCCAGGTATTTCATTAATTTCATATTGATAAAAACATTTATCATACCCCACAAGTCTAGAACCACCACCACCGAAAAATTCATGATTCATTAATAAAATAGTATTTGAATGATTATTTTGTCTCATCCTAAAAGTTTTATTGGTTGTTGTTAATAATACATTACTATTTTCTTTCGTTGTTTTTAATTGTAAATTATTTGAATTTTGAAGGTGAGTTATTGTTTGTGGTGGGATTTGGATTAATTTGTAAGTGTAGTTGTCATTTGGTCGTAGTTGTTGATACACTTCTATTTTATTTGACATTTCTTTTAGTAGCTGTTGATTGTAATTGATTCATTGAGATGAATACTGATTTAATGTTTGGTATAACTTTTAAAAAAGTAAATAAAACGCGTCTATTTTTGTGTCACCAACACGTGATTACACATTTATATACAGTACAGTTGATATTGGACCCCTTACCACTAACAAAGAAAGCTAATATTCTATTGAACTCTAAAAATAACCAAGAGATAAAATTAAATTTTTTAAATTCATTTTTATTAAACGTATATATATAATTATCAAAATATTCTAAAATCTCAACAACCTCCACCCTAAAAATTAGAACCTTGATTAATATTTCTATCTCTTACACCCAATTCACCATTAAAAAATTCATCACTACCTAATTTTTCATTCTTACGCCAAAAAGTCCAACCATTTTCATGATCTTTATTGTTTCTTCTTTTGAGATAAAATAATATTGATATAAGACCAATTAAAATAGATCCACCAACTCCAACAACTACTCCTACAACAATTTTATTTGTTTGTGATAATCCTCCTCCATTAGAATCTCTATTTTGAGCTGAATTTGTTGATGTTGGATCAGATGATATTATTGATGTTTGAGTTATAACAATTGTTGAACCACCTTGAACTGATGATAATGTAGTTACTTGTCTTGTTACTGATGATGAATCTCTATCTGATGATGATGATTCTCTACTTGATGATGATGATGTTGAACTTGATGATGAAGAAGATGTGGTTGATTCTGATTCTGATTCAGTTTCCGCTACTGCTTGTGAATTTGAACTTGATGATGATGTTGTAGATGATGATGAAGTTGTAGAAGTAGTTGATTCTGTTGAACTTGATGTTGTTGAAGATGATGAAGTACTTGAAGTTGTTGAACTTTCACCAGTTTCTGTTGGGAATCCACCACCACCAGTATTAGAATTTTGTGAATTTCCATTACTACTAAAACCATTAGTAGTAGTTGAACTTTCAACAAACGAAGAAAAAACTCCACCACCATTTGATGTTAATGAAGATTGACCATTTAATGATTGACCATTACCAGATGAACTTGATGTTGTAGTAGTTGTATTATCAGCTCTTTTTTCATGATCAATTATAATTTTATGATTAAGATTTAAATTTTTAAAATTAAAACTGAAAATTGATGATGTTGTTGTAGCTGTTGTATTTAATAATGATGCTGTTGATTCCAAATTTTGTGAAAAAGATTCCTTTTTGTTGTTGTCGGTATTGTTATGAGACATATGACAATTTGAATGAAAATAAAGGTATATAAATGATAATAATAAACTTATACTTAAAAAAATTTTAAATAAATATGATTTATTATTTCGACTACTATTATCATTTTTAATATTAAGTGTATCATTATTTATTGAAGTATAGGGTATATGTTTCTCCATTTTTGATGTATATAATTAGTTGTGTTGATATTTGGAAATGTAATAATTTTTTAATTTATTTAGTTAAATGATTTGAATAAATAAAAACTGTAATGTAATACCTCTTAAATGGTCTTAATATAATATTGAATATAAATAAAGTCTATCTATTACTTTGTTGTAACACCTTTGTATAATAAATAATGTCTTTGAAATTTGATGTAAATTATAAATTAATAAATCAAAAAATTATCGGTTAATATTATTGTGGGCTGTGATTCTTAAAAAATAATAATAAAATTTTTTTCTTCTTCCAATTTCTTTGCCGTATAATTCAAATTTTAAATATATTAGTAAAAGATAGTAAGTAACCAATGATAAATAAGATGGAAAGATGATAGCTAGTTGAATTAAAATGGATATTAAATTATGGTTAAAATAATATGAAATTATTTCTAATTGTTTAAAAAATGAGAAAAAAAAAAAATAAATTTTTTTGTTGATGATTTTTTTTTTAAAATTAATAAATTTCAATTAAAGAAACAAATTAAAAAATAAACAAAAAAAACAATAAAAAAAAAACAAAAGTAAAAAATGTCGAGTCGGAACCTTTAATTAAAATAATAATTCAATTCAAAACCAATGTTCAATTAAAGTGCTTATCAAATACTTTGTAATTCAAAATTATAATAATTTATTATATCAATACTGTGAGTATTTGTATTAAATTAGATTATAATAATATAAAATTCCATTATTGTGTAATTGTTTACTTTCTTTTTTTTTTAATTGTTACCGTTTAATTTTTTTGTTTAAATTAATTAATAATGTTTATTTATAGTAACAAATTATTATAGTGTACCTTATTTGTTAAATTCAAGAGTAATGTTTGATCATCAATTTATACGTGTGTCTCAACTCTACCAATATACTTACCAAAGGGTCAAACTGAACTATAAAGCTTGAACCCACGTCATTAATACTGGGTAGAATGAAATTATCATATGATTTATACCAAAACTTAAATCTCTAACGCAAAAAATGAATATAGACCTCGTAAAAATTTAAATTTAAATTTTAGATGATGAATAAAGTTGAATATTATTGAAAAAGAAATACAATTAAGAGTTCAAAAACTAGTGGTAGATATTCAAATTAATAGTTATTACTGGCTTTTTGAAAATTTTATTAAATCTTCGTTTATTAGTAAATTGAATGTTACAAATGTTAATGATAGAATATCGTGTCTTATATTTCTAATTATTATAATTTGGAATGAGTAGTGTAAAGACGCACAAAAATTTATAATATTATCGTCTATTAAAATTAAACGGTAGATTTTAGATTAAATTTTCAGGTACTTATACCACAATTAATGTATTGGTCACTTTGATGAGCTTTGAGAGATAGACACTTAGTCTTTAGTAATCAGTAGTGTTTGATTAGTTTTTTTGATAGTATAGTTTCCATTTTCTAATACTTCTACATATTTTCCCCCTTTCGCTTATAAATTAATTTTTGTTACCATTGAGTAGATATATCTGAAACTTTGTCTTAAATTTACATGACTAGACTAGACATTTAACTTAAAAATTATTCTAGAATAGTCTTGAAATTTCCAGTATATGGTAGCACCCAATTATTTAATTAGTTTTGCAGCCAATTCCCCTTTTGAAATTTAATGACTGATCTATTTAATTCTTTTATATTCTACTGACCAACGATAAAAATACATGTGGGTCCAAATTATTAATACGTTTTCAATTAATATATAAAGATGTAAAAATTAGCAATTAAGTTAAACTTTCAATTTTTTTCAATTCAATTAATTCAAAACAATTTTTCATTCTTTTGTTAATCTTAATTAAATACTAACTAACTAACTTTTATTGCTGCTTAAATATGTCATACTATTATACTACATCACCAAATTATTCAAATTATCAAAATCAGATTGATATCAATGATTTAATTTCATTATTAACAAATCAAAATTTTGAACAACAACAACAAAAACAAATTCAAAATTATTTAAATACAGAATTACAAAAACATAATCAAATTATAAAACCAAGAGTTATTAAAAAATTAGAAACTGAAGATGAATTTCAAATTCAAATTTATAAACCTTATGGTAATTATAATAATTATGAAGTTTTAATTAAACATATTCAACCTCATCAACCAATTATTAATTTAGAAATTTATTCAAAAGAAGATCAATTTAAAGTTATATTTAAATTTAATTTAAATTATATTGATATTAATAATATTAATTGGAAATGGTATAAACAAAATAATATTTTAGTTTTAAATATTCCTAAAAAATTACATTTTATTAATCATCAATATGATGATATATTGAATCATTTATTAGATTCAAATTCTCATTTATTAAATAATGGTCAATGTTTTGAAAATAACGATGATGAAGTTGGGTATTACCTTAATAATAATGAACAGGAACCACAAGAAGATGAAGATGAAGCAGAACAAGATGAAAATTTAGATAATTCATTAAATGATCATGATAAATTAATTAGAGATGCTATTAATTCATTAATTTCTCAAAATCATCAATCAAATGGTAATTATAAACCAAAACAACAACAACAACAACCACCTAAAGATTTAGAAGCTAAACAAAAAGCAGAAAAACAAGCTAAAGAAGAAGAAGAAGCTAAACAAAAGGCAATTGAAGAAGCAGAAGCAAAAAGAAAAGCAGAATTTGAACAAGCTAAAAAACAAGCAGAGGAATTACAAGCAAAACAAAAAGCTGAAGCTGAAGCAAAACAAAAAGCAGAAGCAGAAGCAAAACACAAAGCTGAGTTAGAATCCCAAAGAAAAGCCAAATTAGAAGCTAAAAAACAAAAACAACAAGAATTACTTAAAAAGAAACAAGAATTATCAGAAAAAAGAAAACAATTTGAATTAAAACAACAAAAAGATGCAAAATTATTACAAGATCAACAATTAGAAATTGATAATTTATTAAAACAACATGAAATTGAATCAGAAAATGATATTGGTCATGATGTTGATGATTATGATCAAGATTTTACAAATCCTGCTTTTATCAAGGAACAACAAGATTATTTAAATAAATTATTTGGTTATAATTTAGGTCCTGTTTTATTCAATAACTTATCTGGTCAAGGTCAACCTCAACAAAGACAACAACCACAAAGTCAATCAAAACAACCTCCACAACAACAACAACAACAACAACAAGAACAACATATTCCACCACAAAAACCACAAAAGCCAATAAATTTAAAACCAAAAACTCAACAACAACAACAGCAACAACCACAATCAACTAGTTCAAAAAAGCCATTACCAAAACAAATTAACAAATTAAATTTACCAAATATTAAAAAATCAAATTCTCCAACTATTGAAGATGTCGAAGATGAAGAGAGTATTTTATTTAGAAAAAAATTTGATCATTAAATTTTCCCAACTATATAGTTCATTTTTAATATAATTCCATTTTTTTAAGATTCAAATTATTTATTGTAAAATCCCTCTCAATTTTAATTTATTTATTTATTTATAGTAGTTTCGAAATTCAAAGTGGTGTTTCAGAATTTGCGCGAAACCTGATAGCGCGGGGCGGGGACAAGAAATTATCGCGAACACAGCACGAACTCGTTCTATCTACGCTCTAAATTAAATTTCACATTTTCTCTTAAACAGAAAATCTTGTTGGTCATCAAACCAAATCCAAAGCTTTATCATCTATAGAGCTCAAATCCACCGAACGAAATTCTGCAGTAACTCAATTTTTTGTAGTGATTTGCAAAATTTTGTTTCAAAAATTTGTCAATTTTAATCTGCAAATAATGCATCACACACAAATAACTAACTCTAGGAATTAATAAACTACACATAAGAAGTACCAGAAGAGCTCAAAAATGGACCAATTTTCAAATTCTACTTTTAGAAGTTTTAAATCGCCAAAAACACCAACTTAATCATCATAATTTTCACCAAAAAACAACACTATGAGTCAATTTGATAACTAAACAATATATTAATGTCCAAATTTGGATTCAAAAGGGTGAAAAATGTATTAATTATTGTTGTTTTAAAAAATGGTAAAATTGCTGCAAATTAGCTAAATTCACCGTTTTTTGCGACTCACCCCTGTAAGAGATTGTAATTTGTAAAATTTTCAACACAACAAATTTAATTTTGAACATACAAAGTTAAATTACTTTTGAGAAAGTTACATAAAGGTAGGAGAGCACTATAGAACTCTTTAATTTTGTCTTGAAACAATTGCGAAGGAATTATTATACAAATTCGTTTTTCAAAAAATTTGTTCTTGAACCTCTAATTTTACAGTTTCAACTATTTGGAAAACTTCACGGGGTACCTTTTAACTCTCCCAGTAAGATTAGCTATTCTGTCTTATCAATTTTTATCTTTAATGTGCAAAAACTTCCAGAAAATGTGTTTTGATGCCCATTTTTCGTTTGAAATGGAGGTCAAAAAATTTGGGTATTTTTGGTAAATGCACGAAAAAATTCTTAAGTATTGTGGTTGAGATGTTTTTGTTTAGGGCGAGAGTAATACAGTTTCGCTTTACGCTTGTGCGAAAGTTAAATAAAAACTTTACAATTTCGGGTGACCAAACAATGTGGTATAGACGTAAAAATTTACACATTTAGAACAAAATAGCATTGAATCGTTCTAATAGAAATCAAACAGTTAAGTTTTATATTTTTAAAATTACACTAGAGATAATTTCATTTAAAATCTCGTATTATTAATAAATATATATATGAAATTATAGCAAAAATAAATTATAAAATAATATAACCATTAGTTGAATTTGAATCTGAAATTTTATAGTGGGCCAAACTACGCAAAATGGATCCTAATTTGACAATAATTAATTATTTGGAAATAGATAGCAAATGAATTGAACTTATTAGTCCTTTGAAGTAAAAAATTTGATTTTCTTTGAATGCTGATAATTGTAGTTTTGTAGTTAAATTTTAGTACTAGTACGTTTGAAGTTGAGTAACTGCACTAGTAATTTTAATTTTGAGTAATAGTACTTGTGATTTTTTAGATGAATTAATTGGACCAATCTTATTGTAGTTGATTAGTAATTATGATAGTAAGTCTTAATAAAGCTGAATCTTGTGATAATAATTTGACAGGTAATTTTTGTAATATTGATATTGAATAAAAAAAATTAAATTTTTAGTAATGTAATTGAGGTGAAAACTTTTGAGCAGCTTTGTTATCTTCCAAACCACTACCTAGTTATAAAACATACTGAAAGAATGACATTCTAATTGAGGTGAAACTCTTGATTTTGATTATCTTTCTAATCTTCTTCACCCAGAAACAAATTATTAATGAGAATAAGCTGTAAATAATTAAACCATAACACCAAAACCAGCATCTTTTAATTTTAAAAGTCTTTATTAATATCAAAAAGTTTTTTTTTTTTTAAGGTTTTATCTTTTATACTTTCTTTTTGCTTTTTATATTTTGGTTAAAAAAACAGCCAAAAATCGCAAATACTCTGGATCACTGTATCAGATGATAATTTTTGATTTGTTCAGATCTATAAGTTTCTTTAGCCTCTTCCTTATTTTCATCTCCCTTTTCTATTTGATGTCTAGATAATTTTCCAATAAATTCATAAAAAGGACGATGGGCTTCTGTTATACAATTGTCAATTTCTTCATTAAAATTGGGGTTTTTTGGATTTTTCAATATAGGTTTCAATTGAAGTTTATCTTTAGTAGATCTTTTTGATCTCTTAACTTTTCTTTTTAACAATTTGAATTTTTCAGTTAATGCTTTAAATTTGTTAGTTAATGAATTTCCATTTTTATCATCAAATCCATGAATTTGACTCAACATAAATGGTTGATGGTTGATATTTATTGATTAAAAGATAATAAAGTTTGATTGATATAATGAAATTGATTGGGTTGGTAAATTATATAAAATTTGGTTGTAAATAAAAAAGTTAGAAAAAAGTGGGAAATTTGATATGTTTTGCAACCAAAAATGAATTTAAAGTGAGAATTTTGTTAAGAGGGAAAAAATAATTTAATGAAAATGAAAATAAAGTAGAAAATTAATGTGAATTTAATTATAGAGATTGACGTATAAAAATATCTTTCTTCTAGTAATATTTATAATGAATGTCCAATGTTAAAACACTCTAGGATATCCCTTTTATATCGTTCGATTGTTTTGATGCAAATTAAACGGATTACTAGACCTGGTCGCAACACAGTCTTATAAATATAGTGACAAATCAAAAAAAAGAAAATAAAGTCACAGAAAGCCAAAAAAAAGACACGACAGAAATATTCGCTTTTGATCGAGTTAGAAGTAGAGCTAATAATGATGGTGGTTATAGCAAAATAGTGGAGAATATGGACGAAGAGATTTTGAAAGACCAATATATGATAACAGATGTCGAGTAAGTCTTGTAGAGCACAATAATTCTTTGATGGTTGAATATAAAAGTAATAATAATGAATGGGTTAGCGCGCTAAATTTGAGGACTAATGAAATTATGTTTACGTATTAAGATTTTTCGAACGTCTTAGATAAGACTTATTTTACATCAAATCATTATCAAAAGTAATTCCAAGTCAGGTTCAATTGTTTTACTAATAGTCATTTAAAATCAATTTATTCCCAATAAATCAAACATCACCTGATAACATAAGAAGAAATGCAGAATGAGGGGTAAATCAACTAATTAACTCATATCCAACAGATGTAGTTCGTTTGATTTTAGACGTGTCAGTGAATAACTCACTTTCGATTAATTCACGTCAAAAGTGGTTAGCAAATTTAAGAATGTCAATCCGTAGTTTCAGTTGATGTGGTTTAACACTTTAATTGAATCTTCCTCATCTTAAGATTTGAGAATTTTTGATAAGATCTGAACTATTATATTTGCCATTTTACAACTCATTACTCAAAACTTTGAAGTGGCGCTACTTGTTTTTATTACAAATTGCATCAATTTTTGACAAATGGCATAAGTTACTAAAGTGAAAGAATAAAGCAACAACTTACCAATAAAAATTTCGAAATTTTCGATTACCTATCAGGTTATGTCATGGCAAAAACATAAAGACATTTGTAAAGTTGTTGTGAGGAAATGATACAGAAATTAATCAAAGTTTTATTCATAACAGATTATAATGACGTATCAAAAGCATAAAATTATATATCTTGGATCAATTAATGTCAGATTCATATTTCAACTACGAAAATAAAAGTTTCGGGTACTTCAAATACGAAATTTGCATTTGAATGGTGGAATAATTATTGAAATGGTTTTTGGAGCCAGTTTTGAAATTACAAGAGAACTAGGTGAAGAAAATTTTACTTTTTGGTAATTTAGCAGAACCAGTTGAAAAGTTAAGACATCGACATTTTGTAAATGAAATTACAATTCCAAAAACATTATAAAAAGTATTTACAGCTGTATACGAGGGAAAATTTGGTAATCCAGAAGATTTCCAACCATTAATTGGTTCCATAAGGTATCATGGGGTATTATTTAGTAAGTGATGGTTTCAATTTATTTTAGATGCTCACAAAAAGTTAAAAAACGTATTTGGTCATCATGGAGGTGATTCAGAAGATGGTATTCATTTACACAAATGAGTCAAAATGTGTTTGTTGTGTTGCTAATATGGGTTTTTTTTCAAGTGATCGTTGCAATGATGAAGATGCTGGAAATGTTTGAAATGTTGAACATTCAAATATTAAATTGTCAGATGTTGATTACTTTGTAAATGGGTTTATCATACATTTATCAAATTTTGAATGAGAATATTTATGAAGGTACAGTTGATAAAAAATTTTGATTACAAGTGAATGCAATTGTTGAAGTCTAAGTCGTCAATTAGAAGAAGAAGTTGGTGCATACCTGGGAGATTTAGAACCTTATGGTTCTGACAAATATTTATTTCAATAGTTTTTGCAACATATGGAGAAATGAATATACTTTGATTTTAGTTAACACATTATAGTTGCAAATTCTCGCTACCAACTACTACAATACGTCAAATCTGCATTCCAAATTTATTTAGGGTTATTTAGGGTCTGAATTTGCATCAATTGAGATACATACTAAGGATCCACATACCCGAAGTCGAAGATAGCATTACAAAATAACAAAAATCACCAAATATAAATTCTCAAGATTTTCCCAAATCGATTTCAAAATTTATGTCACTTTTTTTTTACTTCTTTCTCACTAATAATAAATTTCACCTTTTCCACAGCTTCACAGCATACTTCTTCTGACTGTGAGAGTTTATAAGTTCAATCCACTTTATTATTATTAAATTCAAACTTTTTTCCAATTACTTATTAATTATGTCAATTTTCAAAAAAATTTCATTATTTCACCACTCAAAAAAATCAACTAAACCATCATCATCAGAATCATCATCAGTTACAGAATCATCACCAGAATCATCATCAATTGATAAAAAACACCATAAAATTTTCAGAAAAATATTCAAATTAAATAAAAAATCAAAAAAATCAGCTACACCACCACCACCACAACAACAACATAATTTAGTTCAATCAACTGCACAAGAACAAGAAGAAGAAGAAGAAGAAGAAGAAGAAGAAGAACAACAACAACAACAACAATCACAACAACAACAACAACAACAACAACAATTAATTGATTCAGCTTCAGAATTACCATCAAGTAGAGCATTAATATTATTTAGACCACAACAACAACAACATCAACATCAACATCAACAATTAGTATTGTTCCACCAAATTCAACCACAAACGACTCATAATTTTAGCATTGAAGTTATGGAGGTACATGAGGATGAATCTTTAGATGAAGTTGATATTATTCATCCAAATTTAATCTTTGATGAACAAGGGATTATAATTGAGATCAATCCCAATATTAATGAATTTGATTACACATATACGTTTGATGAAGAAAATTTAACATATGTAAGAAGAGAATTATCAATCGAATCAATACCATTTGTATTCAATGGACTAAATAACAGGTTTTTCAATGCAGATGTATCATATGCAAGTGTTGAAGGTGAATCATATGATCAACATAACTTTTTCCATTATACTGAAGAATATCAAGAAGATGAAGAAATAGAAATAAATAATACTTTCTCAAGGTTTAAAAAAGTTTTCTCAAAATTAAAAATGTATGTTAAGAAAAGAATAAAAGTATTGATGCAGAAGCACTGATACTAAGGTGTTTAATAAAATTTAAATTTTATGGTTTTAGTTGTTGTACCTAATATTTTCATTTATTAAAACACCAAAACTTTACAAAATTATAAAAAATTTAAAAGTGAATTTAAATACTAGTGTGTTTTGTTGTTGAACATTCTTATTTACTTCACCACAAAAATTAAATCTTAAAAAAATTATTAATACTAATCATTTGATTCTACATTATCACAAAAATATTCAATTTAAAAAAAATTCATCAATACTTATCATTTGATTCTACATTATCATAAAAATATTCAGTTCAAAAAAAAATCATTAATACTGATCAGTTAATTCTACATTATTACAATAATATCCAGTCTAAAAAAAGTCATTAATACTAATCAGTTGATTCCGATACTAAGGTGTTTGATAAAATTTAAATTATATGGTTTTAGTTGTTGTACCTAATAATTTTATTTACTAAAACACCAAAATTTTACAAAATTATAAAAACCTAAAAGTGAATTTAAACATTAATGTGTTTTGTTGTTGAACATTCTTATTTACTTCACCACAAAAATTAAATCTTGAAAATATCATTGATTCTACTAATCAGTTGATTCTACATTATCATAAAAATTCAATTCAAAATAAAAATCATTAATACTAATCAGTTGATTCTACATTATCACAAATATATTCAAAATCAACTAAAAATCATTAATACTAATCAGTTGATTCTACATTATCATAAAAATATTCAATTCAAAAAAAAATCATAATCCTCATCAGTTGATTCCGATACTAAGGTGTTTGATAAAATTTAAATTATGTGGTCTTTGTTGTTGTACCTAATAATTTTATTTACTAAAACACCAAAATTTTACAAAATTATAAAAAATCTAAAAGTGAATTTGAATATTAATGTGTTTTGTTGTTGAACATTCTTATTTACTTCACCACAAAAATTAAATCTTACAAAAATTATTAATACTAATCAGTTGATTCTACATTATCACAAAAATATTCAAAATCAACTAAAAATCATTAATACTAATCAGTTGATTCTACATTATCATAATAATATTCAATTCAAAAAAAAATCATAATCCTCATCAGTTGATTCCGATACTAAGGTGTTTAATAAAATTAGATTATATGGTCTTTGTTGTTGTACCTAATAATTTTATTTACTAAAACACCAAAATCCTACAAAACTTTAAAAAATCAATAGGTGAATTTGAATATAAATGTGTTTTGTTGTTGAACATTCTTATTTACTTCACCACAAAAACTAAATCTTGAAAATATCATTGATACTACTAATCAGTTGATTCTACATTATCATAAAAATTCAATTCAAAAAAAAATCATATTCAGATGATTCTACATTACCACAATAGTATTCAATCTAAAAATGAATCATTAATACTGATCAGTTGACTCTACATTATCATAAAAATTCAATTCAAAATAAAAATCATTAATACTAATCAGATGATTCTACATTACCACAATAATATTCAATCTAAAAAAATATCATTAATACTAATCAGTTGATCCTACATTATCACAATAATATTCAGATAGAAAAAAATCATTAATACTAATCAGATGATTCTACATCATCACAATAATATTCAATTCAAAAAAGAATCATTAATACTAATCAGTTAATTCTACATTATTACAATAATATTCAATCTAAAAAAAATCATTAATACTAATCAGTTGATTCCGATACTAAGGTGTTTGATAAAATTCAAATTATATGGTCTTTGTTGTTGTACCTAATATTTTTATTTACTAAAACACCAAAATTTTACAAAGTTATAAAAAACCTAAAGGTGAATTCAAATATCAATGTGTTTTGTTGTTGAACATTCTTATTTACTTCACCACAAAAATTAAATCTTAAAAATATCATTAATTCCAATCAGTTGATTCTACATTATCATAAAAATTCAATTCAAAAAAAAAAATCATTAATACTGATCAGATGATTCTACATTATCATAATAATATTCAATCTGAAAAAAATCATTAATATTAATCAGTTGATTCAATATATAATTCATTTGATGCAGAAATATCTGTATCAAAGTGTTTGATAAAATNTACATTATCATAAAAATATTCAATTCAAAAACTTATCATTAAAACTAATCAGTTGATTCTACATTATCACAAAAATATTCAAAATCGACTAAAAATTTCAATTGACTTCTTTTATTGCTTTCAAAATTAAATCATCATTATTGCAATTCAAATTTCAAAATAAAAAATTAATATAAACAAATTAATTTTCCTAATCTACCACAACAAATCATAAATATATTAAATTCAACATTTCCAATTGACTGGCCACTCAATTAGTACAATTTTAATGTATTCACAAAAATCACAATTTCAAATCACCAAAAATTATTTGTTTAATTCAATAATGTACAGAAAAAAAATTGTTTTATAAGCAAAGATTGCTATTTTATATTAAAGTAAAATATACTTCCAATTTCTTTCAACTTTTTTCTGTAGTAATCATCTCTATCTCTATTCTCTAATAATGAGCTTGATACAATGTGCGAACAGAAATTATGAAACTCTACTACTATTGCAACCATTTCATGATTGCGTGACGTTTTTTACAAGAGTGTTTCAACAGATTCAATCAAGATGAATAGTAGAAGAATGTGTATTTGATAAATGTATACACTATGATCTCTTGACCAGTAAATGAATGTTAATACCAATGAGAGAAAACTGAAGATAATAATCCAAATGTGATCAACCTGAGTAAAGTTTGGTGATGTATAAGTAGAATCAATTTAGTTGAATCATTTGTGATTGTATCTAAAGGTGAGCACTTGTCAATGGTGTTGAAGGTGATGATGGATTCGAACCACCAATTCTCGTTGTCCAGAAGCTGTCACTTTTACAACAACCTTAAATTAGATTTTGAGTATATAAAAAGTAAATAACTGGACTAGTACATTCGTTGCTCAAGTTTGATCTAGATTCTTGTTTTATTGACATTTTGACAGCTATTCTATTCTCAAAAACTTTAATTCAATTCAAGTAAATTATCTTGGTCCTGATTAGGATGATTTTCTCACAACTGTTGATTCAGGTGCTATTTATTTATTGATTGTAGAAAACTTCCCTTGATTGTTCTTAAAACTGCTCAACCTCTATAACTTTACCTTATTGACAATAAAATAATAAATTTGAGATTATGTTTTACATCACCTGTGATGCTACTATCTAAAATAACATTTTTGACAAAAATAATCATTTCCAAATTCATCACATTAAAACCACATATCGACCTATTAACATGTTATATCTTTTTGAAATGAAAAGAACCCAAAATATGAGAATACTGAACAATAATAAACTTCAATGTCCCATTGGTTTTCTCTTTGACTGTTTTTTAAATCTGCCAATTGTGAAACATTAACATCGAGTTTGAAATTTTGGCAACCAAAATTTTAGAATTGAAAAATAGCCCAGTTTTTTGATCGCCAAATTTAATTTTGAGAACCTGCATTGTAAGCATTCATTAATTTGAATTCCACCTTGAACATCTTGAAATTATTTGGAACTTATGAGTACCTGTTCCTAATTTAATTTTTGTTACCACTAAATTTAATCTATGTGAATTCTCATCCCATCTCATCTCAATTCTTAATTAAAACTTAATCTATACCTATCATACTACTTGGAAGTAAAAAAAGTAGCGCTTATACAAGTTGATCTTCAAACATTTGCAACTTTTTAAGACCATTAACTGATTAGTTAAAGTTATGAATAAAAAACTAAATATATATGATAAACACGTCTTATAAAAATAAATGATTTAACGCGCTAAATCTGAGCACTAATTAAAGATCAATTTTCTTAGAATTTCTAGGGCATAAATTACTTCAAATTAATAACATCATTTAAACTAGAAAGTTAAGTTAATTGCAATTGTCATTTGTACTCAATTGATTCAAGAATGCCTGATATACTTCAATTGATAGTAAATCAATCATCACCGGATAATAATATAAGAAGAAGTGCAGAATTAGAATTTAATCAATTAGTTAAATCAAATCCAAATGAATCATTTTATTTAATATTAGAAGCATCAATTAATAAATCACTTCCAATTAACTTACGTCAATCATGTTTATTAAATTTGAAGAGATTGGTACCTCAGTATTGGTCAATGGGGTTTAATTCATTTATAGGACCTCCCGTATCTCAAGATTTGAAAAATCTAATAAGATCGAAGCTTTTAGAATTAACATTTACAACTGATAATTCAAAACTAAGAAATGGAGCTGCTTATGCCATTGTTCAAATTGCTTCAGTTGACTATCCTGATGAATGGCCAGAATTAATGAATTCTTTATATCAAGCAACAACTGATTTTAACAATAATAATGCGATGTTGGGAGGATTGCAAGTTTTAACTGATTTATTCGATGATTTAATTAATGAGGATCAATTTTGGGATGGTGGAGTTGGAAATGAAGTAACTGGTCATTTACATTTAATCTTTAAAAATAATTCAATTGATATACCAGTTAAAAATCAAGCATTGAAATTATATGAAAGTGTACTAGAAATACTTCGAAGTCCAGAAGCTTTTGAGAATAATAAAAGAAAACAATTTACGATTAATCAAATCAATATCTCTTTGGAGATTTTTTCAAGTCTATTGAAAATGGAAGGGAATAATTTAATTGAATTACAATTTAAAAGCAATTTATTCAAAGTCATATCATCAATAATTGGCCAGTTTCATCAACGTATATCTAAAGATGTTAAATTCAGTGTATTATCAATAACATTAGAAGTTTTGCATTTATTCACACCAATTTACAACAATATTGCATTAGATACATATCAAGCTCCATTATATTCTGAATTAGAAGCATTATCAGTAGTTGGACAATTGATATACTATATTTTCCATACGATTGCTAGCATACAAGCTGACATACGAATTTCAGAAGTTACAACCATTCAACAATTCTTAACTGATGCGGTAATATGTACATCATTGGCAAAAGAAAAAGTTGAAGAATATGAGAATGATATAAATCTGTATATAAGTGAAATAACTGGATTGTCAGTAGATTTGAATCCAAGAGACGCTATTCTTGATTTATGGGGTGAATTAAATGAGGCAGATATAAAATTAGTAAGTGAAGCTTTGATTAGTCTGTTTGATAATAATGATAAAAGAACATTGGAAGCTCAACTTTTCACATTACAAGGAGTATTGTCAAACGATAGTCAACTACCAGAAATTCCATTAAGTAAACTACTTTCATTTATATCATATGAGTATAATCTAGTCACAGCAAACTGTTTTCTATTATTACCTAAATATTTTGAAAATTTCATGGAAAAAGAAGCAATGAAAGTATTCTATGATATGATCTCATTTGCTGAAAAAGGTGAAGATTCAATTATAAAAGTTGCAACTTTAGTAAGTTGTACATACTACCAACATGTTTTTGATTTTGCCGACCTAAATGATTCAGCTCAAGTTTCTCTATTCAAAATTGCAGAATCATTAATTGAAGAATGTGAAGATGATGGATTACCTGCATTATTGGAAGCTATTACACAAGCAATTTCTATAAATCCAACAAATGCTGCTTCGATTACTTTGCCACCAAATCAAAGTGTCATTGATTTGATTTTCATAATTGCATTCAAAGATCCTGCAAATGTCCAACTAATATCTGAATCATCGGATTGTTTAACATCATTATTAAAAAATGTCAGTCTTACGGAGTACATGAATGCATGTAACAAATCACTACCTTTTATATTTGAAAGAATGGAGGAAAGCAATGGTGAATATACTCCACAATTATATTTAAGTTTGGAATTACTCAGTATAATTATTCAGTCTACTCCTGGAGATGATTTACCTCCACAAGTATTTGAATATGCATTCCCTATATTGAAAAGGATATTAATAGAATCAACAGATAATCAAATTTTACAAAGTGGTGGCGAAGTATTTAATGAATTAATTCAAAAAGGGTCAAATTTATTCTTGGAATATCGTGATCCAACAACGAAAGAATCAGGAATTGAATCATTAATGCAAATAGTTAATAAGTTTTTATCACCAAAATTAACTGATAGTGCTGCAAATAAATGTGGTATCATTGTATTATCATTAATAAGTAAATTTCAGAATTATTTATCATCAAATATTTTAACACAAATATTAGAAGCAACTGTCAACAGATTAGTTATATCAAAAGAATCAATAACTATTGAAAATCTAATAATGGTGTTTTGTCAATTAGTTTTGAAATCACCAGAAGATACAATTAATTTCTTAAGCAATATCACGATCAACAATAAATCAGGATTACAAACAGTATTACCAATATGGTTTGAATCATATGAAGTCACTCGAGGATTTGAACAAATAAAACAAAATTCATTAGCATTAGGCAAGATTTTTTCATTGGGTGATTCAAGGATCGAAGATTTAATAGTGAATGGAGAGATCATACCATACGAAGGCGATAAAATTATAACTAGATCAATGGCCAAAACAATGCCAGACAGATTTACTCAAATATCAGCATCCCTCAAAATATTAAAATTGTTAGTAGCGGAACTACAATTCCAATGTCAGCAACCAAACGCCGCAGATTACTTACCTGAAGAAGAAGAGGATGACGATGAAGTGAAACCAAAAGCTTTGGAAGATGATGAAGGTTGGGAAGATATGGAAGATATTGGTATACCAAATTTTGAAAAATTGAAATCTTATGTTGATGAATCGGTAAAGGAACACGGTGGTGATAATAGTTTAAAAGATTTATTGATTGAATTTTTTAAAGAATGTACTGCTAAAAATTTGGGAAATTTTGGATTTTATTATGAAGAATTGAATGAAAATGAGAAGAAATTAATTAGTGAATGTTTAATATTTTAGGTATAGTAAATAAAGCAGGTGGTAAAATCCAGCGTTTATAACTTGAACAACTTATCTGGACTAGTTAAAACTACTAAAATTTTAGTTCTCCTCTCACAAAATGCTTACTCTCTTTTTTTTGCAACCAAATTTGGTTCACATTTTACTCTTCGCATAAATGAAACACAAAAACAAACATCATCTTTAACATTTCAAATATTAAATGAATCATCACCAGAAGTTCAAAAATTAATGAAATGTATTAGACGAGCTATGTCATCCATACCACAATACGATACAAGACTATTAAAAGTAAAACCAGAGTCAATAATATTTAGTAAAAATGGATCACTACCTCAAATAACAGATAAAGAGACAGAATCAAATTTACAACAAGCTTCAAATGAATTAAAATTATTAAACGTAATTGGGTTCCCCACTGAAACAGTTTATGGTCTAGGTGGATCAGCATTATCCGACCAAAGTGTACAGTCAATATATAAAGCCAAAAATAGACCAGCTGATAATCCATTAATTGTTCATATATCATCAATCCAACAACTCAAATCAAAATTATTACCACAAGATTATGAAATACCGCCCATCTATGAAAAACTAATAGCAAAGTTCTGGCCAGGTCCATTAACTATACTATTACCAAATGATCCCAAAAATTCACCAATATCATCATATGTAACGGGAAATCAAGATACATTTGCAGTAAGAATGCCTCAACATCCAGTAGCAAGAGCTATTATAGCGATAAGTGACTTACCATTAGCTGCACCATCAGCAAACTCATCAACAAAACCAAGTCCTACACTAGCTAAACATGTAATGCACGATCTTCAAGGGAAAATTCCACTAGTGGTTGATGGAGGCTCATGTAACATTGGAGTTGAATCTACTGTTGTGGATGGATTAAGTTCACCACCCATGTTATTACGACCTGGTGGGATTTCATTAGAAGAAATTAAGCTGGTAGGTGGTCCAGAATGGGAAAATATACAGATATATAAGAAAACAGGTGGTGTGGAGGAGAATGAAAAGGTTAAAACTCCCGGGATGAAATATAAACATTATTCACCAAATGCCAAAGTTATATTATTTATTAATTGTGGTGATGGATTAAAAGCAATGCAAGATTATATTGAAAAACACAAACTTAATCCACAAAACATAGCATTATTAAAGTCAAAACAATTTAAAGACTTGGAAAATATTTCAATAATTAAAAATTTAGGTTTCAAAGGTGAAGAAATATCACAAAACTTGTTCAAGTACTTAAGAGAAGTAGATGAATTAGAAATTGAATATATTTTTGTTGAAGGTATTGATGAAACTAATGAAGGTTTAGCTATTATGAATAGATTAAATAAAGCTGCTGTTGATGTTGTATATATGTAATTTAGGAAATCTTTTATAGACTTATTTGTAATATTATAACTTAAAAGATTAAGCTCCTATACTTATCGACTTATTCTAGTATTATTTGTGTATGGATCAAAATGATAGTTTCAAAATATTATAAATTAGTGGCCTAAGTCAAAAAAATTTGTCCTAATTAAGTAATTTATCGGACTTTTTTAAAGAGAGAGTCAGAGAGAAAAAGAATTTACTTATTAATGATATCATACATAATATATACAATGTACAAGAGAGAGACAAAAGATTAGATGAATAAATTGGCTTTAGCTAAGTCCGTTTAAATCGTATTTGTTGAGATCATTTAAATTCAATTTGATACTTCGTAGGAAAAATAAAATAGATTAAGTTCTGGTCAACCGCTAGCAATGAGTCTTGATCTACCGCGTCAAATATATCAAGCTAAAAGCTTTCAATCAAACACGTAAATTCTCTTTCTCTCCTTCATCTCTTTGTGATAATTCTTATCAAATTTACTAAGTAATATAATTCATTATTCTATATTGTTTTAGTATTGATTTATTTTGGTGCTGCAGATTTCAATTTTTCAATACAATTTTTTTTTCTCTCTCTCTTTTGACAAATTTAATCAACTTCAATCAAGTTTATCTTTTACTACACGTTCATTTTGCTTTATAATTATATTGAAATTTATATTAGATATTATAGATCAATCAAATTATTTATTATCAATCCCAACTCAAAGCCTTAAACATTGTACATAAATAACTCAAAGAAGGGAGACGATTCAAATTATTAACTTTTTATATCAATTGATTAGTAAAATAGAATGAGTAGTAATCCATATGACATTAGTACGGATCAATTGAAAATACCAAATAGAGCAAATACTCCATCATTAAAGTTTTGTTCTAAAACTATTGAAGAAACTACATCAGAATTAAACACAGATATAAAACTAGGTTTAACAAATAATCAAGATGTATTAAATAGAAAATCAATATATGGATCAAATGAATTAAATAATAACGAAGAAGAAAGTTTGGTGTGGAAATTTATACAATCATTTTACCAAGATCCATTAATATTGCTATTGATTGGTTCAGCAATCATAAGTTTTTGGATGGGAAATAAAGATGATGCAATAAGTATAACATTAGCAATAACAATAGTCGTAACAGTTGGGTTCGTACAAGAATATAGATCTGAAAAATCATTAGAAGCATTGAATAAATTAGTACCTGCAGAAGCCAAATTAACAAGAAACGGAAATACATCTCATGTTTTAGCATCAACTTTAGTACCTGGAGATTTAGTACATTTTGCACAAGGTGATAGAATTCCAGCAGATATAAGGTTAACTGATGCTGTATATTTAAGTATTGATGAATCAAATTTAACAGGAGAAAATAGACCGGTTAAGAAAACAACAGAAATAGTAACAATAAAGGATCCTGGTGTAACTGATAGAACAGATATAGCATATATGGGAACTTTAGTAAGAGATGGTCATGGTAGTGGGATTGTTGTTGGAACTGGTGCACAAACAGTATTTGGAACAGTATTTGAAATGATGAGTGAAATTGAAAAACCCAAAACTCCTTTACAACAAGCAATGGATAAATTAGGTAAAGATTTAAGTGTTTTTAGTTTTATAATTATCGGAATAATTTGTTTAATTGGTATTTTTCAAGGTAGATCTTGGTTGGATATGTTTCAAATTTCAGTTTCTTTGGCGGTTGCTGCTATACCTGAAGGTTTACCAATTATAGTTACAGTTACATTAGCCTTGGGAGTGCTAAGAATGGCAAAACAAAAAGCAATTGTTAAGAGATTACCAAGTGTTGAAACTTTGGGGAGTGTCAATGTTATATGTTCAGATAAAACTGGTACATTAACTCAAAATCATATGACAGTTACTAAAATATGGACAACTGATTTTAAAGGAAGTTTTAATACTCCATTTTTGGTTGTTGAAAGATTGGATGATAATACATTACACCATCAATTGACTGATAATATTAGAAAAGTATTGGAATGTGGGAATATATGTAATAATGCGAGATATTCTACAGAAAATGAAAAATATGTTGGTAACCCAAGTGATATTGCATTAGTTGAATGTTTACCACATTTTGGATTAGAAGATATTAGAGGACAAAGAGAAAGAATCTATGAAATGCCATTTTCATCAAATAGAAAATATATGGCAGTATGTGTTCATACGGGAGATATGGAAAAATCAGAAACTTTTGCAAAGGGAGCAACCGAAAAAGTATTAAGTCATTGTACAAGATATTTCGACGAATCAGGTAATTCAAAACCATTAACTGATGAAATTAAGCAACAAATTCATGAAAAATCCAAAATGTTGGCAAATGATGGACTAAGAGTTTTGGGATTTGCACAAAACAACAAGAAATTTATTAATGAAAAACCAGGAGAAAATCAAGAACCACAGGAGTTAATATTTTGTGGATTAATTGGAATGAAAGATCCACCAAGACCAAATGTACATAAATCAATTTCAATGTTAATGAAAGGTGGTGTTCATGTTATAATGATTACTGGTGATTCTCCATCAACAGCAATGAATATTGCAAAACAAATTGGAATGCCAATAACTGGTGAACATTCTGTAATGACAAGTGATCAATTAGAAAGTTTAAAAGAAGGCACTGCATTATCAGAAGCTATTCATAATGTATCAGTTTTTGCTAGAACAACACCAGAAGATAAAGTTACTATAGTTAAAGCATTACAAAGACGAGGTGATATAGTAGCAATGACAGGTGATGGAGTAAATGATGCACCAGCTTTGAAATTAGCAGATATTGGAATAGCAATGGGTAAAAATGGTACTGATGTTGCAAAAGAAGCAGCAGATATGGTATTAACTGATGATGATTTTAGTACAATTTTAAGTGCTATAGAAGAAGGTAAAGGAATTTTTCATAATATTCAAAATTTTATAACTTTTCAATTAAGTACATCCATAGCTGCATTAACATTGATTGCATTATCTACTTTTTTTGGATTACCAAATCCATTAAATGCAATGCAAATTTTATGGATAAACATATTAATGGATGGTCCACCAGCACAATCGTTAGGTGTTGAACCAGTTGATCATGAAGTAATGAACAAACCACCAAGGAAAAGAGATGATAAAATATTAACTAATTCATTATTAAAAAGAGTTTTACAATCTGCTATAATTATAATTATTGGAACATTATATATTTTCATTAAAGAGATGACAGATGGAGAAGTAACTGCAAGAGATACAACAATGACATTCACATGTTTTGTATTTTTTGACATGTTTAATGCATTAGCTTGTAGATCATATACAAAATCAATTTTCCAAATGGGATTAAATAATCAAATGTTTAATTTTGCAGTGTTGGGATCTTTGGTGGGGCAATTTTGTGCAATTTATATACCTTTCTTTCAAAGTATATTCCAAACTGAATCTTTATCATTAGGTGATATTTTACATTTATTAATTTTAACTAGTACAGTATTTATAGCTGATGAAATTAGGAAATTTTTATTGAGAAGAAAGACAATTACGACTAATAATTATAATTATGGAGTTTAAAAATAGTATAAATTAAAAAAATTTAAATATTGGTGGGTTGATGAATGTTTATTTGTTATATATAAATTAAGTACATAAAATAATAGAGTATTTTTTTAACAATTTTTTTTTTACCAGCTAAGCTTGTAGATTGGTTAAAATTGAGTATATGCTATTCTCTGTGTTCACTTCGTCGATTAATCTAGATATAATATCATCAGTATTCCAATTTTTTAATTGATAGTATTCAATTTTGTTCTTGAGTGAAGTTAATGAAGTAGTTAATGTAGGGAAATTTTTTGAAGATTCTTCAAATTTAGGAATCTTGGAATTTAAAATTAGTTGATCTAGTTCATCTTCATCTCCCTGGTTAGCGAATACGTTGACTATTATTGAAATTAAATTGAATAACACATCTATGTTTTCTTTGTTTGTTACTGATAAATCCATTAAATTAATTGGTGATTCACATAATTGTTTAGTTTTAGATCTGAGGTGGTACTTTATTGGATCTGTTTCTATATCTGTACATAATTGGAATAACCAAGTTATTGGGTGAATAAATTCGGATGATAACTCGATAAGTTTGGAGTATTTGAAATTTTGCAATTTTAAAAATGATTTTTTCAAAAGTGAATATTTAGAAGTCCCACTGGGATATTTTGAGTAAATATTTTGTTGTAATTTTAGGCTAGGTGCAGGAAAATTAGCAAAATTAGTAACTAATTGTGGTGTTGTTTTTATATTTGGAATATTTAATTTGTATAATATTCCACGAATGTTAGCCCAATGTACTGAACTTTTTAATGCAATTAAAATATCTATTGATGATAAAGAGTCATCTCCAAAATATTCAGTTAGGTGATGAATCATCATTTCTCCTTCTAATTTTGTACCTATATGATGATCTGTATGTAAGAAATTCAATTTTGAACAAATTAATAAATTAATGCCCCATTTTTTATGTTTTTCAGTAATTGGATGTTTTAAAATATATGTATCTGCTTCATCTTTTAATGTTCTTGGATCAATTTTACAATTTTTGAAATGTATAATAGAAGAATTTTGTTCTTCAAACCATTGATTTTTTTCTAAGTCTAAAGCTATTGAAAGTATTGTACAACAAAATTCTGGATTTTGAATTAGTAGATCATTAATTTGATATAGGATGCTAAAAGCTGAATAAAATGATATTTTTAATTGAGGTTGTTCTGGATATATTATTAAATGTTTATCTTCTTGTCTTATTCTTTGAAATTGATTATTTATAAATTTATATTTACGACCTTTATTATTGTATTCTATTTTTTGAAGTTCTTCTAATTCTTCAGTTAAGACGTAGTTGCAGTAGTGAATTAATGCTTCTGTTGGGGATAGGAGGTGTGGGTGTTGGTCTTGATTTGTGGTTGGTGATATGGTTGTCATTTTTGTTTTGGTTGTGAACTTTTAATGAATTATAGTAAATTTGGTTGTCAAAAATTTAATTTTTTGGTACCTTAATTTTTAGTATGATCTTTTTTTATTTGTTTACTTTTTTATAAAGATTTAGTTTTATTGACGCGTACTTAATCAAGTGTCGTGCTATAGCGAGACTGGACACTGTTAATAATATTGAGTAGTGCATATAAACTAATTGATGCCTTTTTACTAATTTTACGAAACAAAATACGAAAGAAAGAATTTAATTAGTAATTTTAATTTTCTATTAATCTAATTGATCAATTCTTTTGAGAAGTTTGAGAAGACAAGATTTAATGAATCTCGAATTGGCTCCTCTTGTAAATTTGATAGTTTTGAAATGAGATTGGTTGTTAGTAGATTTCTGCAGCATGTTGTACAACCAACTTTTGCAAATTTTTTAAATTTATAAAAATTAAAACATGGCTTAGTATCAACGAAAATTCTCTGACTGGACAATTTGAAAATGCCCAATAAACTCAACTAAAAAGTTTATATCCAGTCGAACTATAAATCTGCATTAAGAAGAGAACAATAAAGAAGATACTGCAACTTTACCAAAATTCGAAAAAATTTCAATAAATCCACCATTAGTTGTTTATAATGATGATCGGAGAATGTTTATTTAATTGAGTGCTTGGAAAAGAGTCTGCAATCTGTAGTACAAATTTACATTTAAAAGTTTATTATAATGGTAAAGCCTATCTGTCTATGTAGGAGCCTTCTTTGAATGACCATGGCATGGCATCAAAATTGCACTAAAATTTTAGTCAAGTTGACTATTTTTAGTTAACTAAATTGTACAGCCTAATTATTCCTAATTACTCAAAGGAAAATCATCCAAAGTAAAACGATTTTCTTTCAAGTATTTAAAGTCCAGTTTTTTCCAGCATACTGCTAAATCAAAATGCATAAATTTTGCAACAATCTCTTATACAGAACACTTATTGAATAAGTTTATCGTTGATACTAAAGAAATGACTTCTCCAAGTGAAAAAGAAGATCATATCTCATACACAACTATTGAAAACTCAATTTCGCCAAACAATCAAGTAACTACAGGTTGTAATCATAAATTTCCAAAATTAATTTATACATTCGCTGCAGGTGGTTTTTTAATTTCATTATCAACAATTTTTTTATCGATTGGTGGGTTCACAAGTTTATTTGGTTATTTTTTATTTCCATTTGCACTCTATATATTTGTTTGTTTAACTGGATTTGTTGCATTTGGAGTTGAAGTTCATATTGGTTCAGAGAAATTTTTTACATTGGTTAAGAGAAGTTTAAGTGTTGTTTTGATTTTCCTGTCTTTGCTTACTTTTTGTGTTTGGGTGTTTAATAAATCCATTCAAAGAGGTTATTACATAGCTTCAAAATAAATGTGTTGATTAGTATAAAACTGACATATAGAACGCAAAATTGGCATAATCTCTCTTTCAGTGAATTATTTAAAAATCACAACCCCCTGTTGACAAGTCTAGTCAACCTGACTCAGCAAGTTTTGGAAAAATCCCATCATGTGTACTACCTTCTTCTAATTTATATATTCAGTTTGAAGTATCAGAAATTAAATCAACCAAACCAACCCTTCCAGATCATCAAGATACTCTACAGCAGGTACCATCCGCAACTAAGTAAGGATTTGCAGTTTTAAAATCATCTCTTTGCTAGTATTAAAATCTTTCTAAAATAGTAGCTAATGAGAATGGGTTTGCAATAAAATAGAGAGTTGATAATTTCTATATTTTGATTAATATCAAAGTAATTTTACATGGTGTTTTATGTTCATTTTGAATTAGACCAATGAATTGGGTAGCAAAAGAACAGTGTTAGTAAGCTCACAGATCATTTTCAAATTACTGAACGTTTAATAATAGTAAATGCCTTTATTTATTAGTATTCTAAATCAACTCTAATAATCTTATGGTTTTTGAGTTTCACACTTACTAAACAATAAATTATTCCCCCCTTAACAAAATTCTCACTTTAAATTTATAAATTATTTTTGGTTGCAAAACATATCAAAATTCCTACTTTTTATTTACAACCACTTTTACAAAACAATCAATTTAAGCAAACAATTATACTTTCAATTATATCAAATATGTCATCAAATATAACTGATTCAAATGCAACTTATGCACCAATTATTTCTTTCATCGATTTATATTTAGAAGATAATCAAATTGAAAAAACTCCCTCAGAATCAAATTGCAACACTATTTTAAGTGATACATCATTACCTACACCAATTTCACCTCAAGAAACCAATGAAAACTTTAATCATGAAAGAGTAGAAAAAACTGACAAACACGAAGAAGGAATTATGGAAGAAGAAAGTAAAGAAGAAATTAGAGAAGAAGTTAGAGAAGAAATTGGAGAAGAAATTAAAGAAGAAATTAAAGAAGAAAGTAAAGAAGATAAAAGTAAAGAAGATGAAAGTAAAGAAGATGAAGAATCTTTTGAAAAATATGCTCAAGCAACTATTGGTAGAAACTTTGACTTAAGTCAAATAAATTTCTGCAATGATGAAGAAGATCATTCAAGAAAAGTAGAAGAAAAACATTTAGAAGAAGGTAAACAAGATTACGAGGATACAACATCTAGTGAAAAATTAAAGCGTCCATTTTCAGAAAGATGTAAAAAATTTTGTAAGAAACATTTACCATTTTTATTATCAAAAGAAACAGATGAACCAGAAGATATTTTAAAAGTTCTTTTCAAAACTCATCATAATATTTCTATGCCAGGTTATGAAGATTTGGATAACAAAAACAAACGTACTTTTGATTTAAACAAAAAAGATTTCAAAAAAATGAATAAAATTTTAAACAATATATATTCCCCAACTGCTGATGAATCAAATAAAACTCCAAATAAAATTGCAAATAAAACTTCAATAACCAACAAAGTCAAAAATATCTTTAAGAAATCAAAAGTTAAAAAAAGTGGTAAAAAATCAAAATCGAAATCGAAATCTAACACACCACCTCCAAAATCAATTTTAAAGAATGCACAAAATGTTAATTATTCAGTAGAAAAAAAAAATTGTAAAGAAGCAGATAATATCCCTTATGCTCAATTTTGGAATAAATTAAATAAGGATGAAGCTATTAATAAGAAGAGAGAAGATGATGATTATTATTTTACCCCAAGACTTGAACAAGTAAGAAGTTATTACCACTCAATCAATTGAGAATTTAATGATGCTTATAATTCAGCTTCCATCAATCTTTTTTAAAAGGCATCAAAATTTCCACAACTTAAACTAGGATTCAATTGAGTACTTCTTAGGTATAATATGGATAGTGCTGAAGAAGGTTTAATAAAGTAAAATGAAAAAAAAAAAAGGAACAAAAAATTCAATATATTTTGCATTATTACTAAAAATAGAATTGAAATTAAATTAAAATTAATAAATAAAAATTGAAAATGAAACTGATTTAAAAAATAAGGAGGTATCGGGGTAAGAAAATTAATAGGTTTTCAAGTAAAATCAAAGGTGGAACTAAATTCAAGTCATTAGAATTGAAAGGGATGGGAACGTATCAATAGTCAATATTAGATCAAAATAAAAATAAAAATTTTTACAACAAAATACAAACAGATTTTACAATAAAATATGAACATAATTTACAACAAAATATAAAACATTAAAACTCATTAGCTAATTTCAAAATAAATTAAATATTATAAAATCAAATTGGAAAACTTGGAATAAATTTATAAAAAGTCTGGCCAGCTTTCAATAAGTTACATTTTGGGAATTCAATTAAAATAGTATTATTTAAATTAAATTGTTATATAGCATAATAAACATTCTCTTTATATATTCTTTTATTGTAGTTTTCAAACTATCAAAATTTATTATTTGATCAACCAACTTGAGACTACTCACCATCATGAAACTGGTTGGAACGGTGTTTAGGCTAATTTGGGCTAAATGGATGCTAACGATTATGTGCCGCACCGCGCTATCTGGGTCGCCAGAATCTGAAACAAATGCTAAGTTTAATTTAATACAATTAATACTTCAGTTTAAATAACTGATTCTTGAAGTTCGATATCAAAACCAGCTGAATTAAAAATTTCAATACATAAAATTTGAGAGTTACATTAAAGTTCAAAAATTGATATATACTTGATTCAAGACATGAACTTTTGAATGTATTTTCGCAAAAAAATTACAATCAATAATGTATTTATTCTAATGTAAAGAGAGTAGACTATTAATACTGTCTATCCGGAAAATTAAAAATCTAATAATTTCTTTTTTTCTATCTTTGTAATAATTTTGTGTTTAATACTCCAGATTTTTAAAAGAAAAAATTTTTTTAATTATTTATTATTAAAACCATTTCTAAAGCTAAATAATTTATATAATTATAATACTTCAATTTTTTTTTAAATTCATACTTACTTCTGAGTTTGAGTATATATATAGTATAGTGTTCTCAACAACTATTTGTCTACATATTATTATTTAATTAAAGTTCAATCGGTTCAATTGGTCAAGAAATAAACTAACTATTCTTACAACAAACAATATTTACTTATCTAATAGTTGTTCAATCTTTTCATTCATTTATATATATTCATTCAGTCATTCATTCGTTCGTTTACAAAATAAATAAATAATCTATACCCAAAAGGATACCGACTATTCAAAATGTCTTTAATTTCTAAAAAACAAGAAGAAGAAGAAGTTAAATTAACAAATCTTTCAGATTTAAATCATTTAAATTCATATAAATCAGAACAATACACTAATGAAAAACAACAACAACAACAACAACCAAAAGATAATTCATCAACTCATTCAAAACTTGAAGATGATAGAGAAAGTCAAAAATTTTTAGATGATACAACTTCATCAGAATTTGATATGATTGATTTAGAAGCAAATGATGATATATTACATTTAAAAATGAAATTAATAAATGATGCTATAGATGAAATTGGTTTTACTCCTTATCATTTAAAATTATTTTTTTTAAATGGTATGGGATATTGGACAGATACTCAATTAACTTATTTAGAAAGTACTGTACGTACTTTTATAAATTATCAATTTGGTTATAAATTTCCAGTAAGTGCTGAATGTTATGCTGGTGGAATGATTTTAGGTGCTTTAGTTTGGGGTTTTGGTGCTGATTTAATTGGTAGAAAATTAGCTTTCAATTTAAGTTTATTATTAAGTGCTATTTTTACAATAATGACTGGTATGATGGGAAATATGGCAAGTTATTGTTTATTTGTATTATTAAGTGCATTTGCAGCTGGTGGGAATTTAGTATTGGATACTTGTGTATTTTTAGAGTTTTTACCACATAAAGATCAATGGTTATTAACATTTTTTGCATTATTTTGGGGTGTTGGACAAACAGTAGCTGTTGCTTTGGGGTATGCTTTTTTACCAAATAATTCTTGTGAAAGTGCTGATAATTGTCCATCTCATTTAAATAGAGGTTGGAGATATGTTTGGTATACTAATGGATGTATTGTATTAGCTATGGCAATATTAAGATTAACTGTAATTAGATTAAAAGAAACTCCTAAGTTTTTGATTGCAAATAATAGAGATGCTGAAGCTATTCAAGTATTACATGAAATTGCAACCAAATATAATAGAAATTGTTCATTAACTTTAGATCAATTATTAGAATGTGGTAATATTAAATCTAATGAAGATTATAGAAAAAATTTTAGTGTCTTGGGGATTTCCAAATTAATGTTTCAACATTTAAAAATTTTATTTGCAACAAATAAAGCAATTAGATCAACTATTTTATTATTTATTTCTTGGGCATTCTTGGGGATTTCTTATCCATTATATTCATCATTTTTACCTCAATATTTAGCTACTAGAGGTGCTAATATAAGTGCAGATACAATTGGTGGAGTATATAGAGATAATTTAATTGCAAATGTTTGTTCAATAGGTGGTCCAATTATTGCAGGATTATTATTATATTTTTTACCATGGTTAGGTAGAAGAGGAGTATTATGTATTGGAGGAATATCAACAATGGCTCTTTTATTTGGTTATACACAAGTTAAAACAAGAGGACAAAATGTTGGTTTTACTTCATCAGTATATTGTTGTCTTTATATATATTATGGAGTGATTTATGCATATACACCAGAAGTTATGCCAAGTGCAGCAAGAGCTACAGGAAATTGTTTATGTTTATTTTGTACAAGAATATGTACTGCTATGGTTCCTATTATTGCTTATTATTCAAATACTGCTAGTTCTGTACCTATATGGATTTGTGGTGCTTTTGTTGGAGTTATTGGTATTATTGCATTGTTTTTACCTTTTGAACCTAGTAAACAAAGAGTTGTTTAGAATAAGAGGAAGTTAAAGATGGTTGATTTTTTCATCTCGTGCATTTTTTTCATTTGACTTTATAGACTTTTGCATTTAAGAAGTTTTTTTTTGATTATTTATTTATTCATTTATAATTTGTGTACAATAGTTTTATTTATTTTTGAATTTAAATTTCGATAATTTGTAAAGTTGGTTGGTCTTTTAATGAACTTTAATGAGAAGTCTGTAATATATGTGACACAAAAGTAGTTTTGCCGCATACAAATTTGTGTAATGAGTATTGACTTAAAAAAAATGTGCCAGTGTATTTTATACGTATTCATTTAAGTTATACATTTACTTAAGAATTCGATTAGCCATAAAAATTTGGAGAATACAATTAAAAAGGATCAATAGAATAAATTAAAAATGAACAAAATTAAGTGATTCTAAAATATCAGTAATATAGTTTTTGTCGTATTTCAGTTCTGACATTTATATTATTTAAGAGACACGTGATTCTAGCAATTTAAGTATTAGATTTTAAATAAGATATTTGGTGATATTCAATCACTAATCATTCAACTATCAACTAAATAGATAATACTACATTATTTACAATATATTATAAAGTACATAAAAGTTCGATATAACTAAATAATCTCTTATGATTTATTTAACTACACAGCTGAAACTACATTTATAAATTTCGGAAAAAACTTTAGCGAGACGGATAAAAATATTTTATAACCCCCCAACTTGTTTATAATTATAAAAAAGTAATATACGGATATCTTCTATCGAATATGCACATAATTAAGGATGGTGACTTCTGAGCTCTTCTTCCATCAAGGTTTGACAATAAAATTTTATATAAACTTAAGTTATTCTTGTATCTTACTTAATTGTATTCTGAATTAATTTGACTCTATCAATTGGGTTTTGATTGAAAAAATGTCAAAAATTTAAAAGTATATCTATAAAGTTGAAGAATTTAAGGATCGAAAATAGTTAATATTCACATGACAGTTAAACAAATTTGATTAAAATTTTCTCCTCAACAAAAATAATAATTATAAATTGGTAATTATTTTCTCTAGTAGATTTTTTTTTACATACTTAATCATTGCATATAAAAATTGATTAAACTAAATGATTTAGCCTAAATGAATTGACTTGTATATCAATTAGTTAATTCAATTAGTTAATTATGATTATACTAGTAAAAGTAAAGTATAATTAGTTACAAAATGGAAGTTAAAACGTGGACCTTATTTTTAAAAATTAATTACGTACATCAAATAATAGTAAGTTATGCATTTAATATAGTATTCAATTTAATTGTACAAAATTAATATATTGTGTATTTTCGTATCTATTAACTTAATTTATTTTATTAATTTATATCATCAGCCAATTATAATAAAATTGTTCTGAGAATCTTAACAATTATTAAATGTATAGAATTTGTAATAAAACCTATTTTAAATTTGTAGCGTAGGGGATTAATTAATAGATAAGCCAGATAAGATAATTAGTGGTAGAAGAGAATTTGAAATATAGAATCTATTTTTAGTACTAATATTAAAATATAAAGAAAAAAATGTGGAATTTTGCCCTAAATAAGTAATAATACGTTTATAGTTATATTCAAGTAGTTAATAGATATATATACATATATACATTGTTAATTTTAGGTATGAAGTCACACAAAATAATTTATTTGATTGATAGATTTTTTAAACTTTTAATTTTGATAGATTATAATTTGATCTTAATAGTCTTGAAAAAAATTTTCATTATCTCCACGTTATCTCTTGATTTATATAACTATGAAATTCTCCAATTCTAATATTTTATATTTCTTCTTGTTAAAAGTTTAAAACTTTATTACTTTCATTCATTCATTTTTACTTCAACAAGAGATTTTGTATAGTCAATCTTTGAGAAACCAAATATCACATTTTACGAGGCTTTATTTATTTATTTATTTATTTATTTTTTTCTAATTTTGACGTGTTTCAAATTTTGCAGCATTAAACATAATTAAAAGAAATTATAACAAAACAAAGACAATTACGATAATAAATCCAAGGTTTTATTAGATTGAAAACACCATCATCATGTCAGATATTGAAAAAAAATCACAAGTTCCACATGATTTATCAGCTACACCATCATTAGAACATGAAATTCAATCATCAGATAATATTTCAACTTCAGGAGAAAATACTTTAAAAGATGAAGAATTATATAGTTTAAAAGATGAAGTATTACATAAAAAAATGAAATTAATAAATGATGCAATTGATGAAATTGGTTTTACTCCTTATCATTTAAAATTATTTTTTTTAAATGGGATGGGATATTGGACAGATACTCAATTAACTTATTTAGAATCTTCAGTTCGTACATTTATAAATTATCAATTTGGTTATAAATTCCCAGTATCAAATGAATTATTAGCTGCTGGATTATTATTTGGTGCAGTATTTTGGGGATTTTCTGCTGATTTAATTGGTAGAAAATTAGCTTTTAATATTAGTTTATTATTAAGTGGATTATTTACTATAATAACAGGCACTATGTCATCAATGGCAAGTTATTGTATATTTGTATTTTTAAGTTGTTTTGCTGCAGGTGGGAATTTAGTATTAGATACTTGTGTATTTTTAGAATATTTACCACATAAAAATCAATGGTTATTAACATTTTTTGCATTTTTTTGGGGGATAGGACAAGTTATTGCAGTTGCTTTAGCTTATGCTTTTTTACCTGGTAATTCTTGTGAAAGTGCTGATTATTGTCCATCACATATTAATAAAGGTTGGAGATATGTTTATTATACTAATGGATCAATTGTATTATTTATGTCATTATTAAGATTAACTGTTATTAACCTAAAAGAAACTCCCAAATTTTTAGTTTCAAATAATAGAGATGCTGAAGCTATTGAAATTTTACATGATATTGCTAATAAATATGGTAGAACTTGTTCATTAACTTTGGAAGACTTAGAAAATTTAGGTAGTATTAAAATTAATGATGATTATAGAAAACATATTGATTTTAGAGAATTATTTAATTTAGTAAAACATCATATTTCAATTTTATTTAGTTCTGCAAAAATGGCAAGATCAACAAGTTTAATATTTTTATCTTGGTTTTTATTAGGTATAAGTTATCCATTATTCAGGTATGTGTGAATCAAAAAGAAAATTTACAAATGTTTTAAGTCTGATTATTTTACTAACATACTTTTTTTAGTTCTTTCTTACCTCAATATTTAGCAACCAGAGGTTCAAACATTTCAGCATCAGATACAAAGGGAGTATATAGAGATAGTTTGATTTCAAACACTGTATCAATGGCAGGTCCATTAATGGCTGGTGGATTATTATATTTTTTTCCCATATTAGGTAGAAGAGGTGTTTTATGTATTGGAGGAATATCAGCAATGGCTTTCTTGTTTGGTTATACACAAGTTAAAAATAGAGCTCAAAATGTTGCATTAAGTTCATTATCATTTGCAACTATATATATATATTATGCAGTATTATATGCATATACACCAGAAGTATTTCCAAGTCATGCAAGAGGTACTGGTAATGCTTTAGCAATTGCAAGTACAAGAGTTGCAACTGTTATTGTTCCGTTAATTGCTTATTATTCAAATACTGCAAGTTCTGTACCAATTTGGATTTGTGGTGCTTTTGTTGGAGTTATTGGCTTTTTAGCTTTGTTATTGCCTTATGAACCAAGTAAATATAGGGTAGTTTAGGACAATTTTTTTTGAATAGACAATTAATTTGAATACCACTTTTGTAGAACTTACAATTTAAAATTGACGACTTTGATAATACATTGTTGTGGTCGATGAGTAATTATGATGTTAGTATTTTAATTTATTGGTGCAGCTTTTAGACAATACATTCTAACAGGAAACAATTCCTTAGGTAACCCTTTTTGTACATCACTAGCAATCAATTTAAACCCAGCTTTTATGAATAATTCCCTAAACTTTGAATCAGTTCTGGTAACTGAACTATCAGTATCATCAAAAATATCTTGTATAGGAGCAATATTTTCTTTTACAATCAAAGTACCATTTTCACATAAAGCTAGTCTACATTTAATCCAAAATTTTATCAATTCTTCATCAGGTAATTGTCCAACACACCATTGACACCAAACTAACCAATATTTTTTACTTGGTTCCCAATCTTGCATACCTATAGGAAAAATTTCACCTAATTTACCTTGTTTTTCAACCATACGTAATTCATTTGGCATTTGTTCAACAAATGGTACTACAGGTTCTAATAAATCAACAGTATCTGAAACTTTCCATAATAAATCTCTAGTTATACGTCCAATACCTGCACCCATATCTATAGTTAATTTTAATTGATTTTCTGGTGGTATCATTCGACTAGATAATTTTCGTAAAAAAGTTTGTGATCCAATTATATCTGATTTTGGAACAGATGTTTGTTCTCCATACCCACCAAGAACTCCATTAACTGATGCTGGAACTGATGACCAATATTGTATTGCATCCTGGTAATTTATTTGTGAATCTGGTATTGGATTAGTTGTATCTATTTCAATTTCTAAATTTTCTGGTTGTTGTTGTTTTATTGGCATTGTTTTAGTTTATATGTACAAGATGTGATGGTTTAACGAAAGTGATAATTTGTAGATTCAAAAATTGTAGTGGACCCTTTTTTCTTATAAAGTGTTTCAGATGAGTGTTGTAATTGATTTAGTGTTAATAATAATATGTAAAATTTACAATTCTATCCCATACATACAGAACAAGCAGTTACATAATAATCTAAGCCAAAGCAGCAAAAGTTTTTGACAGAACATTTACAAATTTGACACTAAGTCTAAATTCACGACAATCAATCTATCTACCTTTTTTGCATCCTTACTGCAGTACTGATTGACTTTGACCTTAAAAGTTGAGAGAATATAGACTTTGTTCTTTCATATTTTAAAAGTCAATTGGATCATATATGTCCTCTGAGTAATGAATCAAGTTAAGATCAAGGATTATGTGGTCAGTTGAAACAAATTTTGTAATTACTAGGTTTCAAAAGCTGAATGAAATTTAGATAAAATTATGCAAATCAACTTTTCCCTATCGTCACTACTTAGGCTTATTGAAAGGAAAATATGAAACACATGTTTTCATATTATTATATTTTAAACTAAATGAACATGTTATAAATAAAGGTTTTATTATTAGAGAATAGAGAGAGAGATAAATACTACAGGATACGGTTGAAAGGAATTGGAATTATATTTTACTTTAATATAAATTAGCAATATTTGGTTATAAAACAATTTTTTTTTTTGTACATTATTGAATTAAACAAATAATTTTTGGTGATTTGAAATTATGATTTTTGTGAATACATTAAAATTGTACTAATTGAGGGGCCAGTCCAATTGGAATTGTTGAATTTAATATATTTATGATTTGTTGTGGTAGATTGGGAAAATTAATTTGTTGATATTAATTTTTTATCTTGTAATTTGAATTGCAATAATGATGATTTAACTTTGAAAGCAAAAAAAGAAGTCAATTGAAATTTTTAGTCGATTTTGAATATTCTTGTGATAATATAGAATCAACTGATTAGTTTTAATGATATTTTTTTGAATTGAATATTTTTATGATAATGTAGAATCAACGGATTAGTATTAATGATTTTTTTTTGAATTAAATTTTTATGATAACGTAGAATCATCTGATTAGTTTTAATGATATTTTTTTTGAATTGAATATTTTTATGATAATGTAGAATCAACGGATTAGTATTAATGATTCTTTTTTGAACTGAATATTTTTGTGATAACGTAGAATCAACTGATTAGTTTTATTGATATTTTTTTGAATTGAATACTTTTAGGATAATGTAGAATCAACTGATTAGTATTAATGATTCTTTTTTAGATTGAATATTTTTGTGATAATGTAGAATCAACTGATTAGTATTAATGATAATTTTAAGATTCAATTTTTGTGGTGAAGTAAATAAGAATGTTCAACAACAAAACACATTGATATTTAAATTCACCTTTAGATTTTTGATAATTTTGTAAAATTTTGGTGTTTCAGTAAATAAAATTATTAGGTACAACAACAAAGACCACATAATTTAAATTTTATCAAACACTTTGATACAGATATTTCTGCATCAAATGAATTATATATTGAATCAACTGATTAATATTAATGATTTTTTTCAGATTGAATATTATTATGATAATGTAGAATCATCTGATCAGTATTAATGATTTTTTCTTTGAATTGAATTTTTATGATAATGTAGAATCAACTGATTAGTATTAATGATATTTTTAAGATTTAAATTTTGTGGTGAAGTAAATAAAGAATGTTAAACAACAAAACACATTAATATTTAGTCACTTTTAGATGTTTTATAATTTTGTAAAATTTTGGTGTTTTAGTAAATAAAAATATTAGGTACAACAACAAAGACCATATAATTTAAATTTTATCGAACACCTTAGTATCGGAATCAACTAATGAGGATTATGCTTTTTTTTTGAATTGAATATTTTTATGATAATGTAGAATCAACTGATTAGTATTAATGATTTTTAGTTGATTTTGAATATTTTTGTGATAATGTAGAATCAACTGATTAGTATTAATGATTTTTTTAAGATTTGATTTTTGTGGTGAAGTAAATAAGAATGTTCAACAACAAAACACATTAATATTTAAAGTCACTTTTAGATTTTTGATAATTTTGTAAAATTTCGGTGTTTCAGTAAATAAAATTATTAGGTACAACAACAAAGACCACATAATTTAAATTTTATCAAACACTTTGATACAGATATTTCTGCATCAAATGAATTATATATTGAATCAACTGATTAATATTAATGATTTTTTTCAGATTGAATATTATTATGATAATGTAGAATCATCTGATCAGTATTAATGATTTTTTTTTTGAATTGAATTTTTATGATAATGTAGAATCAACTGATTAGTATTAATGATATTTTTGAGATTTAATTTTTGCGGTGAAGTAAATAAAGAATGTTCAACAACAAAACACATTAATATTTGAATTCACCTATAGATTTTTTATAATTTTGTAAGATTTTGGTGTTTTAGTAAATAAAAATATTAGGTACAACAACAAAGACCATAAAATTTAAATTTTATCAAACACCTTAGTATCGGAATCAACTAATGAGGATTATGATTTTTTTTTTGAATTGAATTTTTATGATAATGTAGAATCAACTGATTAGTATTAATGATATTTTTGAGATTTAATTTTTGCGGTGAAGTAAATAAAGAATGTTCAACAACAAAACACATTAATATTTGAATTCACCTATAGATTTTTTATAATTTTGTAAGATTTTGGTGTTTTAGTAAATAAAAATATTAGGTACAACAACAAAGACCATAAAATTTAAATTTTATCGAACACCTTAGTATCGGAATCAACTAATGAGGATTATGATTTTTTTTTGAATTGAATATTTTTATGATAATGTAGAATCAACTGATTAGTATTAATGATTTTTAGTTGATATTGAATATTTTTGTGATAATGTAGAATCAACTGATTAGTATTAATGATAATTTTAAGATTCAATTTTTGTGGTGAAGTAAATAAGAATGTTCAACAACAAAACACATTGATATTTAAATTCACCTTTAGATTTTTGATAATTTTGTAAAATTTTGGTGTTTCAGTAAATAAAATTATTAGGTACAACAACAAAGACCACATAATTTAAATTTTATCAAACACTTTGATACAGATATTTCTGCATCAAATGAATTATATATTGAATCAACTGATTAATATTAATGATTTTTTTCAGATTGAATATTATTATGATAATGTAGAATCATCTGATCAGTATTAATGATTTTTTCTTTGAATTGAATTTTTATGATAATGTAGAATCAACTGATTAGTATTAATGATATTTTTAAGATTTAATTTTTGTGGTGAAGTAAATAAAGAATGTTCAACAACAAAACACATTAATATTTAAATTCACCTATAGATTTTTTATAATTTTGTAAGATTTTGGTGTTTTAGTAAATAAAAATATTAGGTACAACAACAAAGACCATAAAATTTAAATTTTATCAAACACCTTAGTATCGGAATCAACTAATGAGGATTATGATTTTTTTTTGAATTGAATATTTTTATGATAATGTAGAATCAACTGATTAGTATTAATGATTTTTAGTTGATTTTGAATATTTTTGTGATAATGTAGAATCAACTGATTAGTATTAATAATTTTTTTAAGATTTGATTTTTGTGGTGAAGTAAATAAGAATGTTCAACAACAAAACACATTAATATTTAAATTCACCTATAGATTTTTTATAATTTTGTAAGATTTTGGTGTTTTAGTAAATAAAAATATTAGGTACAACAACAAAGACCATAAAATTTAAATTTTATCGAACACCTTAGTATCGGAATCAACTAATGAGGATTATGATTTTTTTTTGAATTGAATATTTTTATGATAATGTAGAATCAACTGATTAGTATTAATGATTTTTTTTTGATTTTGAATATTTTTGTGATAATGTAGAATCAACTGATTAGTATTAATGATAATTTTAAGATTCAATTTTTGTGGTGAAGTAAATAAGAATGCTCAACAACAAAACACATTGATATTTAAATTCACCTTTAGATTTTTGATAATTTTGTAAAATTTTGGTGTTTCAGTAAATAAAATTATTAGGTACAACAACAAAGACCACATAATTTAAATTTTATCAAACACTTTGATACAGATATTTCTGCATCAAATGAATTATATATTGAATCAACTGATTAATATTAATGATTTTTTTCAGATTGAATATTATTATGATAATGTAGAATCATCTGATCAGTATTAATGATTTTTTCTTTGAATTGAATTTTTATGATAATGTAGAATCAACTGATTAGTATTAATGATATTTTTGAGATTTAATTTTTGCGGTGAAGTAAATATAGAATGTTCAACAACAAAACACATTAATATTTGAGTTCACCTATAGATTTTTTATAATTTTGTAAGATTTTGGTGTTTTAGTAAATAAAAATATTAGGTACAACAACAAAGACCATATAATTTAAATTTTATCAAACACCTTAGTATCGGAATCAACTGATTAGTATAAATGATTTTTTTTAGATTGAATATTATTGTAATAATGTAGAATTAACTGATTAGTATTAATGATTCTTTTTTGAATTGAATATTATTGTGATGATGTAGAATCATTATCAGTTGATGATGAATTTGGTGATGATTCTTCAATTGATGATGATTCTGGTGATGATGGTTTAGTTGATTTTTTGGAGTGGTGGAATAATGAAATGTGTTTGAAAATGGACATTATTAATAAGTAATTGAAAAAAAATTGAATTAATTAACAATAAAGTGAATTGAATTAATAATAGTAGAACTCACAAACAGATTTTTGTATGTTGTGAAGTTCGGGAATATGTTGAATTTATTGTTAGTGAAAAAGAAGTAAAAAAAAAGTGACATAAATTTTGAAATCTTTTTGGGAAAATCTTGGGAATTTATAGATGGCGATTTTCGTTATTTTGTAATGCTATCTTCAACTTTAAGTATGTGGATCGTTAGTATGTATTTCAATAGATGCAAATTCAGACCCTAAATAACCCTAAATAAATTTGGAATGCCGATTTGACGTAATGAATCGATTGGTAGCGGCCCAATTTCGGGATTTGCAACCATAATGTGTCAACTAAAATTAAAAATGTAATCATTTCTCCATATGTTGCAAAAACTATTGAAGTATATATTTGTCAGAACCATCAGTTATCAAAACTCCCAAATGTGCACCACCAGCATCTTTAAATTGACTTTTAAGACTTCAACAATTACATTCTGGCTTAAACTCAAAATTTTTTATTATCTGTACTTTTATAAAATGTTCTCATCTAAAACTTGATAAATATATAAAAACTAAAGAACTCAACATTTACCAATTTAATAATTTGAAGGTTCAACATTCCAGATATTTTCTGCATATTCATCAATACAACGATCACTTGAAAAAAATCCCATATTAGCAACACTCCAAACACATTTTTTGACCCATTTATGTAAATGATCACCATCTTCTGAATCACCTCCATGATGACCAAATACATTTTCCAACTTTTTGTGAGCATCTAAAAATAAATTAAAATCATCACTTACTAAATAATAATCTCCATGATACTTTATGGAATCAATTAATGGTTTGAAATCATCTGGATTACCAAATTGTCCTTCGTATATAGCTGAAAAGACTTTTTCTAAGGTCTTTGGGATTTTAACTCCATCTACAAAATGTCTATGTCTTATTTCTTCAACTGATTCTGCTAAATTACCAAAAAGGAAAATATTTTCTTCACCTATTTCTCTTGTAATTTCAACATTTGCTCCATCAACTGTACCAATTATTAATCCACCATTTAATGCAAATTTCATATTTGATGTACCAGAAGCTTCAGTACCTGCAGTTGAAATATGATTTGATAAATCGGATCCAGGACATATAATTTCTGCTTTTGAAACATTATAATCTGGTATAAATACAACTTTTAATAAATTACCAATTTCTGAATCATTATTGACAACTTCTCCAACTTTACAAATTAAATGTATAATAGTTTTAGCCATATAATAACCTGGTGCGGCTTTACCTCCGAAAATGGAACATTTTGAAATATAATGTTTTTCTTTAATTTCTTCAATTGATACTCCATCTGCTAATAACTCTTTAATTCTTAAATATCTATAAATAACAGCAAAGATATTCATTTGTTGTCTTTTGTATTCATGAATTCTCTTAACTTGAACATCAAATAAAACAGTTGGATCAACTTCTACACCAGTTTCATCTTTGATTAACAACGCTAATCTTTTCTTGTTATCAAATTTTATAGCATCCCATTCTTTTAAGAATTTGTCATCGTTAATGTATTTTTCTAAATTTTTCAACCTACCCAAGTTGGTTAAATAATCATAATTTGGATCATTTAATTTTTTAGCAATTAATGCAGATAATTTTGGATTTGCTTGTCTTAACCAACGTCTTGGTGTAATACCATTTGTAACATTTGTAAATTTATCAGGTCCAAAAACTTTAACAAAATCTTTGAAAATTGTTGTTTTAATTAATTCTGAATGTAATTCTGCAACTCCATTGACTTTATGAGATCCAATAATTGCTAAATATGCCATTCTAACTGATTTTGGACTACCTTCTTCAATTGCCGATACTCTGCTTAATAATCCTCTATCATTTGGGAATTTATGCTCAACTTCTTTCAAGAAGAAATAGTTGATATCATAAATAATCTCCAAATGTCTTGGTAATAATTTACCAACAACATCAACTGGCCATTTCTCCAAAGCTTCAGTCATGACTGTATGATTAGTATATGCGAATACTTTAGTAACAATTGACCAAGCTTCATCCCAATCTAATCCTTCTAAATCAACTAATATTCTTTGTAATTCAACTATAGCTAAAGTTGGATGAGTATCATTTAATTGAATTGCAACTTGATCTGGAAATTTTTTCCAATTTGTTTTGTGATTCTTTTTAAATCTACGAACAATATCATGTAATGAAGCAGCTACCCAAAAATATTGTTGTTTCAATCTTAATTCTTTACCTTTTTCAAAATTATCATTTGGATATAATACTGATGTAATAGCTTCTGCTTTTTGTTGTGAAGCAACAGATTGTTGATAATCACCAGCATTAAATTTTGTAAAATCAAATTCATTTGTTGGTTTTGCGTTCCATAATCTTAAATTATTTGTATTTTCAGTATTAAAACCAGGAATTGGATAATCAGCAGCAACTGCCAAGACTCTTTCTCCTCCATTCCAATTTTTTTTAGTTTTACCAGTATTTGGATCATTTTCTTCATAAACATAACCATAAAAATCAACTGGAATTTGAATCTCATGTCTATCCAATGCCCAAGGATTTGTATATTTTAACCAATAATCAGGAGTTTCAATTTGATAACTATCAATAATTTTTTGTTTGAAAATACCATATTGATAATTTAATCCATAACCCCAACCCGAATAATTTTTTGAAGATAATGAATCAACAAAACATGCAGCTAATCTACCCAAACCACCATTACCTAAAGCGGCATCAGGTTCTTGATCTAATACATCTTCCAAATTGAACCCCAAATCTTTTAATGAAGCCCTAGTGGTGTTCTCACATTTCAAATTAATTAATGCATTATCCATAGCTCTACCCATTAAAAATTCTAATGATAAATAGTAAACTCTTTTACCATCTTGTATAGTTTGCTTTTGTTGAGTATTTGACCAATCTAAAATTAATGCATCTCTAACAGTATTTGAAGCAGCTTGATAAGCGGCTAAATCATCACAATTATACATTGATCTACCTAATGAAGTTTCAACATGTTTAACAAATTCTTCTTCGAATTTATCTGATTCATGAACAATAGCTCTTACATCATCATCGGGATTTGGCTTTTTATTTGAATCCAAAATATCTAATTGAGAATATTTAAACCAAGTATTTTTGCAAGATTCAGGAATTGCAGCATCTAAAGCAATAATTTGATTTGGAGTAAAACCAGTATTTGTTCTTTTCAATTTTGGTTGTGGTAAAGTCGAGGGAGTAAGATAATCCATTGACATTTTGTATGTTTAAATAATTGAATATATAAATAGATAAACGAATTAAATAAAGTATGCAAAAGGCAAAACTGAGTTGTTGTATAATGTCTATAAATTTAAAATAATAATCAAAAACTGTTGTTGTAAACTAGTTTGGAATTGTAGCTCTTATTTTATAATCACTACTAATATTGAAGTTTTTAATAGAATTGAATAAATTATAGATAATAGTGAAAAGTGGCAAAATTGACAACCAACAATTAATCGAAATCTTGAAAAATTAAAAGATGAATTGAGATTGGTGAAAATTTTTGTAAGATTCACCCTTATTTTTTATAGTAAATTATAATAACTATCAAAGAGATTTAATTAAATATTAAATATTAAATAAATTTAAGTATTTATTCGATAACACAAAATAAATAAAATTTAATATTGAGTTAAGGGGGTAGGATAAGACGGAGCTTATTAGTAGATTGGCTATAATTGAAATAAGCTATCTACTTCAATTGGACTTTATTGCTATGATAGGCAATACAGAGACCAAAATTAATCTAATTAATTGGAACAGGCGATAATCAACTAGGTGGTCAACCAAAAAAAAATATCAATGCATTATTGAACGTTTTGTCTGTACAAAAATCATTCGATTCTCTCAACAAATTATATAACCATTTCAATAATTTTAATTGATCAAATATTTTTTAATTTTGACTTTTAGAGATAACGGAGTTCTTATCTATTAGCTTGGCTGATTTAAAATTAAACTTATGAAGTTATCTCCATAGCAAAATCTATATTAAGATATATGGTTTACATATATCAAACGTGGTTTAATTTCGGATAAGACTAAATCTCTTACATTATTTAGAATTGGAATTATTACTATAATAGTTATATGTAAGATTACTAAAATTACTTGAAATATATCTGTAAGTATAATGATGGTTAAATCCAATACTTTTTATTGACCCGTAGTTGAACTGCAAAATGATATATATCGGAACATATGATTGAGCGCAAATTCATATTGGAGCTCCACCATTGCTTTTTGTCATGAACTTTTTCAATAATTTACAATATTGACGATTTTGTTAATAAGTTTACAAATTGGTATTGTGATGATTTACATAATATAATTTCAAAATTATTGTCGCGTCGCGTATTGACAAGTCTCGACGAACAAATATATAATTTTTCACTTCTATAATGTTTTTCTAGAAATCAAACTATACATATATAATAATCAATCAATCAAGTCACAAATTATGTCAGAGAAATTCCCAGCTAGTAGCATAGTACTAGCCAAAGTGAAAGGGTATCCAGCATGGCCAGCAATGGTACTAGCAGAATCATTTTTACCAGACAACATAATATCCAAAAAGCCAAAACATAAAACTCGAGATCTACAAGAAACAACAACATCAACTTCAAACGTTCTACCTATAAAATTTTTCAATGATGATACTTATTTTTGGATGAAAATTGCAGATTTAAAACCATTAAGTAAAGATGATATTGCAATACATTTTGCTCAAACTTCAAGTAAAAGGAAAAAAGATAAAGTACTAGAACAAGCATATGAATTAGCAAGTAACCCTTTGGATATGGAAACTTTTATCAAGTATGGATCAAGTGGTGAACCACCTGAAATTGATGAAGATGTATTTGAAGATAATATTGAGATAAAAGCACCACCTAGAAAAAAATTGAAAGTTGTAATACCACCAAGAACCAAAACAAAACCAGTTACCGTCAAAAAGGATCCAAGAAAAGAAGCATTGGAAAAACAGAAAGAAGAAGAAAGAAAATTAATGGCTGAATATGATTCAGATTGGGGGATTGATGATTTTAATAAATATGATAAATCTGAAGGGAATTATATATATGAAACAAAAGAGAAACAACAAGAATTATTTTCAACAATACCTGATTCTTCAGAAATATTGGAAATTTATAATGATGCATTGGATAGATATAAAACTTTAGAATATGAATTTTTAAATAATTATTTGATAAATGAAGATGAACAATTAAATTACAAATTATTACAAAAGAATTTAAAGGAATTTGAAAAAATGGTTGATGAAATTCCAAAATCAATAACAAATAAAAGTAAGATTTTAAGACTATTGATATTAAGTCAAAGAAAACAACCATCAGAGGACAAAAATGTACAACAATTTCATAATAACATAGAAAAAATTTTAAAAAAATTAGGTATTGAAGTTAGGGAAAATACTGAAGAAGATTTTGAAATAAAAAGTGTTGATAGTACTAAATTAACAACCCCTGAAATCACTTCAAATCCTGAATCTACTACTTCATCCACAACTGGTTCAGTTGAGCCTATAACTGATGTTAAAGAAGAAAGAGTAGAATAGATTCATACTTCACCTTTGAAAAATGAAATAAAAGTTAATGGTAACTAGTGGAGTTGACAATCGAGTATATATTTCTTTGTATAGTCACTACTTAATGAACACTAAACTTAGAATATACTGATTTTCATTATATGTAAGTGAGATATTTAGGAGACAATATCCTTACTTATTGATTCTCTAACTACGAAAACAAGTATTGCTACACTTTTATTATCAAGGATCGAATTTATATTTACCGATTATCAATCAGTCTCTTTACCATGGTAGTTATAAACGTCCAAGAGTTATGTTATGAGTTGTAGGAGTACAAATTATATTTACTTTTGGCTCTAGTATCTACTAATGTGAACTTTAAGTTTCTTTTGAAATTTGATTTTTTTTCCTAAACCATAGTTTCTCCAGTCGCCTAGAGTCCAAAAAGTCCATAGAAATTTCCCAATTTTCTATAACGTCGGAAACTTCAAAATTATATATTCAGATAAAAGCACTTGAAATTTTGAATGTAATTTGTATGAGTGCTATCTTCAATATTTCAAAGGTGGTGGAGTAATTCCAAGATTTGGTGATAACTCTCGATATCGCTGACTTTAAAAACACACTAAATATAGGTGCGACAACCAAAAAAATTATGTATTCTCAGATCGATTTTGAAACACCAGCATTTTGAACATTTAAACAGCTTTATCTATGCAGATAACAATGCTACGCAAATTAATCTCATACAAATTACATTTGCTTTTGTTCAAAGAATAGTGTAACGTAGTTTTGAAGTAAACCGTAGACAAATTGAAAAAAAGAAGAAGGTTGGAGCGTTTAAAATCTCAGAAACATGGATAGTCATGTTATTGCCATAGATTATTATTTTCATCTTTCCCTGCGCCTGTTGGATGGAAGCATTTTCCCCACTTTTTTTCCAGATTTCGATGTTACAAAAGTTCTGATATCAATCAAAGCTTGATAAATTTCAGATATAATTTAAATTAGCACACTATTTTGAAATTAAAGATTGGAAGAGATATTTGAAGTTGAAGTCGAATTTTTAGTTAATCTTCAACATTTAAAAACACACTAAAAGACAGTGGGGCAACAAGAAAAAATCATTCAAGATACTTTGTCAGCGATTTTGAGACACTTGTAATTCAACACTAAAATAGGCCGTATTTGCTTGATCTTCTGAGTTATGTCAAAACACCTCATACAAATTACATTCAGTTTTTGATTACAAACAATCTCCAGTCATTAAGTTCAAACTTTGAGTAAGAAACTGAAAATTTATAGATTATCCATAGTCAAGTAGTTATTATTTAAATTCTTCAATTATACACTACCCACTCAAGTTTAAAAAAAAAAAAATCCAAATTGGGCAAAATTTTGATATAAAAAACAAATTTTACCAATTAGGAAACCCTTTTTTTATTTTTGATTGTTTACCTTATTAAATTTTAAAAGTAAAAAACAGTATTTGTGTATTTGATAATAGTATGTTGTTTTATAAAAGATTCATAGAGATATTTTTGATGAACAAATAGATTTAATGAGTTGATAGATTTTAATAACGAAAGTATCAATAATAAGGAAATTTTTTTTAATGTGATAGATTATAGGAGAATTTTTTTTTCTTTCTGTTTAGTGTTTGATTTGTTTTGATTTTGAAACATTGGTCTCAGATTACATAAGTTCAACAGGATAATTTGGAAAGCATTCGTGTAATCAAATTCACCATATATATTGTCATTAGTATTCAACTCATTAAGGTTGGGGTCATAATTCGAACAAATTTACTAACACATTTTTAGATGTCAGCCAAATTAGAAGATGGAAATGAATATGATCAAGGATCAAATGGACCGAATCAAATAAATTCAGCAACATTATCCAACCCACCAGATGACGATGATGATGAAGATGGACCATCAACTGGTAAAACTCAAAAAGAAAGAAGAAAAATTGAAATTAAATTTATTCAAGATAAAAGTAGAAGACATATAACTTTTAGTAAAAGAAAAGCAGGTATAATGAAAAAAGCTTATGAATTAAGTGTTTTAACTGGTACTCAAGTCTTATTGTTAGTTGTTTCAGAAACTGGGTTAGTTTATACTTTTACAACACCAAAATTACAACCATTAGTTACAAAACCTGAAGGTAAAAATTTAATTCAAGCTTGTTTAAATGCTCCAGAAGAAGGTTTAGATAATGAACAAGGTGATCAAAGTGATGGAGAAAATGCCGAATCACCAGAACAAAGTCCAGTACCAGTCCAACAACAACCTCAATCACAACCTCAACAACAACAACAACCTCAACAACATTTACATCAACAACAACAACAACAACAACAAGCTCATTTACAACATCAACAAAACGCAGCAGCAGCAGCAGCAGCGCAACATGCTCAACAACAACATCAACAAGTTCAACAAGGTGGTCAATCTCAACAACATCCTCAAATGCAACCATTACCTGGTCAACCTCATGGATTACCTCCTCATTATGGTAATCAACAACAACAACAACCAGGTCAAGGTCAAGGTAATCAACAACAAGTTCCATATGGTGATTATGCTTATTTTTCAAATATGCAAAATAATAATATACCTAATCAACAACAATATCAATAGATTTTAAGAATGTGGTTATTTGTGGAAAATAGAAAAAAGAGTTGAATAAATTTTAACCATTTTTTTCCATTAAGTGTTTGATTTTTACCTTTGTTTGTTTGTGTTTTCAATTCCAATAAAAATGTGTTACAACATTTTTAAATCATCGTTTTTAGTTTATAGGTTATTTAAATAGCTTTATCTAGTCTTTAAATTTAGTTAATATTTTCATTTATATTATAAAGCAAAAAATTAAATCTCTAATACTTTTAAGTTTTCGTTGTAATCATATTTTTTTTGCAACCGATTTACCTTATTCAGATACATGAGAGGCTTACTTGAGTTTTGCCAATTTGAGTAGGTTAAATTACCACTTTAAGATTTTTGAATTTGGTGCAATTTCTTAGCACTAAAAAACATTTAGCAGAAGTACACACAAAGAAATTAAGTAAAGACAGTTCATACTTACAGAATCTGGACTTTAGCATCCTATGAAACTTTGAGTCTATCATATTGAAATTCAGTTGCTATATAATCTCTCACTTGAGGTAGCAAACTAATAATTGAGAATATTGGAGAAATTTAGTTGCAAAATTGGGCTAGATTTTAAAAAGATTTATTGTTGATATCTTTTGCAACAATTTAGTTTCAGATTTACAGCAATTTTACAGTAATTTTTGATTAACCCCAAAAAAATTGAATAAATCTGAATTATAAAAAACAACATATGGTTACTTTTCAGGCTTTTTCAATAAAGTTGTTCTTTTTCCCCTCGTTTATTTTTTTATCAAAATTTCAAATCTCAATAAAGGAAAGCATTAGGTTACTTTTATTGTTTTCAAAATTGTGGAGAACAGAATTTGGAGAATGAATAATATTTTTCAGGTATTGATGAAATTTGATTGCTTTGGACTGGTTTTGGTCTTTGCAATCGAGATACAAATCTTCGGAAGCTCATTCTTAATTGAAACATGTAAATTCATATTTTCTATGCAAATATGACAGCTTGAATTTCTTTTTTAAGACTTCGAAATAATATCTCACATCAACAATTATTATAATAACTCAATTTAAATATATATAAAAAATATCATTATCATTTTCAACAATATTGACGTTGAATCATGTGGTTTTTAAATTTTAGTTTGACCTCAAATCAAATGTTTTAGTTTATACATTTTTATGCTTTGTTTGCTTTAATTTGATAAAAAGTTTTTTCTTTTTTGATGAGATATTTTATAATGAAGACAAATGATCGTTAGGACTGAAATCTCAATCTGATGAATAATTTTACACTTAGGTCTCAATCATGTTATATCAGCCAATTAGTGGGAACTTATAACTCAGAACTATATAGATGGTTCCTTAATTCTTTTAGAACATCCATTTTTTCTTAACCCCTATGATTTAGAGATAATCGTACCTTTAGATCATCTAAAAATAATTAGTTGATATTGCTTTTTCAACTGTAACTAAAATTTATAAAAATAATATCTCATGTATTAGTTTCTAATTTTGACACAGAGGCGTGAAGAAGAATTTGTTTAAAAGGAGCAAGACTATATAATGCCGTAATTTTTAATAAGTTATAGCTCAAATTGAAGAAATTGATTTAATATTGCCGTAAATGTCAAATTATGTAAGTTTAGAGATTACGATTGAGCAATAAAAATAATTATCCTTCTACTATTTTGTCTAGTCCATCCACCGTAATATTTGTGTTCATGAAAATCAGGTCCAATACATAGAGGAAACTATGAAATAATAATATTATCGTCCCTTCATATTTATTATAATTGCACAATAAATAATTTTTGATCAAAAATTATTTTAAAAACGTTAAATACTTGATTAATAATATTAATAACAATAAATAATATTAAATAATAAAATTGAGATAATTCTAAAATAATTTTGAAACCCAGCATAAACTTACATCCTTTCAATAATTTTATTCATTAGTTAGAACCTATAGAAAATTTTAACTAGATTAATTATTATTAAAATAAAAAATAAAAAAAATCAAAATATTAAAATGAACATTTTTTCAAAATATATATAAATAAAGATCAGTTCTTTATCCAAAAATTATTTTTAAACATATTACCCTTTGTTCAATCAATCAAATCAATTAGTTAGTGTTTCAGAATTTATTTATAAAAGTTTAAATCATTTTAACAAATTATACATAACACAATATACATTTACTAAAAATTTTAATTTTATCAAAACCGTTTTTAATTTAACTTATTCTGCAGATCAATTAGGAAATTATCGTTGTTTGTATAATTATTTAATCTTTGATCAAGTTTCAAAAGTACTTTCAACTTCATACATCTTTTTTTTCGTTCAAGTAATTTTGATCAAATTATTATCCAACCCAAAGAAATCAATTTTTGTAAGTGATTTACATCAGGGGACTAATTAATTTTGAATTATTAAATTATACGTCAATTTAACGCAACCGACAAGTACTCTTCATAGTTCATTGAGTAAGACCTAAACTACAACAGATTTAGTTGAAAAAACGTAATTAAAGTTTAAATATAAGTCAAGAGATATATTAAATTAAACTTTCACCATCAAATATAATAATTCGTTAAAACACGGGCTTTTCAATTTACAAATTTAATTCAAGTTTAAATTATCAACATTTATTCATTTGTAACATAACCTTCAAAACCAAATATAAATTTTATTATAGAGAGATTATACAATATAGATTCATACACACATATTTTTATTATTAGTTACATATACTTATTTTTATGAATCATAGAAGATTCAATAACTGTATCAACAAATATAAGATTGGCACAAAAGTATTTTTACAATTAGAAAGTTCAAAATTAAACAGTACAAGACTCTACAACTTTCAATACAATAAATTTAAATTGAAAGGGTCTTTTTACAAAATCTCCACTTTAACATCCAAGGAAAGATCAATAGTTGATAGTTTGATACTTTAATTCAACTCAAATAACTAGAATATACAATATAAAATTTTAGGTTTTTGGAATTTCCTAAATCATTAAAAGTAAATAAATTGTTATATTTTCAATAATTGTTGTATTTTTTCACAAATTAACAAGACAATAAACTTTATTAAAAGGATCAAAAAATACATTGAACACAATTGAGATCAATTTATATCAGTCTTATTACAATTGGAGTATTAAAATATTCATATTTACCATAAGATCTTAAGTGAAAAAAATATCTATCTAAATTTTTTTTTTTTTTTCAAAGAGTGATCTTTTTTAAAAATAAACCACACCACTTTTTTTAAATTGGTTTCATAATCATTTTAAATAAAAAACAAACAATAAATTTACAAATCAATTCCAAACTACACTTAATAGATATAAAAGTTTAAATTTTAAATCTACATAAAAACTGGGGTTTAGAAGAATTATAATAATTCAAGATTCTAAACTAATAAAATTATTTAAAATTTATTATTCAAGAAAATTAAAAGATTAAAGATTTCAGTTAAATTTTTCATTCAAAATTTATTATTTTTTTCTGGACTTCATAATTATTACACAAAGAAAGATAGATATTAAGAGATTTGTATTATTTATTTATTTATTTACCAAATACAAATTATTAAAATTAAAAGATCAAATTTCAATTAGATCTGCTATAATTTACAGATATAATTATAATTTTTGTTCAACAATTGAATAGTAGTCAAATACGGAGGGGTTAATTCAATTGCATCATTAATAGAAACTTTGCATATTCTGAATTCTATCAAAAAATTAGAGGAATTGAATTCTTTTTAACATATATTGAATACAAATGATGGCTTTTGATTATATAATGGCTACGCCAAATCCAAATTCAAATAATTTAAATCAAGAGAAGAATAAACCAGAAGAAGATAATAATATATATAATCAAAATCAAAGACAAACACAAAGATTTAATAGTATAATTGAAGATGAAAATTTACAATTAAAATCAACTTATTTACCATCTAATAATTTTCAATATTCAAATTTAGATCAATTATCTTCATCAAGTTTCCAGAATTTAAATTTAAATCAATCTATTGGTGGTATAAGTCCAAACTTGATCAAGAATTTACCAACTTCATCAAATACAAGTCAAATGTGGAATGCTCCTTCTAATATGTCATTTAATTCAAATCAATTACAATCTAATACTACAAGTCAGTATCATCAAACTCCACAACGCGGGTTATCATTGGATTCAAGTAATATATGGTCACAACATCCAACAACTACAACATCAGATACAAACATATCGGCAAATATTTGGTCGCCACCTTTAAATACCGTCAATCAATTTAATAATTCTCAACAACAAATTTATAATAATTCAAAATTTTTGCAACAAAAACAACAATCAAATAATAATTTATTTAATGCGAATAATAATAATATTAGTAACAATAATGGTAATAATGTAAATTTATTGAATGAAAATTATACTTCATCAAATACAAATGCAAATAATAGATCTTTGTCAATAAGTGGATTTAGTCCACCCTCTTTAGATGAAATTAATAGTAATGGAACAACCACCACCACTAATGATTATATTGCAGGATCCTCATCATTTTCACCACCAAATTTATATGATCCAGTAAGAAGACATTCATATACTGAAAATTTATTAGGAGGATCAGCATCAAATAATGAATTCAGTTCTATTACATCAACAATTCAACAACCACAACAACAATTTCAACAAATTCAACAACCATTACCAAATTTAAATGATACAAATGTAATGAAGATGGTTGATGAATATTTTGAATCTGATCCTCATGAAAGAGTTAAAGTTACAATGCAATTATTAAATGATAGATTTTTCCATGAAGAAAAATATTTAAGTGATGCTTATCAATTACCAAAATTTCCAATTGAATCATCTTTAAGAAATTATCAATTAGTATTAGTTGGTTTTAAAGCTGGTAGAATTGATGTATTTTATTTACCTTCTAGTGGGAGTGCAAATACAACATTTACAACAACATCGTCATCACCAACCTCACCAACAACCACAACAGCAACATTGTTAAATAATTCAGAAATAAAATTAGGAGATTTAGTTATTGTTGAAGCTGATCGTGGTAGAGATTTAGGTAAAGTTTTTAAATTGAATGTATCAATTGATGAAGCGAGATTGTTAAAGTTATTACAATTTCAAGAACAACAAGCTGCATTAAATGAACACGTTGAAAATAATATCTTAGATGACTTATCAGTTAAATCATTGTCTCAAAATCTAAGCAATGATCCAATGAATACTTTTTTACCATCACCATTATCTTCACATCATCAACAAAATTCATCGATATCACCACCAACTTTACAATTTCCCAAATCAGTTTTATCAATAGCACAACCAAATGAAATTTTCCAAATTTTAAATAAGAAGCAAGATGAAGAAAAAGCTTGTAGATTATGTTTGGCCAAAATAGCAAATGCAACAAGTGGTTGTTTATTAACTGGTGCTCCAATTTCACCTACTACACAAGATCTTTTACAAATGAAATTAATAGATAGTGAATATCAATTTGATAGAAAAAAATTAATTTTTTATTATTCAACTTCAAAAAGAATTGATTTTAGAGATTTAGTTCGAGAATTATTTAGAATTTATAAGACAAGAATTTGGATGTGTGCTGTTATTGGATTACCTTTTGAAATTTTGAAAAAACAAAATTTAAGTCCTACTTTACAACAACAACAACAACAACAGCCACAAGGACAACAACCACCAGGCTTGGGTTTAAATCAACCACCTTCACAATTCAACGGTGGTGGAGGGTTAAGTAGAAGATCAAGTTTACAACCTCAACCAAATTTTACTAATCAATCAGCATCTAATTTACAACATCATCAAACTTGGCCACAAGAACAATCTAGTCAATTAAAACTTTCACAATATCCAGTGTCACAACAACAACAACCACAGCAACAAACTTTTCAACAACAACAAGGTCTATTAAATTTTAATAATAATTTACAAAATCAAGTCAATGATAATTCTCAGTTTACTGAGTATAATCAAAACAAATATCAACAACACCAACAACAACCACAAAATATACTTGGTTCTTCAGAAATTTACTCAAATCAAGTTTTAAAACAAAACAATCAACAAATGCAACATCAACAAGCTCAACAACAAGCTCAACAACAACAACAACAACAATATGCATTATTAAATCAACAAAATCAACAAGCAAAACAACAACAAATTCAAAAAGTTCACGAACAAGCAAGACAACAACATAAAGAACAAGAAACAAGAGAATCACCATCATCATATTCATTAGATCAACAATCCTCTACAAGTCCATTAATTATAGATCAATCATCAACAAGTAAATCTCAATCTCCAAAACAATTAAACTCATCAACATCACTTAATTCCTTATCATATTCAAATAATCAATCAAATGAAAAATTAGTTTTAAAAAGTTTAGTTGATATTATAGATTCCTAAGAGAAAAAATAATTTTTTATACATTTTAGCATTATTAAATTTAATTGTTACATTATTATACATTTATAACTTATAGTTTATACTTATTCATTCACTATTTTTACATTACATTACAAAAAGTTCGTTTTTATTTTATGTAGATTTATATATAATATAGTTTAATTTAAATGAATACAATTTAAAAGATCACAAATTTAACTATTTACTACAATTTTATACTTTAAAATCTTATAATTGAATATATTCATATAGACACTAAACACTAATTATAAAGAACTAATACCGTGAAATTTTCATTTTTGATATTTACCCCATTTCCAAATACTTTCACCAGGATTAACCAATTCATTATCTAATTTACTAAAATATAACCCCTTATCTAAACCTTGAGCAGCAATAGCTTGTAAATAAAATAAAAAATCATTTAAATTAAAACCAGAAGATAATTTTTCTTGAAATTCTTTTTTACCTTCTTCAGCTGATTTAGTTGATAAAATTTTTAAATTTTTATTATGAGCCTTGGAGTATTGATCAATTACATCTTGGAAAGTTATAGTATCTGATCCAATTCTTATAATATCAGGTAATTTTGAAATTGGATTGTAAGTAGCAACTGCTAATACTGTATATCCAATATCTGGTAATGTTGAAACGTTAAATTTTTGATTAATGTCACCAATTACATTTATACCTTCTTCAGTAATACCAGCAGCTCCAACCCATTCATATAAGAATTTACCAGGAACTATAAATAATGAAGTTATAATATCAACTACTTTAGTACCTGTTTTACGTAATGCTGCTGAATGTTGTGATTTTAAAGCTAAAAAACCTGGAGCATAAGTATCTACTTGATCAATATCTGTTCCAAATTGTGATGGAATAAATAATTTCGGTTTAATTTCTGCTGTAATTTTTTCTAATTCTGAAAATACTTTTGGATCTGGTCCTGTTAATTCAATAATTACATCAATTCCCTTTAATGCTGAAATTAAATTTGAATCATTGGCAGAAACTTCTGATACTGTTACATATTCAATTTTATCTGTTGATTTTAAATCACTTTTTCTTGTAATGGCTTTTATTGGATAAGCTATTTTGGAATCAAATTTACCTGATTTAATAGCTTCTAATGTTGGTTCACCTAAGAAACCATGAAGTCCGAAAATTGCAATTGATACTTTTGACATATTTAATTGAGTTAATTGAGTAAATCTATTTGATAGTTGGTTGATTGATAATTGATAGTTAATGATATTGATTAAGAAGATAAAATATTTAAAAGTAAATTTGAAAGAAATTAAATGGTATATTTATATATTTCAACCTTATGGGATAAATAAATAAGCATGAAATATAATCTGTGGCATTATGCAGTATTTTGGTTTAGTAATCATATCAGAATTACATAAGCAATACATTTAATCTTACGTAATCGAATTTAGTAATGGATTACGTGAAGACTAAATTTGTGTAATTATTCAGTTTGTAATCAAATTTATCTATTATCTAATACTTTTTAATATCAGAGTATTAATGATTAATATAATGTCAAAGTTTTTATTCTTAATGGTGTTATCATACGATTACAAATCTACAAAATTTCCGAAATGTGGAGACGTTTTGAATTTTGACATATTTTTATTGATGAAAAATATCAAACTCTTCTTACTAAATTTCAGAGATTAATAATGATAATAATCATATAAAATGGCCGAACTATACAAAATTATTCAAATTAAATTAAATACCACGATTAGTGATATCGACCAGATTAAAATTTCTCATCAATTTTGTCTTATGAACCCTTTGTTGTATACGTCAATTAGATTTATTTTTGTTTGACTTTAATTCTTGTCACAAGATTAAATAAATTAAAATTTGACTTTAAGGATTCATTAATTATTTCCTAAAAATTTATATATGCCACCACTACTTTAAACAATAAAAAGACTTTAAATAATTAAGAATAAAAAACCACAACCACAAAACTTTTGACCCACCACACAATTGAAATGTAATGAAACGTAATTTTTCCCCAATTAAAACTGTATGTTTATTAGAAAACATCATCAATACCGTCACTTGAGCTCTGAGAATTATGTGCATTTGAACTTATCACAAAACCAAAATAGTATTCTGAGACAGTTTCCAAACCTCCCAATCTCTGCTTCTGGTACATCAAATTTAGCTCTAAGAATCAAAAGACCATTAGTTCATTCAATTTATTTAATCTTAGAGCTTTTAAAGTGCACTTATAAGCTCAGCTAATTTTTACAGATTCACCAGCTCTTCAATTAAATTTCAAATTTAAATATCTACTCTAAAAATTCAAAGACTTCAAAACTCAAATCTTAGTTTCGTTAAACCAACTAGATTCTGAGAGAATAGTAGAACCTTAAACTTAGTTGGCAAAGATATAGAGGGGTTTGACAACAAAGACTTACAAATTTTCAAATTTTTTTATTATACATCATACAATTTTTATACATTAAATGACTATATAAAAGTGTTAAAGATGTTCGATCCCTGATCTGTTTCACAACATACATCCGAGATTTCAGTCCCAGCTGCAGTCTCCAATGCTTGCATCTTTCACATCACGTTCACAGAACAATTCAATTTAAGTGAACATTTAAAAGTTGAATAAAACAAACATTTCAAATTGCTATAAGATAACTTCGTTGAATCATCCTAATTGAAGCAAAATTCAACGCTTGAAATATTATTAAAGGACAAATGAGGTAATCATAATAGCAATATACGTCGATGATGTCTTTATCAGGTAACAAGATTATAGTTCTATTGTTCAATTTTGTTATAAACCCAATCCTTCAAAGTAACTAGATTGTAGTTTAATCTTGCACTCTAGAATAGATCAGAACAATATTGAAAAATGAACGATTAAAATTCAAAACAATTCATAATTGGAATTTATGTCGATGATTTTATCATAATCTAGCAAAATCATAGTTCTACTGTTCAATCTTGTAATGAACCCAATCCTTCAAAGTAACTAGATTTTAGATTAATCTTGCACTCTAGAATAGATCAGAACAATATTGAAAAATGAACGACTTAAAACAAACATTTTTTGATTCCGTATGGATGAATTTAATTATTCAAGTGGAAAAGATTGTATATATATTGCTTGCTAATCATCCAAGTAAACATAACAGAACTAAACATATTGATATAAAATACCAAATCTTGAAGGAGAAAGTTTAAGAAGAAGATTTGAAAATTCATAATTTTTTTATGTATTGAGCTGTAATTTATTTTTTACTAAGAGAGAAATTACACTGTAATAAGTGGGATCAAATATTATTATATGATCAGTAATTAATACAAACACTCTACTTCAAATTTTAACAGAGAAATTAATGAAAAACCAAGACATCCGTTTAGGAGTGACTTAACTAGACCCACTGGACTTGAAAAAGTTTACAATTACTACTACAACAATTAATTTCAACATCAAGGAGAATCAAAACAAATAATAACTCCTAATTCTTCAAATTCATTTGAATCTTTAAAATCAAGTGATAAAAACACTAATGTATCATTAGAAGAAGACGATCCAACAAAATTGAAAGTAAAGGACAAATATGAGAAGCAAATTCAGTGAATATCAAACAAGAATAGATGAACAATTATTACAGTCTCCAAAATATTTACCATGTACAATCAACATATGCGTTACAACTATTATCTACCGATGATGTAGCACTAAGAAAAGAACAACCTGGTTATATTTTAGTCTTGAAAACTTCAAAATATGAGATAAAGTTTGAATTGATCAATGTTTTGAAAAAAATAATCATTAAATTGTATTACTAGATCACCAAATCGGAGCATTTCACTTACTTTTTCACAATCCAGACAATTTCAACCGCCAACTTTGCATCAACGATAACTTTAATCTCGGCAATTCAGTTTTCCAGCAAATACAAAATCCACCATTACATAGTGCGTCAAGACTATTCACAATTAGCATGACAAAATGATCAATTAATGGATATATTGGATTGTAATCTAATACAACAACTCCAAGTGGTACACTAGCAACAAACTAAAAATAAGGATCACCTAGATATGTTTTATTGAAATTAAACAAATTGCTTATGCAATTACAACATTACTCGAAAATCATTATTGTTCACATACTGGTGCTGATGATTTAATTGATTTAGTGTTATGTAGTGTTGTTAGTGGATTCAAATCACCCTTTACCAACAACATTAAACAACAAGTGACTTTAAGTAGTTAAAAACAAAATTCCACAACCACAAAACTTTTGACACACCACACAATTGAAATGCAATGAAACGTAATTTCTCCCCAATTAAAACTGTATGTTTATTAGAAAACACCATCAATACCGTCACTTGAGCTCTGAGAATTATGTGCATTTGAACTTATCACAGAACCAAAATAATATGCTGAAACAGAATTCAAACCTCCCAATCTCTGCTTCTGGTACATCAAAATTAGCTTTGAGAATCAAAAGACCGTTAGCTCATTTATTTCATTTAATCTTAGATCTTTTGAAGCGCGTTTATGAGCTCAGCTAATTTTTACAGTTTCACCAGCTCTTTATTTCTATTAAAATTCTAATTTAACTCCATTCTAAAAATTTAAGGACTTCAAAACTCAAATGTTAGTTTCTTTAAACCAACTAGATTCTGAGAGAGCAGTAGAACCTTAAACTTAGTTGGCAAAGATGTAGAGAGGTTCGACAATAAAGACTTACAAATTTTCAAATTTTTTTATTATACACCATACAATTTGTATACATTAAATGACTATATAAAAGTGTTAAAGATGTTCGATCCCTAGTTGGCTTTACAAAATATATAAGTGAATTTATCCCCAATTGCAGTCCATTGCTCGAACCCTTGACGCTTTCACTAAACAATTCAAATTAATCGAACACACGAAAGTTGAATAAAACAAACATTTCAAATTGCTATAAGATAACTTCGTTGAATCATCCTAATTAGAGCAAAATTCAATGCTTGAAATATTATTAAAGGACAAATGAGGTAATCATAATAGCCATATACGTCGATGATGTCTTTATCAGGTAACAAAATCATAGTTCTATTGTTCAATTTTGTTGTAAACCCAACCCTTCAAAGTAACTAGATTGTAGTTTAATCTTGCACTCTAGAATAGATCAGAACAATATTGGAAAATGAAAGATTAACATTCAGAATATATCATTATCGTAGGAATCTATGTGGACGACATTTTCATAATAACTTCAAATCATAGTTCTATTGTTCAATTTTGTTGTAAACCCAATCCTTCAAAGTAACTAGATTGTACTTTAATCTTGCACTCTAGAATAAATCAGAACAATCTTGAAAAATGAACAATTGCTTATAATGGAATTTCCAAGAACTTCTAAAAACAGTAAAGAGTAACGAATAGTTGATCAAAATTAAAAAAGAAGATTTGAAAATTCACAATTTTTTTATGTGTTGAAATTTAATTTTATTTTCACTAAGAGAGAAATTACACTGAAATAAGTGGGATCAAATATTATTATATGATCAGTAATTATTACAAACACTCTACTTCGAATGTCGACAGAGAAATTAATGAAAAACCAAAACATGCATTAAGGAATGACTAATTTAGACTCACAGGACTAGCGACCACCATTCAATCACAAAAGTCTACAATATCTACTACAACAATTAGTTTCAACATCAAGGAGTATCAAAACAAATATCAAATCCTAATTTTTCAAATTCATTAAATCTTTAAAAACACTAATGTATCATTAGAAGAAGATGATTTAACAAATCTAGAACAAATAGAAGCAATTAAATTTGTATGATATCAAACAAGAATAGATCAACGATTATTACAATTTCCATAAGATTTACTAGGTACAAATAACGTACTAAATTTACAACCACTATATACTGATGATGTAACAGTAAGAATAAGACAACCTGGTTATATTTTAGTCTTGAAAATTTCAAAATATGAAAGATAAAGTTTGAGTTGATCAATGTTTTGAAAAAAAAATCATTAAATTGTATTACTAGATCGATTTGGAGAATTTCACTTACTTATTCACAATCCAAACAATCTCAACCGCTAACTTTGCATCAAAGATAATTATAGTCTCGGTAATTCAGTTTTCCAGCAAATTCAAAATCCACCATTACAAAGTGCGTCAAGACTATTTACAATTAGCATGACAAAATGATCAATTAATGGATATATTGGATTGTAATCTAATACAACAACTCCAAGTGGTACACTAGCAACAAACTAAAAATAAGGATCACCTAGATATGTTTTATTGAAATTAAACAAATTGCTTATGCATTTACAACATTACTCGAAAATCATTATTGTTCACATACTAAAGCTGATGATTTAGTTGATATAGTGTTATGTAGTGTTGTAAGTGGATTCAATCACCCTTCACCAACAACATGTTGGTCTTGTAGGACTAGCAAAGTTCCATTTGGAAAGTACATGTTTCAAGTACTTGTCTAATTCATCAATTATAGAAAAGGTTTTATAAAAATTTCAACAATATCACTAATTACCCACTTTCAACTCAATTCATACAGTAAATATAAATAGCTTCAATATCATTGATCACATACTTATATGTTAATAAAGGTTTTTTTACTAGTGTTTTATTAAATTTATTAACAGTATTTCCTAGGATGAAGTCAGAATGTTTTACTTATATACTTGCTAGTTTATTTATTCATTCATTAATTTATCTATTTATTCATTTCTTTATTTACTTCGCTGCTCAACAAACTTTAAGCTCAATTCAGATTCTATAAGTTATAAGTCAAGTTATGAAGTTAGCATAGATCAAATTTGTTAACAATATGAAAATCACATACAAACAATTTTTGTGCCTCACACTACCATTAATTATATTTTATTTATTCATTTATTTATGGTTGCAAAACATATCAAAATTCCCACTTTTCTATTACTATTTCATTTCAACTACAATTTAAATTCCAATCCAAACGAATTTAAATTACCAAAACTTCCATCAATCAATTATTTTAATTAATTACAAATTTATAATCAATACATTTAACTCATTTACTCAACCTTTAACTCAATCAACTTAATTTTTTTTCGAAATGTCCTCAAATATTCAATTTCAAGAAAATATTGAAAAAGATACTTCATTTGATTATCCATCACCAAACTCACCATCAGTTCCAAAAACCCAATCAAAAGATTCATCAACTGAAGTTAAAGCTCCTAAACAACACAATTTTACAAGAGTTGGAATTTTCACTCCTAAAAAGTTTAGTAAAGATATCTTCAAACAATTAGAAAATTTACAAATTTCTAAAACTCAATTTTTTAAAGATTTAAAAAAACATTCAGAATTAGAAAACCAAACTGAATTAGAAGATCAATGTAAAGATAATATTGACTTATCATATGATTTACAATTTAAATATTTTACAGATTTTATACAAGTTTTTAATCCAATCACTACTTCAAGTACCTCCGATACCAAAAAAGATTTATATTATCAATATTTTACAGATTTTATTCACGTATTTAATCCAATCACTACTTCAAGTACCTCCAATACCAAAAAAGATTTACAACTTCAATACTTTAATGATTTTAATCATGTTTTTGATGTAATTAGTGATTCAACTATTGCAAATACTGAAAAAGATTTACAACTTCAATACTTTACTGATTTTAATCATGTTTTTGACGTAATTAGTGATTCAACTATTGCAAATACTGAAAAAGATTTACAACTTCAATACTTTACTGATTTTAATCATGTTTTTGATGTAATTAGTGATTCTACTATTGCAAATACTGAAAAAGATTTACAACTTCAATACTTTACTGATTTTAATCATGTTTTTGATGTAATTAGTGATTCTACTATTGCAAATACTGAAAAAGATTTACAACTTCAATACTTTACTGATTTTAATCATGTTTTTGATGTAATTAGTGATTCTACTATTGCAAATACTGAAAAAGATTTACAACTTCAATACTTTACTGATTTTAATCATGTTTTTGATGTAATTAGTGATTCTACTATTGCAAATACTGAAAAAGATTTACAACTTCAATACTTTACTGATTTTAATCATGTTTTTGATGTAATTAGTGATTCTACTATTGCAAATACTGAAAAAGATTTACAACTTCAATACTTTACTGATTTTAATCATGTTTTTGATGTAATTAGTGATTCTACTATTGCAAATACTGAAAAAGATTTACAACTTCAATACTTTACTGATTTTAATCATGTTTTTGATGTAATTAGTGATTCTACTATTGCAAATACTGAAAAAGATTTACAACTTCAATACTTTACTGATTTTAATCATGTTTTTGATGTAATTAGTGATTCTACTATTGCAAATACTGAAAAAGATTTACAACTTCAATACTTTACTGATTTTAATCATGTTTTTGATGTAATTAGTGATTCTACTATTGCAAATACTGAAAAAGATTTACAACTTCAATACTTTACTGATTTTAATCATGTTTTTGATGTAATTAGTGATTCTACTATTGCAAATACTGAAAAAGATTTACAACTTCAATACTTTACTGATTTTAATCATGTTTTTGATGTAATTAGTGATTCTACTATTGCAAATACTGAAAAAGATTTACAACTTCAATACTTTACTGATTTTAATCATGTTTTTGATGTAATTAGTGATTAAGCTACAACTACTTCATCATCATCAGCATCTTCATCATCATCAGCATCACTATCAAATTTAAGCAATGCTCCTAACAAAACAGATAAAGTTATTCAATTCATTCATAATCCAAAAAAACCTGATCAAAAGAAATTAGGTAAATCAGAAAAATTTAAAAACTTCATTATATATGGTACAGCAAAGGGTAAAGAAACAGAAAATATCCCAAAACATGTTGAAAAATACGTTTTAAATAAATTAAAAATTGCAAAAACCACCAATAATAATATTGATATTTCATCAATTGCAGAAACACTAAAACAAGAGCAATTAACTCAAGAAGAGTTAGATTACTGCTTATACAAAATATATTCAAGTAGTTGTAAAAAATCAATACAATCAAATTTTAAAAAATTATTTAAAAGAAATAAAAAGAAAAAGGAACCTCCAATTAAAGGATGTTTAAAAAAGTCAAATAATCAAAATTTCAGTTTAGAAAAGAAAGCTTCTGAAGAAGCAGATTCACAAACAATAGAAAAGTTTATGTCAGAATTAATTTATCGTGAAAATAGAGGATTAGATCCAATTTACAAAAGAAATATTAAAAATACTCAATTACAACAAGTTCAAAATTATTATGGTGACAATGTTGAAGTATATTCAGAACAATAAAAGACTAAATAATCGAAAATACAAGAAAATTTCAGAAATAAAATTAAAAAATTAATATCAAAATAAGTGGTGGTATATATATATTTTTCAAGTCTGGCCAGCTAGGGAAATGCAATTTATTATTTACTTATGGGATTCTGAATAGTTTTTATTGTATAATTTTTTATATTGACTTTGCTTTTTATTATAACAAAACTTAATAAATATTTCAAAATTTTTAATTATTTCTGTTGTAGTTTCTCTGATAATGCTTTTGAGAATCTTATAGTATTATCTTCTGAAACAATTCAGGTTTTTGGTCTAAAAATCCATTCTAGTACTTTCGATCTTCATACCTTTACAATTTTGGTTTCTTTCGGTATTTGTGAAACATACGTATAAATTAAAAATAATAATCCTAGTTTTCGAATACGGACAAAGAAAAAAAGTAAGAAGAGATACAATTTCCAAAGCCATTAAATCATTACATTTCAAACTAAACAAAACTACATCTCATTTAATTCAAGTTTTTTGTACTGCCACAGCTACAAATATTAGTTGAACTATTACTATTTGAATTTCCACCACCACTAGAACCATTTGAAACTTTTCTCTCTTTATGTACAATTAAATCAATTAATTCTTTAGGATTAGCATAAACTTCAGATATCCATTTACTTTGTAGAATTTCATCTATATCAATTCTTGAATCTATATTTGGATTTAATATACGTAATAAAATTGAACGAGAATCATAATGTAAATCTTTAAATAATTCTATTGATGAATTATTTAATTTGATTGTTTTATTGTTTAGGTCATTAATTAGATTCTTGAGATTTTTATTGAATATTGATTCATCATTTTCTTTGGAGGATTTAGGGTATATTTTGAGGTATTTTTGAAAATTAATATTTTTTGGATCATTTGGGTTTGCTGTTGGCCATGGATTTTTCATTAAATAAATGACAAAATATATAATACCTAATGCCCAAATATCAAATTTTTTAAGGGTGCTGAAATTTTTAGATTGTAATTTAAATTGATTTAATGAAAATTTCCCATCATTTTGACTTGTTTCTAAATCAAATATTTCAGGAGATTTAAAACTATTTGTACCAACAGTTAAAAAATGGGGATCATGTTTAAAAATTTTAAATAATTTAGTTTGATGATTTAAATTTAAACTATATCCGAAATCACTAATTTTAACAACTCCATTCAAATCAATTAAGAAATTTTCAGGTTTTAAATCTCTATGAACTATATTTTTGGAATGTAAAAAATGAACACCTTTTAAAATTTGTTTAAAAATTGAATCCTTGAGGTTGGAATTTAATGAGATTTGATGTCTTCTTAGTTTGGATAAAAAATCTAATAAATCACCTTGTGGGAAATATGGAAGTACTAATACAAATTCTTTGGAATCTGAATATTTAGCTAAATCTATAATTTCAATTATATTTTTATTGGGGGATGAAGTTTTCATATTTTTATATTCTCTTTTGACTGATGAAACATATTGTTGATGACTTTCTGTTAAGTTATGTTTAATTCTTTTTAATACTAATGTTTTCGAATGTTCAACATTTGATCCTTTGTAAATTATTCCATTTGCTCCTTCATATATTGGCTTGGATGATGTTGTCACGTATTCTGTTCCTATCTCTGGTAGGGCACTTATATCTATTGAGCACGTATCATCTGAATCATCTGTTGATTCGTCTTGTAATGATTCTTTTTGTTCATCTTCGTTTGGAATTTGATCAGTAATTGTGAATTCCTCAGAATTTTGTACTTCTTCAGAATGAGTTTGCTCTGCTTGTTGTAGTTGTTGTTGTTGTTGATTTGAATTTGTTACTTGAAAATTATTTTCCTCATCTACTGCATTTGGTGGACGTTGATCACTAAAATTATCTTGTACTTGATTTTCTTGTAGTGTAGGTAAACTATTTGTTGAATGAGCTGGGGTTTGAGTAATGTTGTTCATATCGGTTCGTTCTTGATCAAAATCAGGTACGTTATTATCTGAAACGGTATTTGGTTGATTGAAATGTTGGATATTTGGTGCGTTCTGATTATCAATATTATTGACATTATTATTATTTAGATTCAATTTAAATGACTCGCTATCATTATTAACGTTTAAATTCTCAAAATTATTTGTTGATTCGTCAATTAGGTCTTTTTGATTGACAGTTGAATCCTTAATTTTAGGTGATCCATGTAGTTTTTCTCCATTTTCAGATTTTGGATCAATTACTTTTGAAGAAGAAGAAGATCTTAATAATTTTGCATTAACTAATTTTGAATGATCATCAATTGAACTATGACTTTGACTTCTATGTGGTTTTGTTATATTTGAATTATCTTGATTATTTTGATTTGAAGTTGAAACTTTATGACTACTTCCTTTCCTTGAAAGAAAATGGCCTATATGTTGTAGCATATTTGTTGAATTTAAATTTGTTCGAAGTGATTTTGATTATAGTAACTCAAACTTGCTGCATGTGATTCAAATGTAACGAAAATCTATACTGGTTTGTAAAGTTAATCGGTTGGTTATTGATTTCAATTACTGATTGGTTTGAATCATTTATTAATAAATGGGGTTAATTGAAAATAAATATTCAGCCTTTCCTGAAGTTAAGATAAAACGATTTTGTGAAATCTTCTTTGATTGTAATTATATAATAAAACGGCTTTATTATATTTCTAATCTTTACTTGATCTAAATTAATTAAGTAAACATATAAATTAAAAGAATATTCTTAAGCTTCAAATTTGAGGTATTTAAAAAAATTTCTGTAAAAAAATAATAATCTGTTGTAAAATTTGGTTGTAAATTAATAATTTAATTAAATATTTAAAATTAAAGTTAAGGGTTTAAATAATTGTTAGTATATAAATTTAAAAGTGAGATCAATTTAATTAGGATAACTCCGTTCTTTTTTTATATAAACGAAACTACCAAGTGCATCTAAATTTTTTAAGGTATGACCATACCCCTGTGAGAATTGTATAGTATCAAGTATAGACTATCATAGTCATAAGTGGTTTATAGAATATTGAAATAAAGATGGTGCTAGCAAATATTATTTGTGTTGAGGATATTAAATATAAACATTTTTGGAATTAAAGTGATAGGTCTCTTTGATGGCATTGTTATTTTTTGTATCTTTATCGAGTTTTACAACCAAATTTAAACAATTTCATAAAAACGTTTTGAATAACAGCAATGAACTTTCAACTTGAAATGTATTGAATTTAATAGTGGGTTTTCTCAGTTTAAAGTGTTAAACATCCTAGCCCCACTAGCTATTGGTCACCAAAAAGTCTCAACAACTGCTAGCGATTGACATAAATATTTGAGACAGAATGCAGCACTTTAAGAAATTTTCATGAATTCTTACAAATTCTTATCCGACAGGATTAGTGGCAGAAAATGGAGGAAGCTATTTCGAGATCACTATATGCTAGAGTTCGATTATATGACATTAGATGTGAAAAAGTGTTTCAATTTTCACCTCACTATAAAAATTGTAATACTATCTTAAGCTAAGTTGTGCCCTTAAGATCAATTTATTCATATGTTACTAAATTAAGTAATCTAGAAATTAATGTATGTATAATGTATTAATTGCTAAATAATAATATTAATTACTTAAATTGTTTATTTATAATATAAACTAATTGGGAATATTAATTACTAGAATCAAATTGGTAGCAAAAAAGACACAAATATAAAAATAAATGACATATTATATTTTGTTTAACTTAGTCTAAATTAAATTGCTTTTAATGTTGTTACAATCAAAGGGCTGAATCATAAAGGAATAATTTATTTAACCGGATTTATAAAGTATTTAAAATTCGAATTTCGATTGAAGTTGTTTTTAGCAAACTTATTATTATTTTCTAGGGGAAAGATTTAGTCCTCTCAATTTTTGGAATTACATGTATCGTCAGATTTCAAAATATTCTCTCCACATTTTAAAAACTTGAACGTAGGGTGTATATTTTTTCGAATAGTAAGTTGTTAATTAGTATTCATATTCGTAAGCTTAAGATATTTACGATTCTAAATTTTTACATTGTTTTAGTTAAATTTTAATAATTTTTTTTGGAGCAAATTAAGAAAAAACATAAACAGAGAAAAAATTAGTATTAATTTTATGATGATCCTTCTTTAATTTTCTTTTCAAGTCATTATTCTAGTATTCTTTAATTTTACCTCGTAGAGAACGAAAAAGTTGAAGGTTTTTAATTTTTAAAGGCTCAGAAGATGATTGAATAGGCAAGGCTAAAATTATTCTTAATGATATATTTTCTGCCTTGAAGTTATCATCTTCTACTGAATATCCGCGAAAAATGAAAATTAAGTATGAATTTTATCCACTTATTTCTCCAAACATAAGCCATTTTCATATCATCTGTTTCTAAATTTAGCACGAGACTTCTTCATAATTATTGAACCTTAATCAAATAAATCAAAAAGCACCAATGCTACTACAAATCAATTGAACTCAAGTGAAATCTCTTTTGATTATATACAACTATCATTTATACCACTCATAATGTGTACTTTAATTATACATTAAGTTACTTTAATATCCCTTAGTTTAAATACTAATATTAAATTGTAGAAATCCAATTGTTTACAATTTTGTACTATTTGTATTAATAGCAATGCAAAGCAAACAAAACAAATAAATTTAAAATTTCAATATTAATTTTTTTGACATCATCAATTTTTTACAATTTTAGAGCTAACTTTTTTCTTCTTACAATTCCATCATTTCATTTTATATATATATTGAATTAATTCTCATCAAATTTAGGACCAGAGATTAAAGAACTTTTTTTTTGTCATCTAGTTTCAATTTCTTTTTCCAAATTTTGAAATCTGGAGTATAAATTCATTATAACTACACAAAATAAACTTAATTTTTTACCCAGCCTTATTTTATTCAATTGGCTTATTCAAATTTTAATTCATTTTTAATTTCAATTTAAATCTACTATTCGTTTGATTTTTACTACTTCAATTGAGTCAAAGTTTATAATTCAATTCAATCATTAATTTAAATTTAATACCATTTCCTAATTAATTTCAAAAAACTAACTTACTTATATATATAACAATAATATAATGAGAGGATTAACAGTTATTCCATTATTTTTCCTTTTAGGTTCAACTTTATTATTAATTTTAACAGTTATAAATGGCTCAGGAACTTCATCATTTTTAGGTAAATTTTATTGGTCAGAAACTGATACTTCACAAATTCAAGGAGCTGGTAGAGATACAACAAGATGGACATTTTATAGAAGTTGTGGTGAACAAAATGGTCATAATTCAGATTGTTCTAAATCCCATCCTGCTTATCCTTATTCTCCTGCTGATAATTTTGATTCAACTCAAGGATTACCAAATTCTTTTGTTAATGATAGAAAAACTTATTATTACTTATCAAGATGTGGTTGGGCTTTTATTGTTGTTGCATTAGTTTTTTCAACTTTAGCTTTAGTTTTAATTCCAATTAATTTCTGTATAACAATTGGTGGAATATTAACAATTATTACTTCATTTATTGCCTTTTTATTTGCTATTACTGGTGCTGCATGTATAACTGCTGCTCATGTTAAAGGTAAACATGAATTTAATAAAGCAGGTCATTCAACTAAATTAGGTGCAAAAGCATTTGGTATATTATGGGCATCAGTTGCTTGTTTATTAATTGTATTTTTATCAGCTATTGGTGCATGTTGTGGTACAAGAGCAGGTAATAAGAAAAAATCAAATGGAGCTTATAATCATAATCAAGATCATGAAAATAATGTTTATTCAAAAGAAAGTACTGGTGATTATGCTCAAGGTAATTATGTTGATGATAATAATACAAGAGGAGCTGTTGGTGCAGGTGGAGTTTCTGGTATTAATGATAATGAACCAATTTCTGATGCTTCAAAATTTAGATTTTTCAGAGTTAAAAGAGCAAAACCTGAAGAAATCTAAAGTTATTGAAATAATAAAACCATTGTCAAGAAATATTTCAAAATCAAGATTGATGATTGGAAATTGAGATATCATTTTGTCAAACTCAACAATTAAGAAAACTGCAATACAAAAGAAAAACCAAATACGAATCAAAATTAATTAAAAGAAAAGTCAAATACAAATACCAAATCAAATTAACGATTTTTTTCAATACTTATAATTTATACTTTTACTGTCCCTTTTTTTCATTCACGTTACATATATATAATATATTGTTTAATATTTATTACGTTTTAATTTTTTATATTTTTATTTAATTTTAATATATAATTTACTTTGTAATCGTTTATTTAATGTATTAGAGTCAACCTAAGTAAGCATTATTGAAACAGATTTGTGACAACCTCTGATAATAATTTAAAGTTTTGTATGATTACTTTTACTAAGTTTGAAACTAGTGATTTACGATTTAAAAAATAATTAATTAATGATTCGCATTAAGGGTCAAGATGAAGATTTAGACTGAAAATAGAAACAAAAGAAATGCGTTACTAAAAGATTGTAGATTTAATTTAAACTTATTAAGTTAATGCACTTTGGAATTTGACATATTTCGTAAATTATGGTTATATAATATTTATTCACTTAAATGAATATTCAGTTTTCACATTTCAAATCTCTTATAAACTGTATCTTCTATTTAATTCTATATAAATCTTTTCTACTTCTGACTCTGCTTTAAATCTGACTTTGTCAGCATAACAAGATCTTAAAAATATCTGTGCTGGCTGAATTAAATTACTATCTATAAATTATTAGTATATTTAGTGTAAAATTGTTAAAACAATTATTCTAATATAATAAATTATTTTGTGTACCTTAATTTAAAGTTTTTGATCTATAATCTCTCGTAAATTAATAATTTAATTTGTTATGCATAAAATTATAATAATTATTATTTTTAAAAAGACTAATACCAATCTAAAATTCGAATCACAAAAGTTTAGTTTTACTCATACTACTAAAACATAATTATACTACTGAATTACTAAAAGAAAAACTACAAATCACAAATCTTAGTTATAAAGAACACTTATTCTAATTTCCTAAATTATTAACTACTAATAAAATAATTTACACATTTTCTAAATTAGGTTAATCTTTTAGAATTTGGAATATAATCAATAAGTTTCAAAAAACCTAAATTTTAAGAAACTCAAATTAGTTGAAACAAGGAATAAAGGGTATTGAATAAAATTAAAAATCCAAAAAATCTTGAAAAACTTATAGGAACCTGAAACTGAAAAATAATAATTGATCATTGAACTTAATCTTACATTTTCATGCTTCACAACTTAATTGTCTAAAATTAGTAGTATTAAATTTTTATTAATTTGCAACCATTCCAAGCTATAACAGTCTAAAGTTTTTCAGTACTAAAGGGGTATCATTTGTTTTATCTAGTTTGACAGAATGTCTTATTCAGTTGAACCTACTCCACATTCACGAAGTAGTAGTAATAATGGTAATGACTTAATTAATAATTCAAATTCAAGTAACAACATAATAACAACCACCAAAAATAATGATTTTCAATACGATGATAAATATATTCTTCAACACTTATCAAATTCAATCAAAAATCATCAACAAAAATTTGGTAAAAGCTATAATAGTCATCTTTCTCCAATTTTATTATCTGAGATTTTAGATAGTGATATTCATGATGGAAGTAGTTCTGGAAGTGGAAGTAGAAGTGGTAATGGTTCATCATCATCAGGTAATCATGTAACTAGTACTGGATTTCAATTAAATGGACGAGTCTCAAATCGATCAGGTAGTGAATCAAGAACAAAATTTAATAATAAATTAAATCTTGGATATTGTTCAAGTCAAGATGATGAAATTAAATTTAAAATTCAACAAGCTTCACAATTGAATCACCAAGCTTTACAAAATGTTTCTAATGAATTAATACAAATTATCCAAGATGTTGAAAATGAAAAGTTTCATAAAAAGCAAAGAAGTATTGATTCCAAATCAAGCAATGAAATGGAATTAATTGCACATAGATTGAATTCAAAAGGTGTAGCATTCAATGTGACTGATGCCGAAACTGAAGATGAAATAGTTAAAGAATCAAGTAATGAGCCAAGGGATGATGAAGATGAAAATGATGAAGCATTTGATGCAACTTCAGCTAATACTATATCACCAGAAGCTTATATGAATGGATATATGAAATTTATTATGGATTCATCACAAGTTCCATTAGTTGAATGTAATGAACAACAACAAAATTACCTTGCACAACAAAGAAAAATTCCAATTAGATCATCAACCAACAACCAAACGACTTTATCAAAACATAATTCTTTAGTTTCAATTTCAAATTCAATAATAACTGGTGATGAATTGGAAAGATTACAATCTCCAAAAGTTGATTTAACTCATGATCAAGTATTGGAATTATTTGAAACAACATGTAAAGAAATTGATGAATGGAAACAAACATCTTATCATATTAATAATATTAAATTAAATAATCTTTCAACTTATCCTCATCAACAACAAAGATTATCTTTGAATCTGCAAGATGATGATCGTAATTATACTTTAAGATCTATATCAAGATCAACTCATAATAATAGTGATGAATCAGTTTTTCAAATCACTGAAGTTGGACAAAGTAATAATAAATTAGGCCATGGTTTATATAATGAAGATAATGATGCATCAATTGAGACTGAACCAAAACAAAACCCATCAAAACAATGGTTTATTAAAAAATATGGTAATTACTATCAAAGTATAGATGATGAACCAGATGTAAAACCAACGTCAAGAAGATTATCATCATCATCATCAGGTATAGCTATTGAATCTACCAAAAGATCATCTTCAGTTAGTTCAACAAATTCACATTTATCATTTCCATTGCCACCCAATTTAAATTCAAATTCAAGTACCACTTCACCACTGGAAAAATTAAACAACAACCAAGAAACATCAGGTACTTCCTCACCAGACAAAGTTAATAACTCAATTGATGCGAATATCACAACAACAAAAACTATGAGTAAAAAACGTAAAGAAAAATCAAAAATTGGTACCAATGTGGTACTTGATTATACACGTGATGATGAAGTTGAACAAATAGATTCTCCAAAAGCAATAATGTTCAAAATTGGAAATAAAGTTGATTTCAAAACTTTTGAAATTGAAAGTAAACCAGATTTTAGTGCATCATTAACTTTATCTTTACAATCATCAAAAATTCCAAATAAACTTCATTGTATACAATTAAATGAAAAATTAATTAAACCATTATTTGATGTTCAAACTTGTAAAGTTCAACGTACCTTATATTTACGTGATGATTTTGATATAGTTTTTCATAATTATCAACAACAAGAAATAGAATCTGGTAAATTAGGTAAAGATGATATAAAATATGAAGTAGCACATAACATTAATTTCAAAAAATCATCTTATGAATCTCAATATATTTTGACTAAAATTGATAATGCAACAGGAAAATCAGATAGTACAACAAGAGCAGGATTATGTCCTTATTGTGAAACTATTGAATTTTTTGGTTTAAAAAATTCATCATATGGTAATCATTTAGCTTATAAACATGGGATTTTAACAAATGGTAGATCAGTTCCTGACCCAAAATTTTATGGATTGTATAAATTTAAAAAGGGAGAATATGATGAACCAGAAAAGAAAAAACGTAAAACTAATGCCCATATTTTGGAAAGAAATGGAGTTTTATGTACTTGTTGTTGGCAAATTTTAGAAGTTAATTGTACTTCAAGATCATCTATTTTGGGACATTATTTAAGACATTATAGGGATTCTCATGTTGGATATAAAAAGGAAAATAAATATGAAAAAAATTATATTGATGTTGATGAAATTAAAAGTGGTGGATCAAATGGACCTGCTATTGAAGATAAAGTTTTGGCTGATGTTGTTGATGCTATTGATGATTGTCAACTTGATAATGCTGGTGGGTGTGGTTATCCTATTGATGATCCGGACATTTTGAAATTTCTTAATAATTGGAGACAATAATGTACATTAATTGAAAATTTTCAGGGGGGTTTATTGTTTTTTGTTTTGTTTTTTATGTTTTTTGCACAATTGGTATTGGTATATTTTTTGGATGGTGCTTGTTTAATTCTCCACTTTTTGGTTCTTGGTTTAAATTTTACTTTTGTTGTGTTGCTTTAATTTTTTGTATTAAATTTGTTATACTTTTTTTGTTTATTTTTACATTGCATTGCTATGGTTGGTAGGTGGGTAAGTTTATAATCTTTAATTGACAATTTTGTAAAAGCTTTTGATTGATAAATTGTGAATTGATCTTTTATCGTAGATACGAATGAAGTGATTTGACCTTGTAATCCAGCATATTCTTTTTGAAAATATTTTGATTATGGAAACAACCTTTAAACACTAACATCAATTTGCTAATAAGTTTCCACTTTTTTCTTCATCTTCCTTCGTATATGATCTGGATCTCCTCAGGATAAACGCAGATGTAAATCTTAAATTTTGGCCGTACCGTTCTTATTGGTTTCTATATGCAATTTTTAACGTAAAACAACAGATCTTTGATATTACAACATATTTGAACAATTCAGCATAAGTATATATATATATAAATTTGTGATGATTATGAACGGCTATATTTAATTTTGTGTTGATAATGAAATCAAAAGCGGAATATAATTTGTGTAAATTTTTTAGCGGCTTCATTTATATTATTGGTTAAAATTATGAGAAATAATTATATCTGAATTAGATTGAAATCAAGTAAAGATAATGTACCATTTATTAAATTTAGGATCAATTTTGACACATTTGTTTGTTTGACGTGTTTATTATATAAATGATAGAAAGGGTACTGGGTAAACTTCAGAATTATTATTAAGTCTAGGTTGAGGTAAAAGATCTTATGTACATGGTTGAATATGGTCAAGATTCATTCAGATAGGTGCCAAAAAATAATGGAGTACCTTTTTAACAATTGAAGACGTTTGTGATACTTAATAAATCAAAGTAATACCTTCTTTAAAATTTTTATTGTTGAACGGAATATATTTTTCCTTTCATGCATAGATGAAGTATTCCATTAATTACATTATACTACTTAATATAAGAATTTTATCATGAGGACTACTATAAATAGTGAGACAGACCCTTTATTTCTAATAAATGACGAGTTAAATTCAGATACCCTAGTCATTTAACGAAATGTCAAAAGAAGAGAAAGATTCAAATATCTGGGTTCAAGATTCAATATCGGAGATTTCAGATTCTGAGTCTACCATATCGTCAAAGACTATTGATTTTACTAAAGAAGATATTGAACAAGCAAATGAAATATTCTTTCATGACAGTAAACTAAGCTCTACCTTAAATGCTAGAATCATAACTATGATCTCCTTAGTTGGAGTTATAGGTACAGGGTTGTATGTTAAGTTAATCTGGTGATACAACGAGTTTATTAATACTAACTCAATTTAGATTTTTATCATCAGGTGGTACTTTAGCAACAACAGGTCCGGTTGGAATGATACTAGCATATTGTTTAGTTGGTACAGTTGTAGCAGCATCTTTAATGTCAGTTGCAGAAGTTTCATGTTTATCACCCAACGAAGCATCTTATGTATCTCATGCTGAGCATTTTGTTCATAAGTCTTTGGGATTTGTTATTGGTATATGTGATATTTATGCAAATATTATTCCTAACGAATTAGCTGCTGTTTCAGTTTTAATGACTTATTGGACAAATTTAAATCCTGCTATATTTGTTACAGTTTTTGGTATTACTATTATAGTTGTCAATGGGTATAATGTTAAATGGTATGGTGAAATTGAGTTTTACTTTGGTATAATTAAGATTTTATTATGTGTTGGATTAATTTTATTGGGTTTGATAATTGATTTGGGTGGTATACCTGGAGATAGTGATCGTATTGGATTTCGTTATTGGATTGATCCTGGACCGTTTGCTGCAAGATATGCTACTGGTTCTTTGGGAAAATTTTTAGGTTTCTGGAAATCTGTCAACTCGGTAGTTTATGCATTTAGTGGTATACAAAATATTACATTATTAGCTGGTGAGATTGATTATCCTAGGAGATCCATTTATCGAGCTTCAAAAAGAGTATTTTTGAGAGTATTTGTATTATACATCACAATGGTTTTCATTTTATCAATGATTGTGCCTCATAATGATCCACTTATTGCTGAATCAAATGGAACTGCAAGTGGAAGTCCATGGGTGAGAGCTATAACATTAGCAGGTATAAAAGTTTTACCAAGTATAGTGAATGCAGTTGTTTTGACCTCGGCATTAAGTTCTGGAAATTTACAAGTTGTCAAAGCTAGTAGAACTATTTACGTATTAGCTTCTAAAAAACAATTGCCTAAGATTTTTTTACGAGTTAACAAACATGGTTTACCATATATTGCAGTTGGTTTTACATGTGCTTTCCTTCCATTAGCTTACATGGCATCAAGTAGTTCATCATCAACTGTGTCTTCATGGTTTTCAAATGTCATATCAGCAAATACGCTATTTAGTTGGATTGTTATGAGTATTAATCATATTGCATTACATAGAGCATTGAAAGCCCAGGGCTTCACTAGAAAAGATTTACCATATACTTTTTTGGGTAAATATGGTGAATTTTGTGGATGGTATTCATTATTTTTTGCAGTTTTATTTTTAATAACTGGAGGGTTTCCAATTTTCATACACGGATATTGGGCGTTTTCAACCTTATTCAGTGCTTACTTCATAATTCCATTAGCTTTAATACTTTTTGTATTTGCTAAATTGGTATTTAAATCAAAATATATTAGACCCAATGAAGTCAGATAGAAACCTTTATTTTATGATGTTCAAGCGAGACCTGAACCGCCTTTTGAAAAATTAAAAGGTTTGGAGTGGCTCACCTTATTATGGGCGTAGAAGAATTTGTTAATAAAAAAGTTCGTACAATTTTAATACACATTGCATTCTTAGTATCATCCTTTCTTCAGAATATGTAAAGTTATGTAGATAATATGTTGATCTTCAGTGTTCAATGTATTAAAATTATCACGGTTAGCTATGAGCATTGATTCTTAAATCCCTGCCCCTGGAAGATTTATCAAATAGGTGAAGGCGTTTTGAATCGACAATTCATCAAAAGACGAAGTCAAAAGAAGAATTGATTTACTCGTGAAAGCAATGTATTGATATGGATTGTACAAAAAAAGTAGTTCACGACAATGAACAAATTCGACATACTTACAGAACTAAAACTTGAAGTTTGTGTTTTAAATATAAAACCTTAATTTTCTTGAAGAATTAATTTTGCTAAATAGATCAAACAATAATCTAAAAGTCAATCTATGATTAAAAGTCATCTTGAATAAAGACAAATTGTAAAATTTTCTTTATCTCAGTATTCAAAAATTCAAAATTAGTTTTAATATGATCAATTTTATTAATAGAAATAACGAAAAATTCGTTTATCTTTTCTGATGTAAACTTACTTAAATTAGTCCAATATTTAATTAAAGATAGCCACAACATAAAAAAAATTATCCTAAAAAATTAATTGGTTTCAATCAAATATCCACAGTCTACTGATAATGAAAAACCATTTTCATATTACATAGCAAATGATCTTAAACGTTTATTGATCAGATAATATTACTAAAGAAATGAGGTTTTCATCAAAAAAGATCTTTATCTTAGTTATTCAAGGGACAACTTAGTTTTCCCCATTAATGTAAAAGATAAGAGTTTTAGCTTTACAAATTTATTGAACAACAATTTTTACCTGATCCTATTGTTTCAAACTGTAAAAACTTTTTTATACCCTTTTTAAAGTTTAAATATTGTTATCTTTTGAAGTGTCAAAACTTAAATTATTTCATCAAGGTGTGTAATAAAAATAATGATATTAGATCATAAGGCATTTTGTATCAAACTATTAATCATTAATGCAATTAATTACATTTGAGATACCAGTGGTACATAACTCAAATTTTTCCATGAATTGTTCTGATTCTTATCTATATTTTGTACTTTGTGCTTAAATTTATATCCTTTATCAATATTGGTTATGGAAAGCCACTTTTTACTAATAAACAAGATCTGATTGTTCATCTGTATAACTCGATTTATATAAGAGCATAATCCCACTGAAAAACATAATTTCAAAGCTCTTTTAAAAAATAACTACCCAAGCTCAACAATGTCTAAAGAGGTTAAAGATCAGAATGCAAAAGTTGAGGTTTATGCTGATTCTTCAGATATTGAATCATTAAATCATAGTTTTTCAAAAGAAGATATTGATGAGGCAGCTGAAATCTTTTATCATGACAATAGATTGAGTTCTTCTTTAAATGCCAGATTAATTGGTATGATTTCATTAGTCGGTGTTATTGGTACTGGGTTGTATGTATTAATTTATTTTCTTATCTAGAAACAAAAGATATGGAATGGTTGCAATTTTAACAAAGCTACCAAATTTTTCTAAATGTTTTAAGTTAGAGGTTGCAAAAAAAAAACATTTAATCTTAAAGTTTTGTGATACTAACAAATATGTCAATAAAGATTTTTGTCATCAGGTGGTACATTATCAACAACTGGTCCAGTTGGTATGATAATTGCTTATGTTTTCGTTGGTACAGTTGTTGCAGCTTCACAAATTGCAGTCACTGAAGTTTCATGCTTATCACCAAATGAAGGTGCTTATGTTTTTCAAGCTGAACATTTAGTTGATAAATCATTAGGTTTTGTAATGGGTATTTGTGATATTTATTCAACAATTATTCCAAATGAATTATCTGCAGTTTCTGTTATTATGTCTTATTGGAGTGATTTAAATCCAGCTGTATTTATTACTATTTTTGGGGTAGTAATTGTTGTTGTAAATTCTTATAATGTTAAATGGTATGGTGAAGTTGAATTCTTTTTTGGACTTTTAAAAATTTTATTATGTGCTGGTTTAATCTTATTAGGTATAATTATTGATTTAGGTGGAGTTAAAGGTCAAGAGAGACTTGGGTTCAGATATTGGAAACACCCTGGTCCATTTAGGGAAAAATATGAAACTGGATCTTTAGGAAAATTTTTAGGATTTTGGAAATCAGTTAATTCAATTGTTTATGCATTTGGTGGTATTCAAGCTATTACTTTATTAGCTGGTGAAACCAAATATCCAAGAAGATCAATTTATCGTTCTGCTAAAAGGGTCTTTTATAGAGTTTTCAGTTTATATGTTATCATGGTTTTCATTTTATCAATGATTGTTCCATCCAATGATCCAGTTATTGCTCAACCAAATGGTACTGCTAGTGGAAGTCCTTGGGTTAGAGCCGTTAAATTAGCTGGAATTAAAGTTTTACCTCATATTGTTAACGCTGTTGTTTTAACTTCTGCTTTATCTGCTGCTAATTTACAAATTGTCAAAGCAAGTAGAACTATTTTTGTTTTAGCTGCTAAAAAACAATTACCAAAAGTTTTCTTAAAAGTTAATAAACATGGTTTACCGTATGTTGCAGTTGCTTTTGCGTGCTGTTTCATCCCATTAGCTTATATGACTTCGAGTAAAACAGCAGCTACTGTCTTTTCATGGTTTCAAAATATTACTTCATCAAATATTTTATTCAATTGGATTGTCATCGCTATTAATCATATTGCTTTACATAGAGCTATGAAAGCTCAAGGATATTCAAGAAAAGATTTACCTTACACTTTCTTTGGTCGTTATGGTGAATATACTGGTTATTATTCATTATTCTTCTCAGTTATTTTCTTATTAACTGGTGGATTCCCAGCTTTTATAAAAGGACATTGGGATTTTGCAACTTTTTTCAGTGCTTATTTCATCATCCCATTATCTTTAGTAATTTTTATTTTTTCAAAATTAGTCTTCAGATCAAAATACATTAAACCAAGTGAAGTTAGATTAAAACCATTGTTTTATGATGTTCAAGCTAGACCTGAACCACCTTATGAAAAATTACATGGTTGGAAATGGCTCACAGTATTATGGGGTTAGAGAAAGTAGCAACGTTTATAGTTTTCATTTAGTTCAGCGTTTTGGAATTGTATAGCTATCCACAATTCAAAAAAATTGATTTTCGTTATACAGGAATATGAAATGTAATCGTATATTCTACTCACCACATATCTATTTACTTCTTAGAACCGTATTTAGATACAGTTTTACCATCTGGGATAGTGAATAAAACAACAGGTTTACCTTCTTCATATGGAACATCAACTCTATAGTACCCTTTTCTTTCAAATTGAATAACATCACCAGCTTTTAATTTAGCAACATTTAAATCAGCAACAGCTTTGGTATGGAATTCAGTTTTTGGTGTAATAAAATCTTCAAAATTATCCTCTTCCTCCAATTTATCTTTTGTAATTAAATGATCAAAATCAACTAAATCAACATTGATTTTGTCTTTTGTATCGGCTAACCAAGTTAATTTTTTGGATGTCTTTCTAAAATCACCTTCCAAGTGTAAATTAGCTTCTATTGACTTAACAACATCACCTTCTTTATGAACTTTTGAAATAATGACATTACCCCAATCCATAAATGTTACTTCTTCATTTTCAGTTAAATCAGCATCTTCTTGTTCAATAAGGACTTGGTTTGAGAAAATAACTTCTTTATTACCAACATCTGGATTCTTTTTGTGTTTTGGTTTAGTTTCAGAATATGGTTCTTTTGGACCATTTAATAATTTAACTGGAACCATATTGTCTGAATCAATAGCAGTAAATCTTGGAGCTATTGGATCAATGACTTTTTTATTTAATGCCCAAATGACTGACCAATCTAAATTAATAATATTTTGAGATGGACCTTGTGACATGATGAAGTTTCTTAAACCTTCAACAGACATACCTCTTCTTCTTACACCTCTAACAGTTGGAAATCTAGGATCATCCCAATTGTCAACATAATTTTTATCAACAAACCATTGTAATTTTCTTTTAGATAATAAAGTTCTAACAAAATTGACTCTACCAAAATCCCAAATGGCCACATGACGTAAATTTAATGCTTTTTGTATCCAATCATATTGAGGATTACGGTCTCTATATTCATTTGTTCTTAATGAATGAGTAACTCCTTCAATTGCATCAACTACTGGCACACAGAAATCATATATTGGATACATTTTCCATTCAGTTCCTGTTCTATGATGTGGAGTTAAATTACATCTGTAAATTACTGGATCTCTTAAAGCCTTGTTCAAAGCTTTATAATCAATTTTAGCTCTCAAACAATTTTTCAATCCTTCTTCAGTACCATTCTTCATTTCTTCAGTAAAAATTCTTAAATTTTCTTCAATTGATCTTTCTCTTCTAGCTGATGCATCACCCACCATTCTTTCTTCTCTCATTTTTTCAGATGGAGTGTCATCACAATAAGCTTGACCTTGCTTGATTAATTGAACAGCTAAATCATACATTTCTTGGAAATAATCAGATGAATAAGTTATTTTATCACCTTTAATTCCTAACAATGCTAAATCTTCAATAATTGCATCTTGAAATTCAACTTTTTCCTTTGTTGGATTTGTATCATCAAATCTAATAATCAATTTACCTTTATAAGCATGAGCAAAATATTCATTTAAAATTGCGGCTTTGACATGTCCAATGTGTAAATACCCAGATGGTTCAGGTGGGAAACGAGTAACAACCTCACCTATTTTAGCTCCAGGTAAATCAATTTCAAAACTTGCTTTATGAGTTTCTTTTTTACCACCTTTTGCAGTTTTAGCATTTTTCAAAGATTTTCTCAATTCATTTAATGAATTGCTTAATAAATCAACTGATTTATCGAAGTTTGCATTACTCTCTTGTAAAAAATTATACCATCTTGAAACATTTGGATAAACTTCATTTTTCAAATTGGCAGCCATAATTGGATTAGCTCTTAATACACCCCACATAGCTATATCAGCTAAAGTTATTTGATATCCAATGAGGTATGATCTAAAATTTAAATGAGAATCTAATTTTTCTAAATCAGTAGCTAATTCCTTGAAGTTTTTTGAATAAAATTTATCAATTGCTAATTTGACCCATTCTTGAGATTTTGATTTTTCTTTTAATATTTCAGGAAAAGTTTGAGCTAAATAATCTAATGCATCAATTTGATCAATGAAAGTTTCTCCACCTGGTGTAACTAATTTAATAGATGCTGTAGCATTTGATGAGTCAACCGATTTTTCATCAATAAACTCAACTGGAATTGAGACTTCACTATCACTTGCATTGATAAAATAAACAGCAATTAAAGTTGGATATGGTATAGCAGCAGCTTTACCAGCTATACTTAATTGAAATGACATAATGAAAATAAATTGATAAAGAACTCTTGTTGTCAAAAATTTTTCAAAAAATTGAAACTAATTAAAATCGCACATAAATCAATACTGTTTCACAAAAGGACTTAAAATCATCTACTAGAAATCATTATTATTATTTTACAACAAGTTCTACTAAAACCAACTAACCATTTATTTGGTAATTATGTCAAATACTCCACCTCCTAGAACTGGATCACCAGTACCTGGGTTAAATAAACCTACTGCAAAAAGATCACCGTCAATTTTAGTTACTGATGTAAGAAGTCATCAAGTCAAAGGAACAAGAGCACCATTTGCAGGTCAAAATTTTAAGAAACAACAACAATTACAACAGCAACAACAGCAGCAGCAACAACAATCAGGTTACAGTTTTGAACAACTGCAGCATCAAAGTGCATTACAAAAGAGATTAGCATTTAGAAATAAATATACAGATATTTCAGTTGATAAATTGCTAAGTAATTCAAGTGATATTCCATCGGGTCAAAGTAGAATTCCACCAAAACTTGGAGGTAAAAGACTGAATTCTAGACCATCATCACCTTCTCCACCGATAAGAAGTCCCACATCACAAGAAGTAAGGCGAAATATAAGAAGTATACCAAAATTATCAACATCATTACCAACAAGAACGTCGAAAACATCACAAAAATTAGTATTAATTCCAGATCAACTAAGACAAAACTCACCTCCATTAACATCAGACTCAGAAGAATCATTATTAATTCAAACTCAACAACAACAACCAGATTTGCTGGCTCAAATCTTGAGGTCAAGAGCTGAATTAATGCCGAAAGAAAAAAGAGCTCAAGAATTTAGTAGAGTAACTGCATATTTTATCTGTGAAGAATTTAATCTACCGGCTGTTGCAAAATTCTTAAGAAAAAATCACGAAGTTAAACCAAGATTATATGATGAAGCATTATATGTTCCATACGCGTTACCTTTATTACCAGGAAGCGATGGATTAAGAGTAAAATCAAATAATTCATCCAAGCTACAAGCAAAAAACAAACGTATGGAGGTAATGATAAATAAATCAGAACAAACTGATCACTTATATGAGTATTATTCTGGTGTTGAAACTCCTGAAGATGCAAATAATTATTCAATGGATCCTGAATTAGAAAATTTTGATAATACTCCATTTGATCCAAGTGAACCTCAGTTTTTTGCTCCACCTTTAGATAGTTCAAGAAGCTCAGATGAAGGTAATGAAATAAGTCAATCAAATGGTAGAAGTATAACTGAAACGAAAGAAATTAATGGACCTTCATCTCACAATCAACAATCTGATGTTTCCAAACATCATGCAGAAATGTTTGTATTTGCATATGGTATAGTTGTATTCTGGAATTTTTCAGAAATACATGAGAAAAATATTCTAGCAGACTTGGCATTTTCAGATAAAGATCTTTTAATTAATCCTATCGATGAACAAGACATTGAAACTGAAGAGTTTCATTTTGAATATGATAGAGAACTACATCGACCAAGAATATATAATGATATGATTACATTAAGATCAGGAGATCATCTAATAAAATTAACAATGTCTCATGCAATAGCTCAACTGACAAAATTAGGATTATTCGAAAGTAGAATGGTAAATATTTTACATCTGATTAGTAAACTACCTAAAAAATTAGCATTAACTGGAAGATTAGGTTTAAAGAGAAATCAATTATTAAGAAAATCCGGTAAACTTTTCAAATTAAGAGTTGATGTTAATTTATCAAGTTCAATATTAGATACTCCTGATTTTTTTTGGTCTTTTGAACCAGCTTTGCATCCTTTATATAATGCAGTAAGAGAATACTTGGAAATTGATCAAAGAGTTCAAGTATTGAATGATAGGTGTAAAGTATTTTTAGAATTTTCAGATATTGTATCTGATAGTATGAATGAAAAAAATACAAATAGAATAACTTGGATGATTATAATAATTATTTTCTTGAGTTTATTTGTTAGTGTCTTTGAATTTATATTGGAAATTTTATAGCTATTTTGAATAATTTTATTTGCTTCCTCCTCATTTTATAAATTCCATACATTGTAGATTTCATTTTTGTCTTAATTAATATTTCATATTTGTAATTAGATTATTATTCTTTTTATCATTACTCTTTTAATTTTGTTATTGTAAAAATATATAAAAATAAATTTATATGCAGAAAGTTTTAAATATTTTTGTATTTGTTTACTATCAATTTATAAAACGACAACAATTATTTCATCAAGTTCACCATATGCCTCTCATCTCCATTCATGATCCAGATAGGGGGTGGGCGGTACAAGATAATAACAATGGCCATGTACAGAAATTTCAAAATGACCTAATGGAAATTGAGACTCAATTTGATCAAAGTATAACCATTATTATAATTGATACAAATTTCTTTCTACAACATTTACACTATATTATTGAAATTTCCGCTTTATCTGATAAGTATAATTTAGAATTAATAATTCCTATTGCAGTTTTGGAAGAACTTGATGGTCTAAAAAGTGGTCATAATTCGGAAAAAAGCTTTAGTGCTAGAGATGCAATAAGATGGATAAATAAAGCTCTTGATGAAGGATCAGTTAGAGGTCAAAAGAATAGTGAAGTCATGGAGAAATATTTAAAAGGAGATTCATCCATTTTAGACTGCTCATTATATTATAAAAATCATTATCAACAATCATTAATAGTCTTATTCTCAGATGATAACAATTTACGTAATCGGGCATTATCCAATGAAGTTAAAACATTTGTGTACACTGAAGGTTATACTGCTGAATTTGTAGCACAATTTTTATTTAATGAGAGCATAAATTATTTTAGAATCGATAATCAAGAAAATGACAAGAATTTAAAGAAACAAGAATTACAAAGGCAATGTCTAAATTTAAATCAAGAGCACACAACTACAGATAAGATGATTTTGTTATACGATGAAATTTTGGACAATTTAAAACAAATTATTCATAAATGTTTAGTGAAAGAGTATGAAGAATCAATTGATTTACTAAAAGACTATTCATTAGATAAATTAAATACTTTAGAGCATTGTTCAAAAATTATCATTAGATTCTGGCATGTATTTCAACAATACTTTAGAGGTCATCATAGTAGCGTCTTACCATTTAGAGAAGAAGGTAAAGATAGAAATTCAAAAAGATTTCCAATTCATACTGATCTACCGAGTTCTAATAATGTTAACGCATTTTTCAATTTTTGGTCAACCATATTAACTACACTTTGTGATGGAATAATCGAAAATGAAGATCAAGAATATATTAAAGTATTATGTGAAAGGTGGCAATTAATAGCAAATTCTAGTAAATAATTAAGTATGTTCGCTATATAGATTTCTTTATAATATACGTATTCTTTCAATGGATAATGATATTAATTTTATTGATAAATCAAAGTTGACCTAGTTTTTTTCTTTTTGGTTTTGGACTATCTGAGTTATTTGTGATTGTACCATCATTATGCGTTATGGCTGAAGTATTTGATTTCAGTTGCATTGAAGTTGGTACATCAATTGAATTTTTCCGTTTCTTTGAAGTAATAGCTTGCGTTGTGTTGCTTTTTGAAAATAAGCTTTTGGCTACGCTTGAATAATTTTGATTGGCAAAAATACCGTTGAAAAAAATGGAATTTTCAACATCTAGTCTCCAGTTCTTCTTGTTTGGTAACTTTGATCTTTCCTTAGCGTATTCTTTATTCACTCTTCTTTCCCACTCAACTGGGTCAAATTTTTCTATTGAATTTACAACAGCATTATTATTTTTTTTATATTTAACCATTGCATCATCTCCATGACTATGTTTGAAATTTAATTCTAAAAATCTTATATAAGCATCTTTAACTCCTAAATTTTCTTTTAATTTCTCATTTTGATATTGTAAATGACTTAAATTTGCAAAATTTTGGAAATTCAATTTAGTAAGAAAATTTATTGATTGTTGTGGATCATTAACTACTAATTTGAAACTCCATTTAAGACCAAAATCAACGCTTGCAGTAATTGACTGATCAGCTTCTAATTCGAAATCGAGTTTTTGGGGTATATTCTCATCAATTGTTTTGAACAAATCTATCAATCTATTGTCATTCAATCCTTCTAATCCCAATTCACGAGCTTTTTCAAACAATTCTTTACTTGTTAACTCACAACTCCAAATTTGTTCAAAATTTGTTAAATAAAATCCGCATGTTATTTGTTCTGTATCAAAATTAAGTCCATAGATACATTCTTCTGGTTCTAAAAATTGTAATTTTACTGGTATCCATTTGATAGGTAACGCTAGCATCTGAAGTATTAATGAAGGTAATTAACCATTGAACTGAATCATCGATAAAACTCTATATTGAAAGTGTTGTAAATAAATATATATTATAAACTTATATTTTAATGTTTCAGAGTTGTAAAACTACAAATCAAGAGCCGCATTCAATTATCTATTCAATATCTGTTTTTTGTAAAATGAAACTTATTCATTCAGTATATCTTCAATTCGAAAAACCAATGGAGGAGAGACTAACAATATATGATGATCAAATTGATATACTAGTATCACGAATAAGGAATCTTTACAACAAAAACGAATCAAAAAGGATTGTTATATCATTAGCTGGAGTACCAGGAGCAGGTAAAACAACATTTGCAAATAGAATATCGTCAATTTTCACCAATAAAATAGCTAAAACTATGGTAATATCTCAAGATGGCTACCATTTATATAGATCAGAACTTCAAGTATTATCCAATTCAGAAGAAGCTATACGAAGAAGAGGTGCTCCTTTTACATTTAATGTTAAATCATTTCTTAAATTAATATCAATTTTGAAGAATAAATCTGACGTGATTAAAGTTCCTTCTTTTGATCATAAATTAAAAGATCCAGTTGAAGATGATATAATAGTTGATAAAGATGTTTCCATAATTATATTGGAGGGTAATTATGTATCATTGAAAGATGAAATATGGAACGATATTAGCTCATATGTTGATGATACTTGGTTTATCTCAACTCCCGAAAGTTTAGTTCGCAGTAGAATAATCAAAAGACATTTAGATTCTGGTATCGCATCAAATGAACAAGAAGCTATTGAGCGAGCTGATGGTAGTGATTTACAAAATGCTAAATATATTATAGAGAACTCAAAAGCAACAAACGTTCTAATACTTACAAGATAGAATAGAATAGTATATTGTCCTTTTCACAAAAATGCATTTTCTATAAATTATGAATTTCTCTATTTAGGTTGAACGTTATAACGCATTTTTATACCCATTGCAGATAATTCACTATCTAAATATTTTAATACAAAAGGTATAGCAACAGTTGTTGTATTATCACCACCAACAAATTTAGTTCCATGACCATCTTCCCAAATTTCAGAATCTTCTGCATATCCATCAAATTTATCTAATTTAACTGAACATCTTCTACATCTAACACTTGCCATTGAACCAATTCTTGGAACTGATGTTTGAGTAGTTAAAATTGATCCACAAGTTTTACATACTGAAGTTTGAGTATAATCTGAACAATTTAATAATCTATCTTGTAATAAAAATGCTGTACCATGACCAATTAATGCATCTCTTTCCATTTCACCAACACGAATACCACCTGATCTTTTTCTACCTTTGACAGGTTGCATTGTTAATGAATTAACTGGACCAGTAGATCTAACTTGGAATTTATCATTCACCATATGTCTTAATCTTTGATAATAAACACATCCAATATATATATCACATCTTAATTCTTCACCAGTAGCTCCTGAATACATTGGTTCATTACCATGGAAATTATAACCTGCTTTTAATAATTGTTCACCAAAATAATCTGCTGGAGTATCTGATTCACTAAATTTCCATGGAGTTGCATCTTGAGCTACACCATGTAATGCACCTGCTTTACCAGCTAATGATTCAACAAACATACCTATTGTCATACGTGATGGGAAAGCGTGAGGATTAATAATAACATCTGGTTGCATCCCACTTTCAGTAAATGGTAAATCTATTTGTGGCCATTTTCTTGAACAAACCCCCTTTTGACCATGTCTTGATGAAAATTTATCACCGATTATTGGTTGTCTTGTTATTCTATATTTTATTGTTATCTGTTGTCCTTCATTATCTCCAACATCATCACCTAATAATTTTACTTCTTCAATATATGCTGGTTCAGATGAATGATAAGTCTTGACTTTTGTTTTACCTAAAGTATCATCAAAATATGCAACTATTGGATCACCTTCTTCTACTTTAACTCCAATTAATGGTAATCCATCACTATCTAATTTTTCCTTCCAAGCTTCTGGCCATTCATCATCTCCAAATCCAAAATGTTGAGTAATTGGATCACCTCTTCTTCTTGACTGTGATAAATCTACTTTTTCAACTTTATAAACGGTACCATATCCAAAACCTCTTTCATCTGATGATTTATTTATAATCATTGCGTCATCCATATCATAACCAGTATAAGAAATAACCGCAACAACTGCATTCATACCATTTGGGAAATTATCCATACCATAATCATCATATAAATTTGCTTTAACTATAGGAGTTTGACCAGTTTGTAATCTATACAATTTATTATCTGATCTATGAGCTAATGCAACACCGGGAGTACCCATAGTTTGCTTACCCATTTGACATTGATACATATTTCTTGGTGATTGATTGAAATCTGAAAATGGTGTTAAGTTTGCTAGTATTGATAATATATTTGTTGGTGAAAATTCAACATGCGAATGAATATTATTTTCGATTTCTTCTGGTGTAACTGCAACATTCATATAAACTTGTTCAAATGGTCCTACAATATCTTCTTTATCTAAAGGTAAATATTTTACAGGTCTCATCATTCTTGAATGACCACCAAATAAATATAATCCAGGATATTGACCTTTAGTTGATGGTGGAACATAACCGATTTCTAAATCTAATGGTAAATCATGAGATCCTTCAACTTTCCAATATCTTAAAGTATCGGCTACTATTTTACCTTGTTCATGAGTTGTCCAACCAACAATTTTACCATCCAATTGAACACAACATAATTCTGGACCTGCTGCAAAGGAGTTAGCCGGTGATACACCTAATTGAGCTAACGCTTGTGGAACTTTTGAAACATCTGATGCAACTGTTGATATCACACATTTATGTGATAAATGATTTAATAACCCACATGGAGATCCATCAGGTGTATGTACAGGACAAAGGAAACCCCAAGATTCTGGAAGTAATTTACGAACAGTTGTTGTTTTTAGTTCAGCAAAAAAAGAACCTCTATGAACCATTCTAAAATGTGCAATAAAACGATGAAAATTAATCTTTTCAGCAACAACAGTATAACCAGAAACTTGTTGTAAATCTAAACCGGATTGTGATACTAAATTACCAGTTGATAAAAAGTATTGTAATTTTTGACCTATTTCTTCATTTATTCTTGAAAATACCCTTGAAATGTATTTTTTATCACTGAAATTTACCCCCAAGCCTCTATTTAAATCTGATTGAACTTGTAATTTAAAATTTTGCAAATATTCATCAATTTTTTCTTTTATAATCATTCCATATAAGAATCCACCTAATAAAACTTCTTGATGTTGGGTGGCATCTGGATTATCTGGTGCACAATCACCTGCAACTAATGAATATAATTTTCTAATCATAAATAGAAGCATTCTATATTTGTCCTCATTCTTAGGTAAATGCACCAAGACAATTCTTTGTAATACTTCTTTACCAACATCAATATCTGAAACATCTGGTGTTGCACCAAATACTACTCTAAATTTATCTCCTAAATATGCTAAAGTTTCTTGTTGTGAATTTAATCCATAAGATTTATAAGTTCTTAACAATAATTCTAAACGATCTGTTAAAAATGAATTCTCTATATCATGACCCACTATACCATCAAAAATTTCTCTATCATTAGTTTCAACTAATGCTTTTAATATCATCATAACTGGTATTAAATATTCATTTTTTTTCCAAGAAAATCTGAATGTAACATTTCCATCATTTAAATAGTGTAATACATTAGTTTGTGAAGTTTGATCTGGTCTTACACATCTTATTTGTATACCAAATTTCGTATATGAATTTCCTCTATTACCAAACGATGGACGTATTAAAGCCATTGGATGATTTCTTCTTTGTACAATCAACATACGTATTATTTTTTCAATACCATTAACTATGAAATATCCACCTAATTCATCACTTTCTTCTCTTGCTTCAACTAATTGATCTGGTGACATTTTTTGTAAATGACATCTATTACTTTTTACCATTATTGGTATTTGTCCTGCTTCTCTTATTTCACTTTGTTCTTCTCCATCATTTACACTCCATGTTACATTTAATAATAGTCTTGCTCTATAAGTAGTCATTCTTTCTCGACATTCACTAGGTAATGTTTTTCTATTTATTGATAATTTATCAGTTTGTGGAACACTTGGTTTTGCAATAGAAACTGATTCAACTCTTATTTTTAATTTATTTCCTAATCTATCTGAAGATTCTTTAGAATCAAATATCGTTTTTGAACCAATATCTTTAACTGCTAAATTTAATAATCCACCATCTATACCTTCAGTTAATGCATTAAATGAACCAATATGAGGTGCAACTGCATTTTCTAGTAAAGGATATGATGATTTATCTTTTGGTGGATTTTGAAATCTTTTCTCTCTCTCTAGAGTTCTAAATTGAGCTTGTGACATGATAAATGTTGTTGTAGTTGAGATGAGATTGAGTTCTTCGAATTTGGTTGTTAAATCTTTATTAAGTACTAAAAAAAATTGATCTTAATATAAATTAAAGAGACAAAGAGAGATGAGAAATTTATGTATTGGTGGTAGTGCATATAATTTATACAAAACCAGATATGTTTAATACTCAATTCAACTCAAATGAATCAACCAACATCAACATCAATTTTAATCAATGGCTAATTCTAAATATGAATATGTGAAAGCATTTGAAAAAGAGAATTATTTATTACCTGATACATATATTGTTATACGAGTTGATGGAAAAGGATTTCACAAATTTTCAAAATATTATAATTTTGAGAAACCAAATGATTTAAAAGCATTGACAGTAATGAATAAAGCAGCTTTGAAAATACTAGAGAAATATAGTGATATATTAATGGCATATGGAGACTCGGATGAATATAGTTTTCTACTACGGAAAAAGTGTGAACTATATGAAAGAAGAGAAATGAAATTATGTACACTATTTGCAAGTTTAATGTCAACTTATTATATGTTTTATTGGAATAAAGAATGTCCAAACAGACAAATTGAAGAAGAAATGATACCCACATTTGATGGTAGAGCAGTAATATATCCAAATTTTGAAACACTAAGAGATTATTTCAGCTGGAGACAAGTTGATTGTCATATAAACAATTTATATAATACAACTTTTTGGAATTTAGTTAAAAAGGGTTTAACACCACAAGAAGCTGAACAAAAATTAATGGGAACTGTATCATCTGATAAAAATGAAATACTTTTCAAAGAATGTAATATCAATTATAATAATGAATTAGAAATATTTAAAAAAGGTACAATACTAGTTAGAGAATATGAAAATTATAAACAACAATCAAATGAACAATCTTTAAGTTCAAGACAAAAACAAAGACAAGATAAATCAAGAAAGAAGGCCGAAATTAAACAATATCATGTAGATATAATTAATGATGATTCATGGTGGGATCAAAGACCCTGGTTAATAGAATAAATAAACATGTAGATGTATAGAGTATATAATAAATTTATGCGAAATTTGGTTGTAACCAAAATTATGATTAACAATTTTTTTTTTTGACAATTTTCATCTCTTATCAAAACTACTTATAAACAACACCAAAAAGAATAATGTCAACTTCTGAGGAAGAATTGATATCCTTATTTAATAACTTTGGATTTGATGAAAAAAAATCAAAAGATATTGCCAAAAATAAAAAAGTTGCATCTTTATTAGAACAAATTTTATCAAAATCATCAACTAAAAGATACGATGATGACAAAAAATTAACTTTATTACATCAATTAGCCGTTTTAGAAAACAAAAGTGGTAAACCAGTTCCAAATGTCCACTTTATTATCGATGGAATCAACAACAATGAATTAAAAACAAATTTGCAAATATCAGAAGCTTTAAAATACTTACAATCAAATGAGTCACCATCAAAAAAGGAATTTGATTCATATACTGGAGTAGGTGTTGAATTGACTGAAAATGATGTTAAACAAGAAATTCTGAAATACCTTGATTCTATTGATCAAAAATTACAAACTGAGAGATACTCAATATTACCAAAAGTCATGTCTGAAGTTAAATCACTAGCATCATTAAAATGGGCTCCACCAAATTTATTTAAACCAATACTTGATGAATTATTTTTAACAAAAATTGGTCCAAAAGATGAAAGAGATAATAAAAAGAAAGAGAAAAAACCAAAATCTGAAACAAGTACCACCACTAAAACAGCAGAACCAGAAAAAGAAAGATCAATGTTTTCAGAAGGATTCTTGGGAGATTTACATAAACCTGGTCAAGAACCACAAATGTATCCCGAATTATTAAAAGAACATAATGAATTCATAAAAGGTAATGTATATACACGTTTTCCACCTGAACCAAATGGATTTTTACATATCGGACATTCGAAAGCTATTATGGTAAACTTTGGATATGCACAATTCAATAAAGGTTTATGTTATTTAAGATTTGATGATACAAACCCTGAGGCTGAAGAAGCTAAATATTTTGATTCTATAAAGGATATGGTAAGTTGGCTAGGTTACAAGCCATGGAAAATTACTTACTCATCAGATTATTTTGATGAATTATATGAACTAGCTGTAAAATTAATCGAAATGAATAAAGCTTATGTTTGTCATTGTACTTCAGAAGAAGTCAAATTTAATAGAGGTCAAAGAGAAGATGGTACACTAGGTGGTGAAAGGATTGCATGTAAACATAGATCACAATCTATCGAACATAACCTAAAAGAATTCCAAGCAATGAAAGATGGTAAATATGCCATTGGAGAAGCTACTTTACGTATGAAACAAGATTTAGAAAGTCCTTCACCTCAAATGTGGGATTTAGTTGCTTATAGAGTATTAAATAAACCACATCATAGAACAAGTGATAAATGGAAAATTTACCCAACATATGATTTCACTCATTGTCTTGTTGATTCAATTGAAAATATTACTCATTCATTATGTACCACCGAGTTTGTATTATCAAGAGAATCTTATGAGTGGTTATGTGATGCATTAAAAGTTTATAGACCAGCTCAAAGAGAATATGGTAGATTAAATTTAACTGGTACAATAATGTCCAAAAGAAAAATTGCAAAATTAGTGAATGAAAATTATGTTAGAGGTTGGGATGATCCAAGATTATATACTTTAGAAGGTATAAAAAGAAGAGGTGTACCACCAGGAGCTATATTATCATTTATTAATACTTTAGGTGTTACTACTTCAACTACAAATATTCAAACTATTAGATTCGAAAGTGCTGTTAGAAATTACTTAGATCAAACTACTCCAAGATTATTTTTAATTTTAAATCCTGTTGAAGTTCATATTGATAATTTACCAGATGATTTTGAATTAAATATTGAAATTCCATATAAACCAGGTAAAGATGTTAATAACTTGGGTGATAGAAAACTAAAATTTTCAAACAAAATTTATATTGATAGAGGAGATGTAAGAGATACACCAGCGGATAAAGAATTTTATAGATTAGCACCAGGTCAACCAGTTGGATTAATGAAAGTTCCTTATAATATTAGTTTCAAATCTATTGAGGAAAAAGATGGTAAAACAATAGTTCACGTCAATTACGATAATGAGGAAACCAAACCTAAAAAACCAAAAACCTACATTCAATGGGTCCCAGTAAATGATTGTTTAAAAATTAAAGAAGTAAGAATATATAATCAATTATTTAAATCAGAAAATCCATCATCAAATCCAAAAGGTTATTTAGCAGATATAAATGAATCAAGTGAATCAGTTATAAAAAATGCAATAATTGAATCAAATTTTAAAGAAATTGTTGATAAATCACCAATGAATTTAGAAATTCCTGGATCACAATTTAATATAAAGGAATCAAATGGAAATAATACTATACGTTTCCAAGCTTTAAGAGAAGGTTACTTTTGTGTTGATAAAGATTCTAAAGTTGATGATTCAAATGATATTATTTTAAATAGAATTGTTACTTTAAAAGAAGATGTTAATAAATAATAGACTTTACATTTTATAGCATTTTACATACATAATTTTAATTGAACAAAACATTTCTTTTCTTGTAGTTTTCGTCCATGCTTTATTGTAAATATTGGTGCGAAATCTGAAACATGGTTTCAATATTCAATCAGCATGCAGAATCGACCAATTCAACGATTAAAAAAAAGGGTCATTTGAAAAACAATTGAAAAAACGATCCGTAAATCTTATTTTTTGCATTTACATCAGCTTTTGATTGAGAAAATTAAAGGTAGTATTTGCAAGATCACTGAGTAATTTTTGGCTTAATTTGAAGCCATAATTGGTCTTTAAACCAATTTATCACCTTATTCTAGTAACAGTTTTTGCTCCCCTCTTCATAACTCTGAAATGTAAAAGTAAATTAGTTGAAAAGCTGATTTGGTAAATCAAGAAAATAAAAAAATGTAAAAAACACAAATATTATCAAATAATTTATTCTAATATCCTTATCTTAAAATCTAATCAAATCTATTTAGCAAGAGCGTTCAATTTTGATTTCAATAAACCTTTAGAATTTAAATCAACTAAATCAGAATTCCCACCAATATGTTCACCATTAATAAAAATATTAGGTACGGTTCTTTGACCAGTAATTTCATATAATCCTTGTTGAATAGAAGATCCATCAGTTATTTGATTTAATTCTATAATTGTTGGGTTTACTCCATTTTGTGAAAGTATTTGTTTAGTTGATGTACAATATGGACAATAAGATTTTGAATAAACAACAATTTTATTGGATTCTATTGTTGATTGAATTGATTTTTTTAATTCTGGTGTTACTTCAGGAGTTTGGAAAAATGATGATAGCCAAGAAAACATTATGATTGAAGAAGATGTTGAATTGGTACCGTATTCTAAGCTTTAGTATCCTCAACCTTTATCTAGAAAAATATTCAATGTTGTTTCTATCAAACCTACAAATTTCAGATAAGGATTTATGGTAGCACCTCTTTTCCAGTAATCTCCCATACATTTCACAATCAACTTTCATCAAATAAATGGTAACAACTTCAAAATCAATAGCTAATTTCCTAATACGTTTATTCAAACACTTGTTCTCTCGAGAGCTATCATTTGATGTCAATATATTGAATTATTTAGAAATTTTTCAAGTAGAAATATTATTGACATAATGTTTACCAATATATAATTTTTTAAAGTCGTGACCTGAATTTGAGGTTCACGACATATTTTATCATGATTAAACTAAATTTATCCTCGATTCAGGATTATACAACATTCCTTACTTTTACAATAACTTAATTTTTAAAATCAATTGACTGTTTAATTATTAATATCAACAATTTGAAGAATATATTGAGCAATATCGGATGATGGCAGTTTTGATTGATAACAGAAGAAAAATAAATGAATGAAAATGTTTTGTTTGTTTCAAAAAAGGATTGTTATAATCTTGCTGCAAAATTTTCAACAAATGTTGACTTCCTTATTCAAAGACTTTTGAAAGACTTTTGAATCTCTAAGTTCAAATACAAAACAGCAGTCAGCACAATTTCTTTTGTCGTCATTTGTTTTAGGTACCTCCATCTTTTTCGATGTTTCTAAATTGACCACCAAAAAGTTTAATACTACATAAACATGAGTCCTCTTTAATGCAGACCGTCCAACTTGGCCAAAATTAGAATTCTACACAAGTATGACAATGTAACTAGATGGGAGAGCTGAATGTAATTTATCTGAACTAAAATGGTAAGAAGTTACCAAGAAAAGTACATTTTAGCAATTGATCTTGAATTATGTTAACTTATCAACACTCTAGAATCAAAGACATGAGTCAAAATGATACTACTGGTTCATCCACCAAATTTGACACCTGAACTCTCTTAGTATAATATATTCTTCTCTCTTATTCAGAATAAGGAACAAGGTGTTAAAATGATTAGAATTTCTCATTTATGGTATACGGAGTGTTTCATGACATACATGAGAATCTCGAGTCTATCCTCAATATTTATGTAATTTGTTTTAGATAAAAACTCATACTTGTAATAATTCACGATTAATCAAATTGTTGGGGTGATTACTGATTTTTTGTTGAACCTAAATTCCCCTTTTGCTATATGCTACTATTCAAAATCAAGGCTTATGTTTTATGATAAGATAAGGCAGACAACAGATGGTTAAACTTTCCATCTTGAAGTTTATAATTCAAGAGTAATTGACTTAGGTTGTGTTTCAGGGTTTATTTTTCTCTATGATACTATTGTAGGTGGCTTAATAGATTAAAACGTACTTTTCTACTAATTACTTACATTTATCAAAGTCTACAAATTTAGTGAAATAGACAATACAACTTTTAAATAAAAATCAATGACCAAATTTATTTAATTCATTGTGAAAATTTAAATTAGTAAGTCACATTATACGGCTGAAACAAGACAACGTTTTGAATATTTGTTTCATTTTTTCTGTCTGTTTAATCAAAATTTATCAAACGTTTCAAAATTACATGAAATTTGACATTTTCAAAAATTTCAGAAATTAGCGTACAAGATCAATCATTTTTTAATATCTAAATGAAATTGATAAAAACTTACTTCAAATAGAGCTGGAGATTATAGTTTTGAAATATTATAAGTCTTTTTTCGGTACTGAAATTTTCAGATTTTTTAATTGAAAAATTTAAAGTTATTTCGTAAAACACCTCCACAACCTTATATCATAATGTGAATAAGAATTTAAAATAGGTTTGAACTTTAAAATAAGCTTTCTATTAATGATAATGTAATTTATATTTCAAACTGTATGAGATTTATTAATAACAAAACTTTAAATAATTAAACTAAATATTATTTTTAAATTAACTTATTGTTCTTTTCGTAACTGCAAGATTTAAAATCAACTAACTAAAATTAAACTTTCAAAAACTTTAATTTCAGAAGGGTGAGCTCAAAGTAACTTAATTCTGAACGTGAATTCATTACAATAACTTTACGTAAATAAATGTCATTCTTGTCATTCATTTTTTTCGATTGCATTCCATTTTCAAGATTCTTTTCACAAAGCTTTAGTTTAAAAAAGTTAGCATATATCGGTCAAAAGTTTAATATTCTATGAAACGAAACAAATACAAATACAAAATAATAATTAAGCGGTGGGTAGTTAATTCCTTTCAAGAAAATATTATTTAAAAAGTGTCAAAAATTTATTTTAAAATTTCTTTTCTATTTATTATCTTTGTTTGATTTTTTTTTACAAATTTATTACCAATTTACAAATTATTCTCTTGGATTATTATTTAAGTATATTTGATAGTTTTGGTAAATCTGGGGTTCGGGGTTTATTAATGGGATTGACTTACCTATTTTAAACTAAAATGTGAAAGTTGGGACGATGATGTTTAGGTATTGTCTCTAGTAATATAATTTAAAAGTCTAAAATTAATCTAAATCTTGCAGTATTTTACCTTTTAGATATCAATAGAATTCAATCAATTGCATTGATCGTATTTCAATCACTTTTTAATATGAAATTTTTTATAAAAAAAGTTTAATAAAAATATTAAAATTATTATAATCTTAAAAAATTGTGCCATTTTTAACATTTGACGAGATTGATTCAATTTGGTCTTGGCTTTATACCAAAATATTATAATATGTAAATTTTGATAGATTTAAAATAAATAATAAAGATATTTTGAGTTATTTTTAAATTTATAAACCTCATATTATCTATCAATTACCCATTATTTTTTCAAGTCAGTAAGTCAAGTACATAAAGAATAATATGTTACACTATTAATATAATACCTCTCTCAAAACTTCAATTGTGAATTGTATAATATTTTATATAGATTTAAAACGCAGATAAAATATAATGACTTGACATTGTTTTTCAAATATTTTATTTTCTAGGTTCAAGATAATTTTTAGATTAAGGAAACAATAACTAGTAACTAACTAATCAAATAAAGAAAAAAAATGCTTAAATTCAAAACATCACCAATAAAAAATTAAGTATTTAAATTAAATATTTAAAATAAGGTACCAAGAAAAACTTTTTAAACTTTTTTGTAAGTAAATGTAACGATATATTTCACAAAACTTTATTTAAATTTATTTCAAAATCTTCAAACTTTTTTTAATTTTCAAATTTTATATTTTCAATAAAATTTAAAAAATTGAAATACGTAATGATTTTTGATCTAAGCGACATATATAATAAATAGAAGTCAAATTGTTTTGTATCATATAACGGATCAATAATTATAATAGCAAAAATCGATCAGTTATTATGATCAGTATAGAAGAATGACTTCTTAGCGTCAAAGTATTCAAAAATATTATTATTATTATTATTATAAAAATACGTAGGCTATTATATTGATAAGTTATAATTTTATAGTTTTGATAGAGAAAAAATTATTTGTATCAGAAAGTTAGCTCATTTTTCTCTTTCAATCTCTTTGTTTCAGTTTATAATTTCAATTAAGTTTTAGAAATATAAGATCTCTACATTTAATTATAATTCTTTGAATGAGACCAATGATTTAAAAATTGTAATCACTTTATTTTTCGAAATACCCCTCCCTCTAATTATATCCCTTTTCTAACTTGTTTTGCAACCTGAATCGAATGATTTTTATGATCGATCCTTTTTTTTTTATTTGCAACTTCTTGATTAGTTTTAATCAAGTATGTTGATCATTTGGTAAGGCTATTTATTTATAAAAGATTAAAAGAAAAAAGAAATCTAAGTAAAATTTAACAGAGGGTACTTGATAAAAAAAATCTGGGTACTGTATATAGAAGAGGCAGACATAAAATTATTTTGTAGTGTAAAGTTCAGACACTGACAGTAAAAGATTTATTATGCACATATTCTAAATAGAATCGTTTGGGGAAATTTTTAATAATAGAAGATCTTTTAATTAATTTATTTGTAGATTGTATTTTAATAAAATTAGAATTTCAAAAAATCTCATAAAATTTGTTCTATGTCAATTTAGAATTAAAAAACGTTTTTTTTTTCTCTTTATTTTTAATTTTAATTTTGTTCGTAAGTTAAAATATTTAGTGTGAAGATCTAATCAAAATTTAAATTATAAAAAATAGAAATTTCAATAAAGTCTCAGATTCGGTCTCAGATTTCGTAGATATTATAATTCATTCGAGCATTCTTTAATGGAATACAGGATTCAAAATTACGAATTTCCCGTGTTACCATAGAGTGATAATACATTTTATTGATTAGGCGTTTAATAAATCTGTGGATCTTGTAGATTGTAGAAATTAAATATATGGCTAACAATAATTAATTTTTTTTTTTGAAAGACACTCCAAACCATGACCTGTTCAGGACTAATAAAGGAACTATTGAGCAAATTATCATGAATTAAAAAGATTAGTTGAAACTAAAAATAACTAAAATTACAAAGAGACTAAAAGATTAAGAAAAAATAAAAATCTATCAAAACTTTAAAGTTTATTTATTACTGTTACTACATTAAATTAAATAGAATAAAGTTCAAAATTCAAATAATCTTTAACTTTAATTTCATAAGCTGATTTGGTTGTAAGCTTCACCCTCTTTCAGTTGTTAAGCTTTACAATATATTTCATAAATGTTTCAAGAATGCTTAAAGTAGGTAGCATCAAAATAATTATTGAAATGTAAAGATTGGAAATAACAACAACTATTAGAAATTTAAATTACTTGGTCTTTCTATTGTTATACAAAAACTATTGTCAATAATTATCACTACCTAAATTTAATTAACACAAATTTGAAATACAATAAAAACTATTATTCTACTAAAAGCAAGAGATGGAGAAAAGGGGTCTTACTACTTAATGTTTATTGTTGAATACTACAATATACTTTTTACCTTATTTGTTCTTTCTTGTTGTATGGTTAAATAAAAGTTGTTGTTGTCTTTAAAAGATTACTTTTTAAAAAAAGCTGGAACAGATCATAGAACAGCTAATTATTTCAGTAACAATACTTAAGTACAAATATAGTTTTGACTAGCAATACAAAACAGTATTCTTTCATAATAATGATAAACTGCTTGCTATCTGTATTAACTAGGTTGATTTAATAGTTTAATTGTAAAATCTTAAATAAAGTATGGGTAAATAAAAAAAAAGGTTTTGCCTTTATTGACATCATCAGTATTATAATATAATAAGGTAGTTAAATTCTCATAAATTATTGAACTAATAGATAAACAATTGATTAAATATCAAATGAACGGCACTTTTCTCTTTTTCCTTTCTTTTTAATCTTATTATCATTTTTTGAATCTTCTTAATTGAGTTATAAATGCCAGTTATTGTAAATCAAGAATCAATGATGTTATTTAGATTTATTCAAATTTAAGAAAAGATCTCTCCATATTTTAAAATTGAAATATTAATTAAAATTATAATAAATAAAAAAGAAATTTAAATTTTACTTATTTTTTACGTATCTGCAAGTTTATATGTACAAATTTTAATTAAAAAAACCTAATTTTTTATTTTTGTAATTTTTATGTAATATATTACGTAATTAAAAACAGACAATTTTTAATTTTTAGTAAATTCGGGGTTTGATTTACAATATGCAGTCAGTATTAATAAAATATCAAAAAGATTAATCAGAAAGATTAACGAACTAAGGCGATTTAAATTTATTTAATTAATTGTTCTAAATATTTGTTAGTTTACTTATCTTATACTAATATCTACTTTTAATTCAATTTACATATACTAATATACAACTAAATCTCTATTAAGATAATAGTAAAAGAAAGATAAATAAGTCAGACAATTATTTTTAAATTTATTATTATTAATATTGTACTTTTAATAATAAAATATTATTTTATGTATTGTATTATTATTATTATAAACTTTTTATTATAAAATTTATTTTAACACAAAATATCAAACTATGTATGAATAAAATAATTATATATAAATATAAGAATATATCCTCTTATTATTTTTCAATTTCATTAAATTTTTTATATTTATCTTATATATACTTTTATTTTTTTATAAATATTTATATCATCAAATTAATCAGAAGTTTATTACTGTCACCATAGAATTATAACTTATTAGTATCATTATTTATTCAAAAGATATTAGTTTAATATCTGAAACAATTTATTTTTTCACAAACATACAAATACATATATATATATATATACAATTAACTTTTTTTATAAAGAATAAATAATATTAATTATCAGTACGAAATGCAATTAACAGAATTAATTAATCCAACAAGATCTTCATTACCTTCAATATCAACAACTTCAAGTTATCAAAAAGCTACATTAAATTTACCAACTTATACATCAATATATGCTAAACAATCATTACCACAACAATCACAACAAATACAGCAGAAACAACAACAACAATTAATAATTGAACCATTAAAAAAAATAAGTTTACCACCAATTAGTGATATATTAGCTCAACAACAAGCTCAGCAACAACAACAACAACAACAACAACAAAAACAAGAATTACCATCAGTAAATCATTTACAAAATCAATCATCTCCTCAACCTTCATATCAACCAAAATCTTTACCATCAATACAACCACAATCTTCAACTCCTTCATCTACAACTTCTCAACAATCTTATTTTAATTTTAATGTACCAGGTAATAGATCACCAAATTCAAATAATTATACAACTACTACAACAACTACAACAATAACTCCAAATATTTCATCACCATCTGCTCAGATACCTTATTATACTCAACAACATTCACCACAATATCATCAACCACCACCACCACCACCTCAATATCAATTACAACATAATCATCATCAATATCAATCTCAACAACAATATTCTCCACAACCACATTTATCATTACATCAACCACAAATAATAAGATCAAATTCATATCCAATAGAAAGATCTCATTCTCAAATTTCTTCATCTTCATTAAAAGATAACAACAAGAGAAAAACAAGAAATAATTTACCAAAAGAAATTACTTATATATTATTAAGATGGTTAAATGATCATTTAAATCATCCTTATCCAAATTCTTTTGAAAAAAATCAATTAATGTTAAGTACTGGATTAAATCAACAACAATTAAGTAATTGGTTTATAAATGCAAGAAGAAGAAAAATTAAAAGTTTAAAAGAACAAAAAAGAATGAATTTAATTTAAGCTTCCTGTGTGAGTGCAATTGGTGTTGGTTGATGATGAAGTACATGTATACTATTAATGCTGTTATTATTCAATTCTTATTTTATTATTAGATTTTTATGGTTTTTTTATTTATGACTTATGTTTACTTAAATTTAGAGATATATTATTACTTTATTATTATTATTTAGTTCAAATTTATTTTATATTATATTATGTGCTGCTTATTTTAATTGAAATGTATATTGATTAATTATTTATTTTATATATATATTACTTATAATGAATGAAATGAAGAAATGATATATTTAAACAACCGTAGGTCTGTTTAATTCCTAATCGTTTCGGTCTTAACGGTGTTATAAAGATTTGTAGCTTAGCCAAGAAAGAGAGCTTAATGAATTTTAATTAAAAAGTTTAAGTCTATTGTTCAACCCACAACTTAAACAAAATGTAACAAGTAAATTAATCCATCAAAGCCACTTAAATTTAACAACAACAGGGCTTTTTGATATTAGAACAATACAATCTTGCAAGATTATGTCAAAATATAATTTTTTTGGGGGATTAGAGATCAAAATTAAAAGCGGAATAAATATTTTTTAAATTTTAATGTAACAATAATAATTAAACAATAGTCAAAAAGAGAAAAGAGTGTTTTTATTATTATCAATAGAAAATGCTTATTGTTTAATAGAAAGCCGAAATTTGACAACCTTGTTACAATTTCTAATTCTAAATTTTAATTAACTAATAAGATTACGAACTTTTGTTTGAATCTAAAAGTTTTGGAAAGCAAAACTTAAAGTTAAAGTATAGGAAAATTACTTCAATAATTTAATTTCATAAAGTAATAAAATTAAAAATCAATAATTTAAGCCTAACCGTAACCTTTTCAAAATAATAATTTATTATTTCTTAAAAAGAATAGAGAGATCTAGTTTTTTAAAAAAATACATCAACTCACTTTTACTAACTTTCAAAATATTATTATAACTTGTTATCTTATATCTTCGATTAATTTCCAATCAAAGTAATTCCAACCTCATAGTTCAAAAAATGGGCTAATTTTTTAAAAATTATAAATTATCTACAATATCTTTTCTATTTTTTTATTTTAACTTTTAAGATTTGAGAAATTTGTGATTTAACGTTACGCTCAACTTTATTATATTACGAATCTGACATAATTTGACATATACTAAAAATTTGATAGATTGTGTTGTAATTTATAAATTTATTAGTAATAACTTGTTTAATTCGTTTTGAGCACATAATTGGATGTGGTACAATAACAATATTCATAAACAAGTAAAAATAGAAGAGATACTGATTTCAATTATAATAAAAAGCAAAGTGATATTCTAGTGTTATTAAAAATAGGGGAATATTGATAGTAGCAAAATCAAATAAATTAAATTTGATATGTTTTGAACTATAGAAAGTATTGTGTGATTAATAAAAACTTTATTAGTAAGGTGAATAATTTAAAAATGTGTCAAAATTAGAAAAAATGATGTCAAATTTTTAATCAGAAAATTTTTTTTTTTTTTTTTTAATTTCTATTGTTTAATTTTTTTTTTTTTCCAAAATTTCAAAGCCCATAAACAAAGCAAAGGTTACAAATTGAATATTTCATTTCATTGATAACATAAATGTAAGCCATATCATTGACTGGCTTTTTTTGACTCTTCATTCAAACTCATCTACCAATTAAGTTAAAAGATTAAATAATTAAAATCAGTAGACTAATAGGGATAATGAAAAAACCCAAACCAGAAAAATAGGTAAATTTTTTTCTTATTCAGTTACGTTACAGGGTAAATCTTATCATTAATTTTTCTTAATATAAATATTATCATTTGTTAAGTTTGTAAAAAGTTCGTAAATCAAATCTTTTATTCTGGTTAAGAAATTAAATTTTATGCTTTGATTAATAATTTTTTTCTTAGTGCACCAAAAAAGAATTTAATTTTGCAAGATATATAATATATAGCGAATAATAAACAAGTATTTGATTAGTTTATTATATTTTCTTGAAAATGTCAACCATTGAAATTTCTTAACATATTGATGGATATCGATTTCCTACTTATTGTTAGATTATTATTGTTATACAGTATCTTGTAAATTAGAAGCAAATGAGTAAATTCTTTATTGAAACGAATTTTAGAACAATAATGATAAACTTACGGCAATTTAATTTTAATCTCCTAAGTATTTTACTTTATAGAATCTCTAATGTAAGGAAATAAGGGGTAAGCTAATGACTTAAAAAAAACTTTGACAAAGAATATAATGCACTAAGCCCTCATTGGGTCTATAATAAATTAGATTGAACATTTAACAAAATAGTTTAGTCTAGAAAATTATTTAACAATATAATACAATCAAAATGATAAAACAATCTTACTCTTTTTATTGGTTTTTCTTTTTTCTTTTCTTTTTCGTTAGCATTGGTTAAGATTATGTAATTAATTCAAGATTTTTTATAAAGTTGACAGCTAATTTTGATCAAGAAAAGCCCTATTAAATTTATAGTCTTATTATGTAAGCATTGTCCTTAGATTTTATTTTGTGTAATTTTGAAATTATGTCTGAAAAATTCCCATAATAAAATTTACGAAAATTTTTTAATTTAAAGATTTATGATAAATTATTTACGTAATTAATGACTAAGCGTATCTCTTACTTAATTTACACTTTTTTAGTTCTTTTGTAAGAAACTCCTAACCTGTCACCAAAATTGATTGTTTATTTACCAATGCTATTTATAACTTATAAGAGTTTAGTGTATTTGAAAGTTTCGGAGTTTGAAATAATGTAACGATGAATGCTCAACCAAAAAGCATAGCCTAAGTAGGGGCACACGTTTTGTAGTCTTTCATCTAATAGGAGATCGAAATCTGACCAACTCTTCAAAAAAATGCAGATCACTAGAAAATTAGGGAGAATTGTACTTGAGTAGTATTAACAGTATGTCCTACACGGCTGAAGGATAATCGAGCTAGCTGAGCCGAAAATAACTTAGTATTTACGAAGTATTTCTTCATATAAGAACAAGTTCGTAGCATGAAAATTACTATTAGCTCTGGCGCATGTATAAGGCGAAGTAAATCTCCTGATAAGTTCAAAGTTTAAGGATCATTCTAATTTGTACAACCCGTAAAGGATCTCGAAATTAAACTTTTATCGGTGGTTTTTTTTTAGATCTTAATTGAAAAAAGCCGTAGATTTTGTGGGTCGTAAATAATACCGAATCAAGCTGTCAGCTTTTGGTTTTTGTGCAACGTTGAAAAAATTCTACTATAACGTTACAGAAAAATTTAATATCTTGAATACAATATTCGAACTTTGAGACTGCCAAGTACCATTAAAATTTTGAACCTACTGAATGTTTTAAAATTGAACAGAAATGTATGCTCGATGTATTAGAATACACATATATTCGAGCATACATCCCCCTAATTATTCATATTCGATAAAATACAAAGGACGGAAATTAGAAACGGAATTTTCAAACTGAAAAAAGATTTGCAATTTTTGAATATTTTGGTGATTATAAATAATGTTGTATTTTTTTATAAATGTTACACCCTAATTACTAGATTGAAATATTTAGACTTATTGAGTTCCCTGAAAAATTGGCCTTTAAAGTTCATTCAGGATTGTAGTTTCATTAATTGATTCCTTAGTAACAATCGAAATCAATGAATTTATATTAAATGAGAAGAGATTATCACTGGACCACTTGAATTGAATCGAATTAAACTTAAGATTTTGTTACTCATAATTTATCAAACTTTCTTTTTCAGTTATCTTTCAACTCAAAATAACAAAGATTCTATTATTTTATGCATGTACAAAAAAATCTGTATAGAAACTTGTCAAATTATATCAGTTTACCCTTTCTTGTTTATATGCAGTTCATTTCTCGTAATTGAAAAATAATATTTCAAAAACGTATCACTTAATTTAGATTCATTTTTCAATCACCAATATTTTTGATCCTTCTGATATGTGAGAGGCGTTTGTCAATTCATCTTTCAATTCATACAACAAAAAATTTACTACAAGGAAACATTTAACAGGGTGTAAGGTGTAATTTACAACGTAGAACTAAAAAGAATTCGTAATTGATTAATCTCATTAAAGGGATAATGAATCTAAAATCCAACAGAATACTCAACAATAGAGGAGTACAAAGAAAAAACTTACATATGTAAATTTCAATTGAGTCCTATTCTACAATTGTCAACAATAATCAAATGCACATAGCCCTCTTTAATGTGTTATGATTTTTATTTTTCATACCATTTAATTGATTGTCTCAGACATGTTGGAGAACCAAGAAAAAAAAAAATCAAAGTTTTAAGGTTTAAGGTTTAGGATGTCAAAATTTATTATTTAATTTAAACTAAAAGGAGAAAACCAATAACAATAATACAGTAATAACTTAAGTTTATTAGTCACATAAGTATAATTGAAAAACAAAGGAACTAAATCTAGACCTTTGTTCTCTCTTAATCTTGGCAAATGTAATATTCAATCTACTTAACTAATCTGATTATTCTAAAAAACCTAAAAACTTGGTTATATTGACATTGAATATATAATAGAAAGTGGACAATCTTACTCAATTTTGTATATTTCTTTTAAATTTAGAAAATCTTAATTTTTTAATATAGTACATTAGATCTAAATCTTAAAGCAGACACTTTTAGTTAAAATTATCAACGTTTACGTAATTTTAAATTTTATACGTAAGACTACTTAAATATCATGCTAGTTGGAATAAATAAATTTTGATTTTCAAAAACCGAGAAATGTAATTAATTCAGAAAATTGTTGAGATTCGGACAGACAATAAAAATGAAAGAACAATTAAAAGATAAATAATTTTGACATATTATCTGTTTTGTAATTAAAAGAATATCTGAAATTTAAGAGCTTAATTTTAAAGTTTTTTGATGTATTATTTAAAGTTATTCCTATTCTATTTTTATAAATTCACAATTTATACCAAGTTTAGTAGGTATCTTCAATCAAAGAAATCAACTTATTCTCAACTCTACTCAATAAAAGACTAGACGGGTAGTCAATCCCTTCAAGATTGTGATTAGAATTTCGCCAATTTAAAGATCAACGCTAAAAACGGAATGTTTGATATCAAAATAAATGTTAAAATGGATCCGTTCCATATAAATTATAAGTTTTATGAGGTTATGCATTTTCATATATAACATTTTTATTATCTGAAATATTTCTTTTTCGCCTTAATCAAAAACCACATAAATTCTTTAATCTTCTATATCTGCCTTTCAAATCTCATTTATGAAACATAAAGCTGGCTTTGTTGAAGCTTAGAAACACTAATTATATTAATAATATAGTGTTCAATTGACTTGGAAAATTTAAGTTTACGAAACCAAAATCTCAAATAACTTTAACCGATAGTTTCATTCTAAAGTAATTTATTCTTGTATTATCGATTACTTCTAGGTGACATTGACCTCAGTCCAAAACGATCTACCAATTAATATTAGCAAAAAAGGCAAAAACTTCCCTTTTTTCTTAGTTCATCAATTCTGATAATTCAAATGATCAATTCAATATGTAGAGTAACTTAAAACATAATAATTTAAAGTTAATTTTCGTAAAAGTTTAATTTTAATTTCTGGAGTAAATATTTTGAGAGATCAGCAGTCAAGGCGGTTTTTTTTGTTAATGATATATTCTTGAGAACCTAATTTAAGAAAAAACATACCACTTTATTGAACTTATGATTGACGATAGGATCATTAGATCTTAGTAATAATGTATTCCTTGATGTTAATTTTGAGATGTCACGAAAAGACAAATCAAGGTCTATTTTCATTAGGCATTTTACAACAACTTAATTCTTCTGAGCACATTAAAAGATTAGCCCCTATTTTATATCCCGTTTATCCTATTGTTTTACATTTACGACTTATCAATTTCTAAAAAAATAGCAAGAAAACATAATTATATCTATTTGTATGAGATACAGGGATTATTTTAATTTATTATTTTGGCTTTTTGTGTTTATTATGTAAAATTTGACATAGAACAAATTTTATTGTACATAGTAAACTTTCGTCTAATGTCCTTCACTATTGTTGCTAAGCAGTAACAATATATGTATTGGCTGTCTCCGGTAGATTTAATCAGAAAGACAGTTGTGTCCAATCCATTCAATGTTGTATTTTGATAACTCATGTATATAGTAAAAATTATTGATAAATACGATAAATGTAGTAAATAAACGTAGAAATAAAAAGTTCGTAAATTCAAGTATCGATATTAGACAATAAGATTATGAGTAGTACTAAACTAAATTAGATTACTAATAATAATAATAATAATAAAATCTCGTAAACTTCTATCAATTGAATTTTAATTTTAATTTTCCAATTTTTCCGACAGTAAATTTTTTATAAAAATTTCTTTTTTTATGTTTTTAATTTGGTGAAGTTTATAAAATTGTAACATTACTCCAACATTACACTGGATATTTTTCTCATTATTTGAGTTTAACATAGTACGTAAAGATAAAAATCGATAACTGTGGATAAATTTTGTTTACTTGATCTTTCGCAATTTGACATAAACAACAAATTTGCAGACACAATAATTTCTCAAATTATCTTTTTCGGAATAAATATTATGGATCATTAGAGGTTTGTAATTTTATAAAAAGTGTGGAAGCTAGGTTACGAAATATGAAATTAAGCGATAACGTCAGTATTACCACACGCTCTTGAAGTTGTGCAGCAAGAGCTTTAAAAACTTGTTGAAAATTAAATAAAATAATGCAGATATTAAAAAACTGTACGAAAAGTGAATTTATTTACGAATGCATTATATACTTACACAAAGTAACTTTCTAGAATTTAAAACGCCTTCCCTGATCAAATTTAATGTCTGAAAATCATCACTTTATTGAGAAAGTGTAGTAGATCAAAGAACAAATTATGAAACCCCTCTTTAATTTGATTACCAAAAGTTCGTAAATTAATAAATATTAATATTACGTTGAAGTTATGTTCACGTTTTTCTGATTTTTTCTCGACCCATTTTTAGAACAGTTTCAATTTATCATTGCAAAATCATATTTTACAACCTCAATGAAAATTTACACATTTCAAAAGAGTTTCACTGGCATGAACGTTCTACGGACGAAACACTTTGGTTTGTTACTGGAATTTAATCAAAAAGCATGTTAAAATTTGCTTTTGATAACAGGCTTTACAACTAAGTCTATTTGATTCTACTCGGGTTGATATAGCTGAAAATAGTAAGTAAGATCGAAACATCAAAATGACTCAAACACAATGAATAGATTTTTCCGAATGAAGCAAACAATTATCAAGACGGTCGGATTAACTTTTGTTGACTGCAGCTAATTCAATAAATCAACTTTGCTCTAAACACTCTGAGTAAATGGCTCCAAAATTCTCAATTATAAATATAGAAAATATCTCACAAAATGAAAGTTTAGGAAATTAGGTTTTGTGTTTGACACTTAATTTGTCATATTTTTACTAGAAGCTTAAAGTTTAAATTATTTTGTTGCCTTGAGTTTTTGCATATACGTTATGATATTTTATTTACTTGAATTCTTTCAGTCATTGATTGATAACTACGCCTCGTGTGTAATCAAAACCATAATTTGCTCATAGTGACATCGAAATAAAGTATTGTATTGATCGTTAAAATAGGCAATATTAGTTAAAATACGCGATACTACTTATGTTCTGAATTGGCCGAAAACACAACTAAAAGAAACTGACCAGGTTAAGTCAAATGCAATTAAATAGATTATACCTGCAAGTAACCATATATTCAGTAAGAAGTGGTCATAAAATCGATCTTGAAGATTTAGTATATTTTAGTTATCAAAAATATTGATGTTTCAAACTTCACTATAAGTAAATACTTGTGGTATTGGGCTGATTCTTGCTCACGTCTGTCAAACGGCATTGACTTGAAGTCTTGCTTGCAATCCTTCGATCAATTATATGAGAAGAACGTTAAACGCTGACCTTATTTTGATCTGGTATCAGTGTTTCAATATTCTCAGAATACTCTCTGAAGTTTTGACAAAACTTTAATCTTTTGTAGTATAAAAAAGGTTCATCTACGTTTGATCCAATTCTTCAATTTGTTTGGCCAATTAAAATGTCAAAGAAAAAGACCAGAGAGTAAAATGAAGACACCTTTCAAAAGCTTATGTCTTAGCGAATCTTGATCAAAGTTACTTGTTCAACCCCAAATTTCTTCTAAATGGGTCATTAAAATGTTCGTGTCGTAGTTTTAATCAACATAATCTTAATTTGCTGATTTGATCAAATACGAGCTCATTTGCGACAATTTTGTAAAAATTGTACAATACTTAAGTGGGAGAGTATGTAGCTAGAACTAAAAGTTAGATTAATTTTTAATACAAATTTGCATTGAAATAGTGACACTTCAAAAAAGAATAAAATTTGACAGCTGAGATCTGAGATCTGGACCTAAAACTTTTAATACTAAAAAAAATAACGTTCTTAATTTAATAAATTGTACGTTATTATCAAACAATAAATTTTATGCGTAAGTTTTAGAAGTATTTGGGGAAAAAAAGATATTTGTAACCGATTCACAGTCATACATTGTTTTGCAAACATTTAATACACATCCAACTATACCTCAACTCAGTATTAACTAGAGATCACTAAACCAAGTAATGTTATAGAATTCATAGACAATTAAACAAATCACAAATTACTAATTCACACATAATCAACACATTGGAGTCACAATAGAAACATAAAGAAAGAGCAGAGTCAAAATGGTTTTTAAATTCTCAATCGATGATTTATTTGATAAATATCTACCTTCAAATCAATTATATAGACTACCTAGACCAATATCTCATTTTTTGGGATATCATAAACCACCACATAAACCAACTCATGATTATTGGATATGGCTAGAAACTTTAATTGGTACATTTTGTGGATTATCACTACTAATGGGGATATTCAAAAACCCAAATATTTTCACAGATCATCATCATGCACCAATAATATTAGCATCTTATGGAGCTTCAGCCATATTGTGTTTTAATGCTTCTCAGGTTCCATTAGCACAACCTAGAAACGTTTTAGTGGGACATTTTATTAGTGCTTTAATTGGAATGAGTGTACAAAAATTATTTAGTTTGAGTGAAACTGGACAAAAGCATTATTGGGCAAGTGCAGCAATTAGTGTATCAATAAGTTCAATAGTAATGTCAATGACAAATTGTATTCATCCACCTGCTGGAGCAAGTGCTATATTACCAAGTATTGATGAACAAATTAGATCAATGAGTTGGTGGTATTTACCAGTACAAATTATTAGTTCTGTTTTAATTATTGTTGTTGCTTGTATTACTGGAAATGTATTTAGAAGCTATCCTGTATATTGGTGGAGTGCTGGTGCTGGTCTAGCCAAGAAGAAGAAACAAATAATAAAAGATGAAGAAACTGAAGTAGGAAAAATGCAGGATAATGAGAGTAACGCTAAAGAAGGAAAAGTTTCTGATTCTAGTGATTATACAAGAAACGAAAGTAATAATGATGTACAAGTCACTGAAACTAATGAAGAAGGAATAGATAGATTAAAAGGAACAGATAAAGTTGTTATAACTATGGATGCAATTACAATACCTGAATATTTGGATTTAGGAGAAGTTGAAAGAGATTGGTTAGTATCACTACAACTGAAATTATGTAATTTAGAAAATGAACCTTCAACCAAAGTACATAGTCATGGTGATTATTCAAAAGTATAGACAAGAATATACACAATTAATAAATATTCGATAACTCATAAAACCCACTTCAATTTGGTTCTTTTTCAATGAATTCAACAGGAACAACGCCTTGAAACCCAGGTTGTTCTAATTTATCATACAAAGCTTCAGCAACTTGTGTAGTACTTACGACCGGTCTCACTAAATTTGACAAAAAATTATGACCCAACACTGAGTTTTTCAAACCAACACTAAATCTTAATCCTTTCATTATTATATCTCTTTTAGTCATTCCTAAATTATGAGTTTCATCATACATTGCACTAGGTCTCATAATTATATTTCTTAAATGTGGTTTATTTGATAATTCAAATTCTGCTTCTCTTTTGGTAATAATATAACGTTCCGGTATAATAGGTGGGTTTTTATCAGCTGATATATATACATAATTTCCAACAGGTTCGTTATCTTTTGTAGTTATGACAGATTCTCTAGCTTTAATGTATTCATCAGCAATCATAACAGCAGAATCTCTTTGAACAGTTTCATAACTCATATTTTTTTTATCTTTTTGCATTGGATTCGATCCCATTATCGAATTAATCATTCTTGTAAAATCTCCAAATGCCATAAAATTTGATGTAGAAGAATTCATTGATTTTTTATATGATATATCTTCAAATAACATTCCTATTGAATGAACTATAGTATCATATTTTTTCAATTGTGATTTAATTTCTTGTGGTTGGAATATATCAACTTTTTCCCATTTCACTTTTTGAACCCATCGTGGTTCTTCTTTTGTTGTTGGATTAAGAACTGCTTGTGGTGGTTTACCTGATCTTGAATATGATGTAACGTCATAACCTCTACTTATTCCTACTTCACATATTTTTCTACCTAGAAAACCATTACCTCCAAATATAGCTATTGATTTTGAAGTGGTTGCCATTTTTTGAAATGCTTTAACAGTCAATTGATATTTGATAATTAGTAGTCGAAGCAATAAAGACTGACAATTCAAAATAAATGATGTAAAGTTAAGCTAAATTTAAATAACCTAGGTGATCTGGTAATCTATGACGCGCACTCAAAAGTTACGTCACGACCTTTTAAGAATATCATCGAATAGCAAACTAGTTTAGAGAATATTGAAAGGTGAAGTATGTTAAAATAAATCCGGAGTTCTTAAAGAATAATCAAACTTAACAAGTGGTATTTATCAACAGTAAGTGAACAAGTTTGAAAAATCAAAGTTCGTGGGTTTGAATGTTTTACTAATTTTTCAATTGAATCAATTTAAAATTCTAGTCAATAATGGTACGGTTGGATCCTGCTTGAGTAGTTTGGGCTCACTATAATGTTTAGTTAAATCGTAATATAAAATACTCTCAATCGATCAACAACTGACATAATTAATGCTGGAAATAGTGTTGATATTATTATCTTCTTTATCACTCTTATTATTGTATAAATACGAGCTGCACGGTAAAGCCAAAATTAGTAAAAACAATGCGGCTTTCCACGCGTAGGTATTATTTTAATTTTATCAATTTTATCAAGAGCTTTTCATAAACAAATACAACCATCATCAAAACCAAATACCAATACCACACCCCAAAATAATGAGTTATTACGACATAGATGATATCCTAGCTGACTCAGAAAAATTACCATGTCAATTCAACCATACAATCCCCGGGTTAGGTTACTTGGAAGGAAATCCGGGAAAATCAATAAAATCTCAAACTAAAATTGAATTACCATTTTGGTTAGCTGAAATATTATCAATTTTAGAAATTAAAACGTCAACTGATGTAACGACTTTTATATCATTAATAGATCCTGATTTTTTAAATGAAAAAGTTATAAATGCTATAAAATCTGATCCAGAATCATTAAATTTACATAAATTATCATCACAATATTATAAAATGATTGAAAAATGGGGGAAATTATTTAATGAACCACAACTTATTGAAATAGTTATGGAAATGCTTAAAAGTAGAGCTTTTAAAATTAATAATTTTGCTAATAATTTTCATCAAAAACATTTTAATAATGAATTATTGTATAACTTAGATGAATTTGAAAAAAAAATATTTAAAGATTCTACTGAAAGTAATAAATTGATGAGAATTTGGTTGAAAGAATAGTATATTAATGATTTCTTTAAAGATTGGGTTGTTGTTTCTTTTTCATTTATTTCGGAAGTCGATTTGATTCAAGTTGACTAATTCGGTGAGATTAACTTAAGACATTACTTACACGTAAAATAATTATTCAATGCTCAATTTATTGGTCTAGTTCTTTCAAGTTCTAGGTTGGTTTAAGTTTGTTACAGTCATTTAGTAACAATTACATTCCAACCCTCCTGGCTAGATGATTATAGATGAATATAGATACTACGTAATTTAATTTAAGATTGAAATTAGTCTATTGATTATATAGCTATAATTACTAAATTTTATTCATAATCACTATCTAATCCATCATCACTGTCCTGTATAAATTCTTTTGATAATTTTTGTTTCTTATTTGATCCCTTGGTAACTATTTCATCTTCATCCTCATTATTGGTTCCATTACTTTCTGATTTTCTCTTTTTGGAAGTTGTGGAAGAAGATCCATTAGTTTCTGTTGTTGTTGTTGGTTCTTTTTCTTCATTATCATTATTATCGTAATCTTCATTTGATATTTCTGCTTCAGATTCTGTATCACTTACTATTTTTTTAGATTTTTTCTTTCTTGAACCTTTGGATTTGGTATTTCCTCCATTTCTTGATTTTTTCTTTTTAGATTCTTCATTTTCTTCATCAAATAATTTATCATCATTATCATCATCTTCATTAACAACAATTGATTGTCTTGATTCTTCAGCCCATTGTTGAGCTTGTTCTTGTAATTCAGCTCTTTGTTTTGCTAAAATTTCTTCTTTTGCTTTTAATTCTTGTAATTTTTTAATTTCTTCTTCTTGTTTTTCTTTAATCAGTTGTTCTTTTAAGCTTTTAGCAATTTGTAATTTTTCTTCAACTTGTGCAATATTTTCCTTAGTTTCATCTAATGCATTAGTTAATCTATTCAACAATGTACTTGAACCTAAATTAGCTCTACCTCTTAATTCATCTTTTGGATATGGTGGATGTTTCTCTTCATCTGATGCTAAACTTATCAATATGTCTATTGCTTCATTTAATCCCGAAATGGCTTCGTTGATTTCCGCTGGTTTTCTTTGTGTGATATGTTGTTTTGTTATAAAATCTGCTATTTGAAATTGTACATAAGCAATATTGAATAATAATGTTGATTTACTGCCTTTCGTAATTTCCAAAGCTTGTCTTGTAAATTCTAATGATTTTTTGTAAAATGGTAAGGATTTTTCATTATTACCACGTAAATACCAAGCTCTTCCTAAAAATGTTAATATTTTAACATCATTACCATCAGTATATCTTGCTAATGCTAATTCATAATTTTCTATTGCTTTGTGATATTCTTTTAAATCACATAATACATGACCTAAATTCAAATAAACTGATATGTCATTTAAGGAGTCTCTTATTTTTCTCAAAATATCTAATCCTTTATTCAATTCTTTATTTTCAATATATGATATAGCTAAACCCTGGGCAGCATATACATTTTTTGGATCAACAGTTAATACTTTAGTATATAATTCAATTGCTCTTAAATAATAAGTTTTTCTTTTCTCATTTGAGGATGACCCCTTTGATTCTCTTGCTAATTGACAATATATATTAGCCAATGAAATCAATGCATAACAATCATGTTTATTAAATTCCACTAAAGTTTCCTTTTGGAAAGAAACGTCAGAATCATTCTTCATTCCTAGTTTTTTACCAAAATTTTTAATAAACCAACCATAAAAAGATCTAATTTCTAAATCTGACGCATTTAAATCTAATAGTTCATCTATTTCTTGTTTTATTTCCTCTATGGATGATTGTTGTATACAAGATAAAAACAATAATCTTAATTTTGCTGAGAAATAATGTGGACATTCTGAAAGTAAATTTTCGTAGACAGTGATAGCTTCTTCTTGATTTGATATTTCTTTTGATCTTGCTAAATTATAAGTTAATGTTGTTTTTAAATCTTGTGGTAAATCAACTAAAAGATCCCCATCTGGACTATAAAATTCTTGATTGTTCTGTAGTTGTTCAAGTGCTGTCTTGAAACTTTCTGATGCCTTTTCAAAATTTTGTCTTGTAAATTGTATTACACCAATATTATTATATATTTCCAATGGTACATTTTTTTCAAACTGTTTTCTTGAATCTATTGCTTTGTTGAGGTAGTTTAATGATTGTGTAATATCTTTATTTTCGTATAATTTGCTTAAAATTAAGTATGCATTTAATGTAATTGGTTCTTTATTTAATAAATATTCTGAATCATCCTTTGATGAAGATAATCCTCTATTATTTGAAAGTCTAATATATCTTTCTAGTACTTGAATTGCCATTTCTTTTTTCCTTTTAGATTCTTGTTTTGAATATAATACACCTAAAGAATAATTTACTTCCAAACAATTAACATTACTTCTTAAAATAGATTCAAAAGTTAAACTTGCTTCATCAATAGATCCACGATTATATTGTGATTGACCTAATCCTAATTTTGCAACAATATTTAATTCATTTAATTTAATAGCTTCTTGAAAATTTTTTGAAGCTTGAGTAAAATCTCCATTATTAAATGATATTCTTGCAATCCAAGTTCTACATTCTGATAAAATGTTTGATTCATATTTGGTTAATTTAACATGACTATTAATTTTCTCCAAATTATCACTACCTGTTATATTACTTACAATTAATTTAACAATTTTTTCAACAGTTTCATAATTTTGTTTGGAAAAATAAAATGATACTAAAGTTAATAAAATAGTTGAATCATTTATATTATCCTTGTGAAGTTTTGCAATTTCTGTTATACATTTTTTATAGTTGTTTAAAAATTCTTCATCAGTTAATGAATTATTAAAAGTTGTATGAAATTTAGCTAAATTTAAAAATATTTTAGCTTTTGAATTAGTTGGATCTAATTCCAAAGATCTTTCCCATGCTTGTATTGCCATTTTATCATCTTTTAAAAACCAAAAACATAATCCAATACCTAATCTTGGATCTGGTTTCATTAAGGGGTTTAATATTAAAACTTGTTGATACAATTTCAATGCTAATGAATAATTTTTGGTTTTACTTAATGTAATTTGTGCTTTTCCCAATAATGCAAATGTGTTATTTTGATCTCTCCTTAATATTTTGTCAAATATTTCCAATGCATCATCTTCTCCACCATGATAATTTGATAATATAGCTTGTGTTAATAAATTACTCGTGTTATTTACAATTGAAGTTTGTGAATCATTTTGAATTTTTGAAGTTAGTTCATGAATCTCTATACTTGCTTGAGTTATATTTGTACTTTTTTCAATTCCTAAAGATATTAATCTTAAATGTAACCAAATTAAAAATGATTTAAAAGTCTTTTTATCTTCTTCATTTAAATGTTGTGCATTTGAAGCTGATCTTACAAATTCCATTGCTTTATCTATTTCTCCTCTTGATACATATGCATTTGCAATTAAAAACCATTCATATTTCCCAACTCTTCTTTCCAAGAAGAATGATGCTATTTCCTCTGGATTTTCTGGTACATCATTTGGAATACTTAATGAAACAATACTACCTTCTTCAACTTGGAAATCTAATACTTGTGGCGTTGAATCTGTCTCAGTTGATCCAGTATAATATGATATATCATTGATTTCCTCCTCCATTATGAAGTAATTTAGGAATGATTGAATTGGTTGGAAAAAGTCAGGTAGGTTTGAAATTTGGTTGTAAATGTAAACAGAAACTGAATTTTTGTTTCATTTTTTTTCATCCAGAATTAAAATTTATTTGTGCAACAAAAAAAAAATTTGTATGTAGAACAAGTTTTTAGTCACGTTTTGCGGAAGTATTATTCCGATATATAGTATTACTTTTATTTTATATAATTCTATTTACGTATTATAATGAATTTTTTTTTGAGCAACAAGATGAAGAGCTTTTAGATATGTTATTTGTATTAGTGTTGATGGTGCTTGGTTATTGATGATGATTTTCATGGTTTTCATAGTATTGTTTTTTATAATTTCCACTAAAATTTTCACTAAAGTATTGATTTGCATTGTTACTTGAGTTTTGTTGTTGATTGGGATTATTGTTGTATCCATTATTATTGTTTACAGGTAGGATTGGTTGTTGAGTGTTATGTTGTTGAGGTAATGTAGCTGGTATTTTATTTTGTAATTGAGTATTAAAGATTGCATCATCAAAATTGAAATCAGAAACTAATGCATTATATAAAAGTTGTTGATTTGTTTGATTTTTGAAAAAGTCATCTAATCTGTACCCATTTAATATTCCATGAGATTCGCAATTGAAACAATCGCATGAATCTGGAGGACATGAACAGATTGGAGTTGGAGATTGATCTTGTATATATTGGTTTGAGTTTTGAAATTGACTTTTAGGTAGATCTTCTTGATTTGGAGGATATTGCAAATTATTATTATGAGTTGGTTGTATAGTGTTGAATATTAAATTCTCAGATTTTGAGTCTTGATCAATAATAAACTTTGATTGATCTTGTTGTTGAAAGTTTTCTTGTTGAGTATTTGGTTCTATTTTAAGATTTCCATGTACAATACAGCCAGTACATTTACAATCATTATCACAACAACAAGTCCCAGGTATTGAACAAGATGAAACAGGAACAACATCAAATATAGGTTCATTTATCAAAGATTTTTCTGATTGTAAGTGTTGTTTATGATCTCCATTTTTTATATTATTTTCAAGTTGTGGATTTTCAGTAATAAATTTAACTTGTTTTATAGGTAGTTGTGAAGTAATTTGATCATTTAATTTATTTTCAATATATGTTTGTAAAATTTTTGATTTATTAATATTACTTTGATCTTTCTTTTTATTACCACAACATCCACAACCATTTGTATTATTATTATTTCTTTTATTAATTTTAGGTATACAACAACCAGAAGAAGTAATGAAACTTTCATCTTTTATTAAAGGTTGTTGTTGAATTTGAGGTTTTTCTAATTTATTTCTACCAGTTTTACTTTCATCATAAGGTCCAACTATTTCTCCATTACTTAAATCTATAACTTGTTTTGAAGATGATTTTAATATTATAATTGGTTGTGATTTACAATTTTTTTTGGACTGCAGTTTTTCTTCGTTAATTTTTTCAATAATTATTTCATTATTTAACGTTGAATTAATGCTCTCAACTGTACTTGATGATGCAGAATTTGAAGTTGAAGATGATAAAGAAGAATTACTTTTTGTAGGTGCAATTTGTTCAGCAAATACAGCTATTCTATGATTTGGATTTCCATTTGCATAACCACCTGGTCTTCCCTTTGATCTAACTTGTAATAAAGGTCTATCATGATGTTTACAAGATGAAGATCTATGACCTCTTATACATTCCATACATGCAAATTTTATATCATTAATTAAAATCATTATAAATAATTGGGAATTATTATTTAATCATATATTTATTGCAATATTATTATTATAAAAAGCTTTATTTAAATGTAAATGTTATATCATTGTTAAATTGTAATTTTTAGTATAAAGATTGGTTGTAAAAATGAATTGAAATTATTAAATAAATAAATTAGTTTATTAATAATAAAATTGAAAATAATAATAACGTTATTTTTTTTTTTCTATAGTTTTATCTAGACTAATATTAATAAATATAAATTATATGAGCAAATAATTAATTACTATGTTTAGAACAACAAGTATTTAATAATTAACAATTTACTATTCTAATTTTCTAACATTTTAATCTATTAGAATAGAATTAAATAGATTAGAAGATATTAATTCATTATGAAAAGTTTCTCAAATTCTCTTGATTAAGAAGGGTTTATTCACTTAACTTCTTATATTATTTCATTAATGTCTCTCTTTTAACTTGAATTGTTTCACTTTTTAATAAAATTTATAGAGTCTGAAACTTTATGCAAGTCAAAAGTCTTACATACTAAATAGTGCATGAAAAAAAAATTGTACATCAAACTCATAAGAGTCAAACAAAGTAAATTACTTTGGTTTGTTTTGATAGTAATGAAGTGAAACAAACCAAATAATGTATTGAAAATGGCAAGTTAAAAGTAAGTTCTAGTTAACAGTAAGTTCAAGCCAACAATCAGTTTTTATTTGGTGTTGAAAAAAACTTTGAACTACATCTCTATCTTTTTGATATCAATAGATTGTATTATCTAAAACCTTTTCAGGTAGAAGTAGTATTAACATGTTTAGTAAATAATACTATATAATTTTATGAAGTCGTGACGTGAGTCGAAGATTCACGACATGTTTTGTCAAGATTAGTCTTTGTATTGATTTAACCTAAATTCAATGCTAAAACAGCATTCTTACTTTTACAACCACCCAACTTTCAAAATCAACTAAATATAATAAATCTAAGATGGGTAAAACTGGAATGGAATAGCAGTTTGATTGAGTTCTTATCGGGACGGTGGACGTACAAGCAGCCACAATTCAATTTTAAATAATTCAAACAAGACGTCAATGTTTAAAATGGGACGAATAGTTGAGGTTCGTGTAAAAAGGGAAATATACATTGGAGATGCTAAATGGAAGTATAAAATACTCAAAACAAATGGAGAATTTATTGATGAGGATTGGATCAACAAAATTAATTAGAAACTGTTGCAACTTCAAATGCTGATATATGAAAATTGATGATTAATGCTGCTTCGATAACTCCTTCAATTTGAGAAGAATATATTTCAAGTTCATCATAACCATTCGAGTAACATAATATTTGACCATTAGATGATAATTCTCAACAGTTATCTAGTAGATCTATAGTAAATCTTCCAGATCTTCACCATTTTACCAACAATTAAGTCCACAAGTTGAAAAAGATGATCAAATTATTAACTCAAAAGCAACAACAGCAGAAGCAACCGAAATCGCCAAATATCAGTATCAGAGATACAAGTCAATAACAAGATGAATCAAATTCTAAATTTTCCGCTATTGTAATTATGTAACAGCATCATTTTTTATTGTTGCATTTGCTTAAGTCATTAATTGAAAATTTATTGGAGCTACTCAAGAGTTATAATTGCAAGCACGGGATAATTTAAGATTTAATGAAATTGGATGATTAAGTGTCTTGTAAAATTTTCAGCTATTTTTACAATGAGGAAATTGGATGGCCGTATGGATGTTATAATGTCGATTTGCAAGCCTATTTGTTCAAAACTTGATATAGTCAAATTCAGGTTACGATTTGAAACTTCATTTTTAGACACTATTGGTAGGTTAATTCAAGCTGATCACAAACTAGGCTTATTGAATTAGGTATCCCTTGAAGATGGAGGATTATTATTTGATATAAGGCTTCAAAGAGCTGGCTTAGTTAAAACGACTCACGAACCAATATATAACAACTACACTACAACTACAGCAGCTACAACTACTATTATTATGGAGTTGATAGCTTATCTTGAATGAGAAGAGTCAAAATAATAAAATACAAAAAAAGTTGAACAGCTTTAATAGATTTTTCATTCCTTTCTTTAACATCAATTGATCGTCTATTTAAAATAACTTTCTCAAGCCTCGTAGTAAGGTCCCGTTGTATTATCTGGCTCACGACGGTTTTAAAACTCTACAATAACTGTAGGAACTTGTTATTTAGAACTGAGATAGTTTACAAATTTTAGTATTCAATAAAATACAATTCATACAATTATACATTAAAATTAATTCTGTATAAAAGCAACTCCATACGTGTCTCTGAGTCTACTTTAATCAAAATTGTGAGTACTTTCAAATTTAGAGAAACTCTTGAAGTCCTAAATTCAAAAAGTTATACATTGAACTTTCATTCAAGACGAAACTGAGCAAGTTGAAAATTACTCACTTCGATTTATTCAAACAATTGTTTTTCAAGTATTATCTTATTTATTGTTTGAATTTCATTAAAGGAATTTAAAAAACCAAAAAAATCCAAATTATAAAAAAGACCAGAAAGGTTGTTCGAAGTATTCACTTGTTTTTTGTTTAATTTTCATAAAACAATCTAAAACTTAAAAAAAAATTAAAAATTTAAAATTGAAGTATCGGTTTTTTTCTCTTGTTTTTATATTTTTTATTTAATAATTGAAATTTGTTATGCTGAATTTAATTTATATTATGAGAAAAAAGTAAACAATTCTAGTGAAGAATGGCTGGCTGCAAAATTTTTATGTAAGATTTGAAAAGCTGTATCTAAATTTTTTTACATTTACAAATTAAAAGAACAAAGATAGATTTACAAAATAAAGAGTATTAAATATTATTTACATTTGGACCCTTCATAATCATTGAAATTTTTATTTTATATTCGAGTAATAAGGATAAACACTATGAAATTTGTAAAAATTATGTAAATTCAAATTAAATTATTTTGATAAAATTTTACCAACTTCAATAGATTTTTCATCTCTTTCTCTAACATCAAGTGAAGGTCTATTTCACGTAGCTGTTAAAGCATCAACACAAAAAAAAATATGTTAATAAATTCATAGAATCATTAATCGAAGAGTTCAACTATTAAGTAATTATGGATGAATGGGAATGTGTTAAATCAACAAAATTATCAAATGAAGAACTAAAGTATATAATAATGTGTTAAATCAAGGGATTTATTTTGAAACACGTTATTTGTGCTACAGCTTTTACCTACAAATAAAACCAAGTATTTGATTCAAACGTTATTTTACACAATTACAAATGTATAACTTTTATTTTTTTTCAATAATTACCATAAATTTGCTTCAATTTTTGTAATAATTCAATTGCTCTTTAATTTATACAAACTACCTACGATATGTTCCTGAGTTTTACTTTTTAATTGAATCAAGAGTTTTTTTTTTTTTTCAATTCCTGTACTAGCTTGGTTTAGCTTTAAAATTATATCATTAATTTCTTATAATATATACATTTTTTCAAAGCCAAAACACTATGGTGAAATTTATAAATTTTTTGGCATAAATCAAATCAACAAGGTTTAACCCCCTAAAAATTTAACTATCTAGAAATTTATTTTAATATATTCTACATTTTTTATCTCTCTTCACTTTTAATTAATTACAACCAAATTTAAAGTTTAACTTCAATAATAAAAATTCATCAAAATTGATAAGAAGTATTCAAGTATTATGTGAAGTAAGAGATGGGAAATACTCAATCAACTCATCAACAATCAAATGATGATACTAATAATGACACTACTACAACAGGTAATTTAAATGAGAGCAGTCCATTATTAAATAATAATCAAGAAGAACAGGAACATACTGAACAGGAACATACTGAACAGGAAGAAGCAATACCCAATCAACAAACTCATACAACAGATGATTTAGAGGCACAAGAGAACCACCACAACAATGAAGCAAATGAGTTAACCCCATTATTAAGTAAGACAGAAATACCCCACTATTCAATTTTACGAAGTATATTCAAACCAAATTGGGTTCATGTTTTGATTTTATTTTTAATTTTGCTCGTGTCCACTATTTATCTTACACTAAATAATATAGAGAATTCAATTAATGATTCAATAAATATAGAGATTTACAATACAACTTTTGAAAATTTAACTAGACAAGGTGTAAATATAAATGTTCAAGGCTCAATAACTATAGATTATAATAAAATAGAGAACAATTTTGTACAAAAATCAATATTGAAATTGGGGTCTTTTTTAATTGGTGGAATAACTATAACGCTGATTAAGCCAGTACAGATACATGTGAGATTAATTGATGTTGATAGTCCATTCTTGTACTTGTTAGATACTATCCCACCACCAATAGAAGTAGATATAAGACAAGCACATACCACATCTTTGAATTTTTCAAGTGATTGTTCATTAGGAGAAACTCAATTTTTTGAATTTTTGAAGTATTATTATAAATTAGATGGGGATGAAATAAACATGGACGTGAAGATTCATTCAAATCAATCACAAATTCAAGCTTTGAAATTTGTGAAATTTAATATATATGATATTGAAATTAGTGATTTTGTAAGTGTTAATAAAAAGGATTTTAAATTACTACCACTGGTTCTTGAAATTAAGAAAGTTGATATAACTTCTGATCATCCGAATGTTATTGATTTAAGTGTGAATTTACAAGTATCTAATGATTATGGACTAACATTAGATTTAAGTACAATAGAATGGGATCTTTTATTTAAAGATTGTAATGAAGAATTAGTAAAAGTGGGGAAATGGAAAACATTACCAACAAAATTATCACCTCACGAATTAACAAACGTACATGTAATTGGTCAGATTACAGACGTTCCAAGTTGTCTAATGGAAGATTGCATCAACCACGTAAGTCCAATTAACCAGTTGGTACAAAATTACTTGAATGAAAGTCCAATACATTTTGCAATACATTTAAGTGATTATCAAACCACCACTAATTTAGATTGGATATTAAATAGTTTGAAAAGCTTACCACCAATTGAACTTTCAATAAAATTACCTAAAATCAAGATCCCTTTGAACAGTGTGGAATCAAATTCAACAGATATCATCATGAATAATGAAACCAAAGATAATAAAACATTAAGTAAAATATTATCAACTGTCATTAATAATAATTCAACTTTTCAATTTTCAATTCCATCACCATTTGTTGTTGATTTATACAAGTTTAAATTGAATTTTAACGTTGGATGGAAAAATAATTTGTTATTGAGTGCTAAATCTAAAGAATTTGTTTATTCATCTGTGAATCAATTAGAAGAGTCATTAAATGTTGATGTGAACTCATCTGATTTAGATGTTGATCTTATTAATCCAAGTTATATAGGAAAAGCAGTCAATAAATTCATTAATGACAACGATTATGAGTTTTTGATCAATGAAGATATCTATTTGAATGTTAGTTTGACTGATATTGATTTACTGTTGCCTTTAGTCAATAGAACCACCATAAAACATTTGGATATTTCACAGATTAAATTACCTTCAAAATTCGCAAATTTAGCTAATGATTTAAATTTGGTGAATGATTTATTTTTATCACAATTAAATATAACCATAAATGAAGTATACTTATTTGAATCAACACCAAATAGTATTGAATTTTTAGTAGAATTATCCATATACAATCCATTAAATTTATCATTAGAAATACCTAAATACAATCAACAAGAAATTAGCATTGGGTTAAATGTAAATCAAACCAAAGTTGGATCATTAAATTTTAAAGAGCTATTTTTACCAAAAGATGAAAGAACTGATATAATTGCAAACGTCAAATTAGAATATTCAAAACCCTCAGAAAAACAAATATTACAAGATTTTATAAGTAATTTCATAAGTTCGAATTCATCAACTACAACAAGTCAATTAGTAAATATTGGTTCAAATTCAGTTACAAACAACATAGGATTAGATTTATTCCTAAGAGAAATTACAATACCCAATTTAACAATACCAAACATAACATTCAATATTCCTGAGTATAAACCAGCACAGAATGAAGTATCAACAAAAGATTTAAAGATATTCATACTAGACGTAACGATTCACATCATAACATCAGAAATTGAAGTTAAAATCTACAACCCACTAATAAACACAGAACTTAAATTAAACATATTAAGTTCAATTGCAAAGTACGATGATATAATACTTGGGTACTTAGCAAAAACAGAGTATTTAATCATCCCTCCTGGATTCTATACATCACCTAGGATTCCAATAAAGATATATTACGGAGCTTCAATGGATTTACTTAAAAAGAATTTGAATAAGGAACTACAAATTGATCTTATTAGTGAGTTGAACTTGATGATTGATTTATTTGAGTTAAGATTGTTGTACAAGGGGAAAAATTTGGTTTCTAAAGTTAGATTGTAAAGGAATATTTTTTAATGAGTTATGATGACGGTTTTGATAGTTTTAGTTTTGGCTTTGGTTTTTTTGATTTTGCAGTTTTTTAGTTTTTCAGTTTTTCAGTGTTTGTTAGAGTTAGATATTTTTCACAAAGTTAATTATATGGTTTTCAATTTTCGTATTATCTTCCATCCTGTAACTATCTTGTAAATTTAATGAACTGAATTAAATTATTAGGTCTTATTAACTCTATAATTATTCAATCCCTATTTGATCAAATACGAACCCTTTACAAAATAAGCTTTAATTTGACACAAAAAGTGGAACTAATCTAAAAATTTGTTCTAGATCTAAACGGAAAGATCTTTTGTACTGTATATAAGCTTGAGCCGCCGTAGTGTAAATATGCTCAATTTTTAATCTCAACTTTGTCGTTGAAATTTTGTATTAGTTAACTATCGACTGATTATCAATTGTTAAGTAGTATGGTTAATGATATATAGTTGAATAATCAGTGAATATAACATTTGTTAATTCTTGTGTACCTTGCAAAAAAGTTGAAGTATTATTTATTTAATTTGTTGTTTTCATGTATACATATAATAAAAATTATTTCCATTTTTAGAATTCTCTCACAGCCAAAAGAATATTATTTGTTTTTGTTTATTATTATTATTTTTATAGTGTTTTATTGTATGATAATTTTCTTTCTCACTAAATAAAATAATTTTATCAACAAGTAATAATAATTTTTTTTTATTATATTTTAATAGTTCTTTTTTCATTTGTTATTATTGAAAACTATATTTGTTATAATCAATCATTCGTTTTTATCATTTTATTAATTGATACCCAACACCAACTTAAGGTTTTATATTTACAATCGTTTATTTATAGATCTTAACTTACTTACTACTTCACCCGAAAAATTTTCAATTTCAGATCCGACAACAACCACTAAATATAAAAATGGCTTCATTCAATAAAATTACATTCGTTACTTTAATCACATCATTATCAACATTAATTGTTGCTACACCACCAGCATGTCTTTTAGCTTGTGTTGCTCAAGTTGAAAAATCAGACGATTCAAGTTCAGGATTAAATGATTTAAGTTATATTTGTTCAAATAAATCAAATGATATTAAATCTTGTTTAGATTCAATTTGTCCAAATGGTGATGCTGATTCTGCTAAAAAGGCTTTTGATTCTTCTTGTTCTGGTTACAGTCAACAATCATCATCATCAAGTGCTTCTTCATCAAGTGCTTCTTCAAGTGCTTCTTCAAGTGCTTCTTCAAGTGCTTCAGCTTCTTCATCAGTTGCTGCTTCATCATCATCAGCAATTTCAGAATCTTCATCAGCTGCTCCATCATCAGGTTTAGAATCATCATCAGCTGCTCCAAGTTCATCAGCTCCAGCTCCATCTTCTTCATCAGAAGAAGTTGCTTCTTCATCAGTTGTTGAATCATCAGAATCAGGTTCAGGTTCAGCTTCAGGTTCATCAGTAGCTGCTGAATCATCAACTATTGAAACCTCATCAGTTGCAGCTCAAGAAACCAGTGCTGCTGTTCCATCAGTCTCTCAAACTATTGCTGAAGGTTCAGGTTCAAACAATAATATTGGATTAGGTGCTTTGATTGGTTTAGTTGGTGCTGCTTTGTTATAAATAGGTTAAAGTTATAGATAACTAAAAGGCATTATTTAACAAAAAGTTGAAGAAAAGAAGTTACTCGTTGATCTTTTGCTTACTTTGACTAATACTTCGTTCGTTTCATTTTCATTTTATATAGTTTATTTATAAAAAAATATAAAAGCATTAAATTTCGTTTACTATTTGATTGACACTAGAATTTCTCAACATTAGATCTTAAATATAGAGCAGATTCAAAATTCGCAATTTACGAACTAAATGACAGTTTTAGACAGACTAATGAACAATGAGAAGTTGAGGCAATATCATATTATACATTAAAATAATCATAATTAACATAAGATGTGGTGACACTCATAGAATCTCACAATTATTAGTTTTCATGTGATAGTTTTTAGTAAATTCCAAGATAAGAAGAAATCTTTTAATTTCTATATAATAACCCCCTTACATCATCAAATTTTTTGTAGTCGTACGAGGATATTGAATTGACTGCAAAAAGTTGGTGTAAATAGATGAATGAGAAGAGTCAATAATATGGTCAGTCGTGAAGATGATTTATTTGTAAACAGTGATGATGATGATACACTTTCATTTGCTGGATCCCCTTCACCATCACTACAATCTTTCCAAGCAAGAAAGTTGAGACTGAATAAAAGTCCTAGTGCAGAAACATCAACAACTTCATCACAATCATCATTCTTAACTACAAGTTCTCGATCAAGACCTAGAAATGAAATGAATAAAATAGTATATTGTACAGTTCTTGGAGTGAGTTTTTTCATTTTAGCCCTTTATTCATTATTCGATTCCGAATCCAAAACTAATAAAATATGTGGAAGTTTACCTTTCATGATAAGTTTATATTTTTTGTTTGTTTCATTTGCTATTCTATTTGATGTTGATTTAATATATGGTAAAAAATGGTTTTTGAGATTTATTGGCTTAGTATTTTTAAGTGTTGTAGGAACACTGGTTTTCCTTATTTTAGTGCTATTGTTTTGTTGTTGACTAAGTTTATTATGAACAAAAGATTCAAGTTTTGGACCATATTAGAGGTTTACTCAACTGCTTATATTATCAATAGCTAAAGCTTCTAGTTCAGAACCGTTGTCAAAGTTACATTATCTACAATTTCTCAAATCACTAATTATATAATAATTAATCAGGAACTACTCCACAATTGAGTCAAATTTATTTTATAAAGTCCTAATACAAAAAATAAGGAAACCTCAAGACTCTGTTGTTAATTCGTTTTCTTGGATTTCAAATCCATTTATATGCAGGTTTTTGGGTAATAAAATTCGTACGTTGACTATAACAGACTATCATGTTAGTTGCTTTAAAATATATTTCTTTAGAAATATGATCAATTCATGGGACAAAAGATTTACTCTTAAGAGTATCATGACTTGAACATAACAAATATTTTAGTACTTCCGATCTTCATGAACATGTTTCTGACAATAAGTTGTATCTTGCTATAGCTGCTTAAAATTTGATCAGATTCTATAGATCCCATTAACACTTTCGGTGAATATATAGAAGGAGATTTCTCAGCATTAATTTGTTTCTGAGGTAATCAAAAAGCTGGTTGAAATTTCAACTTTAAGTACATTTAATACTCAAATGGCGGAAGAGCATATAGTTGACGATCAATTTGATTCGAACCTTAGCAATGAATTTCAGGCAAAATCGATTATAGATTCACCACCGCCACCGTTTCCTCCAGTCAAACTTAAACTTGAAAAGCTTGAAATTGGAAACAAAAGTGAAACTTCTCAGTCACATTCTACAAACTTTAGTGAATCTCGAGAAAATAAAATTCAAGAACAAATCAACAAAGTAGATGAGACCAAAACTGTTTACGTCAATAATAAAAAAAGTACTGGAAAAATTATCAGTTGTATAGTGATTGGTTTAGCATTTTTACTTATTGGCTTATGTTTAACTCTAATTGCTGAAGATAATATAACTAATATCTGTGGAGTTTTACCATTACTGATGAGTATTTATATTTTATTTATATGTTGTCTTGTTGTTTTTGAGGTTGATATTATAGTTGGTCCCAGAATATTCTTAAAGTATATGGGGTTGGTGTTTTTGGTTTTTATGATTTTTCTGGTTGGCCTTGTCTTGTTGCAAATTTTAATGATTGACAATTTGAAAAAAACTTAATAATTATACACTTATAGTTTTAGATTTGATAATATGCAGGTTTGGATAACATTCATGCATGAGTATACTTTCTCATTTGACAATCAAAATGGAGCGTCTAGACTAAAAAGACTAATAGGATTAATGTATATTCTTCAGAAAAAATTCATATCATAACTCTCGTAGCTCAATGTCGAGTTTATAGGATACTAGCGTCAATTAGGTATTAATTGGACCAGATTTGAAGCAAAAAGCGTAAAATTCTTCATACTTTATCAACAATTAATGGTTTTTTTTTTTTAATAACAAGTCTCAATTTACAATACTTGTTCAGACTTATTCTGAGTTTCATTTTTTAGCAAAGATTAGCATAAAGATGTAAATAATGTATTCTGTATAAAATCCATATATTAATTATCAATACTGACTTGCATTTTTGAGAAATGCCTTGTGGGTTGCAGACTAGTGTTTTATTAAAAAGGGATAAGAACCAAGAGTTTGGATATTACATCAGATTGACATTAACAAGCAGTGAAGAAACGAAATCCTCTAAGACACCACCACCATTGCCACGGAATAAGTCCAGAATCGGAGAACCTAGCGAAGTACCTCCATCACCAAACAAATCCAACAAGTTATTGGCCCTCAACGAAACTAACGTTCTTACCACAAACACCCTACTTATCAAGAACGAAGAGATTCAGAACCAAAATTTTATCATGATTCTTTAGAGAAAAGAAGATAAAAAACTAAGGTGCATAAACTTTTTTCATGCGAGTTCATATCACTGATTTTTTAGGGAATTCTTTACTTTTCATTTTTGTATCCGATAAGTTTATAGATAGTAGTGGAAAACAATCATTACAGATTGGCTTGTATTTGTTTCATGTTTTGTTCACATTTGAAGTTAATGCTATTTATCATACGGTGAAAATTGGTTTCATAAACTTGTCGGGGCCGTTTTTTTGGCTGCTTTTTGTTTATTGGTCATAGCCACTTTAAAAAAGGTTTAATTAATGAATAACACAGGAGTTAAAAATGCTTTAGTAGATGGTTTTGAGAAAGAAATAAGAGAGAAGACTACTAGACAAACTAGTGGGAGCACCTGATTTTTTTGTAATTAATATCATGAATAACATGGCTTTTTTAAATATTGCCCAATGACGTATTGGTTTTGAACCATAACCATTATAGTCATTTTGGTGCATTTATTTTTTATCTACGGCTCAAATTAATAATAAATAATTATATAAATAACCCCCTAAAATCTCAACGATTTTCGATGCTAAGAAAATAAAATTTACGAGATATTTTGACACATTTTTATAATTTCATTTTTTATAATTAATTTGAATTAATTTATTTATTCCATAACTTCTAATCAATTTACTTAAGTTTCACTCGGCTCACTTTATATAACTACAATTTTCAAATATGACAGATTATAAACCTATCAATCATTCAAAACCTCAAATAAATGATGACGACCTTTTCACCAATAATAATAATAACATCAATGATTCCGATCCATATTTTGCTACTCCACCACCACCTTTTCCACCAAATATTGAATTAGGTAACATGAATGAGAACACATCATCCCAAGCACAACAAGATAAGCAAGACCGAAATACTTCACGTCCAGGAGAATGTACTCCAGATATGTGTAGAGTTGGATTTTGTATGGGAGTAGGTCTTGCCCTTTTATTTATTTCTAGTATTCTTATTACAGCAGGAGATACTAAATTAGTTAAAATATCAGGTATAATAGGTTTATTCTTAAGTGTATTTTTAATATTTGTTGCTGGTTGTATTGTATTTGATGTTCACACTGTTTATGGTCAAGAAAAATTTCTCAAATTTGTTGGACTTGGTTTGGTGGGTACTGTTATTATCCTGATTGTTACAATGATTATAACTTATTCTTTACTATGATATTTGATAGAATTCTAAAATGCATAGATGAACGTTCTACGCTGATACAGCAATATAGATTTATAGACCAGAATAGCATAAATGAATGACCAATCTAGTTTTTATAATTGTATTAAATGATCGTATAAATAAGAAACATCCTTGTTCGTGATGACATGTTCTCCATTGTACAAGCCAAGAACAATGAGCCGGGTAAAAAACCTTTTTATGATCATTCATTGTTACAACATTTAGATACGGCTCAAAAATCTCATAGTTAAACAGCCCCCTAAAATGACTAAAACTTTATTAACGCAAATTTAGCGAATTTGATCCAAAATATTGAAAGTCCCTTTCCTAGATTTTGTTTCAGTTACTTATTGAAAATAATATCAACTGTACAATTTATTAGTCAAGATTCAAAAATGACAGATTATAAACCGATAAATCACTCAAATCCACATACAAATGACGAAAATTTAATAAATGAAAATCAAAACATTAATGAACCAGATCCATATTATGCAACCCCACCACCACCTTTCCCACCAAATTCAATTGAAATGAATAATATAGAAGAGAATAATCCAACACAAGTAGAGCAAGATCTTGAGGATCAAAAAAAACAGAAAAAAGGTGATGAATGTGGACCAGATGCTGGAAAGATTATATTTTGTATGTTAGTAGGACTTGCGTTACTATTTGTTTCAATGTTATTTCTTGGCACTTCTATTGATTTGAAAAAGCCATTGATGTTTAGTGGTATACTAGGAATGTTTCTAGGGTTATTTTTAGTTTTCGTTGGTGGATGTATTATCTTCAGAGTTCATATTATATTTGGAGAAAGACAATTTTTAAAATTTATTGGATTTGGATTACTTGGTGTTATTTTTCTTCTGATTGCCTCAACTTTACTTTTCCCATCTAACTAATGATGTCTTTATGTACTATGTCAATAGTGAATTTCACTAAACAAATTTACAAGGTTTTGATACATAAACTTTCATAATTTTAAGTTTAATAGTATGGTATATTCCTCAATTAATAATTTATATTTGATTCTGATAAAGTATAATTTACAAAGCTTACTAGTTATGAAGAACTAAAAGACGGTTGATGAAGCAGAAGTTGGAGCAGGTAATGGAACAGGTAATGGAACAGGTTATGGAACAGGTTCAAGTCCAAAAGAAAAAACACTCACAATCACATCATGTAATGAAGGTCACTGTTCAGCTGCTACAACTCTTGTTACAGGATTAACCACAAGTACTGAAGCAGATACTACTTATACAATTTATTGCCCTGAAAAAGAAACCATTGAGGCTGCATCAAATTAAAAACGGTCGTTACAATTACGTCATGTTCTCAAGGTCGTTGTACTCCAATCTCAATTTTTACTATTTGTGTAACAACAATGACAAATGATTTTACAACATATACAACTTATTGTCCATTATCAAGTGAATATGAAATAAGTTGTGGTACTAGTGTTTCAGAAGGCTCAACATACGTTTATACTTCAGGCTATAAATATTTTTTAGAATTAAAAACAATCTACACCACTTATTTCCCATTGAGTGTTCCAACTACCATTATTGAATCACCTGAAGGTGGTATTGTTCATATATATACAACTGGTTATAATATTGTTACTAAAGGAGCAAAAACATATACTACATATTGTTCTACTGAAGTCCCAACTACAATTACTGAACCAACAGCTGCAGGTGGTGAAGTTCATACTTTTACAACTGGTTGATCAGTTGTTACCAAATCTGCTATTGGAGATACTTCATATGTGTCTTGGACACCAGCACCAACTGTTGCTGCTGAATCAAATTCAGGATCAACTGTAAATGAATCACACGAATCAGGAGTTATTTTCGTTCATGAAGGTTCAGGTTCTGGATTAAGATTCTCATTATTAGCTGGTTTAATATCATTTATTGGTGCTTTATTTAGGTTCAAGTTGCTTTCAAATTTCGTTACTTTTTATTTATAAAAATTTTATAACGGTTATCAATCTCTTTATTATATTAGTTCAATTCTTTTGTTCACAAGCTGATTTCGCCAATTTCAAGTTCTTTTGCAGTTTTCTTTTATTCTATTCACATTGGTTCCATTTATGATAAAAAATTATATTCGGTATAGATAGTCTAGTATAAAATGGTTCTCATTTTTTAGTTCAATAGCATGTTTTTACTTTGTAAGCTCATTAATTTTCCTATCACTTTCACTTGTAGCTGTTGCAAAAAAGTTTTAATACATTTAATTAAACTGGTCAACGCTAAATTTGTAATTGATGTTTACAAATTTTTTGAGCAATTATCTAATTATAATGGTGACTCGATATAAAGTTAGTGATTCATACATACCCCAAACAATTCTAAATTATACAAATTTATCAAGCTATTTAACTATGTAATCAAACTAAACAATCAACTATATAAATCCAAATTCTAACTTAATTCCTTTTTACTGATTATCAATTATGAACACTATTAAATGCTAGCAAGTAGGCAGAATAAATAAGATCTTTTTATTTCATCAAGACCACATGAAGCTCCAAAATCAATCAAACTCATCAAACCACAAAGTCCAATGCTTAAATTGTGTTTGACCAATTTTAAATAAATTCCAAATATTAATCTAGCAACGCATGATTAATTTGATGCCTATAATTTTTACAGTTAGTAATAAATATAATGAAATCCATCCTGTACCCACTATTGTGTTCAATGTTGTACATCAAATATTCTTCTACTTTTATCCATACTTTTTTCTGCTTAATTTGATGATCACTAGAATATTGATGTTAGTAGTATACCTGATGAATTAAATTAAGGTGCCTCTACACGTAGAACACCAAATTAACCACTTTGATAATTAGCAAATAGCGGATACCTGCAATTTACCAAAATAAAATCTAACAAAAGTTAGGACAGTTGGGTTTTACAGTGTGGTAAATCTCATTGGTCTGAAACTTGCAGCAGTCAAAACAAAATTTATTGTATCTCTGACTCCAAATCCTACTTGGCTTGCATTAATTATGTTCATAATGTATTGAAATCAGTACGCATCTGGACTAAAAAGTGGCAGTTAGTAATTTTTTTTATAATTTATAAATTTGAATTAGTTAATATAATTATGTATATTAGCATTTCATATAGTAAGCCAAATAAGATTGTTGATATATTATATTGAATTGAATATATGTTGTTATAGTTTGCTTATGAATTTAAAGTAGAAAAGAATGTAATTCAAAAAAAGTTTTTTAAATATCAGGAAATCGATCTATATTTAGTAAAAAAAATTAGTTGCAAATTATTTTGATATGACAATTTTTTGGTTGCAAAAAAAAATAAAATTAATATTGATTGTCTCAAAATATACAAAAGTGATTCGACACAAAATATTAATTTCACTACAAAGCATTTAAATGCTTACATTACGGTCATGAAGCTATGATACTAATTTCATTAATTCACTCACTATTAGAGATTTTTGCTTTCAAAATAATTGAATACTAACATCAGTTTAATAAGGTTGTTTTTGATTTGTTTGGGTGTTTTCACTTCATTTGTTACATCAAACTCATAGCTCCTGACGAAGGTGATTTTCTAACTATTTTGATAAATTTCTTATCGAATCATTATTAACTTTCAATGGTGGTTTTATTTCAGGGTTTATATTATTTTAGGAGCGGTAAGATTTTTGAGATTTAACTATTTTGGGTTGCTTGTAGTTATTGTTTTACTTATTGGAACTACATTATGTCCCACTTAAAGTTTTTAGAGTTTCATGTTTGAACTAATATGCCATTAAGTTCTACAAAATATATTTATAATAAAAAAAACTCTAGAATTGTGTATTTGAATACCTCATTCTTTATCAATAACCAACCTCCCATTACACCAAACTTTTATAGTATTACGATCATCACCACTGAAAATCCATTTCCCCAATAAATCATTAATTTTCTTTAAATTGTCTTCTTCTTTGGTATCATTTGGTAAATGCCAATCAAATATATCAATATTTGAACCAGAACTTGATAAATCAATTAATTGAGCATCGAATTTTTTACCAACTTTAAATGATCCTATTTTATCTTGTAAACCAACTGCTTTTGCACCACCCATTGTTGACATATACAAAGCATTTGATAAATTTAATCTTATGTCCTCTTTATTTGTAGGGTTTTTCATTGATAAATGATGACTTACTAAAATTGAGGATTTTATCATCTGTAAAATATTCGAATCAAATCCCCCACTTACATCAGTTCCTAATGAAACATTTATCTTATATTTATGTAAATAATCATGTATTGGAGCTTCACCACTTGATATAAAAGTATTTGATGTAGGACAATGAGATATAGAACATTGCTTCTCTGATATTAATTTTGATTCCTCGTTTGTTAAATGTACTGCATGAGCTAAAATTGTTTTATTATTCAATAATCCTGATTCATTATAAACTGCTGCGTAACCATCACAATTTGGAAATAATTTTTTGACTAGTTTTATTTCTTCTAAATTTTCACTTATATGAGTTTGAATAGGTAAATTATATTTTTCACTCATTGAACCTAAAGTATTCAATAAATCTGGTGAACAAACAGGTGCAAATCTTGGAGTTACTATAGGTTTTATTAAATTTTCATTTTTAGGATTTAATTTATCACAATATGATATCAAATCAGTCATTGATTTAATACAATCTTGTTCGGATTCTTGATATTCTTCATACACATCATTGTGATCCATACAAACCTTACCAACAAATCCTCTTTGACCATATTGTAATAATAACTCAGCAAATAATTTTGTTGTATCCAAATCAATAGTTGTGAAATATGATGCACATGTTGTACCATTTTGTAATGTTCTCTTGATGACTTTTGAATATATTGATTTTGCAAATTCTATTTTAGTTGTTGGTGATTGAAATTCATTTTCTACTGGGTATGTATATTCTTTTAACCAATCCAATAATGGCACTCCTAAACCTACCCCAATGTTTGGATATTGTGATGCATGAATGTGAGTATCAACAAAACCTGGGAAGAAAAATTTAGTAAAGTCTTTTGAATGATTTATGAATTTGATATCTTTAGTATCAATCTTGCTACTCTTTGATTCGTTTCTCTCATTTATGAAAATTTGTTTTAAATCTTCTTCGCTTGTTACATCCTTTATATCATTTTTATAAATAAAGTCTATTTCTCCGTTTGAATCAACTCCAACAAATGTGTTCAACTTAATATCAAGGTTTGATAAATCTGGGGTATGAATAAATGTTCCATAGAATAATGTATATTGTATTGAATCTATAGCTTTTGGGGTAGGTGAAGCCGTTGATGTTGGCATGATTTGATCAGTTGACAGTTTGGAATATTTAAAAATGTTGTATAGTATGTTTAGTTTTTTATCAAGAAAAGTATGGGGAAATCTAATTGATTTTATAAAAAAGTTTATGTTTACTTTTCTTTATCTAATTTACTCTGTTCCGCTGGAGATTCCGTTTCAAAGATTTATCTAAAACTTTTATCTAAACATTTAAAATAATCGATGAACTGCTCAAAATAATTGAAATAATATATACGGAGATGAAGAAAGTGAAAGAGATAGATTGGCTTTGTTCGTGGAAACAACGCTCGTAGTAAATAGCGTGAGAAATGATTTTGTTTTTGATTAAAAACTTTATATATTAGTTCACTTATTCGTATACTCAAATTTTGTATATCTTTTTTCGTTTCAAATTCATTTCAGCTTTTGCAACTTAAAACTTCAACCTAAAATGAACTTTCAATCAAATTCCAAAATTATTTTTGAATTTATCGTGGAATATTAGAGTTTTTCAAATCACTTCTATACCCCGAGAATTTAAGGATTTTTGACAATGACCACTCCCTTTTTTGACTCATCTCTAATAATAAATTCAGATTCGGGCTTTACCAGAAAAGCCTTTTCCAAGCATTTGAACACCAAATAATTCCAGGCCATGAATAGGTAGTTGATGCAAATTATGGCTAAAAATGGCTCACGAGGAGATCCAAATCCACAAAATAGATACACTTGAATCATATTCAACATCAGAAGAACAACATACTTTACCAAATTCTTTTTCTTGTCCATAGGTAAGCGAATTGTTGCTAAAATATTATACATTTTCTGATCTTCTTTCACAATTTTTGAAGTACAACTGCTGCTTGTACTAGCGTCGGTTGTTAATGACAAAGACAGTCCTGATGACCGTAAAGGAACAGTAGATGAAGTTTGGTATGAGCCTGGTGAGCCTGGCTTTGAGGAATTAAGACAATATGTTGAACACATCGTCCTTAAGATATTAATTGATCGGATTGAGTTAATCAGCGGCAAGACGTAATTCTATATATGTCATTATTTTGTAATTTTGATACATTCTACACAGACAAGTTCACAAAAGTTTTCAAGGAAAGGATAAGCTTACCCCTTAAATATTTGTATATTACAGATTTCAAAAGGTGTCACTTTTTGATGTATTTTAAAACCTTTCTTTCCTATTGTACGTATGGTCAATTTCTACATTGACTCTCACACTCAGCGATGAACTTCGTATATCATGGATCAACTCATGGGAACAACAAAATTGTTAGAAAACCTACTTTAACTCCTCAGCATTCATTGAATAGTGATCAAGCTCGTAGCAAATTCCAAATTGCTAGTCTAAGAACCATTTGTTAATCTGATTTAGATTTTTAACGGTATTCAGCGAGCTTCATTTATGACAACTTCTCATTTCCCATTTTAAGCGTTTTTTTTGCACGATACTGCTTTCAAACTTCAAAGTCAGCTTTGAATTTGTTTATAGTTTTCGATAAAAAATAAAGTTAAATTCATACAATTGTAACTATACATTCACAACCTATATTATCATTAGTTAAACTTACGTAAAGAACAAAGTAGTTTCGTATTTTTCCTTCAATTGATTCCATAAGGCAAAGCGATTTTGTAAATTCATGAACCCAATATATCGAAAGGTAAATTTTGTCCCGTTAATGAGAGTGTGTTATCACTATAACAATGAAGATCAAATCATTGATATACAAATTATTAATTAAAATTCCATGATTTTTTAATTTATCTGCCATGCTTGACTCTATATTTGAACCCACAATTGCAGTTCTTAGTTGCAAAATTAGTGTTCTTCCAAGAAGTATTCCAATAAGTCACATTAGCCATTTTGAGGAATTCAATAAGGGCCACAATCAAAATGCAAACATAAAAAAACCCACCAATGTGTTTCTGTAACCTAAATACTATTGTACCAGTGATGAAAAATAAAAATAATGATGAATAGAATAAAATTTTAACAAATTCTTGATATTCTTGTTTCAAATCTTTTAAATCCAATAAACCTAATGATGTTATTAAAAAAAGTATGCCTAATGCAAAAGTGAATATGCCTTTAACGAATTCTTCTGGTTCATAATTTGTCAGTTCTAAAAAATTATTATTCTTAGTTTGTGTTGGAGCAGGCTCTGAAGCTTTTGAAGATGAGGCAGTAAATGGAGTTGAAGGGACTGATGAAGTACTTGGCGTAGATTTTGATGAATTTAATTTTGTATGTAAATCCTTATCTTGATTTTGTGCTAAATTTTGATTTATTTCCAGATGTTCTGAAGTGGTAGATGGACTGATAGGTGTTGTGATATTGTTCTCATTGTCTGAATCTGTGAAATTTAACTCTGTAAAAGATAAACTTTCATCCATCTTGACCAATTGCTTGTTAATTGCAATTAAATGAAGGTGGCAATACTAACTTGATTATTGTGTCCTTAAAATTATTATCCCTGAAATTCAAAATTCTTATCTTTTTGATCTTGTGTAAACTTTTATACTATGAAACAAACTGCAATTGAATTCTTGGAATCAAAAAATTTACCATATTCAAATAAATATTTCCGAAATCAGGAACAGTCTGTATTTTAGGAATGTGAAATAGAGCTGACTGCGACTAAAGATAAACAAAAACTTTATAGTTTGTGTTATTAAAAAATTTACTACAATTTTATTTCGAAATACGTTAAAATAGTACCAACCATCGGTGACTGACCTTGAAATTTAATATAACGTTTCATTTAAAATTTGATTTTGATTATGCTTTGTACTTTTCGAATATGATATTTTAAGAATGTCAAAAAGATTATCAGAGAAAGTACAATAGAAATAATTAAAAATTTTGAAATATTTATTAGAATTGTAATAATAAAAAAAAGCAAAGTCAATATAAACAATTATACAACAATAAAAAATCTTCAGAATCCCATAAGTAAATAATAACATCTATTCCCCAAAGTTGGCCAGACTTGAAAAATATATATACCACTTATATTGATAAATCTTTTTTTAATTTATTTCTGAAAATTCTTCTATTTTTATTATTTATTGTTTCTTGTTCTAAATATACTTCAACATTGTTACCATAATAATTTTGAACTTGTTGTAATTGAGTATCTTCAATGTTTTTTTTGTTAGTTGGATCTGATTTTTTATATTCCCAATTAAGTACTTCTGTCAAGAATTTTAGTATTGTTTGTGAATCTGATTCTTCACAATTTTTCTTTTCTAAATTGTAATGTAAATTGATTTTGTTCTTTAAACATCCTTTAATTGGAGGTTCCTTTTTATTTTTATTTTTCTTAAATGACTTTTTAAATTTTGCATGTTTGTGGGAACCACTTGAATATATTTTGTATAAGCAGTAATCTAATTCTTCTTGAGTTAGTTGTTCTTGTTTTAATGTTTCTGCAATTGATGAAATATCAATATTATTATTGGTTGTTTTTGCAATTTTTATTTTATTTAAAACGTATTTTTCAACATGTTTTGGGATATTTTCTGTTTCTTTACCTTTGGTTGTACCATATTTAATGAAGTTTTTAAATTTTTCTAATTTACCTAAATTTTTTTGATTAGGTTTTATTGGATTATGAATGAATTGAATAACTTTATCTGTTTTGTGAGGAGAATTGTTTAAATTTGAAAATGATGCTGCTGATGATGATGATGAAGTAACTGTAGCTGAATCAGTAATGTGTTGATCTAAAAAGTGAACAAAATCACTGAAATATTGAATTTGGAAGTCGTCTTCTTTAGTTACATCAGTAGCTTGATTAAAATTATGAATAAATTCTGTGAAATATTGAATTTGGAGGTCTTTTTCTTTAGTTACATCAATAACTTGATTAAAATTATGAATAAATTCTGTGAAATATTGAATTTGGAAGTCTTTTTCTTTAGTTACACCAGTAACTTGATTAAAATTATGAATAAATTCTGTAAAATATCTAAATTGTAAATTATATGATAAGTCAGTTTTATCTTTACATTGATCTTCTAATTCAGTTTGGTTTTCTAATTCTGATTGTTTTTTTAATTCTTTAAAAAATTGAGTTTTAGAAATTTGTAAATTTTCTAATTGTTTAAAAATGGCTCTACTAAAATAAGCAGGTTTAAAAATACCAATTTTTGTAAAATTATGTTGTTGATGAGCTTTAACTTCAATTAATGATTCTTTTGATTGGGTTTTTGAAACAGATGGTGAGGTTGGTGATGGGTAATCAAATGAAGTATCTTTTTCAATATTTTCTTGAACTTGAATATTTGAGGACATTTCAAAAAAATTGAAGTTGATTGAGTTAAAGGTTGATTAAACGATTTAAAGATCTTGTTTATAGATTTGTTATTAATTAAAGTAATTGATTGATTAAGATTTTGGTAATTTAAACTCGTCTGGATTGGAATTTAAATTGAAGTTGAAATGAATTGGTTGTAAATAAAAAAGTGGGAATTTTGATATGTTTTGCAACCAAAATAAATAAATAAATAAAATATAATTAATGGTTGTGCAAGGCACAAAATTGTTTGTATGTGATTTTCATTTTGTTAATAAAAGTTTAAAATTAGTGATTGATTTGATCTAATTGTAAATTGACTTACAACTTATGAAAGCTGAATTGAGCTTATGTTCAATTGAACAGTAAAGTAATCAAATTTTTGAATAAAAGAAAAATAAATGGGTAAATGAACAATCGTACACTTAACTGACATTTATTATAATTAATTACTTCTCGTGATACTACTAATAGAGCAATAAGATATATTTGTTTCAAATATTTATAATTTTTTTAATTGATCATGTATCATTTTGCATTTTTCTACAATCTGAAATAGTATTTATGTTATACTTCTACTATAGTCTTTACTCTCTTCAATTCTACAATTTGGTTTGCAAAATAGGTCGAATGATCCTAACTATACTGATTTGAAATATTTATATACTAACAATATATTTTACGCGCGCTAAATAGAACTTTATACAAGATCTAAATATATATATGAGTAGTGTAATTAATTCCAAAATTGACATAATTTACACTACCACTAATAATAACAAAAAAAATCAATAAAAAAAAATAGGGTTAAATTAATTTCCCTTTATTTTTTTTTTGTATTTTTTAATTATTTTAATATCTTTAATTTATTTTCATTTAACGTGTTTATAATAATTTCTTAATTAAACTAAATCGATTGGGATCAAATCTTTTATTTCAATCTCATTATTTTGATCATGTAAGTACTATATTTATAAAAATATAATTTTGACAGATACTCTAGAAACTTCTTACACTTATATATTAAATCATGTTTAATTATATTATTTTCACTCAAATTCAGTAACCACTTTATACTCTATAATAAATAATAAATAATAATTATATTATCGTAAATAATAATTAAAAGTAAAACAAATAAATTTATATTTGGAACACTCACAAAAACTAAATGTAAGACAAAGATTTACTTAGTGAATAAAGATCTAATAACAATTCTTACAATCGATAGACTATTGAATTTTCACAAAATATTAGGAAATAATAAGTAGTTTGTTAAGTTTATCTATTCAATTTTAAAGATGAAAAATTGAATGATAGTCTACTTCAGTTTCATTGAATTATAAATTATTTGAATTTAACGCAAAAATAAATTTAAAACCAGCATTTTAATTAAATAGAATAGAAAATAAATAAAACTTTACCATAATATGCATTTAAATAATTCTATACATTAACAATGTATGTATATAGAATATCATTGACATCAATCATCAAGAGTAGAATTTTAATATGATTCACTAGTAATAGACAGTTTATTAAATTGAAGATACCCTACCCCGTCTCTTATAATTCTTATTATTATATAATAAATTATTATATAGATTTTAAAATTATAATAATAATAATCATAATAATAATGAATTAATCATAACAAAATAATAATTAGTAAATATTCTATATTACTTACATAAAAATTGATAGTATTCTCAACCCAACAATAACAACAACAATAGTTACTATTCTTATTACTATTCTTAATTTATATCTATTATTATTTCTTAAAATTCAATTGTTATTAATTTACATAGAATATCTTACTTAAGATCTCAATTAAGAATAAGTATGTACATCTAATATATATTTAGTGGTTAATAGTTAATAGTCAATGATTGATAGTTTAATGATTAAGAGTTAAAGAAAATAAAAAACGTTTAATTTTTATTTAAAAAATAAAAATAATTAAAAATTTTAAAACTTTTTTTTTTTTAATTTTTTTTAAATTTTTCTTTCTTTTCTTTTATAAAATTTTGACAACCAAATATATTTTCATTTTGTCATAAACTTTTATTATTATCATTAATCATTTATATCATTTCAATTTACTTTATCAACATCACAAATTATTATATTTATCTATTGCATTTATTCATCATCTAATTTTTTTTTTATATTCCAATTTAATATTCCTCCACTTTTCAATTTAATCAAATTCCATTAGTAACAAAACCGAATTAGAAAAATTAAAATATAATAGGGAGTTTTTTTATTTATTTTTACAACCATCAATTAAGAATTTAAGAATTAGAGTCGTAAATATATTCAAATATAATCTATATAATTATTCAGAATCAATTGAATATTCTATTGGAGTTATTTTTCACAACGATAAATTATAAATAACGCGTTATATCTTACATCTGAATCGCCATCAATTTTCTAATTACACTTTAGATCCAATTATCAACATACTTAAATAATTAATATACTACAAGTATAAATCCATACACAAAAGAATTAGACAAATAATAGAATATAAAGTGATCAAGTTCTCAATTCAACCGAATAGGGATTAATTTGTTTAAAATTATATTTGATTTTAATTTATATTATCAACATTGAAAAAAAAAGCATCTATTCTTTCACTATATTTTGTATTATATAAACCAGACTAAACCCCAAAAACCACATTAACAACTATTCATTTACATATATTCAATTCAGCATTATAAATTTAGAATTAATTTTATTAAATAACATTTATTCATAGTCATTTTATACTTTTTTCCAATTAACAAAATTCAATACAAACAATAAATTTTTCAAGATATACTTAGCATCAAAATGTATAACAATAGCAACAATATAAGCAACAACAATAACAATAATAATCATACTGGTCAGAATAATACACCAAATACAAATGGTCAATTTAATCATTCACAATTACAAGGACCTCATTCTTCATCATCTTCATCATCCAATGTACCTCAATCTAATTCTCAAACTACAAATCTACCTCCAGGTTTGACTCATACATCGTCATTTAATAATCAACAACAACAACACCCACCACAACAGCTGCAGCAACAGCTACAGAATGCACAAAATCAGTTTACACAACAAAATTTACAGCATCATCAGCAACACCAACAACCACCTCAACCTCAACCTCAACCTCAACCTCAGCAACCTTTACATTCTCATGTTCCAACTTCACCAACAACTGGGTTGTTAAAAATAACCAATTTTCCAAGAGATTTGACAAGAAGAGAGGCTACTTTAATATTTGCATTAGTCATTGATGAAGTTCTAAGTATTGATGTTAATGAATATCAAATATTGGCATTATTCAAAAATATACATACTTGTATAACAACTGGTAAATTATTGGATGGACAACAAATATTTGGTCATGAATATGCTCCAATTAAAGTTGAATTTGATAATAATACTCAAATTAACTCATCAACAAATTTTAATCATACACAAGCAGCTTTTAATTCATTAACTATATCTCCTAATGTTAATAATATTTCACCACCAAATAGAATTAATCCACCACCATTATCTCATAATCAATTACCATCTCAACAACATCAACCACAAAGTACTATTGGTTCTAGTGGTGGTAATATACCAATTGCTCCATTTGATGTATTACAAAAGAGACAATCTGTTAATAATCCGAGATCAAGATTTATATTTAGTGATCCATTTCAACTGGATCAATCACAACAACATCAACAACAACTGCTGCAACAACAGCAACAGCAACAACCGCAATTACAACAGCAGCAGCAGCACCAACAACAACAACAACAACAGCAAAGTCCACCTTCTTCATCACAACAACAGCAACATCAGCCAATGAGTTCTAAACAATATTCTAATCAGGTACCTCCACACTTGGTAAATGATCCCCGATCATCTACTAAAGGTCCAACTTCAAATTCAATTGATTATTCAGAGATGACTGGTAAATCCATACTATTAATGGAATCACAAAATGATGCAAGAGATTATGAGAATTTAGTACGTGACCCATGGATGCCTAATCAAATTTTACAAAATTCAAATCAAAATAATTTAGATTCATCAACTCAAAGTCCAAATATTTTAGCTAATTCAGATTGGAATACAAGTCAAATGATTACTCATAATTTAAATTCAGCAGGTTTAAATCTGAATGGATCAAATTTTGTTTTGCAACAACCACCTGATCGTAGAAGAACTTCATCTGCTTTTTTTAATCCAAATCAACCTCAACTACTGTCATTACAACAACAACAACAACAGCAACAACAACAGCAACAGCAACAACAACAATCTTCTCAATCCCAACAACCTATTTCACAACAGCAACAAGTTCCACCGTTACATAGTGCATCAAGCATTGCTCCAAATAGTGCAACTACTCCTAATTTAAATTTGAGAACCTCTTTATCACAACCATCTGGTCAATTCCCACAACAACTACAAAAAAGAACTTCATCACCGCCACAAATTAATTCTAGTCCAACTGCAAGATCAAACCCACAATCTTTATCATCATCACAACAACAATCTTCAAAAGATATACCTGATTTATCATTATTAGCAAGAGTTCCACCACCTGCAAACCCAGCTGATCAAAATCCTCCATGTAATACATTGTATGTTGGAAATTTACCACCAGATGCAACTGAAGCAGAACTACGTACATTATTTGTTCCTCAAAAGGGTTTTAGAAGATTATCATTTAGAACTAAAAATCAACCATTAACTAATGGATCAACTAATGGAAATAATGGGTCCTTATCATCAACAACTCCAACTGGATCATTAACTATGAATCATAATCATGGACCAATGTGTTTTGTTGAATTTGAAGATGTTGCTCATGCAACTAGAGCATTGGCTGAATTATATGGAAGAGCATTACCTAGAAATAATAATGGTTTGAATTCAAATAATAATGTTGGTGGTTCAAATTCATCAAATTTACATAGTGGGAAAGGAGGAATTAGATTATCATTTTCTAAAAATCCGTTAGGTGTTAGAGGACCAGCAAGAAAATATTAAGTTCAGATTTTAAAGTGTTTATGTTCAATTTTTGTTTTACTTTTTTCAATTCACCAATTTAAAGGATATAATGTTTTTTTCCTGATAATAATTTCAATAATTTTTTTTTTTGATTCTTTTAATTTGTTTTATATAATTAATATTTACAATTTTTACATTATTGATTACCTTTATATATGTATGTACAATTTTAATAAAATTTAAATTTTCCGGTATTTTTTGATTTAAACATGAGTAAATTTCAAATGTAACCCTGATATAAACCATTGTCACCTTCAGTATCTTATAAATGCTCAAATTAATCTGGTTTATGTTGTTACTGTTATTCTAAAAATTAAATTAATATTTCAATATCAATTAATCTATCAACTCTTTTCTTATCGAGAAAATCTAAATTTATTAAACCCCACATAAAACTACTCTACAGCATCAAAACCCAAAAAATGTCATTACAAACACAACAAGATCCACCAAAAGTTCTACGAATCAAGAGAAAAAGAGGCCAAGATCCGTTACAAGCATTAATTCTAGAAGATACAAGATCAATTAAAAAATCAAAACCATCAACTCCAATATCATCACCAAAAAGACCATCATCACCTATTAACTATTTAAATAATGGGATTGATACAACACCTTCAAAAAGACATCCTATAGATCAATTTCAACAAAGACAAAAACAAAATGAAAATTTAAATTATTTATTTAAACTTTCTAAAACTGAAGATGATTTAAAAAATTATAATAATAATGAAACTATTTTAAATTCTGTATTATCTGAAACAAGTTCAAGTTCTCAATTTACTTCAAAATCTGATACAAATAAAGTCAAGGATTCAAAAATACCCACTCATGGATCAGCATTCAAAAGAAGATTCGTCATACAACCTCAAGGTCAAAAAAGATCAATACCAGAGGATTATGGTCAAGAAATTGGATTATCTAATGAAGTTAGTAGTATGATCAATGATTATGTTTCAAATGAATCAACTTCAAATACAAGACGGAAGAAAAGAGGTGGTAAATCTAATACTCAAATTCAACAAAATATAATTGAACAAATACCAGAGAGTAATCAAATTTCATCAACTCAACCATCATCAACAACTCAAAATGACGAACAATTAGTAGTACAAGAGGACGAAGATGATGACACGTACGTTTACGACGTATATCATCTAATAGATTCAGAACCATTAACAACAGCAAACCACCCTAAAACTCAAATTGGATATATTAGATTCTTTAATGATTTAGATGAAGATGAATCATTTTTATTAACCAATGATTCAGCAGATGATTTAAATAATCCTGATTTAAAAAAACCAAGTATATTAACTGATGATGAAGATTCAAATGCTGAATCATTTTATCAAAATGATTACCCCAGTGATGAAGATTTAGAAGGATTAGAAGAATTAAATAATTCATTTGAAGATGAATTTAATAAATTAAATATAAATAATGAAAAAGAAAATGATGATTATGAATATGAACCACATGATGGAATTGGATTTAATGGTGATGAATATTTTGATTATGGAGATGTTGAAAAATATATGGATTTACAAGAGCAAAATAATTATGAAGATGATGAAGAAGATGATGATGGTTATGATAATGATGAACCAATTAAAAGAAATGAATTTTTTAAAAGTGATCGTGATGATCCTATTGCTATTCATAGAGATAAAATTTTTAATAAATTAGAAAAAATGATTAATGAATGAACGAATATGATAAAATTTTGTAATTTAATAATACATTGTGATAAATTTATAGACTTTATGAAAAAAAATATTTACTTTTCTTAACTTGATTGATATCTAAATTACCTTTCTTTGGTAAATCTAAAATTTGAACAGGTACTAATACTGGTACCAAATGTTTTGGTTTTGGTATGATTTCAGTTTGTGAGGTAGATAAATTTGTATCATATTTAAAGACTTTAGAACCAACAATGTGAAACAACTTTGGATTATTTTTCTTTACCATTTTCAAAATTTCGTGATTTTCTCTTTCCAAAGTCAACTCTTTTAATTCTATGTTTAATTGATCATTAATTTTTCGTTCATTATAATTTGATCTTCTTTTTTTCAAAAATTCAAATAATTCTAAATTTTCATCTTTTTCAAAATAACATAATTGAAACGAATTCATCATTTGTTTCTCAAATCCCAGTTTAACAGTATTCATATAATCAAAAGAATGTAGTTCAATAAATTTTTCTCTCAAAATTGTAGATAATTGTTCAACTTGATCAGGATAAGTCCAATAAGAATCATGAATTGATGTAAAAGTAATACCTTGATTAAAACATTCATTACATGTTAAAAACATATGACTTGCATCCAATGAATGTATAAAATTTGGAGCAATAGCTAGTTCATGTTTTCTTCTATCCATTGATGTTAATTCTGAGGTCTTATACTTCATTATTGATCCAAGTACACCTTTTATTATTTGTTTTGGTAAATTTCTATAAATTTGTATAACGGGAAACCCAGCTGGAGATATCCAATTTATTGGTTCAAAATTTATAGGAGTTTTATACCAATTATTTAAATTTTTCAAATCTGTCATTGATTTCAGTTGTTTCAATTCCAAATAATTAAGTGTTCTTAAATTATAACTTGTTAATATTCTTCGAATATTTAAAACTAACCAGTCCTCTAAATTTTTTGCATTGTAAAATAATTCATCAATTGAGTTCAAAACCTTTTCAGCCAAATAATTCGTAGTCGTTAATCTAAAATTTTTTAACTGATTTATAGTATCTTGATTATATTTTCTTTTACTTGGATTTTCATAATGATCCGAAACGATATTATTAATGTTTTCTAATATTTGCTTACTTGCTCCATTTAAAGTAACTCCATACACTGTTGTCATAACTGGTCTTTTTACAAGCTTTCTATCCAAAATTTTTAGGAATAACTTTGCATCATCAAGCTTTTTTTCCTCAAGTACTCCTTGTGCAATATCATCTTTTACTTTTTTCTCGACTATATCTCTGATTGTGGAATAAACATCCTGTTTTGTTTCTTCAGGTAATAAATTAACTGCTTTCCCACCATCTTCATCAGCAGCCAACGCAGCATAATGTTGCAATCCGTTACATGAACCGTCTTGATGAATAGGTACTCTACATAAATAATTCTCAATTACTCCACCATTTGCTTGATAATCTAATATTTTTCTAATTTCATAACACAATGACAAAGTTGAAAATGGTTCATCAGCTCTCATCCACCATTTATTAGTAAGTGAATCATTTGCTGAATCTAGTATTTGGTCTTTGTACTTCTCAAAAAACTGTTCACAATCCTCACTTTGATAACCATTTCCAAACATTGCAACTAATTGATATTTAATCCAATAAAATCCGTTATCACCAAGTGGTTGACTAAACCAGAAAGTGAATAACGACCTAGTTAAATCTCCTCCATAATGACTTAAAGGTGATAATGCATAAACTCTACCTCTAAAATCAAACATATATACATGATATAAAATATCTCCATTTGTACCAAATGCATTAGCTAATTGATTTATCATTTCATAATTGAGTCTTAAACTTTTCAATTCAATAGATTTTTTCCTATCTTTTTCATGAATTTCTTTGGGAGGTATATCCAAAAAACCTTGAGGTGATTTCATGATCTGATTGAAAAAATTCAACATATCTGGATTGATACACCAAGCTGTCTGACCCATTTGATCTAAGCATCTTAATCCACTATCTAATTTACCCTGGTAATACAATTTTGTTAAGATTGACTTATGTAGACTATCATTACCACTAACGAATCGTGTTTCTGTATCTAAGAATGCTCCCTTTCTGGTGCCTAGCCAAGGAGAGGGTGGATGTAAAAGTGGGAAATGATGAGTGAAATCATTAATGGTATGTGATATTGAACTCATCAATTTTTGTATGATTGGATTAACCCGTATGACTAATTTCTTCTTATTCTTGGAAAATGTCGTTGCTAAAATAAATGCTAACTGATGATTAGAACTTGAAGAATCATTCACTTTAAAAGTCGTATCAATAACCTCGTGACCATCAATTTCACAATTTCTTAGAACTGAGTCAATCAAAATATTTGAAAATTTATCAAAAGAATTTTCAGACATGAGTTCCAATAACTGAGATTTATAATTTTGGGATTTGATGGACCTAATGTTCTTATTATAATAAAATCTTAGCCTACTCAAAACATCAGCAATAGCTATTTCCTCTTGAATAGACTGACCGATGAATAAATGAACTACCAAAGTTACTAATGATTGAATTGTGAACGTCTCCATCAAAGGCTTGAAGTTACTAAGTATTTTTTCCTCGTCAGTAATTGGGGTATCAAAGCTTATTAAATCACTCAAATATTTTGTACTTTCATCCACCCATTTAATTACCAACTCATGTTGACTTGAAATAAATGAAGCTTGAAGATTTTGAGGATTGATGTCGGACTTAGGTTGCAATTTACTGAGGTTGGACTCCAAATTAGTTTGCTTTATTTGATTGAAAGCCAAATATGCTTCCAAGAATTGTTGCTTCTCAATTTCTGGTAATGTGTCATAAAATTCAAACAAGGGTTCACTTATTACTTTGTTGTTCCATTCAAACTTGTTTTTCAGTATGTATGAACAAGCTTCCCTAAAAGATAGACTACCAAATTCATTCAAGTATGGTTCTATGGAAGCAGTTAAATATGATGTAACTATTTCTCTTGATGAAGGTGTTTCAAGTTGATACAATTCCCCTAAAATTTGTTGCAAACTGATCGGCAACAGATTCTTCAAAACCTGTAAATTAACTTTATACTCATCAGTAATTTGTTTGAAAAGCAGTTTCATTGCCGATTTTATAATTAATGAATCTGAGTCATCATGTATTTTTAATATACCCTCAAGCAAAGTTCTCACATGTGGTTGCAAATCAAAAAAAACGTCGTTCTTCTTGCTGAGGGTCTGTATCATAGAAGCATATTCTTGGACCACATGATTAAGTTTCAGTAAAGACTCCACTCCAGTTTGAATATAAAAATTTATAGTAATTTGTAAGTAATTCAAACGTTCTTCTGTACTCACAGTTTCCGTGGTTTCATTCTTTAATTCTGACAAAACTCCCAGAACGTAATTAGTGTTCTTATTAATAATAGCTTGAGTAAAGTTTGATCTCAAAGATTCTGACTTCTTAGTTAGGTTTGTTAACTCTTTTGCAATATCAAATATTGAATCACCAAAATTAGTTAAATCATTAGGTCTAATGGCTGAAGTTTGTAATTTTGTTAGTGAGGAATTATACCGTCGAAAAATTATTTTGATTATATCATTTTTCATCAATCTTTTCATAGTATCATTTTGAACTTGATGTGAAATGTGTTCATATAGATTTAGTCTAACTTGTTGATAATATATTTGGTTGTCAAAATTTTGCATATTTGGTGTAAAAAATATTTTTCTATTAGTATTCCAAATTAAGTAATTGAGCGGCTCGCGCTTAATTTTTTTGTATCTCCAAATAAATTTTCAGTTGTTTAATATGATTCATTTATATATTCATTAACAACAGATCTAGATAATGCAAAATAAATTGACTAAAATATCCATTCGCTTACTATCGGACAAAGCATCAAGATTTGTACCTAAAAATGGGGTATATCCAAAAGGTTATATAGTAGGTGGGATTCATTGTGGTGTTAAAAAAGATGGTAAATCATTTGATTTAGCTATATTACATAATACATTTGGTAAAAATGCTTCAGCATCAGCTGTTTTTACAACAAATAAATTTAAAGCTGCTCCAGTACAAGTATCACAAAGAATAATAAAAGAAACTAAAGGTTCAGGAATAAATTCAATTGTTGTTAATAGTGGAAATGCAAATGCAGTAACTGGATCTCAAGGTATTAAAGATGCTAATGATATGGTTATTGTAACTGATTCAGTATTAGAAAATGAACCTGATTCTACTTTAGTTATGTCTACTGGTGTAATTGGAAATAATTTACCAATTGATAATATATTATCAGGAATTCCAAAATTGGCGTTGAATCATCTAGGTAGCTCTCATCAAGATTGGATGAATTGTGCTACTGCCATATGTACAACTGATACTTTTCCAAAATTAGTAAGTAAACAATTCAAAATAGATAATGATATATATACTTTAGCTGGTCTATGTAAAGGTGCAGGTATGATTTGTCCCAATATGGCAACTTTATTAGGATTTTTTGTAACTGATGCACCAGTTTCTCCAGCAGCATTAGAACATCTTTTAAAATATTCAATTGATAGATCTTTTAATAGTATAACAGTTGATGGTGATATGTCAACAAATGATACCATAGTAGCAATAGCGAATGGAGCAGCAGGAGGTGAATTAATAGATATAAATGCATCATGTGGTGAAAGATATGTTGCTTTACAAAAAGAAATTACAGCTTTTGCTCAACAATTGGCTCAATTGGTTGTTAGAGATGGTGAGGGTGCTACAAAATTCATTACTTTAAAAGTAAAAGATGCTATATCTTATAAGGACGCTAAAACCATTGGATCAAGTGTTGCAAACTCAGCGTTATTTAAAACTGCAATGTATGGGAAAGACGCAAATTGGGGTCGTATATTATGTGCTATAGGATACGCTGACGTTTCGAATGACTCAGTTATCCCATCAAGAACAAGTGTTAAATTTGTACCAATTGATGGTAGTGAAAGTTTAGATTTGTTGATCAATGGTGAACCAGAAAAAGTTGATGAAGATAGAGCTTCAGAAATATTACAAAGTGAGGATTTAATAATTGAAATTGATTTAGGTACAGGTGGTGGTCAAAGTGCTGATTTTTGGACTTGTGATTTTTCTCATGAATACGTTACAATTAATGGAGACTATAGATCATAAAATAAATTGACAAATACTTAGCAAAACAGTTTATTGATTTTGTTCAATTTCGTTTTGATTCAGATTGTTTTGATGAACACTAGCTTGTTCTGACCCTTTTTGAGAACCTTGAATTGATCTACTTGCAAGTGATGTAACGCTACTTGCAACTTTTGATAATTTAGCTTTAAAAGAATTCATACTTTTATCTATCCCTGAAAATTTTCTAACTACTTCAACAATCGGCCAAGGAAAAGCTCTAAAAATAGGTACAAATTTGCCATAATAAGGTAATTTTATTTCACCTCTTTTACCTTGTTCAATTGCAGATATAACACATTTTGCAACAAATTTTGGATCTAACTCTGGTGCTAATAACTTTGCAGGAGTTTTCACACCTTTAAACATGGCAGTATTTAATTGACCAGGACAAATCAATAAAGTTTTAATACCAAAAGGGTTTAATGAAGGTGGACCCAATTCATAAGTTAATGATTCATGTAATGCAATTAAACCTGATTTTGAAGCACCATAAGCACTTAATCTTGCAGGTGACATATAACCTAATACTGACGCAATTGTTACTATATAACCTCTTTCTAATTTTAGCATATTTGGTAAAAATGCTTTTATAGTATAAAAACTGGACATCAAATTGGTTTGTATAATATTTTCAATTTCTAAATATGATAAATCTAAAATTGTTTTACCAGTTGTAATACCTGCATTGTTGATAAGAACAGTAACTATACCAACAGTACTTTGAATTTCATTTGCAATTCTCAAAACATCTTCTCTATTGCTCACATCACATTTATAATAAATAACATTAGGATCTTTGTCCTCTGGTATATTAATATCCAAAACAATAACTTTTGAATTTTTATCTACTAATTGTGAAACTAATTCTTTACCTAAACCTGAACAACCACCAGTTACTAAAACTAAATCAAATTTTGGTTCAAAGACTGTTCCAAATAGTAAGTCAGAAACTCTTCTAAATTTAAGATTTAACCAATATAGAAAATTGATTAATAATGTGAAAAAGAACAACATAAAAGTGTTGCTTGAATTTTTCATTAATGTTATCAACTTAAACAAAAACATTAAAAAATGAGCCTAAAACTAGTGTTGAAATCAAAATTTTAACACTATACTGCTTGATATGAATTACTTAGACTCATCCAATTATATGAAATGACCAATTAACTGATTGTTATTGAATCTTAATATTACAGAATACCTCTTAAATTAATAAAAAGTGGTTGCCAAAAATATGAATATTAGTCGTGTAAAATCCAAAAATAGTTGATACAGATTTTAAAACATAGAGTCTCTCATAGTATATAAAATTTTTCTCAATATGAAATATACACTAATCAACCATAGATAAAAAAGATCAACCAAGTAACGAACCAAATTCAGAATGTCTATGCAAATGATAATAACACCCAAACAGAAATATAACCCAAATGTTTTAAAGCAAATCAAAAAAGTAAATAGACTTCGAGGAACTTCAAAAAATTCATATAAATTTGATCAATCAAAATATAAAGAATTTGAATTATTTATATATCATCAAAGACCATTCTTGTACAAACCAGCAAATGGGATCAGAAATTTTTGGAAAGAATCATTGCCTACTTTAAGATATCATAATCCAGAAATTCAATTCACTATAAATAATATAACAGTGGAAAATGAAGAAGATTTAACAAAATTACCATTGAATTTAAAAATTCATGGAACTTCCAAAGAAAATGATTCAGTAATTGATTGTATAAGTAAACCACCACATCAAATTTTCAGTGAATTGATTAAATTAACGAATGCAAGACAGATGAATGATGAAGAAATTCCAAAATTACCTTTAAAACCTGCAAGTCATTTTATGATGATTAAAAAGGCAATGAGAGAACAAAGAGAAAAAGAAGCTCAAGAGAAATTAGCTAATGGAAATTAAAACAGTTTATGAAATGATAATAATGCAATGTAATGATTCAAAAATAATTCATGTAAATAAAATAAATATAATACGTATACAAAATATTTTGTTAGATTTAATTTTGTAGAAACTTTAGTATAACATCTTGACCTTTTATTTCCATTAACTTTTTGATTTTTAAAAGTTCTTGAATTTCATCATTCGATAGCACTTTACCATTACTTTCTCCATTTTCTTGATGTTGAATCTGTTGTTTTTTGTTCTCTACTTCTTCATTTTGTTGTTGTTGTTGTTGTAAATTGACCGCTTTCAATAATGCATCTAAATTTAATTCTTGCTTCAACGACTTGACACCATTGACAAATTCTAATTCTTGGGGATTTTCCTCTATCCTTTTTTGATAATCATATTCCAAATTATGCTCTAGCACATCAGATTTTTTATCAAATTTATTTATAAAATCTAGTATTATCAGTTTTTCAGGTATTCTAAAAGTTTGTAAATTTGAAGAATCTGATTTAGGTATACTCAATAGTTTTGATTTCAATTTTGATGAGATTCCATCTTCAGTTGATTTTGATCTGAAATAATTCGGTACTGTAAACTCCGGATGAATTGCATTTAAATCATCACCCCAATTTGCTAAAACTTGAAATTTTTCATCATTATCAGATCTAATTTCTTCTAATTTATGTTTTGATCCATCTCGATAAAAATCTTCAGAATCAAATTTAACAACAAAATTATTCATGGCCATTATCTTTAGAAAATTACTTTGTAAAGAACTTTCCAAAATTTCTGTATCTTTAAATTGTCTCATTTCTGGTAGTCCTCTTGGTAATAAATCTTTGATATGATTGGGACATCTCCATTTATCTCCTATTGTTTTTGGACCAAACATTGGATAATCTAGACAATCCACGTGATAAATTAATGGACAATAATCACATTTTATTAAAGTTTTATGGTTTTGAGCTGATTCACCACATTTATGACATAGATATGGCTCTCCTTTTTCATTGTAGAGACTCTCAATTTCTAAATCAATATTTTTATTAAAACCTGGTATTTGTTGTGAGCCATTAGTTTTCTTTGGTAAATCAGGTTTTTCAGAATCATCAGCATAATCACCATTATCACCAGTTTCAACTCCTATGAATGTTTCATCTCTTAAATTTTTAGGTAATTGAAATACTTTTGGGTTTCGAATTTGTAAATCATTTAATAATTTCCCAAATATTCCAATTTCTTTCCAATTAGGTAATGATTTCGGGTTTCTCTTGGCAAAACATTCATGACAATACCAATCATTTTCAGGTGGAACTTCTAAAGGTGGATCACAACATGTAAAATGAAATGATTTGGGACATGTTTCACAACATATAAATACTCCTGGTCTTCCACATGCAAAACAAAAATCATCATTATCTTTATAAGTATCATCTTCTTCTAGATCTTTAAAGTTAAAGCTGGTGTTATTTTCTATTTTGGTATTTGGAGCTAATAATCTGGAACTTATTGGTGATTTCTTTGGTGAAATAACTTTTATCTTTTTTAATGCATTTATTGGTGTACTTTTATTTGGTGAGTCTGGTTGTTTTGGTGTTTTAACGACTAATTTTAGTTTTCTCGACGGTGATTGCTGAACCGTGCCATTATTCAGTGACCTTAATTCACTTTCTTCGACTATATCATGAGTTCTTGGTGTTTGTAAATTTGATTTATAGTTGAGTTCTATTTTTATATTGTTGTTACTTTCATCATCATTTGAAAGGGATGATTCTCGATCATTATTATTTATATTATTTTGATCATTTTCTTTCGCTTTTTTACGTCTTAATTTAGCTGGCCATAGTGACTCCTTCTTTACCTTGGTAGAAGGAAACTCTTCTAGTGGTTGACCTGTAAATATTGGAGAAGGTGCAGCTAATTGTGGTTCAATAAATGGTATTGTAATTTCTTCAACTTTTTGACTCTCTTCACTATCGGAAATAATTTGACTTGATAATAATTCTTTAATATCTGGACTTGCTGATAATTTAGGTATATTCCCTAGTTTAGCTATTCTTTTAGATTTTCTATGATTTGAACCATTTGGAGTTGGTGGTGATTCAATTTCTTCAGATTTTCGTTTATTATTATTATTATTATTACTTGAAATTTCAGTAGCATTTGATTTTTTATCTTTTAAATTACCATTTGATACCAGCAACGTTGAATTTTTAAGATTCCCATTGATTGAAGTTGATGATTTACTTCGACTACTACTTCTAGTTACCATTCAAATGTAATATTATAAGGTTAGCATATAAAATAGTTGAAATATTCTTGAAAAGTTTAGGTTGTTCGTCTAATCAAAACTTTTGAGGAAAATTTATTTAAGAAAAAAAAAATATTAATATTTTTGAAAATTGAAAAAGCCAACGGCACAGTTGATAAACCAAGAGATTATGTTTCAGATTTGTAAAGAAAAGTTTATTTTATGAAATAGAGTTAAGCATGTTCCCAAAAGTTGAACGTATCCTAATAAGATGTATGTATTTTTTTTAATATGAATATTTCATTATCATCATTAAATCATCCAAAAAATGCAATCGTATAATTAACTTTGAACATGTGTAAGTATACTTTATAAACAAAAGGGCCAATAAAACGCGGACGGAATTAAGTTTAAGAAGACTCTTCTTCTTTGTACTCTTTATCACTTTTATAAAATTCTTCATCAAATACTGGTACAGTATATTTAACTATACCATTTTTAGTAACACCAAATGTGGTATAAAATTGAGCAATATATTCACCTTCTTTTTCAGCAACAACGTCGTATGATAACAAGATCTTATGGTTTGTTGGTTCAGCCAATCCACCTCTTGCCTTTTTAGGATCTTCTAAATTACGAATATTGAAAGGAAATGGATGACCATTAGCTTTTGTTTTTAATTCCCCTAAAATTTTATGAGACATTTTCATTTTTAATGCGTATGATTCACCTGTTAATTTATATAATGAAGTTCTAAAATTTGATGGTTTAACTTTACCATCTTTAGAAGTTGAAATTAATATATCTAAACCATAAACATCATTTAATTCAACTTTGTGAGTTTCCATACTTGCTTTATTTTGTTTTGAAGGATTTAATATGATTTCTTTATTTGCATACATTTTTAATCTTTCTTGATTATAAGTTAACATATTTTCAACTGGAGTTACATCAAATGATTTTGCAACTTTTCCAACAACATTTGTAATATCCCAATTTTTAGTACCTGGTTTAAAATTACTTAATGCAACTTCTGATGCAGTCCATGCTGCTTTTAATAAATCGGCTTTTTGACCATCAATTGGATTTGATTTTGAAGCTCCAATAACAAATGTTTCACCAACAATTGCTGGAAATCCATCTAATTGAACACCTAATTGAATACTTACAACATCTCCATCTTTCAATTCAATATTTGCTTCATCATCTTTACTAACAGGAGCCAAATGAGCTGGAACATGATTAGGACTTATAGTAGTTGGGAAAGCAATACCTTTTGGAGTGCTCTTTGTCTTTTTGGAATTGAATATTTTTGATAATTCTTCCTCTAATAATTCATCACCTTTAGCACATAAATCATAAGTATTTGAACCAGCAATTGCTAATTCTTTTACTTGAGCAATAACTTTATTTGCAATTTTACCAGCAGTTTTATATTTAAAAACAACATCGGAGTTTGAAATTGAATAATCAACTGGAGCAGCCTCTATATTGTGAGAATAGTTAGTAATTGGTGCCAAAAATGAAGAAATTCATTCGATTGATAGAACATACTCTTAGTAGCTGTAGTGGTAGAAGTTGAAGACGACATATTATACTCAAATAGTCCAATTAATAATAATAAATAATTATTTAATAATTGTTATAAGCAAAAAAGAAGAGGATTATTTTCCTTTGACTTGAAATTTTTCAAATCTTTGTCTCCATAAAAAAATTTAAAAGATTTCTGTAGTGTACAATTTTACAAACTATCAAATAATATCATCAAATTTAAACCTACAATCAACAACCAACAATCAAACAACAAATGAATTGAATCAAGTAAATGACAAATTATATAGTTTGTTTATGTCATTTTTGTGAATTACATGGTCCATCAATAATTATATGTACTCAATTGACTACAAAAGACAAAAAACAAGATTATTTATTACAATCAAATTCTAAAACAACTACAAATTCATGTTCATCATGTCAATTAATATTACCTGAAAATGTGATAAATTTATCAACAACTGTAACTACACCAAAAAATGAAACTCAAGAATTTATATCAACTCAATACCCAACTTCTCAAAAACGATATGCAGCATTAACAAAATTAGTAATGAAATCCTTATCAATTGAAACTAACTTAGACCTAACAAAACCCAATTTTTTCGGTGATAATATAAATGGATTTTGTATTAATAAAATTTTTAAAATATATGATGTAAATTCAAGAGGTCTTGAAAGAAAATATGGATTAATGTTAATTAGTGATAATGAAATACATTTATTACAAAATTGGGATATTATAACATTATATTTTAATGAATATATATATCAATTACAATTAAAAATAAATGAAACAAATGAAAAGAATTATGCTAAAACTGAAAATTCAAATAATGAAAAATATCTTAGAAGATCAATGATTAGACCTAAACTGTTAATTGAATTAACTAATGATGAACAAATTTTTGTTAAATTTCATTTATGGGCTATTGAAGTTTTAAAAGATGCAATACGATGATTGAAAAGTAGAACATTTTTTACTTGAAGGTTACTGAAATCTTTATAGAAGCATTAGAGGAGAGGAACGTTTAAAAGTCAAAGTATTATTTTCAGCAAAATAGGTATTTAAAAAGCTTTGACAAAAATGACTGAACGATTCTATATTTTGGCACTATATATCCAGTTCACAAATTCAATTAAATAGGCGAAAGATAATACAAGTATTGCCTCATATGTGAATGTTCAATTCTAGTATCAATAACACTTGAAGGCAAGATAACTTATATCAAGAATTTATAATAAAAGATAAAATTAAATTAATCATCTGTAATAACTCTAGACATTTGACGTTATTTGATGTACATGAACAAGTGAACTAAGGTGCATCAAAATTAGCTTTAAAAATTTAAGAGGTAACTAGTTCAATTACTCTAATTAATCTCAGAAATAGTAAAGTGCACTTATGAGTTCAGTTAAATTTTGCAAATTCACCAGCTCTTTGTTTCTATTAAATTTCTAGTCTAAATACCCTCTGTAAAAATTTAAGGACTTCAGTACTTAAATGTTAGTTTCTTTAAACCAACTAGATTCTGAGAGAATAGTATAACCTTAACCTTAGTTGGCAAAGATGTAGAGAGGTTTGACAACAAAGACTTACACATTTCAAACTTTTTAACTATACATCATACAATTATTATACATTCAATGACTATATAAATTTGAATAGAACAAACATTTCAGATTGCTATAAGATAACTTCGTTGAAGCGTCCTAATTGAAGCAAAATTCAATGCTTGAAATATTATTAAAGGACAAATGTGGTAAAGTAATAATAAGACGTCGGTGATGTCTTTTTCTGGTACCAAAATTATAGTTCTTTTGTTCCATTTTGTTATAAACCCAATCCTTCAAAGTAAATAGAATTTAATTTAATCTTGCTCTCTAGAATAGATCAGAACAATATTGGAAAATAAACAATTAAGTAGCGGACCATTTCGAGATGATAAATAATGAGATAATATACCAACCATGTAACAGAACATATTTGTCAAAAATCAAAATTTAATGCGGTCATATACGTTGCTGATATCATTATAATCTTTCCAACTTATAGTTCTATTGTTCAGATTTGCTATAAACCCAATCCTTCAAAGTAACTAGATTGTAGTTTAATCTTGCACTCTAGAATAGATCAGAACAATATTGGAAAGTAAACAACTAAGTAGCAGAACATTTTCTAATTCCTTAAGAAAGAATGATACGTGGAATAAAGTACGATCTGAGTACACCTCCCATGCAATGATCAAGCTAAGGTCTTAAATAAAGTTATATGTATTATTTTCGTAACTTCTTATTTTGTTATTGTAGATAATATAAATTTTCTTTACAATTTACAAGAGAGAAAATTTATCTAATAAGTGGGATCAAATATTATTATATGTGATAAAGTTAGTAATATTAAAAACACCTACACCTCGATTTTAACAGAAAAATTTATTTACAAACAGAACATCCATTTAGAGATGACGGAATTAGACCCACTAGATCAGCAATCACAAGTCAATTATAAGAGTTTGCAATATCTACTACAAGAATTAATTCCAACATCAATAAGAGTATCAGAACAAATAACAAATCCTAATTTTTCAAATTCATTGAAATCTTCAAGATCAGATTATGAATTCTCTGTAACAGAAGATATATCATTAGAAGATGATGATCCAACAAAAGTAGAAACTAAAGAACAAATTGAAGAGATTAAATTTAACAAATATCAAACAAGAATAAATCAACAATTATCACAATTTCCAAAAGATTTACCAGGTACAATCAACATACTAGATTCACAACTATTATATACCGATGATGTGACAATCAGAATAGAACAATTTGGTTATAATTTAGGTTTAAAAATTTCAGAAATTTTATTGTATAAACATGCATCATCAACAAAAATAATAGATATATTAGATATAATGAAATTCATTTGTAGAGATGTATGGAAATTCATTTTTATAAAACAAATAGATAATTTAAGAACTAACCACCGAGGAACATTTGTATTGATAGATAATCATTTTAAGTTATTTGAAAATATTAGATCTCAACGAGGAATGCAAGATACTATTACAAAATCCAAAATATATTTATGGTTCCCCTGTGGGTTAATTAGAGGTGTTTTGTGGAGTTTTGGTATTGATGGGAGTGTTGTTGGTGAATTTAATCAATTTCCTTCTGTACAATTTAATATTCAAACTGGTGTAAATAATTAATGAGTGAAATTTAAAGAATGAAATGATCAATGTTATATGTAAAAATGATTCAGTTGGATTGTGTTCATCACCAAACAGAGGATTTCAATAGCTTTAGCAACAACCTCATTCACCAACTTTACATCAACAATAATCCCAGCTTTTTTGATTCCTAACAACTACAAAATTGACCAATACATAGTGCATCAATCTGGAAAATAATAAATTGTAATTTAATGCAATAACTCCAGAAGGTACACCAACAATAAATCATTATATAGATTAACTATGTGTTTTATTACACTTGCAACTACAACATTAGCCAGAAATTATAATTGTTTCCATACTAGTACTGGTGCTTCAACTGATTTAGTCTCACATTGTGTTATTAGTGGATTTAAATCACCCTTTCCCATGATTGATCAATGTTATAGGATTAGCAAAAGATCAACTTGAAAAATACATGTTACAAATACTTGTTTGAATTATGAATTGGATAATAGGTTTTATAAAATTGTCAATAATATTACTAATTCCCTACTTTCAATTTAACTTATACAGTAAATATACACAGCTTATACATGATTAATTACATACTTATATTTTTAATAAAGGTTTTATTTATTGGGTTTTTAAATTTGATTTGTTTATGGTTGTTCCTAAGGCTGAAGTTACAATGTTTTATTTATTAATTACTTATTTATTCATTCGTGTATTTATTTATGTATTTACTTTACTGCTCATTAAAACATAAGCTCAATTCAGATTCTATAAGTTATAAGTCAATTTACAGTTAGATCAAATCAATCACTAATTAAACTTTTATTAACAATATGAAAATCACATATAAATATTTTTGTGCCTCACACTACCATTAATTATATTTTATTTAATATTTATTTATGGTTGCAAAACATATCAAAATTCCCACTTTTTATATCCAACTTATTTCAACTTCAATTTAAATTCTTCAACACAAACGAATTTAAATTACCAAAATCTCAATCAATTAATTATTTCAATTAATTACAAATTTATACTCAATACATTTAATTCATTTAATCAACCTTTAAATCAATCAACTTCAGTTTTTTGAAATGTCCTCAAATATTCAAGTTCAAGAAAATATTGAAAAAGATACTTCATTTGATTACCCATCACCAACTTTACCATCAGTTTCAAAAACCCAAACAAAAGAATCATCAATTGAAGTTAAAGTACCTCAACAACATAATTTTACCAAAGTTGGAATTTTTAAACCTGCTAAATTTAGTAGACATATCTTTACACAATTAGAAAATTTACAAATTTCAAAAACTCAATTTTTTAAAGATTTAAAAAATCAATTAGAATTAGAAAACCAAACTGGATTAGAAGATCAATGCAAAGATAATATTGACTTATCTTATAATTTACAATTCAAATATTTTACTGAATTTATCCATGTTTTTCATCCAAGTAGTGATCCAATTGCTATTACTAAAGCTTTAGACACAAATGCTTCATTACAATTAGAATATTTCAATAATTTTAATCATGTTTTCACTGATAACACTATTTACAACAATAGAGAACAATTACAATATCAATATTTTGCTGACTTTGTTCATGTTTTAGATCATTTAATTAACCCAGCTACAGCTACTTCATCAGCATCATCAGCATCATCAGCATCAACATCATCAAATTTAAACAATGCCCACAAAATGGAAAAAGTCATTCAATTCATTCACAACCCAAAAAAACCTGATCAAAAGAGATTAGGTAAATTAGAAAAATTTAAAAACCTCATTACATATGGTGCAACCAAAGGTAAAGAAACGGAAAATGTTTCAAAACACGTTGAAAAATCAATCTCACAATTATTTAGAAGAAAGTCAAGAAAAACTACCACCCCACCTCCAAAATCTTGTTTAAAAATAAAAAATAATCAAAATTTTGACATTGAGTACGCCAAATGTTTACAATCTGACTTAATACCAGTTGAAGACTTACTTGAAGAATATAGAAAAAAAATCATTAAAATACAAGCAAACAAAAAGAAGTATGAAGAAGAGTTATTTGAAAAACAATTGGAACAAGTAAGACAACATTATTATACAATCGCAGGTGTTCCAATACCACAACCAGAAGCTCAAAATCCTGTACTTAGCAATCAAGAAACTGAAGTTACACAAGTTCATGAAAAAACTATTAGTTCAAATAACTTATCTGATGTTCGATCAAGTTTACAAATACCTGGTGACTCAAGAAATTGTACCATTGAGAGCAGATTCAATTCCGAAATTTCACAAAATTTAGAAAACTTAATTTCTTTAGAAGACGAATTTTTTAAGACTTTTGATGATTCAGCAATTGATGAAAATAAAATACCATTAGAACCTAAAATTGCAAACAATACAAGTATCACTGACGATAACTCAAGCTCAAGTAATGAATATGTCAACGAAGATATCAAAATACCAGCTGAATTACAAGATTATTTGTCGTCAAATATCAATACAAGTTTTATAACTAAAATTAAACGTGCTGTCATGAATAGTGCAAATAAATTAAGAGGAAGTAAAAATGCAATACCACAACCAATTAATTCCGGTATTAAATCATCATGTGAAAACAACACAAGCTCAACTAATGAAGATGTTAATGAAAATAGCAAAATACCTGCTGAATTACAAGAATATTATTTGTCAAATATCAATACAATTTTTAAAAATAAAGCTAAATGTGCTGTCAAGAATAGTGCAAATAAATCTAGAGGGGTTAAAGATGCAAAACAACCACCAATAAAATCGGGTATTAAATTATCATCTGAAAATAACTCAAGCTCAACTAATGAAGATGTTAATGAAAATAGCAAAATACCTGCTGAATTACAAGAATATTATTTGTCAAATATCAATACAATTTTTAAAAATGAAGCTAAATGTGCTGTCAAAGATAGTGCAAATAAATCTAGACAGGGTAAAGATGCAAAACAACCACCAATAAATTCGGGTATTAAATCATCATATAATAAAGTAGATTTGCAATTTGAATATTTCAATGATTTTGTTCATCTTTTAGATCAAATTACTCATTCAGCTACAGCTACTTCATCATCAGCATCAGCATCATCATCATCATCATCAAATTTGAACAATGCTCCTCACAAAACAGATAAAGTTATTCAGTTTATTCACAACCCAATAAAACCTAATCAAAAAAATTTAGGTAAATTAGAAAAATTTAAAAACTTTTTGAAATATGGTTCAACTAAAGGTAAAGAAACAGAAAATATTCCAAAACATATTGAAAAATACGTTTTAAATAAAATAAAAATTGCAAAAACAACCAATAATAATATTGATATTTCATCAATTGCAGAAACATTAAAACAAGAACAATTAACTCAAGAAGAGCTAGATTACTGCTTATATAAGATATATTCAAGTGGTTGTAAAAAATCAAAATATTTAAAATTTAAAAAAAAAAATAAATATAAAAAAGAACCTACAATTAAAGGATGTTTAAAAAACCGAAACAATAGACATCACAGTTTAGAAAAGAAAAGCTGTGAAGAAGCAGATTCACAAACAATACTAAAGTTCTTGACAGAAGTACTTAATCGGGAATATAGAAAATCAGATCCAACTAACAAAAAAAACATTGAAGATACTCAATTACAGCAAATTCAAAATTATTATGGTAATGATGTTGAAGTATATTTAGAACAAGAAAGAATAAATAATAAAAATAGAAGAATTTTCAGAACTAAATTAAAAAAAAATTTATCAAAATAAGTGATGGTATATATATGTTGCTCAAGTCTGGCCAACTAGAGGAATAGATGTTATTAGTTACTTATGGGATTTATGGGATTCTGAATAGTTTTTATTGTTGTATAATTTTTTATATTGAATTTGCTTTTTATTATTACAAAACTTAATAAATATTTTTAATTGATCTATTGTAGTTCTCTAATAAATTTATCAGAATCCTATAGTAAAATATTTTGCATCAAACAAGGCTTGAAAATTGCAATCTGTTACTTTGGATATTCAATTTTGCTTCAATTCTGCAAGTCTGAAACATACACAAAAATTGGAACCTATAATTCTAGTTTTCGAATACGTACAAAAACAAATTTAAAAAGAGCTACAATTTCCAAATTCATTAAATCATTATATTTTATACTCAAATAAACTCAGAGTTCAAGTCTTTTATAATACCACAACAACAAAAACTAGTAAAACTATTACACCACCACTAGAACCACTTGCAATTTTCTTCTCTATATTTACAATTAGATCAATTAATTCCCCAGGATAAGCTTAAATTTCAGATGTTCATATTCAAAATTTATATGTACATATAAAAATATGACCTGGAGGTAGAAATATTAATAACTGGGCATGGATGGGAAGTCTATTAAAGTAGTTTGACTTATTTATTCAATTCTTATACAGATATATTTACCTCTAATCAAATGATCCAATAGTAGATTCAAATTCTTCCTTGGGATTAAAAATATTTTCTAATTTAGCAGCTACTTCATTATCTCTAATTTCTGAATTTGTACCAAGTGATGTTATATCAGCTTCAAAATTTTTATTAAACCTAGGTGTGGAAGTAGTATAATGATTTAAAAAGTTATCAACTAGAAAATCTGAACTTGAATTTTCTTCATCAACACTTGAATTGCAATTAACATTGCTGAGTAGTGATAGATCTCCATTTAGTGCAACTATTAATTGATTTATTAATTGTTCATTTTTTAACTTTGTCTTATTGAATTCATAATTTGTTTCATTTATTCCATTGACTAATTCATTATACTTTTTAAAAAGTATATAAAATTCAATTTGGTAATTTATATGATTTGATAATCCATCGATTTGATCTTTTGGAGGTAGTTGTTGATGTTGGAAATTAATTTGGTATGGTGATGGTAATTCTAAATTTTTAAAGTGTTCAAAATTGGATTTAAGATTTGAAAGTATATCAGGTATTGAAACTGAAGCATTGTTTGGTTGATTTGTTATTGTACTGATGGTGTCGTTGTAGTGAAGTTGTGAGATTGATCTTTGCTTTTTTATGTTGTCATACATAGTGATGGTAGACCTTTTAGTAATAAATTGTGTAGATCTTGAGTTGGTAAAATATAAGTAACATTTATTAGTATCTAAATCTTATACAACCTATAATAATAAATAGATTGCAACAAGAAATGTATTAAAGCAAAATGAGTTATTGGTTTATCTGTCATCTTTTTTGACATCTTCAACATTTGCATTGTCAACATTATCATTATTTGAATTTGAATTTTCTACTTCAATTATAGAATTTTTAGATCTATTACCATCTTCTTGAGCACTTTCATAATTAGAATTTCCATTGCTTTCTAATTCTTGAGAACGGTTTAAAACATTATCAACATTACCAACATCACTAGCACCAATTGATGAAATATCACTTAATAAAGTAGATTGAAATAAATCTTTAATACCTGATAAAAATTGACTTTCTTCACCTTCTTCATCATTGGTATTGTTTTCTTTATTATCTTTTGGAGTTACTGAATCTTCATAAACTTTAAATGGTGGACCTTTATTTTTAATTAAAATCTGAAAATCAGATACATCCATTATTGATTCACTTTCTCCTGAAGATGATGAAACTTTCGACATTACAATTAAAGTAAAATCAAATTGATGGTTTGGAATTTTATTTTTTTGGTTGTATAAAAAAAAAAATTGGTTGTAAAAAAAAAAATGTGTTAACTAGTGCACCATATAATTAAAAAAATAATTAATATGGTTTTTAATTTTCAGTCAATATGTAAATATCCAATTGTTTCTATTCTTTCTTCATCTTCATCATCTTCATACTCATATGCATATTCATATTCTTTTTGTTCTTCTTCTTCTTCTTCTTCCACCAAGTTCTCATTTTCTACCACTATACCAAAATTTGGATCAAAAACAAATGAGAACGCTTCAACTGCAGACTTGATTTCGATCAATGATGCAATATTTGAATTTAAAATTTTATCTTTACGTTTTTGAGCTCTTTCCTTTCTAGCTTTTGCATTCTCTTCTTTACGTTTTGCACTATCTTCTTTAAGTTTTGCACTATCTTCTTTAAGTTTTTTGATTTCTTGAAATCTTACTTCTGGAGATTCCTTCATATCAAAGATTTTTTTTTCTATTTCTAGTTCAATTTTAGCTTGTCTTACATTGTCAGCTTGTTTAAGTTGTTGTTTTGCTAATTTTGCTTGTTTTTTAGCTTCTTTTTTTTCAGCAATTTCTTCTTTAGTTAAAATTGGAGTAATATCTTCACATTCATCTAAATTTAATGATATTCTAAAAAATGGATCCATAAATTTTAAAGTTGCTAATAAAGTATAATAAGCATCATTACCTGCATTATGTAAAAATACATTTGGAATATTTAAAAAATCCAATGTTGATTTTAATGAATATGGATTTTTACCACCTTTTGAAATTTTTATTAATAATGAAGTATCTATAATATCATATTGTGGAGGTAATTTCACACCTAATTGATTTAACCATTTTATATCACCTCTTATATCATGACCTACTAAATATGTTTTTTCAATCATTGGTTCTGACTGTTGATGTAAAAAGAAAAAATTAATTAACGACTGAATTAATACTAAAGTATCATACTTATTTAAGATTATAGTTTTCCCACCAATAAAATTTTCTGAATGATTAGGTACGAATTTCCCATTTGATCTATGTAAATATTCTTTCAATTTTATATGAATATTTTGAAAATGTGGAATATTTGAAAATTTTGAAAATCTTGGATCATATATTGAAATACCTATTTCAGTTATTTCCTTGGTGTTCATTTCCCAAGCTTCTATATCTATTGAAAATAATATAGATTTTTTACCATAAATTTTTTTTAAATCATTGTAAAATTTTTGTCTTTGATTTTTATCAGTCATTCTTGGATTTAATTTTAGTACTTTTTCATAATTGTATTGATATTCATTAACTACTGATTCCAATACTTTATTTAAATCAACTCGTGGAAAAATGGTGGGTGGTGGAGTATATGATTCTTGTAAATGTGCAATAGCTAATATCAAATCTTCTTGTTTGATTGTTTTAGGTTGTTGATTTGATCGTCTATTATATCCCCCATTTTGATGATTATTTCTCAGCCTTGGTTTATTTTTTGGTTTCTGATGTTGAGTTCTCTCCTTCATCGCTTTTCTAAAGTTACTCTTTGGTGATAATTCTTTCTCATTTGATTGACTCATTGTTGAATGATAAACTATGGCTTCGTATTCTTTAATTTAATTATTTTTGACGAGCTGTGATGCTTTTTAATTGAAGTACCAACAATACAAAAAAAAATAGTTTAAACGAGTGAATAATTATTTATGAAATTATATCTACTTGATGATGCTCTCAACTTATTGCTAGTTTGAATCATGTTGAAAGTTTCAATTTTTGACAAAGCGCAACCAATTGTTATATTTTTTGTACTTAATAAGGAAGTCATCTTACATTATTAATTTCCTTTGCAATTGACTATAGTGAGATTATTGGAGTTAGTAGATTTATAAATTGAGTTTTCTTTGGTGTTTCAAAATGTTTGCTTCTGATCCTTCTAATGAAATTGAATTCAAGTTTAAATGGCAGGAATGAAAAAAATTTAAAAAAAGTTCTCTAAAATTGATATATTAAATTTTAATTCTATTTAGTTGCAAAATTCAAACAATTTATTAATTAATATGTTTTTATAATCAAAAACAATATCATATGTTCTAGATTAAGTCCATCTAGATCCAGTTCATCCACTATCTAAAATAGGAACAGTTAAAAAGAAACAAAACTCCAAGCAAAAATATGCAAAAGGAATTAGGATAGGAATTACAATAATGGTTGTTAAAAAGTGTCTATAAATTGTTTCAAAAATGAAGTAAATGCAAGAAGCTAGAAAAGAGCCAACAAAATTATTTAGTCTTCAAGCATTAAATATAGCACCCCTTATCAAATTCATCCAAAGCAGGCGAATGAATCAAACGTATTTAAAGAGGGGAAAAAGCTAATTAAAGGCGTAAAATTAATTAGTACGTTTTGAGTTTTTTTCCTTAGTTCTACTACAAAACTAATTAAAAGAATTGAAAAGAAAGAATAATCTGGAGAAATAGGGTAAAAAGTTTTTGCATAAGGGTACCTTTTTTGAAAAAGAACAATCGATCTGTTTTTTGACATTTAATAATCTAATTAATCGAGATAAAAAAGAAGAGTTAAAATAATTTATTATTAAGTTTCAAGTAAATTTTTATTTCTTATCTCTAAATAAATTTTTATTTCTTTGGTTTCAAATCTATTGTATGAAATTTTTTTAACATTATTTACATAAAAATTGATTTTAATGCAATATATTTAAACATCACTTTACTAATTGACTACCAATTTGTAAATCTTAAAATTTAAGTTTGAAGCATTACATTAATTTTATTCGATCTTTCCGAGAAAGTTTTGAAAAAGTGAGACAAATTAAAAAGTACCTGATTAACTTATCTTTCATATTGAAATATAAAAATCTAAAAGATGTATTTGATAAATCTTGGGTTTTATAATTTGATAGATTATAATAATTGACATAGAATTATTTCTAGATTGCAATTCATCTTTTAGTTTTCTTGAGATATTATGTATCTGTAGTTAGAGATAAGAAGAGGAAATCTTTGATTTTCACTATTAAACATGCGATAATCCCCAATTTTTTAGGAGACACAATAAAATAATATGGTTGAAAGAAAAGCATTAATAGGAATCGGTCCCTTAGGGAATTAACATCTGAGACAAATCAGCACAAGATGTATGATATGTTTCAAAAAGGTCAGAAAATTTAACCATATCAAATCATTTTGTTGATTATTTGAATTATTCTTCTTCTTTCTAGTTAATATTTTTTCTTTCTTTTTTTTCTTAATTTAATTAAATTTGGTAAAATATCATACGTTTGTATGCAATATTTGTTTTACAATTTATAATTAATAAATGGGGGGAAGATATGTTTGAAAATTTAAGACATACATATAATAGATGTGAATGAGATGTGTTAAATAATTTGTACTTGTTGAAATTCATATTAGACATGAGAAAATAATCGATTTATTCATATCATCATCAAAACCCGAACCAAAATAGATCAATATGTACTAAGAAAAATCATATTTCCTATCTTTACTATTAAAATAATTTACGGACTTCTATTTTTTGTGTAATATTTAAACTTTCGTAAAAGTTTAATCACCAAGTCCCAGTTGGTAGCTTACAAAAGCCTTAAAGGGGGGGAATTCAGTTGATGAGAAGAAAAACACGTCAAAAAATTAAATTATAATAATTTTTAAACAAGAAAGAAAAAAAAAAATTAATTTAATTTATTTTATTTCATTAAAAAAAAAGTTGGGTGCTGTCAAATAAATTAAATTAACAAACGTTATTAAATACACTTTTCTAACCAACAAAAAATAAAAATTATGATTAAATTGTATAAAGAACAAAACTTGACTTGATATCTATAGAAAAAGTGCAAGTAGTTGAAACATGTAAATGAAGATGAATAGATGAAATTTTATGAATTAAAGCAATTGAATTAAATTATTTAAATACACAATACTCCAAACTTTTACTCCAGATCGAATAAAATTTTCATAAAATTGCTTCTCATAACTAGATTTATAATGAAATAAATGAAATAAATGAATTAAATGAAATAAATGAAAAAATATTTAAAAACTTATAATTGAAACTACACAAAACACGTCGATAGATTTATTAATTCAAATTATAATCGTTTCAGGAATTTAAATATTAATTTGAACTCCAGCCAACTTTAAAGATCGATCTTTTCTTTGTATTGGGAATTGTATTGTTTAATTAAAGATAATCAAGAATGGGGGTGTAATTTAATAGTTTTAATAGTACGATATATAGCAAATATAATATAAAAAATCGATTTTGTGTCAAGATGGACTTCACACAATAAAGTTGAAAAAATATATGGCAAATAGAGAAGAGGAGGAGAAGGTAAAAAATATATAAATTTTGTAATCCTTTTTGCCCATGGAGTTTTAATTTATAAAAAGTTGGAGAAATTAGTTGGGGAAATACACAATTGATTTAATAACACAATTATGAAAATCTGGACTTGTGGTCAATTACTTAACTGGTTTAGTATTGTAACACTTTCAATCTTATTGTCATCATATCTATCAATGATTAAGCAATTTTATGATGAACCCAGATTAATTAGGATCTGACTCTATCAAGTTTCTAACTTATCCATATTTATGATAAAATTTTCTGGTACAAATATTGTCAAGAGATTTTGTAGACAAGAAGTTCAATGTTACAATCAATCAATCAATCAATGTCAATAAACTGAGATATTTTTTTAATTAAAATATATCGAATATTTATGACTCTCCAAATAAAAAACTTGTAGTCCGTTTCGTTTTAAATATAATAAAATATTTTATCAACTTTTTTCATATATTATTTTTATTGTATGTAAATAATTTTAATTTGCCGATCTAGGAAGATTTTTTTTTGTGAGAACTTTTTTTTCTTTCTTTTTTAAGTAGGACTATATAATACTAATTACTATTAGATAATAAGTAAAATTGCTTGCTATTATTAAATCCTCGAGATATAGTTATTAAAAGAAAGCTGGGGTTCTTCTCTGCTAAAGTTTTGTAATTTTTTATAAATCTTCAGTACTCTTTTGATCTAATTTAACTTTTGAAATATTGTTCTCTTATCGTAAATTATAAAATTTTTCAAGGATTAAACTTTTATAATAAATTTATTTTATTATTTTATTTTTCTTCTACTCCGATATTAAAAAAGTTTAAAGTTTAAAAATAATGGAAATATGCTACCAATATATCATTAAGTATTTAATAAAACTAAGTAATACTACATTATTAACAATACTAATAATATTATATTGATGGATCTGTAATAAAACTTAAATTATTTTTTTCACCCCCTCTTTTTATTACAAATTTAGAAGAATTGAAATTTTACTCAACAGAGTTTAAATATTTAAATATTAATTTATAATCAATTTATTATTTAAAAGAAAAAAAAATGAATATTGACGGTATTAAATCAATCATCTTTTCTACTACATTATCTTACATATAAAATAGCTCAATATTAAGGATATTATATATTCGAGTGTGGTGTATATTAATCAGTTCATATAATATAATGATCTGATATAATAGTACTATTATTAATAATAATTTAACAAAGGCAAAATATTATTTATTTATTTACACAAAACAAAATTGATTAAAAATTAAAATATTAAAAAATAAATAAAAAAAAAAAAAGTTCTTTCTCTCTCTCTCTCTTTTTAACTTTTTAAATAAATATAAAATTAAATTCCAACCCTTTTTTTTTTTTCTTTGCTTTGAAATATTTTTTTCATTTCAAATTTAGAAAAAGAAGAGTTGGAAAAGTTTTATAGAAACTTATCATTATCATATACCACTGGTTGGTTCATTAGTTCATTATTAGTTCATTTGTTCTATTCATTTATTCATTCAATATCATATTATACTTAATATTACATCATTTTAAACATTTATTAATATATTAATTGTGTTTTTTTTTTTTTTAAATTAATTTTTGGTCCTTATCTTCCACACAAAATTTTATTAACAATATTAAATTTTTTTAATCATACAATTTTTAATTAATACTACTCCTATAATTAAAAATTTATTCATTAATTAAATAAAATTTATCAAAACAAATCAGATCACTTAGATTTTTTCATTAGTTGGATTATTAAATACTTATTCATTTATCAATAGAATAACAAAGGAGAGATTGTAGATCAATTTAAAATCTATAATTAAAAAAAAATTACTATTAACCATTTGATTTAAAGTTTAAAAATCACTCAAAAATCATATCATTTTTTAAGTACAATTTTTAAAACATAAATAACCACAACAATAATTTGCCATTAATTTGACAACCAAAAAATTAGAAAAGTCATTTAAAACAATAACAACGTATACACAACTAGAGTAAAAATGACTACTATAGTAACCACCACAACAACAACAACAAAAGATTCACTATCACCAACTTCATCAATTAATTATACAGTCAGTCCTCCATCAACTACATCATCATCTCCAATACTATTTTATCAACAAAATTCTTCATCATCTTCAGATAATAATTTAAGAAATTCATCAACTGATTCAATAGATACTTTAAAATCAACTACATCAACTATAAAATTTGGAAAATCAAATTCTGAAGAACCTCCTTCATCACCAATAATAAATAAAACTTCAATACCTATACAAATCACTGCACCATCTCCAAAATCAATTTCAACTATCAAAGAACCACTCAAGAAGAAATTTAATTTACCAAATTATTATGTACCACCAAAAAATTTACAATCACAACCACAACAACCACAACCACAATCACAACCACAATCACAACAACAATCACAACAATTATCATCATCAAATAATTCAACTACTTCATCATCAAACTCTTCATTATTATCATTAAATGAAATTGCACAACAAGTACAATCACAACAACAACAACAATCAAAACCAAAATTATTACATAAAAAATCAGGTGAATTAATTAAATCTTCGTTAAAATTATCTCCACATTCATTATTACAAAGATCTATATCTTCTCCAAATATTATTCAAAATAAGACTAATCATAATTCAATATCAAGTCCAAGAAAATCTGTTCGTTTTGCATCAAGATTGATAAATGTTAAAATGTTTGATGGTTGTGAATCTCCAGCATCAGTATCAAGTTTAAATAGTCCTTGTGATTCACCACCAAATGAATTATCAACAAGAAGAAAGAAATTATATAGTGTTGAAGATTTCCCAGATTTTGATGATCAAAATTACCCATCACATAATCGTCATAACCTTGATAATGATCAAGATGATTCATTATTAGAAGGTTCAAAATATTTTAATAGACCAAGAAGTGATTATTTTGATTTTGAATGGAATTGGAATAAATCAGATGATGATGAAGAAGAAGAAGAAGAAGAAACTGATTTAGAAAGAGAAGATGATACAACTGAAGATGAAGATGACACAAAATTAAAAGAATATAGATTAATTGATCATAATATTCCAAAATTACCTTCTACAAAAAGTAATAATAAAATTTGGTTAACTTCAGCATATATTATGAAATCAAATATTAATTCGATTCAATCAAAACAATTTTTAAATGGTATTTTCCAAGTTTCAAATTTAGGTTTCGAAAAAAAATTCATATTAAAATTATCTTTTAATAATTGGAAATCTATAATTAATTTTGATGGATCAAGTAGAATTTCATATATTAGAAGTGTTACTTCAAAAATTGATGAATTTAAATTTATGATTAATTTAAATGATTTATTAAATTGTTATACTAATGATGAAAATTCTACAAACAATAACATTACAATTTCATTATGTATAAAATATGAAGTTAATGGACAAGAATATTGGGCAAATAATCAAGGTATGAATTATAATTTTAATTTAATTGAAATAAAACAACAACAACAACCAAGACAAAAAAATAAATTTAATAATCAAAAATTTATATCAAGATCACAAAATTCATCACCAGCTCCATTTAAAGAAATTTGTTCAAAATTAATAAAACATCAACAAGATCAAAAATTACAAGATTTAAATTTAAATGGTAATAATAATAGTATTGCATTGAAATCTTTAAATAGTATATCAATGGGTAACAATTTTGGTGAATCATCAAATAAATTATCTAGTGGGTTAACAAGACCAACTATAATGAGAAAATCATTTTCTTCAAATGATGTAACTTCAATAAATAATAAGCAACGTTATTCAAATCGTCAAAAATCAAAAGACTCAACAACTACTACAACCACCACAGAAACTACAAATTTATTAAATAGTTTATCTATAAATTCATCATTTAGTAATTTATCATACACAGATATTTTGAATCAATATTGTTTTGCAAATAATAATAATTCAACTACAAATAAATTTGTAACTGGTACAAGCTCATCATCATCATCATCATCAAAATCAACAACTCCCATAACAAGTGGTCATTGTTCACCAATTACATCAACTAATGATTCTTTAAATAATACTACTGCTTCTACATTACATTATTTTAGTGATTCAATTCATATTTGAATTCTTTGTTCAGTTTTTTCAATTCTGCTTGCATTTTTTTTTTCATTTGTTTTTTCATTCTTTTGGTTATCATAATTTGTTTTTTGTTTGATAGATTTTTCGTATATAGGTTTTTGAATATACATTCTTTACATTCACTACATTACATTATATTGTATTTGAGATTGTAGATTATTGAAAAATATTTCTTCTCTTAGTACCAAGTGCTTATTGATTTAAAGTATTTGAATTAACTCAAATTTTGAAATTGTAAAGTGAGTGCACTACATTAGGCTTTTAAGAGTATAAGTGTTTAAACAAAATGTACTCAGAATTGAAAATTCCCGAGAAATTGAAATAAAATTTCGGTGTATATTTTTGGTGGTTCGTATAAATTAAGAAGTAAAATAATAGTCATTAGCAAAAGTAAAAATAAATAGCATTTATTAAAAATTTGTAGCATATATGAAAAAAGCACTAGCATCACATTCAAACTGAGTGACTTCTTAAATCTGTTGGTTTTTTAAACTTGAAATAGTTGGCCGTGTTTGATAATTTTAATGTACTTAAAATTTGTAGTTGTGAAATAAAATGAATATATACTAACAATTAAGAAGCAAATTTTTGTTAATTATTATTTGTAACTGTAAAATAAGATAAATAGTTCAGAGTAGTTTCTTGGTACTTTTCGGATATCTGAAGATTGTGCTAATCCTAAGGCATTAATGAATTTAATTGTACATAAAGAGAAGAATGTTTCAAATGATTTTAATGCTGGTGGGAATTTAAATAGAAATTGTTCTACTAATGTTTGTTGTTGTGGTAATATAAAAAACTTGAATTGAATAAAAGTTAGTTACATGATGAATGAATGGATTTGGAATTTGTAAATCTCTTCAATTTTTTCTTTGTTCGTATTCGAAAACTAGGATTTTTAATTTTTGTGTATGTTTCAGACTTGCAGAATAAAACCAAAATTTGCAATGGTATGAAAATAGAAAATGCTAGATTGGATTTTTACACAATAACCCTTGTTTGATCCATTTGTTATTGTAAGATTCTCAAAAAGATTATTAGAGAAACTACAATAAAAATAATTAGAAAATTTATTTATTTTTGTAAATATAAAAAGCAAATTCAATATAAAAAATTATACAATGAAAACTTTTCAGAATACCATAAGTAAATAATAACATCTATTCCCCAAAGTTGGCCAGACTTGAAAAATATATATACCAACACTTATTGTGATAAAATTTTTTTTAATTTTATTTCTGAAAATTCTTGTATTTTTGATTATTTGGTCTTTTATTGTTCTAAATATACTTCAACATTGTCACCATAATAATTTTGAACTTGTTGTAATTGAGTATTTTTAATATTTCTTTTGTAAATTGGATCTAATCCTCTATTTTCTCGATAAATTAATTCAGACATAAATTTTTCTATTGTTTGTGAATCTGCTTCTTCAGAGATTTTCTTTTCTGAACTGTAATTTGGATTATATGAGATTTTTAAACATCCTTTAATTGGAGGTTCCTTTTTGTTTTTATTTCTTTTAAATAACTTTTTAAAAGTTGTTTGTATTGATTTTTTACAACTACTTGAATATATTTTGTATAAGCAGTAATCTAACTCTTCTTGAGTTAATTGTTCTTGTTTTAATGTTTCTGCAATTGATGAAATATCAATTTTATTTTTTGTATTTTTTGCAATTTTTATTTTATTTAAAACGTATTCTTCTACATGATTTGGAATATCTTGAGTTTCTTTTCCTTTAGTTGTACCATACTTTATAAAGTTTTTTATTTTTTCTAATTTACCTAATTTTTTTTGATTAGGTTTTATTGGATTATGAATGAATTGAATAACTTTATCTGTTTTGTGAGGAGCATTGTTTAAATTTGATGATGATGATGCTGATGCTGATGCTGATGATGAAGTAGCTGTAGCTGAATCAGCAATTTGATCTAAAAAATGAACAAAATCATTGAAATATTGAATTTGGAAGTCTTCTTTAGTTACATCAGTAACTTGATTAAAATTATGAATAAATTCAGTGAAGTATTGAAGTTGGAAGTCTTCTTTAGTTACATCAGTAACTTGATCAAAATTATGAATAAATTCAGTGAAGTGTTGAATTTGGAAGTCTTCTTTAATTACATCAGTAACTTGATTAAAATTATGAATAAATTCAGTGAAGTATTGAAGTTGGAAGTCTTCTTTAGTTACATCAGTAACTTGATTAAAATTATGAATAAATTCAGTGAAGTATTGAAGTTGGAAGTCTTCTTTAGTCACATCAGTAACTTGATTAAAATTATGAATAAATTCAGTAAAATACCGAGTTTTGAAATCTTCTTTATTGGTGGTTGCTTTCCTATGAAAAACATGGATAAAATCGGTAAAATATTCAAATTGTGAATTGTAAAATAAATCATTATTATCTTTACAAGGATTTTCTAATTGACATTGGTTTTCTAATTCTAATTGGTTTTTTAAATCTTCAAAAAATTGAGTTTTAGAAATTTGTAAATTTTCTAATTGTTTAAAAATGGCTCTACTAAAATAAGCAGGTTTAAAAATTCCAACTTTTGTAAAATTATGTTGTTGAGGTACTTTTTCAATTGATGATTCTTTTGATTGGGTTTTTGAAACTGATGGTGAAGTTGGTGATGGGTAATCAATTGAAGTATCTTTTTCAATATTTTCTTGAACTTGAATATTTGAGGACATTTCAAAAAATTGAAGTTGATTAATTTAAAGGTTGATTAAATGAACTAAATGTATTGAGTATAAATTTGTAATTAATTGAAATAATTAATTGATTAAGATTTTGGTAATTTAAATTCGTTTGGATTGGAATTTAAATTGTAGTTGAAATGAAATAGTAATAGAAAAGTGGGAATTTTGATATGTTTTGCAACCAATATAAATAAATAAATAAAATATAAATAATAGTAGTGTGAAGCACAAAAATATTTGTATGTGATTTCCAGATTGTTAACAAAAGTTTAATTAGTAATTGATTTGATCTAACTGTAAATCGACTTATATAAGGACTGAATTGAGCTTATGTTTTAATGAGCAGTAAAGTAAATAAATAAATACACGAATTAATAAATATGTAAATTAGCAAGCAAAGCATTCTAACCTCAACCTTAAGAATATCATAAACAAATCAAATTGAAAAAACTAGTAAAAGAAACCTTTATTAAAATTACAAATATGTAATAAGTTGTTCACATTTACTGAATAAATTGAATTAAAGGTTGAAAAATGGTGAGATTATTAAGAATTTTGCAAAAACTTTTTCTATCATTGATGAATCAATTAAGTACTTGTAACATGTGTTTTTCAAATTGATCTTATGCTAGTCCTAAAACACTAATGAAAGGGTAATTCAAATCCACTACTAACACTTTATAAGTCGAAAATATTTAATTACCATTACTAGTACGTGAATTATCACGATCATATTTTCCTTGAATGCTCTAGTTACATAAGCAATTTTTTTAAGTTCAATAAATCACATAGGCCATCCATACCTATAATTTTTTTTTTCATGCACCGCCTGGAGTTGTTGCATTAGATTACGATCCGTTATTTCTATCAGCTGATCATTCTGTTGTCTTACTAATTGTAAAAAATCTGCCAACTTTGATGCACTATTAACTGGTGGATTGTTATTGGGAAACTAAATTGCCCATATGAATTTATGGTTGATGTGAATTTGGTGGATGAGATTGTTGTGAACTGTAAAAAAACAAATGAAATTATAGATCTGGCGATAAAGTCAACAAGATTGTTTGATTTTTACCCTAAACATTGATCGATTAAATTTTTAAATTTCATTCATTAATTGTTTACATCCACTCGAGTATTAATTTTAACGAAAAGAAACCGATTAAACTCACCAACCAACATTTCCAAAAGTCCACAAAACACCTACAGAGGATCCATAATCAAATTTTGGATTTGTAATAGCATCTTGCATTCCTCCCTGAGATCTAACATTTTCAAGTTAGTTCTGTTGAATCATCTTCTCTTTTAATGAAATAATTTCTATTATAGGATTTTATCAACAGGTTTAAAAAATTCAAATTGAATTTGAACAATTAGGATTCGATGTTTGTTCTTATATTCATTGATGTGGTAATTGATTTTTGTAGTATATAATATAAACCCTTATAATTGATTTCTGATTGCTGAACTGATCTGGTAGGTCTAATGGAATTTCTGACTATTAAATGACATCTCTTTTGAAATCAAGTTAGAGTTTTTGTTTGTTTTATTCATAGGTTATATAATTATATTAAGCTATTAATACTAAACTTTGATTTACTAACCTCAAATAATTTTGATTTTGATAATGTGTGTCGTGAACCTTAATTTTACGTCACGACTTTATAAGATCATATATTATCGTTAAACATGTCGATATTATTTACATTTGAAGAGTCTTTAAAATATACATCCAATTCAATTTATTGACATCATTCAGTAATAAAAAATTAATTAAAAATACAATAATAATTTAAACGTTTTATCTCTATATCAATTATAAAGGAGTAGAAACATAACTTATTTTCCCATCTATTTTCTTTTTAGAATAAGTATTCAATACAAAATCAAATAATGATCTTGAAATTAAAGGTTGTGAATAAGGTACCATATGACTTGCATTATAAACATTCACAAAAGTAAGATTTCTTTCTTGAATTACCCAACCTGCTTTTTTTGAACCAACTAACCATGGTGAAGTATTATTAACATTTGAAAACCCTGTGCGACCTTCCCATTCCATTTTTTGTAAATAATTTAAAACTCCTTGAGTATTACATATAATATCATTTGCTCCATTAAATAACACTATGGGGATTTTTTTAATCAATTCTGGTAATAAGTATACTGAAGGTAATGAATTTTCAGCAGTTAATTCACTATATACAGTATCACTACATTCTTGCCATTTTTGAGCATTATGTATATGTAATTTTAGTAATACTGATTTTTGTCTTAAATAAGGAGTAGTATATTTTAATTCTGGTGGGAAATTACTTCCACAAGCTGGATAAGAATCTCTTAATGTATAATCATAAACGTTTATACATTGTTCTGATTTAGGTGCTGATGAATTAGCAGTTAAATATAATAAATCATTTAATAAATAATTACAAACATCATTACTTTCATCACCTATTGTAGTTATATCATTATCACTATCAAATTCATTATCATTTTCATTTGATTCTTGACTGATTAATTTTTTACAATTTTCATAATCTTCAGTTACTAACTGAGTTTTATTACTTGATTGATCTTTTATATTAATTAATTTTTTACTTTCAAAAAATGGTAAATAACTTAAACTTTGTTCATCAGGAGATACCCAACCATTCCCAATCATAATACTTTTTAAATTATATGGTTTTTCACCATTTGGTAGGTTTTCATTTCTATTTAAAATATAAGAAGCAATATATGGAATATATTGACCAGCATAAGATTCTCCTGATAAATATAAATCATTTTTTAAATCTTGCGGAAAAATTTCAAAATATTTTTCTAAAAATTTTAAAAAATATTGACCAATTTGATCTAATTCATGAACATAATGGTTTTTTGAAGTAAAACTAAATCCTGTCCCCACTGGTTGATCAACATATACCATATCTGAAATTTTATGCCATGATCCATTATTTACTTCTAATTTCCTTAATTTATTAACTCGATAAGGTCCATTTTCTAATAATACACCATCCATTGATGAACAACCTGGTCCACCATTTAACCAAAATGTAGTTATATTTTTTGATTTTTCAGTTTTAGTAGAATCAATAAATTTCCAAAAAAAATAATCTGATTTATTTTGTGAATATAATTCTAATTCACCAGCATACATTATTGGTTTTGCATAATCTTTTGGTAATGAACTCATACCTGGTAATGATTTGACTAAATATTTCTTTGCTGGATCATTATTTTTTTTACTTCTTTTATGTGGAACTGCAAATGCTATTGTAATATGCAAAATAATTGTCAAGATTGAATTGAACAACATGGTCGTGACCTTTTATTTTTTTCAAATATGAACTTGTTGACGAACGTTGCAATTACTTTTTAACGAAAGTTTCAATTATTTGATTAAACGAAAGTGGAATTGAGACAGCAATTTATAAGACCATAATCCAGATTGATTCTAAATTTAGATTTAAAGATAAATAATGAAAAATATTCATAGTATAGAACGGCTCCATTTTTCAAGTTAAGCTAATGTATCATAACTTAAACATATTTTAAATATCATTTTAACATTGTTTCGAAATTTTTTTAACTAATAAAACAAATTTGAAAAAGATCAAAATGGTTTTGTACTATTATTAAAAGCGCAATCTAATTACTTATTAAATTTTCAAATTATTGAATTCTAGTGCTATACCATTTACATATACACCTTGGTATTTGACATCTGTTGATATTTATATGACTATATCCTATAAAATATAATTCGAAGCCGTGACTCACTTGGTCTTTTCCCATCTGTTCATTTGTGTGCATTGTAATTTTAATTGACTTAGTTATAGTATATTTGATGATTCTCCAAGCTCAAGTAATAATTCTTGATTGAATTGATATTTCATAGTTCTTTCTTCAACTAAATACTTTAAATTAAGTGTCGTATTTCATTAAATGCGTTACGTATTTTTTCTCCAGCTCTCATATGAAGATGGTCATTTAGTGAAAATATAGAGAATTGTATACAAATTAAATTCATGTCTTTTTAATTTCATTCAAGCTTATTTTATGACACTGTGTGGTAGCTTTGCATCACTTAAATTTTACAAACAAAAAAAAGTTTGATGTTTTTGATTTTGTTATATTTTGATACGACCAGATTTCTTTAGTGCTTGAATATAGTAAAGCATTATATTATCGACTTGATAAACCAATAAAATTTATTAATACTCCTTGCCTAACCCTTGCGTGTTACGATTATATCCAAGAACTTTTTACGTCTATAATTATCTTTGATTATAAACACAATTTAATATAATTAATAATCATTGAAAGATGTCGATAGCAACTCCTCCAACACCTCAAGTAATAATAAGTCAATTAGAGGAAGCTAAAAATTTAACAATATCTAAACCAGATATTTTTCCCAAGATATACAAACAAATTTTACCAATTATAAATAACAATCCATCCAACCTAATAAAAAAATGGGGAATAGATTTTATATATGGGACCTTAATTACATCAGAATTTGGTGGTGATTTATCTATAAATGATAAAGTAGATCTTTCAATTGATTCTCTTGAAACTTTAAATTTTCTAATGAATATACCTATAAATATTCAACAACAACAACAACAATCAAATAATTTAGATCAACAACAAGGTCATGATGTTCAAAGTTTTAAAAAATTAATTGATATTTCTTTAATTGTTTATAAATTAGTTTTTAAATATATTTCAGAAAATGATGGAGCAGTTCAATTATGGCAAAAATTAACTGAATTAAAAAATTCATTAGTTAATAAATTTAATACAAATTATCCATTAGAAAGTTCAGATAATGTAGAACATGATTTAGTTAGGAATATTGCAACAAAATTAGAATTATTAAAATTTGTAATGACTGTTATTGATTATCAAAGTAAAAATCAAATTATTGGTGAACCAATTGAAGATCCTGGTTTTTCATTATCAAATGTACCACCAAATCATTCTTTAATATCTTATCAAAATATGGAATATGAAGCATCAGCATTATTTGAAAATTTAATTTTAAAAGTATTCAAATTAGATATAATGATACCTCAATTAATATCTGCAACTTTAAATTATTGTGCTATTATATTGAAAAAGAAACCTCAATTTATAGGTCAATTATTCAAAGCAATTGAAAATTATGATACTGATTCAAAATTACAATCAAATTATCAAACATTAGAAAAATATAAGTTATCAAAAAAATATGTTGAAAGAGCAATAAGAAATTTTTTAATTCATGCTAAAAGATGTAATTTAATACCTATAAATTTTAAAAATTCAGTTGATGCTAGAATTAATTTATTAATTGATAGAGGTAATGAAGTTAGAAAGAAAAATATTTTCAATATTGATTTTCCAAAACCTACTAAAAGAAAATTTGAAGGTTTTTATAATTCTTCTAAAAAGATGAAAAAATTAGATTATAAAAATTTATATACTTTATTGGAGCCAGAGAATGGTTTGAATGAATTTGATTTTAGTTTAATTCCCCCACAATATTATTCAAATATGGTGATTAGCGCATTGAAAAAAGTATCAGTATCAAAATTATCAAAAGCTTTGGAGATTGTTGGAGAAAGATATAAAAATGCAATTTCAAAACCTCAAACTCCTTTTGGTTCATTCAATACTGAAACTAAATCTGAAACCGGTACTCCCATACTTGATAATGCTGGAAATATTGTTACAGTTAAAGAAGAAGTTGGTGTTACAAAAGGAGTAGCCTCAGAATTCAAATTGAAAAAGGAAGATGAAGATGAAGATGAAGATGAAGATGAAGATGATAATGAAGAAGAAGCAGAAGAACCATTTTTTACATTACCACCGGCAAAAGATTTATCATATGATGAAAAGAAAGAACATTTAAAAATAATAATAGATAATTTTTTTAAATTAGCAAAATTAGATTTACCAGCAAATACAAATCCAATACAATTAAAACAAGCAATAACAGAAAGATATAATGGATCTAATCAACCTCAACCAGTACAAAAGGATCAATTTCATAAAGAATTAACAGATATTGCAATAAAATCTTTTAAAAAAGATAGTTGGGTATTATTATTAACAAGATTAGCAACAAGAGGAATGAGAACTAATGCAGAAGAAGATGAATTAGAAGATAAATCACCAGATGATCAATCAAATGAAGATTTGTCAAATATGATAAGAGATTCAATTTTTAATTATTTTATAGAAAATATTCATTCAAGAGTTGATATAGTTATAGAATGGCTTAATGAAGAATGGTTTAGTGAACAAGCATTTCAACAAGATAGAATATTATCAAATTCAAATTCTTCCAAAACAAAAGATTCAAAAATATTATTTCAAAATGTTAAAACTCCAGTTTATTATAAATGGGCAAATAAAGTATTAGATTCAATGATAAATTTTTTAGAATCAAGTGATAAAAAAATTTTCTTAAGATTATTAAGTGATTTACCAATATTGAATGAAGAAATGTTATTAAAAATAAAAACTTTATGTTTTGATCCTGAAAGATCTTCAATGGGATTTTTAGCTTTTCAATTTTTAATTATGTATAGACCACCAGTTAAAGAAATTTGTATTAATATTTTAAAAGAATTAAGTGAAAGTGATCAAGATGATGTTAAAGAAGAAGCTAAAAAGAAATTAGCAAGAGTATAAAATGATTAAGCCAATGAAATTGTATACATGATATGGAAATTAATAAATAATATACATAATAATGAAAAGTAATGTTCAATATGATTCTCTTTAATAGTGATTTGATCTTAGTATTCTACGTGAGGATTGTTTAATAATTCTCTCTTAGTCTTAAATTTATTTATCTTATCCGTAATTAATTGATCTTCCTCAGCAAAAAAAAACAAACAAACAGTGACAACCGAATTTATTTATCTATTTAATGCAGCAAGAATTAATGTATTCATATTTTTAAATCAATTGAATTATAATCAACCATTTGAAATTATGAATTCAAGTATATTCAATACAGCTCAAGAAGATGAAGATCCTTGGTCATCTTCAACAACTAATTGGAATGATAACTCTACTCAACAACAACAACCATATCAATCCACATATTTAACTTCATCACAATTATTGAATAATCAGGATAGAAATTCAAGTCCATCATTAACTACTTCACCAATTCGTCAAAATCAATCAACATCAATTAATGATAATTCAATTACAAATATTCCACAAAGTTATGAATTTTTACATTCAGAATTAACTAACAAAATTTCAAATATAAATGATTTTGAATTCCATATATTAAATAAATTAGTTGAATTAGAATATTTAACAAATTATCAAAAACTGAAATTATTAGATATAATATATGATAATGATCTTTTGCCAATTACAAATACTTCAAAATTTTATCAAATATTAGGATTAATTGCATTAGAAATTGATGTACCAGGTTCAGGAGATTTTGTAACTTTGCAATTTAAATTAAATAATTTACCAGAATTACCCTTGAAGTTTATTAAATATATTGAAAAACAAGAAACAAAAGATTCAAGAATTAATGATCCATTAATGGCTAATTCTTCAAGAAATCAAGATGATGATGATGATTCAGTAGATGATTGGAATAATCAATCTAAAACTATTGATCCTATATTAACTGATCATTCAAAAACTTCAATTGTTCTAAATAATGATAATGACGCAGATAATGATGATAATGATAATACAAAAAAGACAAGTCCTGAAAATAAAGAATATGTTGAGAAATATATTGAAGATATAAGAGATGAATTTAAACCATTATGGTCAGATCAAGATTTGGTTAAGATAAAAGAAGTACCTGAAAAAGAAGGGTTATTGTTTAAACATATTAATTATATTATTGTACATAATTTGAATTTAGGAAATGTTTCATCTGCTGGTCAAAAGAAAGTTATAAGGAGATATTCCGATTTTGCATGGTATGTTTTATTAAAAGATTACAAAATTAAGATTAAAAAAATACTAACAAACTTAGGTTATTGGAATATTTACTTGAAAAGTATCCATTTAGAGTTATTCCAGGTTTACCACCAAAAAAGTTTACTGGTATGTAATGAACAAGTTTTCACGAAGATTAATTTTTTTTACTTACTTATATACTAATTAACTATAGTAGGAGCTTCACCAGATTCTCAATTTTTACAAAGACGTAGACGTGGATTACATAGATTCTTAAATCAATTAATTAAACATCCAATTTTTAAAGAAGAACCAATAGTACAAACGTTTTTAACGGTCCCAACTGATTTAACAACTTGGAAAAAACAAGCCAAGATAGATTATTCTTTGGAATTTAAAGGTGAAAAAATTCAAACTCAATTCATTAATATTATATGGCCAAGTATTAGTGAGAATTTCCTTAAGAATTGGTCAATAGCTGAACAAAATATTAAATATATCATTGAAAAATGGACTAAAATAGTTATCATAATTGAAAGACATGAAAGAAGACAACAACAACAAAGTTATGATAATCAAAAATTTGTTGAAATTTTAAATCAACTTAGAAAATTAGATTATGCAATTTATCCACCACCACCAACTAATTCAAATGATGATCAACAACAACAGAATCAAGTACCGCAAACTAGCAATACTTCTCATTATTTACAGAACCACGATATCGAGGTAATCAATTCAAATTTATCCAAAATTGGAGAATTTTACAATAAATCATCACAATTAATAATTGACGACAACTATTTAATAAATACTAAAACATTAGAAAAATTTAAAAATTTTATGGATTATTTATATTCATTACAAGAATTATTTGAACGTAGTAAAAAATTATCAATAAATCAAATTGATACATTAAATAAAAGAATAAAAGAAAATGAAATTCGTTTTAAAAAATTAATGGAAGAAAATTCAGATATAAAAGGATCAGAAATTACAAAATTAAGAACTATAATAATAAATGATAAACAAGAGATTTTTCAACAATTAAATAAAGATTGGTTAATTAAACAAAGTTGTTTTAAAGAATTTATAATGTTTCAAGAAACTCAATTTTTAATTAGTGAAATTTGGCAAGAATGGTGTAAAGAAAGATTTAAATTTCATGAAAAATTATTAAATATTAATGATGTTTTAAATAATGATATTAATAGTGATATGCCTTTAAGTCGTTAGAACATTTAAGATATAATTAGTATAGCTGAACTTTTTATAGGAAATGTGTACTAATAAAATCAAAAGCATTTGAAATAATTAACAACTATTAATTAATAAATTTGTTTTAGTACATCACTTGAAACAACCCAGTTTTTATTATATTATTCAAACTCTTTATAAAAACGATAATGATCATAACCCCAAAAACAATTCTAAACATATTTTTATAATATATATATAGGAAGTTAGAATAGATTAATGTTGAAAACTACAATAAAATTAGATAAGTTGAAAATATATATCTTAGAATAATAATAGCAAATTTACAATAGAACTAAATTTATATACAAAATTCTTTAGAATCCTCTTGATAAAAAAACTGGACAGGTGAATTTAGAATAAAATGTTGATTTTAAGAAAAAAAAAAAATTTAATTCAAATTTTCCCATAACATTTGATTTAATTCAAATTTTCCCATAACATTTGATTTGATTTAGTATAAATTTGGTATTGAAAAAATTATTATACTTATTTTGAAGGAAACTGGAGCCATTATTCTATAATAATTTTGCAGCTCAAAGTATATGAATTTTGAAATCTTTTTTAATGCTGAAATTAGTTGCATTAGTGACTGGATGGAAATTGAATTGAATTCTTGGTTGGATTTCTGATAATTCAATTTACTTTAAGTATCCTATTTTTATTCACACAGCTAGTTTATTCAAACTTTTGTCATTTAAAGACTTTTAGTGTTCACTTTAATTTCAATTGATATGTAATTGAGTCCTAGAAGTTTTTAAATGTCTCAAAAGTAAACTCTCTACTTATCAGAATACTCATACCTTTAAGTATTGATCTATTTTGATGGGTAGGGAATGACCACTTTATTTGAATTGTAAATTCTTTCTTATCATTAATCGTGAACTCAAGCCCCTTAAATGTGGACTACACCACTTTTACAACTTGAAACATTGAGGTACGCGTATATTAAATTTTTGATAATATTTTAAGTTGACGCAACACACTTAGAGATCGAACTGAAATTACAAGATATTGAATTACGGTGTATTTGATCAAAATCTTTCACTGGTTGATTGAAGAAAATCACGTACCACCTATTGTTTTTTGTATTTTTTTATTACGTAAATGTCAATAATTTTTTAGATCATTAGCAATACCTCTAGATAATTGTAACACACTAAAATTTCAATCACTATTTAACTTGGCATCATATAGGTAATTAGTAGTTAGTAACGAATTAAAAAGATTAGTAGATGCTTTTTAGTTGAGTTTACTTAGTTATTTGTCAAAACTATGAGCCAAGTCAGTATAAGAGGATCAATTCATATTCAAGATCACTTCATCAATAGAATAGTTTAATCAGTTTATTACCAAACATGTTTATATAAATCGTCATCGTCATCGTCATCGTCATTTAGGTTTCATTAAAAATTTGTTAAAAAGTTTATAATTTTTGAAGAATGAACACATTAACAAAGACGAATAGAATTTCAGACTTATTAATCATGGACTAATATATCGAATTAAAATTTTGTTTCAATGTAATTACAATATTTAAATTTGTGATTTGTTCAAGATTTTAAACCAAGAAAATTAATTAATAATTTCCGTATCTGACTTATATAAATTGAATGAGTTTTATAATCAAACACTCGTGGTTGAAAAATCCAACAGAAGGGTTTGGTAAATGTTTAACTGAAACAAACACATACATTTACAATAGAGATTTTAGTGGTGGTGATAATTATATAGATGCAAGATTTATTGATATTGATAGTGGGATATATATTGATATTACTGGTATAAGTAAAAGTTCAAGTTTACCATCAAAAGAATATGATGAACATCCAGAAATTGGGATTCAAAAATTCGGTGCAGAAGATGAAATTTATAATGATAGAAGAAAACATTTCCATACATTAGATCAATTATCACCGTTAAATATACTTATTTACAAAGTACACCCGTATTTATACCTAATGAAATCAAACAAAGATTAAAATTCGAATATTCCAAAGGTTTAACAAGTCATGAATATTCAGATTGGTACTTTGTTAAAATTTTACAATTATGGATTCATAAAGATATTTTCAATTCAAATTCTGAAAATTATAAAAAATTGAAAAAGGATTCAACAACTGAATTTGAATGGGATAAATTAAAATCATTTAAGATACGGACCAAATTTCAAGTGAGAAAATATTAGAATTATTGAAAAACAAGGAAATTTTAAATGAGTTTTTTAAAACTTTCAAATAAACCAATCTGCATGAGAAAGAAATGATATATTTTGATGAAGATCTTGATGATGATGATGAAAGTTCAGCTAGGTATAAGGAACTAATTGATAATTTCAAAACTTTTAATCAACCTTTAAGGTCAAATTTATTGGAATTTGAAAGAGGCCTAAAAACTAATAAAGTCAAATTGTATTAGTAGTTGTATAAATTTAGAGATAGATTTAGAGTTATAATGCATATTTTAAATTAAAAGTTTTAGCTTCAAATGTTTACCCCTTAACTACCATAAATTCTTACGTTTCAGACTTAATGCAGCTTTACTTATTGCATAAACAGGCAAGCTGACGCTCAGAAATAATTTGGTGCGTGTTTTTATGTACTCATAAGCTGTTAGGTGGTGAAAGCGTGTTAATCAATTTCAACTAATGCAAATGGTTTCGAATACTTGTATATTTTGAGAATGCAATAAGGATGTTAGAGTAGATTAATTTTGAAAATTACAATAGAACCAGATTTATTGAAAAATATATTTGAAATATAAAACTATATAGCAAAAAATACCATAACACTAAATTTTTGACAAATTTCTAAGAATCCTCTTGATTAAAAAACT